TAGCTCATCCTTCTCATCTTCGAGAGTTACGATGCGAGATTCCTGACAATGAGGTTAGCTGTTTGGATCTTGTGCTTACCAGAAGGTTACTTACCAGTTGTTGTACATCGTTCTGCAATCCTGCAATAAGAGTTTCTTTGCCAAGATCTACCTCTACCACAGTGTTTGCCGACTCAGCAAGCGCCTTGGCCGACTCCAAATCCTTCTTGAGCTGTTTGTTTTGCTTCTCGAGGTTCTCAACTTTCTCCTCCGATTTGGCGAGCTTGGTTTTGAAGTTCTCAACAGAGGTAGAGGTTTCCTTGAACGCGTTCTTGACGGCCCGCCAGAGTTTTTCAACATCGAAAACGTCTCCTGCAGAAAGAGTATCTTGCAGAATATTCTCGTACGGGTCTATCTCATCCTGCTGGACTTCAATGGTTTGGGGCGTGGTTTGGACGATTTCAATCTGGTATTGTCTGGCCATGGCCTGCTCACCGACATCTTGCCAGCTTTTCGTGCCGCAAAGAAAGCGCCAGGCGGCTTCACGGGTTTGTTTGACAGTCGCCACTCCAAGAGCTGTCTTTTCGAAATTGTCGGGATTCTGGGCCATGTTGAAGAATGGGATGAGAACGTCGTCCCGAAGTTTCTCCAGGTGCTCCAAGTTCGATTCTCGTAGCTGCAGGGCTCTGACCACGGCCCCGAGAGTCTGCGCGACTACATTGCGGTCTTCCTCGACTTGTTCGACAAGTATGCCGCTGGGAATGGCGAGAGTCTTCTCTTGTTTGATCGAGCGTCTACAATCAACTGATTAGACAGAGTAAAAGCAGTTACTTGCCAAGACAACACTTACGCCAGATTTTTGATGTTGTTGGCTAGCACATTGGCCTCCGAACATCCTGCCATTCCCTTCTCTTGAAGACGTGAAAGCTGGCCATTTAGCATGTAGTCTCTACTCTTGAATGTTCCGGTGCGTAGCTTGTTCTTCTTCTGAGGGGGCATGGGACCTGTAGTGGCGCTCGGAGCAGCTGTGGCAGCCTTGGGCGCCATCTTGGAGTAAGGAACAGATGAATAGGGATATCGCCGGTTACGACGATGTTGTGTCCACAAGACTAAAGGTATTGATCAGTACCGAGTTGGTGATGCAGGATCATACATAAGGAAGAGAATGGATCCGAGGCAGAAGGAAAATGTTCAGGATGGTAGGTGATTGTATAGAAGATGGGAATTGATCGGAGTGTGGAAGGAAGATGATCGAATGCAAGAGATGAGGGCAAGTTGTCAACGGTAATAGTCAGGAGGAAATGAAAAACACTTTGGTTGGGGGATGGTGCTTGACTGAGATATAGGGAAAAAGCGCAAGTTTGTGAAAGGATATTGATAAGACGTGGGATGACAGGACGGAGACTCACCCAGTAGTGGTTGTTGTATCGGCAAGCAGCAGCAACTTCTCTGTGACACGGCAGTGGAGTGCAGGTATCGCCCTCGGGCGAGAGGGTAAGGCTTAACACAAGACGACCAAGATTGAGGACGTGTGGATGTGAGAATTGGTGGGAAGAAAGTTATGGACGGGTGGTGTGCGCAACGACACAAAGGGAGTGGATGTTGTCACGGGTGCGCGTAAAGAGGGTGGAAGGTTCGTGTTGCAAACGGGACAAACAAACACAACACGGAAAATGTGAAAGGACGAAAAGAAATGGACCAAAACTCTCATTGGATGTCTTTGAGAGACAACTTTACTATGGGCTTCAAAAGATGCGATGAGACAACAAGAATGCATATTCTGGCTGGCGGCATCTACACCTACCCACCTACATCTTACTCACAGTAATTTCACTCACATTCTGTCTCGAGAAGTGCCATGACAGCTGGCTGGGTAGTACCGCAGCTTGTTAAGCATATTGACAGCCTAAAGCGTCAAACATTTCGGGGAGAATCCAAACTCGAGGCCAATTAGAACGTGGTCAACCCGGTGATTTTGGTGTGGTTCAGGTTGTGCTGGTGGTGCTCTTCGTGGTGGAGTTGAATTTTGCAGAAACAGCCAGGACAGACCCTGTCAGCTCGAATTGAGTCGACTAAGGCTGCCTGATTATGCTGTTCAAGTTTCAAGGTGATTGAGGTGATGCTTGGTGGTAGTGCCATGCACTCGGTCCATGTGGTATGCTTGCGGTAATATCGGGAAATCGCCACAATGCCAGGACATCGCCAGTCAGCTCACAATGGACTGGATGTTGGCTTCTGAACACAATCCCAAAGTTTGATGGCCGTACGGATTGTAGTCGTCGTAATTGCCTGGCGCACGATGTCATACCGGCAGCGATATCGCGAAACTACCACAATGCCAGGACAGATGCTGAAAGTTCGAGTAAGAAAGAACACGGTCAAGTAAGGGTGCCTGTCAAATCCTGAAGCCGTCCGGCTCATATTGTTGACGTAGCGCTGTAGTGGCTCCGCCCTTGGTCACCATGCCGACAAGCATAAATATTGCAGTGGTGCCCGGACAGACATTACTCACTCAGGACGAGCGAAAGAGACCTATCTCATTGCGCCTGTCAATTTTGAGAGCTATTCTAATTGTGGTTCCGGGTCCCGTTGTGGTGGGCAAAAAGTTGGGCGTAGGGTCGGTGGTGAGGTCGAAATTCCGAATATGACCAGTACAAGCCATGTCAGCTAGCTTGACACTCTATAGAGATGTCTGATTATACTGGTAAATTCCAGAGACGGTCCTGCGTTCGGTTGATAAGACACATACCTGTATATCCCATGTAGACTGGGTCCGCAAATTAGGGAACATGTTGAAAAGAGCCATGGCAGACCCTGTCAACTAGCCGTAGATTAGTCTGAGCTGTCTGATGATGTTCTCATGCGCTGAGCTCGGCCATGCATCTGGTTGCCCAGACACATGCTCATACTAGATTTGTATGGTGGTAGGATCGGCAACGACGGTAACATCCCGGAAAGAGCCAGGTCCGGCCATGTCAGCTAGCCATTGATTGAGAACAGCTTTCTAATGGCTCTGACCAATCCTGATCATGACCCTGACCTTGGTTGCGGAGACACGATCCCATACCAGGCTTGGATGAGGGTAGTTCAGGCTCAAGGTCGAACTTTTCAGAAACGACCTGGACGTATCCAGCCGAGCGAACAGATATTTGAAAGGGCCATCCGATTCTTGGAACCAAGTTCCGAGTCAATCCTGGTGATGCTTGCTGGTGTTACGTGTTGTAGTAATCCATCCAGTTATCTTCGCAGTAGCGATGTCGTGAAACCGCTAGACGGCCAGGGTCGAGCCGGTAAGCTGCAGGACTGTAGGGTAGGGGTTTCTGCTTATGCTTATGAACTCTAGAAGCAACCATGGCTGTGGTTGCTGACATAGTAGTAGTACCATGCTATTTCTGTAGGTGGTGCACCTGTGACATGTATATCATCCGATAGGAGCGCATGCTGGGGCATGTTTTCTGCCATATCATCGAGTACGATCCCAGCATCATGCTGGCCAAGTATAAGAGCATGGGTCGACATGGTTGTTGATGTCGTAGTACTAGGCAATATTGGGTAGCGGGCCTTCGACGTGTGTGTCTTCCGTCACAAGCGCATGGTCGGGCAGGTCTTTTGCTAGATCATCAAGAAGGGCTTGCTGATCATGCTGGCTAATCCTCGGAGCATGGGTCGCACTCGTTGATGGTGCCATAGTAATAGGTAAGGGTACACACAATCTTGGACGCGATGTGTCTTCCGCTAGGAGCGCATGGTAAGGCATGTTTTTCGCCAGATAGTCTCTAGATGTTGTCTAATCATCCTGACCAACTCTTGATGCATGGGTCGGCATGGTTGTGGATCTCGTAGTAGTAGGCGAGTCCTCATACGAAACTTGAGCACAGTGTGTCTTCCGCCAGGGGCGCAGGGTAAGGCATGTTTTCCGCCAGACGGTTTCTAGGTATCATCTGATCATACTGGCCAACTCTCGGTGCATGGGTCGATACGGTTGTGGATCTCGTATTTGTAGGCAATACTGTGTAATAATCTTGCAGCCTCCGTGTCACCCGCTACAAGTGCAGGGCCGACCATGTCGACTCACCAATACATTGTCAGAACTTCAGAATGATGGTAGTCGAATTTCGGATCATTCCAACATGTATTTGTGGAGTTATAACAAAAATGGTGTCGTGTCACCCAAGACTTTTTGCTGTATAGAGAATTCGCTTCTTGGCGGCAGGGCTTCTCGCCAAGCTCCGACGTCGCCTCATCGACATCAACTCGCGCCGCAACAATGTCTTCACTACCACAATAATACCATTTATCGCTCACGCGCAAGCCATAGTTCATTGTTGAATGGCGCGCAAACTACCAGACAGGCGGTAGGCCTCAGATCTCACTGGCTCTCCATGAAACACAGCTCCATGCACTCTCCCGTCCTCGTGTAGCGGCCTTTGTTCCATTGATCTTCATCGAAAGCACGAATCTGGTAGGTGGTATTTGAAAGAGTCACATGGTAGATCTTTCAAGTCTATGGGAGAGCACCGTCAGCTTTGGGTCGGATAGTGTGTAAGTGGTGCCAGGTTGGGATACTCCTTTGGTTCAAGGCAAAAGTTTCATATCCCAGTTCATCAAATGAAACCCTTTTGTTAGGCGGCGCGGAGTTTCTGCGCGCTCCCGGTGTTTTGTTTTCTTTGTCGCGATCTCGTGTCGTTTTGGTGCAAGGTGCGCGTCCCGCACAAGATCAGCTCGCAAACACACTTTCACTTAGCCCAGACCCTTTCCTCAAGCTCTTCCAGCACATCTGCGATATCCTGAACGACTTCTGGTTCGACTCAACGGCCTCTCAATAACATCGGCGTCCCCTCGATAGAGTCGACAACCCCGACTCGAGTCAACAAACCTCAAACCCACCTCAAGCTCTTGCAGCACATCTCCGGCCATATCCCGAACGACTTTCGTTGCATCCAAAGCCGTCACCCCGCCTCATCCGTTCACAAACAACCACCAACTAGAGCCAGCAATCTCCGAGCAATACTCTTCCAGCTATGGCGTCTCGCAGCGTCTACGTCCATGACACGATGCAGGATATGCTCGATGCATACAACGACTATGGTTGCATCGGAATAGCACACATGATCCCCGATCTGGATCAAGATTACTCGCCGCATGTCAGAGTTTCAAGACTTTCGACACCTGTTGTTGTGGAGCATACTATGCTTCTCCTGAGCCAGCTGGGCCCCGATATTATCAGGAGCCTCCTGGCCAACACTCTGGTCGAAGATGTGGTCGCGGGTACTGTCCCCTTACACGACTGGAACAATATTCCACGATTGCGCAAGGCAGTCGACGAGCCCGGTATCTACGTAAACTACTTTACCAAGAGCGACGGCACTGGTCTTACCGTGAACGAGTACGACGAGTGGGTCGATATCATGTGCGCAATCCTTCGGGAGCAATCCTACAAGAATGAGACCCCTGCTGTCATGGCACAAAGAGTCAACAACTACTTCAACACCAATACTACTAGCTCAAAGGTCGTTGACCTGGTGGAAGACGTACTCAACTCCGTGAAACTCAGATACGATAAGAGAGGCAGCCCCATTCACCCTACCATCGATCTCAACACCTTCGAGAGCAGTCAGAGAAAGATTGTCACCTCTGCAAGAAGTCAGAATGCGACAGAGATTCGCTTCTTTGGGGAGGTCGGATGGGCTATCAATGTCGACGACCGGGTCAAGACACACGCAAACCTTCAGGGGTCGGCAGGCATGTTCCGCCTGGCCATGTGTGTCATTGGGGCTTACTTTCCTACCTACAAGTTCAGGATGACCTCCTACTGCCTATTCCGTGTTGCTGCTTGGATGCATGCTGAGATGGGAGAGACCCTTGGATCGCATTTGGTTAGCAGCTACGGAAAGTACGGTGGTTTCAACTTCACTACCGCCGGTATCTCTGTTGAGAGTTCTTCGCGAACGGACGTCCTGTTCTGGAGGGCTATCTGCATTCAGTACGAAGACATGATCAAGTACTCCGATGCGCAGGTCGCGCGCGAGGTTGACGACCTCCGTAAGAGGAACAAGCAACAAGAGGTAAGCAAGCAATCCTATTTTGCGCATGCTCTCAGCTCTACTGTCTCATCTATGAGCCACCATGAGCTGGTGTTCATACCACTCTCATACGCTCATGACTGCGAGAGAAGGGTAAAGGGATGAACACGTATTGAACCCCTGATCTCCTCTCAAGGGGCCCTCGTCGTCGTCAGGGGCAATGCGATACTCGTATACCTCGATATGATACAGATGACAATGCTGACTGGTTTCAGGATGAACTCGAGCTGATTCGAGCATACAAGAAGCTCGAAATCGAGGGAGCAGAGCTCGATAACCTGGTCCACAAGCTCGATGCCGACAGAGAGCTCGAGACCATCACTCGTAGGACCGGCCGCAAGTTTGAAGCTCTCAAGGCGACGGTCGAGTCAAAGGAGAGAGAAGCTACTAAGTGTCAGGCGCAGCTTAACTCCTTCGCCACCAACCTCAACTTGAAGCCAATCTCCAGTACTCAAGCTACCCCTTACATCGAGCGTGGCCCCACTAGCAGTGCTCTGCACTCTACACAGGCTACTCCTGCCAATCCATCGAGACGCTAGGTCCCTATCGTGATGAAGGTCAACTACTTCAGAAGTTGATACATGTTTTGGAGAACCAAGAGAGGGTCAGTATGAGGAAACTATGGTTTGGTAAGGGAAAGAAGTCAGGAGAAGAAAGGGTCAGATAGCAATTCACCACGAGGAGGCATGAGCAGAACCGAGCTGCCACAAGAGAGGGTCAGAGGTGGGTACACATCGGGGTAAAAATAACAGGCGTGGCAAGATGGCGTGGCTACGAATAAGTCTTTTCCTTCTCTTTTGCCTCCAATCAAGAAACACGGTTTTTGTTTTCCAAGACAAGTTCCGAACGCGCTCGGGGTCATGCATCATCGCCCCTTGGCATCTTCAATTTCACTCCGTGTTTGTCGTCACTTGGTTCGTTTGTTCATCCGCACAACACTTGACAACCGGCACTCGCGACTTCTGAAAACACTTTCTTCCAAATCTCTCCTCACAATACTGCGCTACGCTACAATCATGGCAGACATCACGGAGCAGCTGTGGAATAGCTTCCACAACCTCAGAGAGGAAATCAGAGTTATGTTGTCTGACACAAGGAGTGACCTTCCCAGAGACCTCGCCGATGCACGAAGTCGTCAAGGTCCGACCTCGCAACAAGATCACAGTAATCTCCAGCTGCGTCTACTTGAGCTCAGAGGATTGCTTCAAGGGTTTATCGAGCAAGGTCAGTCTCTGCGCAAGCACCTAAATGAGTCCAACTAACCAATTCAAGTCAACGAAATGAACCCCGCGAAGACCCAGGTGCTGGATGAGATGAAGGCGCTGCAAGCTCAAATCAACAACGCGCCATCAATCGCTGAGTATGACAAAGCTCAGAAAGACCTTAATCAATACAAGCTCTTCTGGGCAAAGACCAAACCTGAGTACGAACAATTGAAGGCTCAAAAGGGCGAGACTATCAAGCAACAACAAGAACTCGCCGACAAGGAGGCAGACTACGACCGTCTCAAGCATCAGGAAGCCAACATGAAAGCTCATTCCAACAGACTTGCTCTCTTGGAGGCCAACCAGCCCGAGTACGAGCGTCTAAAGAACAACGAGACCGCAGTGAACTCCCAGCACAACGAACTTGTCGCCTTAAAGGCCAAGCAAGATGAATACAATCGTTTGAAGGCGCTCGAGAAACAGATGAACGCCAACGATACCGAATACAAGGATCTACTCAGAAAGTCCAACCATCTCAACAGCGCTACGGACGAGCTCGCTCGGCTTCGTGCAAGATCACAAGCAATGGAAGATGATGCGGCCGAGCTTGCTCGCCTACGTGCACGAGCACAAGACATGGATAGGGATTCAAATGAGCTCGAGCAGCTCCGCAACAGACAACAAGAGTGGAGTAACAGGAGTACAATCGAAGGTCCTACGGAGTCTACAGCTCCTGTAGATGCACCCGAGCCACCCAGTCCTGTTGCCCTCGCTCAGGCTGCAATCAGAGTTCAGGCTGATCTTCATGACCGCATCCTCGGCGAAATCGTCACTCAGTCTGCCCTCGAGCTGTCGATAGCCTCTCATGCTGCAATCACCGGAGCTCAAGCATACGTCAACGCTGTTGCCGCCGGCCAATCCGAGGAAGACGCTCTGGAAGCTGCCCGTGAGGCTGCTCACGATCTACAAGAAGCTGTTCGCCGAGCTGATGAAGCGGCCTTTAACATGGCCAAAGACAGAGGTCGTTCCTCACCCGTGGCTCGAATCGGAGGCGAAGCCGCTGCACGTCAAGTTCTTCTCGGTCAAAGCCATGACGACGCTCAATTCGCAGCTCGTCGTGCCCTTGAGGATGCCCAGACTCCTGAGCCTCAGCCTACCACCGCTAATCAGACTGCTGATGATCAGACTGCTCCTGATGATCAGGCTGCTCAGACTGGCCCCACGGCTGTTTCTGGAGCTGCTAACGCTCCTGGAGCTACTACTGCCGCCCCCGGAGCTACTACTGCCGCCCCTGGAGCTACTACTACTGCCGCCCCTGGAGCTACTACTGCTGCCCCTGGTGCTGCTGCTGCTGCCCCAGGTGCTGCTGCTGCTCCTACTGCCGCTCCTGGAGCTGCTCCCAATGCCCCTGCTGCTGCCGCTGCTGCCGCTACGCTTACTGCTGCTCAACTGCAGAATACCTTCAGCAACACTGGCACTACTCAGGTCAACAGAACCCCATGGCAGATCGAGCAGGGGGTCAACAATGGCATTAGAGTTGGTGACGGCACTGCAGCTATCGCTAATTACCCCCGCCTCCCAGCCTCCTTGCCGCAAGCTATCATCGACCGCCTAGCCGAAGACTTCCTGGGCAGCTTCTGTCTGATTAGTCAGGGAGTCTACAATCAACACTTTACTGGGGTAATAGATAAGACGAACTGCTTGTACGCAAAGGTTAAGGTCAAGAGAGCAGACGTCGAGGTTAATCAAGCCTACGCGTGTGCTTTCTGCGTCACAAAGAACCGCATTTGCCTTCGCAGAACTGATAACAACGAGGTCTACATCGCACCCCTTGCACCGGAGCTTCGCGTGGCAGGTGCTCAACTCACTGACCTGGGCGCTTGGGTCACTCGTCCCGCTGCTGCAATGGAAGGCTTTGGCGCGATCAGATAGGGTGATGAGGGGAAAGGGGTTGAACGGTCTTCAAAGGTCAGCGTGTAATTCTAGTGAGATGAATGAGAGCATGGGATGAGAAGAGAAGTTGAAAGGGGGTTAGGGAGTATTGGCAGAGACATATCCCTTTATCGTACTCCCAGTACAGCAATGAGCAGAGTTTACGCTATAAAAAGGCACGAATGCTTTGATAGTAGAGGTGTGTCCACAGAGAGCTTATAGTCAGTCATTAGTAAATCTCGTCGCCTTGCGGGCCCAAAAGGATGAATACAAACGTTTGAAAGCGCTCGAGAACCAGATGAACGCCAACAATGACGAATACAAAGATCTGCTCAGAAAATCCAACGAATTGAACAGAAACTTCGATGAGTTTGCTCGACTTCGTCGAGAGTCCAACAAGATCAGAGAAGACGCGGCAGAGCTCGACGAACTTCGTCACAAACAACGAGGATGGGTCAACATGAATGTTGTGGAAGGTCCCACGGAGTCTACAACTCCAACAAATGCACCCGTCGCTCTGGTCGCTAGACCTGCTGCTCTAATTGTTCCCGCTGTTATTGCCAATACAGTTACGGCTGCTCAACTGCAAACTACCCTCAACTTCGACGGCACTCAGACCGTCAGAACTCCTTTACAGATCCACCAAAGTATTGTCAACGGTACTCCCACTATGGCAAAGGGCAGAATAGGCACTATAAAAAGTCACAATTGGTTTCAGAGGAGAGACGTGTCCACAGAGAGCTTGTGGTTCGCCGTTTCTCAATGGACATCGCCTTCTTTATAATAGTTTTGTGCATTTCTATAGCTACAAAACAATCCCTCTGCTTGATGGAGATAAGCAAGAAGCGTTTTGCAAGATATCAACTTTTATATCTCATAGTGCTCCCACTGTGGCAAAAGGCAGAATAGACACTATAAAAAGGCACAGATGCTTTGAGAATGGAGATCTGTCCACTGAGAGCCCTCAATTTGTCGCTTCTCATTGGAAATTATCCCATTTTCTGGTAGCATTATGCATTCCGATAGATACACACTTCTAAAACGCCACTCGTCGGGAGCATCTTCGAGTACTCGCTTCATAGAGACGGCATATCGTGCCGTTGCAATTAGTCGTCCCGGATCTGATAGAGATTGCGACTGTCAAAATGCACAAAGCTTTGTAAGATGAGAGGGCGTCCAAGGAGACTTGTGTCAGTATCTTCACGCGTAAGAGGTAGCGCAGACGGAGCTGAGCAACATCGTAACAGATGTACTCGTTGTACTGAAGATAAGCACCAGCAACATTGGTATCACCAGGATCTTGAGTGGTATCTGGCATGGTTGCGCTGGTGAGAGAGAGAGAGAGAGAGAGAGAGAGAGAGAGAGAGAGAGAGAGAGAAGGATGCATCCAACGTCCTTCCAAGCCTTGGGCGCGGTTCTGCCTTGTCCCCATGTAGACAAAGCACCCATCTCTGGCAGTCTCGACTGCCTGGTGGCTAGAGCTGGCTGCTTGTCCGATGCAGCCTCAGAAAGGAGGAGAAGAGCATATCCGTCAGGACTGTAAGAACACGAAAGCAGTGGATGCTATTCTGTTTCCTGATAGTGTTGTGCATTTTGATAGCTACAATCCTTCAGCACACGAGATGGTCTCGTGTTTATGCCATCGATTGTGCAATTGTTTGAAAACCATGATATGTTGTCGCTCTTCTGAAGAGCAATATTGGGTATCTCATTGACTCGATATCTCCCTTATTGACATAGCGAACGCCTGACTCCAAACATATCCTTCATAAGAAGATCGAAAAGACCTCTGCCCTAAAATGAAAAATCCGAATGCATGATGCGAGAAAAGACAAGGCAAGAATGTCTAGAAAGCGATCTTTCTCTTTCTGCCAGTGTATTTCGAGTTTGCCTTGACGACCTTGCCCTGTTTCTCCATTTGATCCTTCTTTCTTGTGATCCACGCTTTGCTGCCCTTGACTCTCGACATGTCCTTGCGTGAACGTTGATCCCTCTTGCGACGGGCATCTTGAATATCCACATCTGTCAAGCCATTCACAACACCAGTGATGTCTCTACTCGTCGCCTCCTGCTCTCTTCCAAGATCACCACCACCGACTGTGAGGACAAGGTACAGCTTCTCGCTCTTGGTACCTGGATCATCCTCGAGAATACCAGCGCCGAAACCAGCTTTGACTGCAGCAGCACTGATCATATTCCTTTGCACCTTGTTCTTTGGGTAGAATTGGCAGACCGCACGACCACCACGACGCAGAGAGGCATACAAGCCATCAAAGAAACGCTTGAGTCGGCCTTCAGGCGTAACATCGCTCGACTCTGCATTACACAACCACTGAATAGCCGAAATACTGATTGCAGCATCGAACGAGCCAGGACGGAATGGCACTCCCTGCCCAATATCCGCAAGCATCAAATCTCCATCTACATCTCTGTCGAGTGCTTGTCCCAACATGGATGCTGAAATGTCCATGCCAATCCAGGTGTGTGGTCCTCCTTCTTCTGGCTCGACTTGTGAGAGGATTTCGCCGGACAGACCGCTTCCGCAGCCCAGATCGAGGATGAGGGAAGGTGATCGTAGGTCGAGGAGTTCGAGGGCGCGGTTTGTCATGGATGCTTGAATGTTCTTGATACGGCTGTTGGTGGTGTATTTGCGACTTTCGACATCGTTGTAGAAGAGGTCGGGCGGTAGCAAGTCTTCGGGGCGCGACATGATTGAGAGTGAGGGTGCGCAGTGGGTAGATTATCTGCTTTGATTGCAGTTTCGAATACGGGTGTTTGTAGCAGGTCGCAAAGGTGAGATGTCAAATAATTTTTGAGAGGCTGAAAGATGGAGGGCTTTGCTGCACAAAATTATGTGGTTCTGCACAACTTTGTGGGGGAAGCTGAAAGGGTCCAGCCACTTCACGTCGACGACATGTCCCGTTCCTTCCTCACGTCTTTCTGACCATGATATTCAGATCATACACGCTCGCTCAAGCAAAAGATAGAGTTGAGCGAGACGTGATCAGCTAAGCTCTGAGTGAACGCTCCTATTCAGAATTGGCTGTTTTTACGTTGCAAAACTCCCTAGGATGGTGCTCTCAGGCTAGATACTTGAGAGATAAAGTAAAACAGGAGAGTGCGACCAGTTCTCATGTCTCTCTCAAACATAGCAAGCTCGACACCTCCATCTGTAATGTGAAGGAATACTGTATGACTTCATGGTAGATATAAGTTTCTAGATGTAGTAAAACGTGATTGCTTCGAGACAGTGAAGAGCGACTTTCTGTCGAAGGACTCGGTAAGTGTAAAAGAGTCGACTACCGAGAGAGTCGATCCACTAGCCATATTGCAAGCATTTGCAAATCAGAATCATCCACGATAAATCAAAAAAACAACTCCCAAGCATAACACCCACTACAATCACGATATTCATACCAGAAGAGTTCAAAACAGCAAATTCAGGTGATAAAAAGGCCAAAAAACTTACCCCTTGTGGGGGTGAGGGAACTTTCCTTCATCGATAACGAGGCAGCGTTGGCTAGGACTTCACTGACTATCTCTGGCAGTTCATTTCTTCAAGAACCTCCAAACGTTGATCAGACGTAAGGCGATCAGGTCTCTCATGGTGAACCCACTCGGCCACCGAACCCGCAGTTGATGCAGTCCGTCTTGGTGGAAGGGTGGCAACTTGACTGACTTATATAGCCAGTGCTGTCCTTTTACACCATCGAGATGCTTTGCTTCCTTCACTAGCTCAAGATGATTACTGAGCATTGGCTTCTGAATCACAACAATGCAATGGTTCATTCCACTCTTAGATGGAAAATCAGGTCCATTTGATCATTAATACAAGAGCTGTTCTACTGTTTCTGATCCCTGTTATTTCCTTCGTGACTTAATGCTTATCATGTATCTATGAGAATACACAACAAACTCCATAAGATCAAAAACATCCACTAAACCACTCAATAATTCTCACTCTTAGACCACATCTCTATCTCCCAAACGATTATGCATTCCTGATAACAGTGTCTATCACCCATCATATCGGCTACAAGAGATGACTTGTCCTTCACTTTCAATGACTATGTTTATACTTGCTCTGCACGCATTTCCAACCCCGAAAACAGTTATACGTTTTGATAGATAGCTCACCATCATCCTTGTGTCGGCTTAGGAGATCACCAACGATGTCGCGTCAAATTGCTTGTGTTAATGTTTTTATATGTTTTTACATGTTTTTATATGTTTTTATATGTTTTTATATGTTTTTATATGTTTCTATCTGCCCACGAGATATATGATTTACACGAGCTACAGTCACATCAACAGGAACAAGGCACGAGTGAGAGTGTAGTCAAGACAAAATCAGAATAAGAATGTTTTGTGTTGTATTCATGTCTTCCAATAAAGCTAGTTGTTTAATTTACCAAGTAAAGACTGCTCATCTGAGAGCGAGAATGATCTGTTCATCTACGATATACAGTGCTCAAGCACTCATTCTTCCAACACATAAACACAAACGCAAAAGTCTAACCCCAGTTGAACAAGACTTGCTTACCCTTCTTGCCCTTCCTGATGATTTGCTCTGACGATTCTTCCATAGCAGGTGGGCTTGTCACACCATTACTTGATCCAGCAGCCCATGCCACACTCGAAGGACCAGGTGCGTTGACTCGTCGCACGCCAGCGCCAGTGTAGCCAGGGCTGAAGACTGTGCTGGTGGGCTTTTGTGCCTTGGGTAGTGAGGGGAAGTTATCTCCACCACGACCTGGCGGTTTGCTGTTGCTGGGTGTTGCAGAACGCGAAGGTTGAGGGGTTGGTCGTGCAGAGGCAGGCGCTGAGTTGAGCCAAGTTGCTTGCGTGGGGTTCACACGAACAGGAGGGGCGGCAGGGGTTGATGATCTTGATGAAGCTGACAGAGGAGGGAAGGACAGACCTCCAGCACTTGCAGGGTTTCCACTCGAGTGTGGAGCGACAGCAGATCCATACGAACGAGCATTGTTAGAACGCGAACTTTGTGCTGTGCTCGACTTGAGGTTCAGAATACGCTTGGACCCAAGACCGCTGCCCAGTACCGATGCTGCGCTGCTACTGGGACCAGATTGACCACCAGAGGCTTGAGGAAGGGATGGGTAGTCCTCGTTGATGGATCTCCAATTGTTCCAGGCTTTCAGCAACTGGTCTCTCTTGGTAGCAATCTCGAAAATGTCGGCAAGCTCCTTGATCAACTTTCCCAGCTCAGTTGAAGATGTATCAAAGAGCGCGAAGAAGGCGTCAATGAGATGGTCAGCAGTTAGCGCGCCTTGACGGTAGAGTGAGACCTTGTTACGGAACTCGGCTAGCTTAGTCTGGTCGTTGCGCAGGAGGTTGGAAGCACGTTCGTTGACAGCATTGTGACGAAGACGGCGAGCCTGTTCTTGCGGAGTTAAGCCAGCCATGGAACGGTCTGGGGATGCCGTGCGAGGAGTAGCCGACGATGGTTGGAGGCTGAGGGAACCAAGTGATGGGAACGGGTCTTGCACAGGGCGAGGGGCGGTAATAGTTGCAGGCTCAGGAGCGTTGGCAGGAGCTCTAGCAGCATACGTTCCAGTAGGCTGAGTGAGTTGGCCACCGAAACTGCGTGTTGACACAGATTGAGCGCTCTGAATGGCCATTTGACGCTGATAGGCCATCTCTGCTCTGCCCATTGGTTGTGCAGACGAGACTGGCAATGGATCGGCATTCGGATCACGTCCACGACCACCTCCACGACGCTCTCTGTTGTTGTTACGCTGAGGACGGTCTTGCTGGTGAGGAGCCCGGTAATCGAAGCCTGAAATGTCGACTCTGCGGGCATCACGACGGGCATCCTTAGTTAGGCCGTTGGGATGAGCCTCGAGCTGATGAGCCTTGAGATCCATTTCTGAATCGAAGACGACAAACTTCTTCTCCAAGCACTCTGCATCCGGGCAAACGAAATGGTCCTTTCGGAAGTGGACTTCGAGGGCATTGTAGTCAACGTAGTACTGAGGCTGTCTGCCGCCATCGCGGCGGTCACACAGATGGCATCGTTCGTGGCGATCGCGACAATGTGAGAACAGCTCGTCATCACCATAGAAGCGTTGGCGACAGAAACCACACTCGGGGTGACCCTTGAAACCAGACTGATTCTCGGCGCCGGGAATGTCGTCTCCATGCTTCTCGTGTCGTCGCAGTTCTTGGACAGTGAAGAGATCGTGTTCGTGGGTAAAGACCTTCTTGTTGCGAGTACAGAGATCACACATTTGTTTGTGGTGGACACTCTTGACGTGACGGTGGAGATCTGGCCAGCCTAGACAAGCAGCATCGCATGACGGGTCAGGGCAGTTGTAGCGTAGTAGGAGAATGGTGTCTTCGAAGATGTCCTGGCTTTCGTAGTGGATGCCTAGATTGTCGTCGTTGTGAGCAAACTCTTGAGCGTTGTAGTCTTCGAAGCGTTTGTTGGCATCGTCAGTGAAGATGACCTCCTCAGCACTTGTTCGACAGTGGGCGCAAGTCTTTGTCTTGTAGAGAGCACGCAGTCTCAGCGAGCAGATGTGGCAGGTGCGGTGGTTGCAAGGAGCGACACTTTGGTGGACGACTGGCGAGGCGCAGATGAAGCAGACCTCGGCCTCGACATCGTCGCCGTCTTGTGTTTGCGGTACTAAAGCAAGAGCCTTTCCTTTNGCTTGGATCTGTTGTTCGGTGGTGGGTTGGTCTTTTGGGCCCTGAGGCTGGTGTGCCCCTCCTGCCCCTCCTCTGGCGCGTCCACCACGACCTCTGCTTCTGCCAGCATTTCTATTGCTGTTTTGGGCTTGTTCACCGTCCTGGCCTTCGCGCGGCGCTCTGTTAGCTCCTCTACCACCTCTGCCACGGTTGTTCCTGCCGCGATTGGCTGACTGATCGTTTTGTGCTGAAGTGGGGGCTGCTGAGTCGGCCATGGTGCTTGTGTTTCCAGAAATGCGTCGTCTGGGAGAATGAAGGTGCTGGAACGAAAGGAAAAGACAAGCAGTAACAGCGACAGGCTCAAAACACAGCGAAAAATGATATAATGGTCAGTTGGTGGGTTGACAAGAATATTGAATGACAGTTCGGCCCATGACGGCATTCAGTGTGCAGCTCTGTGATTGGCTGCGCTGCTTGGGCCTGTCCGCTGTGCTGCTGGCCGGGAAATGGCAGTGGCACCCCGTAATCTCTTGCTCGACCACGCAGCAATCATGATCTCTATACCACGCACTTTCACTCGCATTCCAATCCACCGCTCCTTCTCTACCTCTGTCCGCCGTCTCGCTCAGGAACCTTCCCCTGTCGACCCTCAAGCCGCCAAGAATACAAAGGTTTCGTCCAACCACAGCAGCCCTCAGATCCCCAAGCCCCGCAGAGGTCCCTACGCAAACTCCCCCTTGCCCGTCTTTCCTCTGCTCGCCATCTTCTTCACCGGTTCCTTCCTCTTCTACAAACTCTCAGAGTCAAGAGCAGGTCAAGGCAAATCTCACTACGTCTTGCCCCCCAGAGACAAGAAGCCTCCACCTGCCAAAGAGTTCAACTCCAACCTCCACTCCGAACATTAAACAATGGCTCCCACCAACCTTCCCACCATCCCTGCCATGAACCGCGACAAGCCTCTTTTCCCCACTGGTACTGCAGAGGGTGAGGCTACCGTCATTTTCGTCCTGGGTGGTCCTGGTGCTGGCAAGGGCACTCAATGCAGCAACATTGTCCGCGACTACAAGTTCAAGCATCTCTCTGCTGGTGATTTGCTGCGTGAAGAGCAAGACCGCAAGGGCAGTGACTTTGGCGACCTGATCAAGGAATACATTCGCGACGGCAAGATCGTTCCCATGGAAGTCACCATCCAATTGCTCGAGAACGCCATGCAGGCCACCATCAAGAACGACGGCATCAACAAGTTTTTGATTGACGGTTTCCCTCGCAAGATGGACCAGGCTATTCAATTCGAAAAGTCCGTCTGCAAGAGCAACTTCACTCTGTTCTTTGAGTGCACCGAGAAGGTCATGGAGGAGCGTCTGCTCAACCGTGGCAAGACCAGTGGCAGAGCCGATGACAACGAAGAGAGCATCCGCAAGCGTTTCAGAACTTTTGTCGAGACCAGCATGCCCGTTGTTGACTACTTCGAGAAGGATGGCCGTGTCGTCAAGATCCAGGCTGTTCAGACCCCTGACGAGGTCTACGAGCACGTCAAGCTCGGCTTTACTGAGCGTGGTATCAAGCTCGTCTAGACTTCCTGCATTTTGCATTATAGACTTCTAATGAACATTTTCCCAACTCTTTTCTAATCAGGTTGTTGCACATTGTCAAAGTATGGAAGGAGATTTTGGTGGAAAAGAGTAAAGTGATCTTTTCGGTGAAGTAGGAGTAGGCAGTTTGGTAAGTGTCCTCTTCTCAGTGCATTTGTCTTCTCTCCCAATTACTTCGTGCGTTTTGATGAGTGCTTTTCTGGACGTCTATTCCTGGGAAGATCGGCTCGGCTCGATGCCGTTTGATCGTATCACCACCTGTCATCAAGCAGGAAAGTACAAGTCAGGGAGTGTGGTGAAGGCTAGCTTGATTATCAGCTACTGGAAAACAGTTGGGAAAGCGAATCCGTTCACTCACCGTCGTTTTCGACCACAAAGAGCTGGATGGTCTTCTTGTTTGCATTCTTGTGGTCGAGGACGGCGGCGGCGAATGAGTTTGACGAGCAGACAAATGCAATCTGGTCAGTCTCTGACATGCGCCAGACGATGGAACGACCGTCCATGCCGGTCTGGAGTCGACAGCGCAGGATGCTCTTGAATAATGCGATAAGAGACTTGTGAGAAGAGCGTCGCGACTCAATCTTTGATAGCGGAACTTGGTAGGTGTGAGAGACATCCATAGCTGAGCGTCTTTGGCGGGTGATCGAGACAATCATGTCGTCCTCGCTGGGCTTCTCAGTAAGCTGAGACTCGTTGGAGGTGGTCGAGGCCGTGTCTGTGGAGACTGTGCTCATCTTTGCTGATGTCTGTTGTAGGCGAGGGAAGGTTGGGTTGTCAGAAGGAAGATTCGATGTTAGACATCGAGCAACTTAAGAGCATTCATCAACACGTTTCCGCATTGCAGCTTCACCTTCTATTCCCTTTCCCTTCCACTTTCACTTCAATGTCACTGCCTTCCGCTCGTGAACACCTCCATCATTCACTTGTCCTGGAGCTTCACAAAAGAGACAGGTTCCAAACCCTGAGAGAGAATCTGCACAATTCTGCATGTGCTGCTTAACCTTATAAACAGCTACTTGTCTAAATGTACCATATCTTTCCAACATGAATATCCGGTTTCGAGATCATGCTGCTTTCCAGTATACATGAGTTGGTAATTTTCTCACAATCAATCACTCTCCACGAAGCATATAAATCATATTCCAAGCTATAGAAATGCACAGTTGTTTGGACTTGCAGACACCTATCCAAGGAGAGCCTGCCAAACTCCGACTCTCAGAGGAAACCATCCATTTCTGTAGTATATTGTGCATTTTGATAAGTATGATGCGATAAACGTTGCCGCTTGGAGAGGTGAAATACTCGTTACAGACCTGGTGTCTGCTTCCACTGCTTGGTGATGGGATCGAGCAACTCTTGTGCTTGTCGCCATTCCTTCTCAACGAGATCTGCTCTGTCCTGGTCTCTAGCAGTAATGCTGACCTTGTACTCTTCAGGCATCACCAAGATGCCTTGAGTCAATTTATCAGGGTCGGGCAAGATCTCTTGTCCTGTTGCAGGGTCGATGACAGGCTTAATGTCAAAGGCCCACAGCATTCTGGATATGCCGAGGAAGAGGCTACGCTCCGCGACATGCATACCTTGACAAATTCTTCTGCCTGCTCCAAAAGTGAATGAATCTCTTTTCGAAGCATCTGGCTGAGTTGCTGAATCTGCACAATTCAGAAAATCGTCTTTGAATCTGTCTGGGTCGAAGCGCCGCGGTTCGGGCGAGCGGTTGGGATCCATGTGGATGGCCCAGACGTTGTTCATCACACCTGCGCCTTTTGGTATCTTGTAGCCCATGTAAGTGTCATCTCGGATAACGGCATGGGGAACTGCGCCGAGGATTGTTGTTGGCATCCATCGAAGACTTTCCTTCACGCAGCCTCGGATATACTGCAGACTAGGCTCATCGTCCATGTTAGGCAGTCGGTCTTTGCCGACAACACGATCAATCTCTTCCTGTGCCTTCTTTTGAACCTCAGGAAAGAGCAGCATGGCTTGCACAAAAGCATAAAGCGTGCTTGCGGTTGTATCACTACCAGCCTCCAGCAGAGTTCCTGTTATATAAGCAGCCTGGTCGTCTGAGAAGCCTTCTTCTTGCTGGGCTTGTGCCATGCCGACACAGAAGCAAGGTCGGATGGTTCCGGCCTCCATTGCTTTCTTCGCTGCGAGCCAATGACCAACGTAGAGCTCTCTTTCTTTTTTAAACGCCTTCTTAGCCCTTGCCTGCAGAGGGAACATCCAGTCTGGAAGCTTGCGCAAGAGAGGGAAGGAATCGAGTAGTGCAGCAGTTCCAGTCTGGTTGATTTGCACGAATTCAGAGAAACCTTCGTAAAGCTGCTTCATAGCATCGTCCTCATAAGTGGGAGTCCGCCAACCAAAGATCATGGTCGTCGTTAAAGCATTCGAATAACGACGAATATTTTGCAGACAACGGTCTGGAGAAATGAGCATTTCGTGGAGCATTTGCTTGTTTTCAAGCAGCTGGTAGGGGATGTAATTCTTGGACACGTTGACGTTGAGCAAGGCGTGGCACATTTTGCGAAAATAGCGCCATGTTGGACCATATTCNCTACAGAAGTTTAGTATAATATCGTTATAGAGACTGAAAAGACTTACCATCATCAAGAAACGCATGCCTCCACTGCAGAGTTCTTGACCCACGTACATGTCTTCTCTTGCAGAGTAGATAGAACTGCGTTTGTCAAGGAGATCTTTTACTGCTTGGTCGCTGGACAGGACTATGAGGACCCTAGTACCAAGCATCAGACTATAGATGGGACCGTACTCATTGGCCCATTTCTGAAACTGGAGATGTGCATCTCTTTTGGGCATCTAAGAAGAGGTTAGTACAACAAGGGGGTCCAAGGAAACATGAGCCATTCACCACCTCCATTGTGCAGATTATATAACGTACAGGCTATAAAATGCACAATTCTATCTAGAAATAAGGATATGGCCAAAGAGAGCTAATGAGAGATTGCTTCTCGGCGGACACTATCCTATTTTATGATAGTATCGTGCATTTTTATAGCGTGTACTTCACTGTCCTTTATGACTCGGAGAGGCAGCAAGAATCCAGTATGGGGCTAGCTCATGTTTGCTTGGAGCCACTTGCAAGTCAAAAGATGCGATGGGTATAGGCAGGCGTACCTGATGAATGTTCCCGAGGATAGGTATGGTGGGTGGCCCAGGAGGATAGTCCTTCTGGCGACGACCTATGCTCAGTATCTTTAGGACAAGAAGGATGAGACCGACGATAGCGAAGATTGTTGGAGTCGTCAAAACCATTATGGCTGATCTGTATTCAGAGGATCTGTATCCAAAGGCGAAACGAAAAGGCTAGAGAGTTCATATCCTGACAAGAGGGGCCATTTATACTTCATGGCAGCATAATGCAGCTTACTGATCAACCTCATGCAGGCTTGGCCTTAACCGAAAGGTGGAAGGTGTGGGAGATGCAGTGCATGGAGGTAATATATGTAGATAGCAAGAATCCTTACTGCAGGATTGGTGGCTGATGAGGAAGTATGGAGTAGTGATCAACAATATTGGCACCCGACTGACACGAAAATGAGAGTAGACATGATCATACATGTCAATCAGCAATGCAGTCTCCATGTGCTTAGATCTGTGACTCGCATCGTCCTTGGACTATGGCGGCATAGAGTGAAGAGGCACAGTTGAGAAATGCGGAGATACATCATCCTGTCCCTTAGACCATGATGCATACTTGTGGCTCTACTACAGGTTGCATGCTTTAGCATACGGGACGAATGATGATTTGGTTGGTCGGTCGTGCAGGGGGATTGATTGTTTAAAGTGGAAAGGGCTTGGAAGCTGTCGCAGTTTGAGCACGGACATGTCGCGAGCGCGAAGCAGCAGCAGCCTCGGCCAGGCAGTCGCGTCTTCCCAGAAACGACTATTTCCTTCCCAGTGAACAATTCTTCTCGCATCTTCCGATGTGCTTGACCGACCAACATGTGGTTTCTGGAGTGTGAGGGCGACTTGTTCGAGAGTATGTTCAACCCACACAACCAAGGAAACATCATGACTGATTCTCTACAGNACAAGCGCATCTGGCTACGGCCAGGCACGAAGCTGGTCCTCGGCCGCACATCCAAGCCAGAGCCAGGCCAACGTACGTCCGACATGGCTGCCATGCCCACGGCCTAGTTCTCACTAACGTCGACAAAGGCANTGCGATACATCGAGAACTCGTCCGTCTCCCGTAAACACTTGACTGTCGACGTCGCCAAAGTCGAGCCTGGAGAGAGCAAGCACCTACACGCAAAGACAAAGTTACAACTCACCGACAATTCAAAGGTCGGCTCTTGGCTCAACAACGATCGTCTGGAAAAGGGCACTGCAAGAGACTTGGACAAGAACGACAACAAGATCAAGTTGGGCAACTACGAACACCTCTTCCACATCAAATGGCAACCCATTGTCTTCTCCTTTCCCTCGCTTCCTCGCGCCTATCGTCAACTCGAAGATCCACTTGTAGACCAACGTCTGATTCTCGAACCTCTGGGTATCAAGTGTATCGTTGATTACATTGCTCAATTCACTTCTCATCTCGTCGCAAAGAAGCGCAATACCCCCACCACTCTTCAAGCTCTAGTCAATGCTCGCTACATTGTCATCGATGACTACGTTGATCAGATCCAACTAATATCGCTCGACGCTCTCGAACAAGACTTCAACGCAAACTGGCCAAGCGAAGAGCCATACTCACCTCCACCCGCAAACGAGCCAAACCCTCGCCCCGACAAGTCACCCGACTTCCTTCCCAACCCAGCTCGTTCCGAAATCTTCTCACACTACACCTTCATATTCAGCGACCCTGGACAACATGCCAATCTCATGCCCACCATCACTGGTGGTGGTGGAAAGGCTTTGTGCCATCCCGTCGACAATCAAAATCCAGACCCTCAAGACTTATTGAGATATGTTCGAGAAGTTGCTGGCAAGAAATCGGACAAAGCTTTCAATCTTGGCCAACAACCAAAGTCAAAAGGTGGCATCATTTTGGTCCGTATTGGCGGCTACAAACAAGAGAAGTCATGGTTCTATGATCAGGTTGATTCTTCTTTGGGTCAAAGCAGTATCGAGCAGAATGAGCTATTGGAAGTCATCCTTGATGCTGATGCTTCAAAGTTGAAAAGACCTGCTGAAGTTGTCCAACCACCAGAGGACACAGTCATGCAGAATGGAACTCAGCGAGAATCAGAATCTCCTTCTGTGCGTCGACAATCGAACAGGATCGCTACAGAACTCCCATCTGCAACTCCAGAGGAAGGTAATCCCGAAACTTCCCAGCAGGAGGCACCAACAACAGGCAGACGCCGCGGACGCAGACCTTTGACACAACCGAAATTCAAGGGCTTTGACGAGATCGATATCAACGACTTGCCAAAGTATCGTTCTCCGTCTCCTTCACAGCCTCCTTCGCATCAACCGAGCCAAGCACCCTCACCAGACTTCATGAATGAGGATGAACACGTTGAGAGTTCCTATCCAGCACCAAGCCAACACACACAACGTTCAACCAGGAAGAGGCCACCACCAGAGGATGAAGAGACCCATCATGATATGATGGCTGACATGCTGCAAGGTGCTGCAAGGATGAAAAAACGTCGCATCGATGCAGGACTTGAGGCTTCTGCGTCGCCTAACGAAACACCAGCTGAAGAAGCCGCGCCAGCACCTGCGGTGAAGAAGGCCAAAAAGCGCAAGGACAAGGAAGTCGATGTACGAGCCATACTGGCAGAGCGCCAACAAGCAGAGGAGGAAAGGCGTCTCGAAGATGAAGAGAAGCTCCGCGATCAACTCGAGGGCATGGAAGTGGCCGATATGCAAAACCTAGCACAAATTGAGACCATGGAAATACGCCGTGAGCCTCCACCACGATCAAGATATGATGCCGAGGCTGGACACGATGACCGCTGGGATGATCGATGGAATGGCCGCAAGAACTTCAAACGTTTCCGCAGACAAGGCACTGCAGCCAACACACAAACCCGAGCTCGTGTCTTCGTTTCCTTAGAAGAAGTCGAGCCAAAGGCATACGGCGCGCAAGACGAATATTTCCTAGAACCTCGTTCAAAGAAGGCCGNNAGAAGAGGGCTCGAAGGAAGGCGAGACGAGCACAGCAGACACAAGACAGTATGGATGTCGAAGTCACTGCGACACCTTCATCTGCCGCTGCCAATGGTACACCTTCACAGCAGCGATCGAACAATGCAAACAACAGTATTTCTCTCGTCTCGGATAGTGACCAGGACATCTCGTCGGAAGACGAAGNACAACGCCGCACGCTTCCGCCGCCGTATTGCAACTTCTCGCGCTCAAGACGCCGAAGCCTCACGCCTAGAAGCTATACTGCCGGAGGAGATTGCAGGCACAGCTCGTGACCAAGACATCGCTGATGCAGCCAGACAAGCCAAGAGCAGTGCGTCTGTACGAACACAACCAGGCAAAAGGACAGCCAAGGGTGTTGTGGATGAGATCTCGCAGCCGAGGAAAAGAGTGCAGAGAAACCCTAGTCCAGATGAAGTTTCCGAGGACGAGGATGATGATGACGAAGAGAGTAGTACTCGCTTCAGACGCAGAAAGAAGTGAGGTCAGACGTGTATACCCAAGCGCAAGAGATGATCCTAGATGTGTATAGCTTTTCATAACGACACGATAGTGACAGACATAAAGATTGCTTGTCTCGCTGACATACGCTGCAAATTATTTGCTCGAGAATCTTCCGCATTCATCTGTGTTTTTGTATGTTCCCATTGACTGAAAAGATGTCATACGTTTCTGAAAAGTAGGAACTCATGGAGTGCATGACGAATGTGGTCAAAAGGGTAGAGTGATATAAAGTACTGTCGTATCCCAAGAGGAAGAAGAAGAAGATGCAGAGGGAGGAATAGAAAAGAAAATCGAAAGAAAATGAAAATAGGTTCAAAAGGGCAAAGTAAACAAGAAGCACCCTCCCTCCCGATTTGGAAGATGCAAAAAGGAAGAAACAAGCAAGAGAGATTAATCAAAGAAAGGCAGGCACACTCGGCGACTCTACAACCAAAGCATCCACCTAACACCACCAACAACACCAGAAAACAAACTTCTGAAAAAGCGAATGATGATAACCACAAACCACACTCCCCACAACAATCCCAACACAATCCATTCCAGCACTGTAAAAGTTGCTTTTTGGAGGAAGATGAGTTTTCTCCTGCGGCGGCGGAGGACGTTGTCGATGGCATCGTTGACTTGTTTGATGGCTAGGGTGTGTTGTGTGGTAAGTGCTACGGTGAAAGCGTCTGCTTCGTCGGCTGTAGAGTGGACTAGAGGAGTAAACTTCTCGTCTACTTTGATGCGTAGATCTGCTAGTCTGTCGTGCAAGCCTGGAAGTTGGTTTTGGCGGAAAGAGGTAAGTTGTTTGGAGAGAGACATTGTTTGATCTTTGATCGTCTTGTGTAGCATGCGTGCAGCAACTGTAAACTCTTCCTTGACTTGCACTGGATGAATGCCTTGGTTTGACGTCTTTGCAGCGGCAATGAAGAATTGCGAAGGTGGATCTGCGATGCTGTTGACACGATGGACAATCTCGTGGGCTTTGATGCCGCTGCTGAGGTAGAGAGCACGCACTCGAGCGATGTCGAGAGAAGTCACCATTGTCGATTCTGTTTCCTGATTTTCGCCGTGGCGGTCTGAAATGCTCCAATGTCTTTTTGAAGGTGATGAGTGTCGTGATTGAGATGGAGAAGCGTTTTCAGCTGTTGGTAGGTTCGCTTCAAATGCACCGGGTTGACGGATCTTGCGTAGGGGACCTAGCACATCCTGTTCGCTATGTTCGCCGCCATAGCTGGAGTTGCGTGAGATAGGTGTTTTTCGGGTTGGTGACACCGAAGGCGATGATCTACCTCGAGAAGGAAGGTGAATACGAGGAGGAGCCAGTTTGTCGAATCTGGACGATCTGCTTTCCTCTTTGTGCAACTTGCTTTGTCGGGCAATGTGGTCTTCTTCTACATCGCTTTCCGCAATGCGATTGATCGGCTTGAAGGATGGCAGATTTGAGTTGTTTAGCTTCTGTCGCTCCTTTTCTTTCTGCTTTGGGGTAGCCCCGACAAGTATAGAATTCGACCTATTCACAGGTGGCATCTTGCGTGGTCGATTCTCATCTTGTTCTTCGGTCTCCGCCTCCGAGTCAGACATTTCGGAGGTGATCTGTTGATCCTTCTTACGAGTCTTCTCGTTCTGACGAGAACTATCCGAGCGAACCAAATCTCCAATAAGACCACCCTTGAAGAAGCGACCAACACCAACATCCTTGGACATCCGGCGGCCTGGACTCAATAATGTACTGGTTATGCTGTTTGAGGTTTTGTGGCGTTTGATGCCGGGAGCAGGTGGACGGAGGGAGTCCATACTAGAGCGAGACGGATTGACATTGTCGCTTACATGGCGGGAGTTGGCAAGATTGCCGAGACTGGCGGTAGCAAAGTCTGTGCGATGGACTTTGTCATCAGAAGCATTTCTGCCAGACCTGAATAAACCAAATCTCCTCTCTGGCGAGCTTTGGCGACTCGTGGGAGGCGACAAACTCATACCAAACGAAGGGATGTGATTGGCGATGATCGGGGAGCTAGGAGCAGTAGAATCATCGAACGAGGAGCGAGCACGATCATCATGCGTACCGGGTTCATCGGTTTTGGAGGAGTTATTTCGCTGGTGATTGTTGACAGACGGACTATCGGCCAGATTTGGCGATGCACTTGTCTTTTCATTTGGCTGTTCATGACCTCTGTCCCATTTATCTGGCGAAATCAGCTCGGGCGAATCTTCTTCGATGCCCAAAGTCTCCTTTTCAATCAACTTTTTCATCTGACGCTCCAACGGACCAGTATTGTCGAGATCAGGAGCACTTCCAGGTCCCAGGAATTGTTTCTTACGGTTCGAAGGACGTGCCGAGGTAGCACTAGACATGCTACTTGAGCGTGACCTATTTCTGAACAAGTGTTTGCGAGCAGTGTTGTCGACATGTCGCAGAGAGAGGAACTTTGATCTTATGCGACCTCGATCAGTTTCATCCTCACTCTTTACAGTATCGCCCCAAGTGTTTGTGCGCGAGATGGAAGGTCTGCTGTCACCACTCTGCCTACCGCTTCTAGCGCTGTCGAAACTCGAACGAGGTTGTTGGGGGAATATTCTGTGACCGTTCTTGTTCTCTATACATGCTCTGTTTGCAGGTTGTAGCAGCCAGACAGCATCGGCCAACAATTCGGCAGGGCCAAAAGACCAGCCAGTTTCGGAGGGTGTGATTCGTGTTGCGGCAGTGTCGGTGCGTTTGTGGGAGCGAGTAACTTGGTTAGGCGGATCATCCTGACCGCGGCTGGGTCGACGGAAAGTTGGCAGGAGAGATGTGTCCAGGGTGGATTTGTAGGTTGGGTCATTGGCTTCATGTTCTAACTCGTCGATATAGCTCTTGACTTTGGGTAGATTGTCGTAGGCTTCAACTGGTGGGTCAAGAGGTCGTTGCTCGCGATGCCGGGCCTTGCGGTTGCGCAAGAGTTGCAGTGGATTGTACTCTCTCCCTAGCTCTTTCTGACTTGCTCCAGAGCGGGGAGACGAAGCAGAGGCGGCAGGCTTCAGGGGCGGAAGGGTTGTCAACAAGCGTCTATACTCGGACGACAGCTCAAAGAACTTGCGTGCTCGCTCGGCGCGATGGAGGGTTGCTGGAGAGAATTCATAGGTAACGTCTTCTCCAGTCATGAAGCTAGCGTCATCTTCGGTGGATGCGCGGTAACCAGAATCGCCGGGGGAATTAGGTTGTAGAAGGTCGTTGCCCATAGGAGAGCCCGGGGACACATGTACGACAGGAGCACCACTAGACCGTACGCGACGCTTGTCGGTCGAAGCAGCAGGGACTTGCAAGTTAGCACTAACATGACGGCGTCGACCCTCACTGAGACTGAGGGCCATTTGTACTAGCTGCGTCGGATCTAAGGAAGCCTGTGGTACCGAAGGTGGTGGATCGGTGTTGTTGGGCGGAGTCGAGACATTCTGGCTCAGTCTGGAGGGCTTTCGTGGTGATTGTTTGGATAGCGACTCGGGTTTGTCGTCTTCGCTGTCTCTTGGTTGAAAGAGATTTCCCATCAAGAAGCCTCCTGACTTGCGACCTCGGCGGCGTGATACGGTCAGGTTGTTGGCGTCTTCCTTGTCTTTCCCCCATCGGCTGCCAGCATCGCTACTCCTGGCCCAAGATGCATATTTTCCCGAGTCAGCATAGGCCGAGCTGCTTGTAGAAGCGCGGTCGCTATTGGGAGCCATGGCGGACATGTCGCAAGGTCGTCGGCGTGTTATGGCACAGCAGCAGCAGCATCGGCGGCTGTACAAGGCGCGGCGTCTACGACAGAGAGTTGGTGTATCGAGAATAACATGATCAGGTCAAGTTGTCTACCGAGACAGACGCACGTCCAGTGTCCATGCCCCAGGGATAAATAACAAATTGACGACAAAGTTGCAGCGATCGCTGGTTCATGCTCCTGCTCATCATTCAACGTCTGAGATGGGCCATGCGCCATGACCCTTGACGCGGGGCCGGCCTGATGATCGCCGCCAATTCCCGAGTCCCCATTCAATCGCCCATCTGTCATCATCCACAGCTTCCTTTCATCTCGTTAAACCCTCATCAAGCGACAACAATCGTCCCGTTGGAGGCCTTGACTGCTGCCTGTTCTGTGATATAGTTCCCCCATCTGCACAATTCTTCCTTGCTCGAGACCCTCTGGACATGATGCACCAGGTCGTTGCATCGTAGCTGCAGCCTGCTTTAGGAGACAGCTCCTTCCTACCTGAGCTGATTAGAAATGCATAGTACCCCTCCAGCCCTACAGGCTGAGTAATTGACAATCGTAGGAATCCCGTCTTTAGCTTTGTTCATATCCTCTCATTCTCCACTACTCTGCACAGAACACTTCCTTTCCATCTTCACATACACACTACACATTATGCCTGCAATCGAANAAGGCTCGACCGTCCTGGTCACCGGCGCAAATGGTTTCATCGCTTCTCACATCATTGACCAGCTCCTCCACTTGGGCTACAAGGTCCGCGGTACTGTAAGAACTGAAGCAAAGGGCAAATGGGTCCAAGACTACTTTGACAACAAGTATGGTCAAGGTCATCTTGAGCTTATCGTCGTGCCTGCAATGGAGGTGAAGNGGGCTTTCAACGACGCCGTCANNAAGGTTGGAACTGGTCGTGCCTTGCTGCACACTCGTAGCTGATCTGTTACAGGCTGCGAGGGAGTTGTTCACGTTGCTACCAACATCTCCTTCTCCAAGAACCCCAACGATGTCATTCCTAGTGTCATCGCTGGCGTGACCCACACTCTCGAGGCCGCCGCTCAAGAACCCTTTGTTAAGCGATTCGTCTTTACCTCATCTTCTACTGCTGCCACCAATCCCGTCCCAAACAAAGAGTTCAACATTGACGAGAATTCTTGGAACCAAGTCGCCATTGACAAGGCTTGGGCCGACCCTCCCTACACTGAGGTGGATAGAGCCTGGAATGTTTATGGCGCAAGCAAGACCCAAGGAGAGCAGGCTGTCTGGAAGTTCATCAAGGAGAGCAATCCTCACTTTGAATGCAATACCATTCTGCCCAACGCAAACTTCGGTCCCATTCTTGACAAGAGTCAGGACGCAAGCACTGCCGGCTGGATCAGAGACGTCTTCACCAAGGGCTTTGCTCCCCAACTTCAACAAATCCCACCCCGTATGACACTCCTCTCTGCAACCACAGACTTTCGTATACTGACACGTACAGAATGGTTTGTCAATGTTCGTGACACCGCACTCCTGCACATTGCCGCTTTGATTGATGCCGATATCAAGAACGAACGCATCTTCGCCTTCGCCGAGCCGTACAACTGGAACTCGGTTCTCGCCGCCATGCGCAAGGCCCGTCCTGACAAGAAGGTTCCCGAAGACCTCGAAGACAACAGCAAGGATTTGAGCAAGGTTTTGCCCAGAGCTCGTGCAGAAGAGATATTGAAGAAGAACTTTGGTCAGAACGGCTTTGTTGGTCTGGAGGAGTCCGTCAGACAGAACATCGAGAACCTGTAGATGTTGAAGAGCAACAATTCTATAATGCCTTAAAACATTGAAGCCTACATCAATGGTTGCGTGGCCCAATGGCAAGGCGCTTGACTACGAATCAAGAGATTCCAGGTTCGACCCCTGGCGTGATCATTTTTTCTTTCACTTTTGTGTGTCTGGAACAGCAATTTTTGTTGTAACATTTTGAACAGTATTTTTCGCGCGCCCGGAGATAATTTCCAGTCTTCCGCAGTGACGAACGCCGAGAAGAAGCCCGAAATAGATTGATGGCCGGTGCTCTTGCCAAGGCAACTTCTGGAAGACTGGATGCTTCGAAGCGACAGCCACGGTGGTATGATTGCACAGCCTCTCGAAGCTCAGCTCCGGAGCTGTCTGTTTACAAACACAGCCACTTTCGAGATAGCTAGTCTGCGAGGTGGCTGTGGTACTGACAGCTCATTTCAAGAATGGAGTGACAGGATGTTGGAAGTCAGAGTGACGAATGAGTTACCAAGCTGCGCCATGACTAGCAAATGGTCCTTCCTAACGCACTATGAGGTCGGTGAGATGTTTGATACGACAAACACGTAGCCCTATGACAGAAGGAAGTAGAACTTGCTCCTCATCCTTCCTCCACGATCTACAACTATAAAACGTAATTGACCTCAGGTTCTTCTGTTTCTCCTTTTCGCTTTTCAACTATCAATACCTAACTCTACAATATGTCATACAACAACTACAACAACAACTACGGCGGTGAAGCTCAAGGCTACTATGGTGGTGGCCAGCAGCAGGGCTATGGTGGAGCCCCACCAAACCAGTATGGCGATGACCAGCGCTATGGTGGTCACCAGCAACACAACAACCAATACGGTGGTCCTCAGCAAGACCAGTACGGCAATGAGCAACGCTATGGCGGCTCTCAGTACGATCAAGGCGGTTACCAATCACACCAACAAGGCTATGGTCAGCCCCAGCAGCCCTTGACTGCTCGTGACGAATACCCCTCTCAGACACACGGTGGCTACGGCGGCAACACTACCTACCAAGGTTCCGAATCTGCTCCTTATGCACCAAACCAACCTTCATACGGTGGCCAACCTGGAGTTGAAGGTGACCGTGGCTTGATGGGCGCTCTTGCAGGCGGTGCCGCTGGTGCATATGGAGGCCACAAGATGAACCACGGTTTCCTTGGTGCCATTGGTGGTGCCTTTGCTGGCTCCAAGCTCGAAGACTTTGGCAAGGAACACCATCAGAAGAAGGAAGATGAGAAATACGCACAACAGCATCAAGGATACGGAGCTCCTGGTAACTACGGTAGACCCGGCAGAAGAGATAGCAGTTCCAGCTCTAGCAGCGACGATAGCAAGAAGCGTCACAAGAGAGTAAGTGATTAATGGTATGAAGATGGTGAAGATAATCTGCTAACACCGATTACAGCGCTCTCGCTCCAACTCGCGTAACCGTGGATTCAACAACCAGCCCTCTAGACGAGGCAACTTCAGCGAAACCGCACGCGACATCTCACTCGACTACAACACCATGGCACTCAAGGCCTTCTGCAGACGTCCCGATGGCTCTGAGCATGAGACCTATCTGCACCTCAACGACATTCTCGGCAACCGCGACGGTAGATTCGTGTGGGAGAGAAATGGAAACTTCACAGGCAGCGTCAAGGAGGGCAAGATTTGGCTGGCAGAGGGTGGAAGAGCTCTGTGTGCTGTGCTCGGTGATGGACGTGGTGGTTGGAATGAGCATGCCTCGATTGAGTTGGACGAGAGAATTTCCAACGAGAACGGTCAGTTGGTGTACTTGGGTTAGGTCGTAGGTTGTATGTCCTAAATGTTCCTCCATGATGATCCATTTCTACCTTTGTCGTTCATGATGTGTTTCCTTGAGCCATGTTTCTGTTTCGCCATTCTTTCTGCCTGCAAGGTCTTGACTGGCAATCTCCTCAGGCCTTGTCATTCATATATGCTCAATCGTGGTTTATCGTAAAATCGTCCGGGTATTCTGTTCCCCTCGATCATGTAGTCGATCATCCAAAGGCTATGGGCAGAACCACACCAACAGCTAGAAGCTCACCAAGCCAATGTTACCGTAACGCATATCGACCCTTCACCAAGGCTCTGCCATCTTCGGCGGCTTGATAGGGTCCACTTCCTCCCCTTCGCCCTTCTCGTCCGCCCTGGCATCAGCATGATGCGCCTCACCACTCCTGACCTTCCTCGCCAATGTCCTCCATCCAAACTTGCCCAACCCCCAAAGCAGACCAGCACCAGCACCACCTACGATGCCAGTTGGCGCAAGCACAAACGCAGCTCCAGACATGACACTGCCTATCGCTGTGCCGGCGATTGCTGCGGTGATGGCACCCACTGCTGCGTACTTTGCATACCGCACCAGACGCCAGAAGAGAAATTTTAGAGTGTAGCGGAGGGTGCGGAGGATAGCGCGGGTGCGACGGCGGGTGGGTGCGTTTGGAGAGTTGGGATCGTAGAGGAATTGGAGATTGCGTTTTGCGGTTTGGAGAGTTGAGGATTGGGCATGTGCGTGGTCGCTTGCTGTTGCCGACATGATGTTTGCGATGATGTTGTTGCTTGCAGAGCCGATGAGGCTGAGTCTTCTGGGGCTCCACGCGGAGCACGATGAATGGCTGAGGATTATTATGATTTGTTCAGATGTACACGGGTTTTCTCGTCAACATGTGCTCCATCCTCGAGAGTCGCACCCAGCGGACCTTGACGTATGCCAAGACTATGCGTCAAGACGACTCACTTCGTTCAAGTCGTTTTCCAGAGCCCTCATCTTCCCGATTCTCGCCTCAAGATTTGCCGAGCTACCGCGGAAATCGGGTTGAGCAACGAGATCCACTTGCTGCTCTCGCTCTCCGTGTCGGAACCCAAATCATCCTTGTGCTCTTGTCAGAGGGCGCGACCATCTCAAAAACAAGAGCGATCTGAGTATGTAGTCGTGTACCAAGAACCTCTCACCAGCCTCAGAAGCAACCCGAAGCGTAGTCCAAGCAAAAGCAAGCCACACAAATGCTTGGTAGGCCTTTGTAGGCACAAATTGCCAAAGACAAGCACCACGGTTACGACGGCGGCGCTAGTTTAAACACAACCAGCACGGCTCAGCACTATCATCTCTTCCAATCAGCGTGACTTGTTGACAAAAGTAATGCGGAGAATAATGGAGATGCCCTCGCGGAGTAGCATGGAGACTTCTGTATTCGTCACCCACTCACCGAACTCTGTTATCTCTTGCGAGACCGGCTCCGGCACAAGACCATTGGTAAAACACCGTAGGGGAGCCTCGTAGGTCATAGTCGATATTTCTTCTTATTGCTGCGGTTTTCCCTTTCCTACCTATTCTCTTACACACTCTCTGTTTTCCCTGTTTCAATTCTCTGCTCCCACACCACTGCCATCATGGAGCAAGCGATTGAGAGAGAGGACCCGGCCGAAATCGAGAAGAAGATCGACTCTGAAAGATCATCGACATCAGGACGCACCCCATCAGAAATCGAAAACATCCACCAAAGACTCTGGCTCTCAGAAGACGAAGCCTACCACCATGCAAAAGCACACCCAGACGAGACTCGAGAAATATTCATCACCTTCGCACCAGACGACAAAGACAACCCTCGCAACTGGAGCAAAGCAAAGAAATGGTACATTACCTGCTTTGCCAGTTCATTGAACGTCTTGACTTGTCTTTGCGCTGGCGGTTATTCGTCAGGCGTTGGACAACTTGTTGAGGAGTTTGGTGTGTCTGATGAAGTTGGCACTGTCGGTCTTTCCATGTACATCTTGGGCTTTGCGATTGGGTAGGTCAATGACACGCCGCTGTCACAGCACAACCAACTAACCTCTATTCACAGTCCCATGCTCCTCGCTCCCCTATCCGAGTACTTTGGAAGAAACCCTGTGTACTTCACATCGTGGTTCGTCTTGTTCATCTTCCAGTTGCCCCTGGCGTTAGCTCCCAACATAGCCACGGTCATTGTCTGCCGTCTGATCCAAGGATTCGGTGGTTCAGCACCATTGACAAACACCGGAGGTTCAGTATCAGATGTCTGGGAGCGAAACGAGAGTGGACCCGCCATGTCCATCTACGGTCTCTCTTCGACATTCGGTCCACCCATGGCACTCGTCATTTCTGGATATATCGCTCAGAATAAAGGCTGGCGCTGGTTGTTCTGGGTCTACATGATTATCTTTGGTGCTTATTGGATCATTATGATGGTGAGTGGTTGATATGCATCGTGTGCGAGCCATGAGACTAACACAGTTCAAGNNGCAACCCTACCCGAAACTCGTCACAGCACCATTCTCGAGAAANAGGCAGAGCGAGTGCGCAAAGCACTCAAGAAGGAAGGTCTGGAAAAATCTGCGCAGAGAGTGTTCGATGCACATGCAGATGAAGCCAAGAGTTTGCACACCTTGTTCGCCATTACCTTGACTCGACCCTTCCGCTTCTTGTTCACCGAGCCCATCACGATCGGTGCCGCTGCGTACAACGGTTTCATCTACGGCTTGGTGTATCTTTTCAACGAGGCTTTCCCTCTGGTTTTCGGCAAGAACCATGGTTTCAATGTCGGCGAGCAAGGTCTCTCTTTCCTGGGTCTGGCCTTGGGAAGTGTAGTCGGCGTTGCGATCTATCCCCTCCAAGAACGCTACTACCTCCGCAAAGTCGCCAGAAACGACGGCAAAGGTGTGCCTGAAGCACGTATCTGGCTGGCTAGATGGGGAGCTTTCCTCCTCCCAATTTCCCTCTTCTGGTAAGTGTCTTTGGGCAATTCTGGCAGGGTCAAATCATTTATTAACGCGATGTATAGGTTTGCATGGACATCCTACCCCAGCGTCCCTTGGATCGTACCCATCATCGCATCCGGCTTCTTCGGTCTAGGCATCTACATCGTCATCCTCTCCATCCTCAACTACGTCGTCGACAGCTACCAAACCTACTCTGCCTCCGCTCTCGCCGGCGTAATCCTCGTGCGCAATGTCGTAGGTGCAGGCTTCCCTCTGTTCGCAAACCAGATGTACAACAAACTGGGCTATGAGTGGGCGAGCAGTCTATTGGCTTTCTTGAGTATTATCATGATTCCCATCCCTTGGTTGTGGTTTTATTATGGTGAGAGATTGAGATTGAAGAGTCCTTTTGCCAGAGAGCATTTTGCTCAGGATGAGGATGCGCCGCATTGATTGCTTTTTTGCGTGCATAGCTTTGTTGCTTGGTAGTTTAGGAAGCATGATGGAATTTTATGATTGTTTCTCTTTCACGTTTGCATTCGAATCCGTGACGATATGGCTCTGTGTGTTTCTTGATGATGCATAGGTTGGCTCTCACTATGTGGTCGATGCATGCCCTTTTTTCCTGAGCCATATCCTCAGAACCAAGCAACAGATAGGTAATCTGAGAGCAGCACAAATACACCAGTGAAAACAATGCCGCAAAACTCGTTTTAACCGGGCCTCATAGCGGCATACCGGTACCTTGTTAATACAAGCTGTAAGTTGAAGTAATGTAGTTGGGCTTGGCATGCATAACACGTATAACTATGGTTATGGATATGACCCTGGCACAATATATAGACAGCGGTAGTAGCACCAAGGGAATATTCTTACATACAAACCATATGTATAGGTATTTATAGATATTTATAGATATAGTACTTATTTTTCAAGTGTTTCTTAGTCGGAACAAGCATGTTTATGTATTATAGACATTTTGTATGTTTACTATCAGAATTCTTATATGCAATCCCATGTGATTTGTTGACAAGGGCCTCATTGACGGGGGCTAGACATGAATACTCCTCTGGATACGGATCATGAGTCACTTCTCCAACATGGACGAAAAGCTATGCCAGCATGCCGGCTGGGATGAGTTTTTACGGTAATAAAGCGCCAAAGAACACTGATATTTCCATCGGCGGGATCGCGAACATGCAAAATAAATATGATCACGCCAGGGGTCGAACCTGGAATCTCTTGATTCGTAGTCAAGCGCCTTGCCATTGGGCCACGCAACCAATTATTGAAGAGTGTATGCATATCAGCAACCATGTTACTTGTTGCCATTGCTCTTTCCCACTGATTGTCAGCTATCGGCTAACAATACCCCGACACCGACCACTCTTTGTCTAGCAGACAATCACACCGACACAGCAATGGCAGACACAGCACCTGTCGCATCGCCTCAAGGCACAAAGCGTACGAGAGACGAACTCGAGGCCGGAGACGCCGCCACTCAGAACAACAATGCGACTAACGACGACGCCGAGGGTAAGCATGCGACACTCTTGTGCTTCACCAACAGTCTTGCTGATCTGTGGTAGACACATCCTCGGATGACGACGACGACATTGGGCCAGCACTGCCCTCAGCAGCTGCTCCGAAAAACAAGAAACNGTAGAAAGCTACCATACGAGAAACTCTATGTCGCCGCCTTGCCTGCCTCGTCTCGCTACTCGAAATCCATGATGCACCAAGACCAACTATGCTTCAACACCTTCACTCCTCATACCGACTTCCTCATCACCACATCAATTGACGGCGTAGTCAAGTTCTGGAAGAAGGTGGCCGATGGTATCGAATTTGTCAAGGAGTTCAGGGCACATGAGGGAGAAGTTAAGAGTGTCAGCGTGAGCGCCGATGGCCGCAGTTTCGCGACTGCTGGTGTCGACGGCTCTGTCAAGATATTCGATGTCATTACCTTCGATCTACTGGCTATGCTCACCCCTGAACTTGCTCCCAGGTCGGTGTGCTTTGTACATGGCCGCGGTGCCTCTCTCCCACTATTGGCTGTCTCCCACGAGGCGAGTCCTCAAATCACCATATATGACGGCAGAGGCGAGAACATCACGCCATTACACAAGCTGGAGAAGCTTCACAGGGTGTCCGTCTCGCTAATGTCATACAATCACCAGTATGACTGCGTTGTGTCCGTCGACGAAGGCGGTATGGTCGAATACTGGAGTCCTACAAGCAATTACGAGAAGCCTGACAACGTCTTCTCCATAAAGAGTGCAACGAACCTGTTTGACTTCAAGAAGGCGAAATCCGTTCCCTCGTCCATCACAATGTCACCCACTGGCCAGCAGTTCGCAACCATGTCTTTTCCTGATCGCAAAGTCCGCATCTTCGACTTTCCCACTGGCAAATTGTATAGAACCTACGATGAATCACTTGCTACAATCACCGAGATGCAACAGGCAGGAACTGCCATCGACAAACTAGACGACGTCGAGTTTGGACGCAGGTTGGGTGTCGAGCGCGAATTGGAGCACCCTGCTGTTCGCGCTCGCATCAATGTCATCTTCGACGAAACCGGCAATTTCATTCTCTATGGGTCTATACTAGGAACCAAGGTCATCAACACCTTGACGAATCGCGTTGTCAAAGTTTACGGCAAGGATGAACCCTTCAGAGCTTTAAACTTGACTCTTTACCAGGGCCAGCCAGATAAGAAGGGTGTCGTAACTGTTCAGATGGCTGCCAGTGACAATCCATTATTACAGCAAGCCGAAGCTCGTGACTCGATGCTGGTCGCTACAGGATCAGGAAAAGTACGCTTCTATATGTTCACGAATGACACCGATATCAACAAGTCCGACCGTGATATCCATAACGAAAAGCCGCGCACGATCGCAACAAAACAACAAGCAGAAGCCGCAAAGGCTCAGACAGGCTCATCCGCTACTATCCATACATCTATGGGCGACATCCAGATACGTCTATACCCTGAGCACGCCCCCAAAGCAGTCGAGAACTTCATTGTTCACAGCAAGAACGACTATTACAATGGCATCATCTTCCATCGTATCATCCGTAAATTCATGATCCAGACTGGTGATCCATTAGGTGATGGTACTGGAGGTGACAGTATCTGGGGCACCAATTTCGAAGACGAATTTACTCCTGCCTTGCGTCACGACAAGCCGTATACGGTCAGTATGGCAAACGCTGGTAAGAACACCAACGCAAGTCAGTTCTTCATCACCACGGAAAAGACACCATGGTTGGACGACAAGCATACGATCTTCGGACGAGTGGTCCGTGGCATGGATGTGGTGCACAGAATTGAGAATGCGAAGGTGTGGAAGGAGAAGCCCATGGAGGATATCAAGATCATCAGTATCTCGGTGAGCTAGAGTAGGTGGGACATGGAACATTTGCCTTGCCCATCTCTCTTTTATCATATCCGTTGTGCGATGTCGCATGGCTTGTCTCCGATGACAGAGACTGACCAGAACCCAGCTATAGAAATGCAGAAGGTACAATCAAAGTGTGTAGTGTGGAAGGAGAAACTCTTTCGCTTGTGCTTGCCTCGGGTCGCTGCTTCTTCACCTGCAGCTTCCCTTGCAGCTATGTGCTTCAGATTTCATGCATCTTCCCTTTACAGTATATGCATTTCCCCGTCACTGCAGACGTTCGTGGTTTCCACGCGGCAATTCACTAGCAAGTCGTTTGTTTGCTCCTGCTCTTCAACATCGCTTTCCAGTGATATACGCACAACGACACCTACAGTTTCACTCAACGACAACCTTTATCTTCATACAGATCATATCTCATCTGCACCTTGCTTTCATATCGTTATATGATTTGCTAACGAACATGGAGCCCTTAACACCACCGCCACCCTACACATCCCAACCTGCTGATCCTACGACCAGTCCTATTGCTTCCACGATCAGTCCCACTGTCCCTACAGTCAGTCCCATCCCTTCTACCTCCCGAATCGCTAGCCCAATGGCTCCCTCGATTGTCACGCCAGCTCAGAAGCTTGAGATGGTTGAGGCTGAGCTGGAAGTCGCCAAACTTCGCCTTCGCCAGCAGGCAAGAGAGCGTCAAGGTCTGAGAAGAGTTGCCTCTTCTAGAGCCTCAGTACTCCAGAGACTTGCACCCAAAGTACGTATTCGATCAAAACTTGCATCAATCATTTGATTTCCTGTCTGACATTGGTATGATACAGGTCATTGTGCAATCACCTAGACCTNNCGACTCGAACGAATGCCAGGCCAACCGCCCGAGCTCTCTATCCCCAGGCTGGACCAGCGCAGAATTGCTTGGAACATGATTCTGAGCGAGGCCCATACCCCAAGCGCTTGTTCGATAGCATCCCTCAGCAAGGTATGTGCTTGTCAGACCGCCTCTCGAATTTTAGCCATCATTGACGAGAATCCAGNNATTATGCTTCGTGACCTCTCAATGGAGACTCATCACTACGGCGTGATGCTTGTACTCCGTGCTGTTAGCGTCTCAGCGATGCATTCTTCAATGCAGACTTGCATTGCCGTTGAGGATGAGAACGGCGACTACGAGCTGCTCACAATCCACGACTTTGCAGTGACCAATCATCTGTCCAAGGAGATACAAATCGGAGACTTCTTTGTAGTCAAGGAACCTTTCTTCCGGACTGTCCTGGACGAGGCTTGTGTTCTGTGTATCGATCATCCATCTGACATCCTCTTCTTGGACGCCGATGATCCCATGCTACCCCGTGCTTGGAGAAGCAGTCTTGTTGAAAGATCACCCAACCAGTGGAAGCAAGTCGGAAACGAGGCTTTGAGAAGCGATGATCCAATCGAAGCTGAGCGATGGTTCGTGCCGCAATACTCAGACTTCAACCAATCTCGCTGACGTTCGTGCATTAGTTACAGTAGAGCACTTGCCGCCATGACAGCAAACCAAGCGAAAGATGTCGTTGGAGGTATTGTCCATCGTAACCGAGCACAAGCTCGACTCTGTCTCGAGCGCTGGGACGGAGCATACAACGATGCAATGGCTGGCATACGACCCCTTCCTGCCGAACAGGATGATTTTGCAGACTTCCAGAATATGAAGGCTCTTTATAGAGCGGGACGTGCAGCTTACGAGCTCGGTGCATACGATCGCGCACACTCAGCATACACCTCAGTTACCAGGATTGCCCCCAACGATCTTGACGGTTTGCGAGAGCTCAAGCGAACAGAGGCACGCATGGCCGAACAGATAACAGGGATCAACTTCTGGGCAGCAACCGGATCGCGGGCACACGGAACCAAGGTAGACCATGCCGACTTTCTGCGCAGAACCGAAGCACGCCAAACCCAGACTCGTGGCCGTGGTCTATTTGCTGTGGAAGCCATCGCATGTGGTGACATCATTCTCTGTGAGAAAGCACTGGCATTTGTGCCATCGCCAGCTGTACCTGAGAGTTTTCACTTAGTGATTCCACCAGCAGCCACCAGAGGTACATTCGGTACACAGAGCAACATGTGGACAGCTGTCATCCAAAAGATACTCGCTAACCCCAGTATCGGTCCCAGACTGCTGAGTCTCTATGCTGGTCCGAATTATCCTCCACTGGACAACCTTGACATCCCAATGCTTGACGGTCGACCTGTTGTTGACATCTTCCGCGTCGAGAACATCATCGAGTACAATACTTTTGGGTATGCTCATGATGCCAGCCTCACCAGTTTTGGCAACGCTGCTTTGGCGATTCCAGGTATGGACAACAAGGACGGATCCATGGGACTTTGGCTACATTCATCTGCCATCAACCACTCGTGTTTATACAATGCTGAGCACAGCTTCATCGGCGACATGGCTGTTTTCAGAGCAACTCGCGACATTGCGAAAGATGAGGAGATTACACTGTACAAGGAGATCAATGCATGTTACGAAACGCGCAATGCTGCGCTCGGTACCTGGGGTTTCAGTTGTGACTGCAAGCTTTGCGAAGCTGACAGGACATGCCCAGCAACGCCGCGACGCAAACATCTTCTACAGCAAGCCAAGGATGTGCTCGAAAGACTCCCAGCACTCAACGCTACCGTTGAGCCACGTAGAATCGTCATGATGTTCGAAGACCTTCTGGCACAGATCGAAGTGACTTATCCAGAAGAGTTCTATCGTGGTCTTCCGCGACTTGGCTTGATCACCTTGAACCGATATTGCGCATTCGCTTACTCACGCAGCGATCCCGACAAGGCACTTCACCACGCGCTTGCAGTCATTGATGCTCACGGCTACAAGCTGACGATCACTGGAGAGGATGTCGAGCTTGACAGAACAGATGCAATGTCGGCTCCTCAAGTAGTTGATCAGCTGATGAACCCTAGCAGGATCTATGGGAACAAGGGGCGGATGGAGTTGATGACCAGCCTCAGGGAATTGGCCCATGAGATGTACATCGTCATCAACGGGGAGCCGTCTGGTTTTGAGACGAGATATGGTAAAACTCGCGAGCATTGCAGTACTGGGGTTTGATGGTCATTCGTGACTCCTTCCTTTGACGCCGATCCGTAGTGAGCAGGGAAAGTATTGGACAGCGAGACCTAAGCCATTAAATTCACCTATGATAGCAGAATCGATTCTATCTCGATAAGTGCCCTATTGCACCTTTCTATCTTCAACAGTCTTTATCTGTAATGCTGCTTCGCTGGGGAAGGAGTAGATAGTGTAGCGCAATGCTGTGCATGTATTCTGTGCATCTTATCCTATCAAAACGCCTTCGCTATGCTTTCTGAGACTGCACGGCCATGAAAAGAAACAGAAATGAGCAACACGCCATGCCAAACCCAACGTAAAGACAGTAAAGCCACCAGAAATAATTCAAAAACGACACTAGACAAACGACATGGTCGACATCTCTCTAATGGTCGCATCATCCAAGACCTGGCCTTCCGTAAGCGCAAGCCTACGATCCTCTTCCACTGTACTCCTTTCTTCCCAACTTCCAGCCACACTTCTGCCTTCTGCATTTGCCATTACCGCTGCAGTCACAGTGCCGTTTCTGGGCATCTCGACTCCGCCTGCGGCATTGAAGGTTACGCCGGTGACGGGTAGACCTGGCGCGAGGAAAGAGTGCCAGACAGTGGGTGCTTGCAGGACGTATTGCATCATACTCACTCTGAAGCGATTGCGGTAATCTTTTGGCGATGTGATTGTTGGTTTATTCTTGCCGCGATCTTTGATCCAAGATTCGAGTTTNTTGTCCCAGGTGTATGTCCTGATGCAATCTGCAAAGCCATAAAATTAGTAACGTATTCAAGGCGAAGAAAAGGCAAGAGACAAAGACTTACCGATGATACCAACCACCAATTCCTTCTTCTCGTCGTCGAAACCGGCCATTAGAGAATAGTCCATAACATTCTGTCTGCAGAGCCACATTGTATCGTTCCACACACTAGCCTTGAGCAATTTTCGAGCATGTTCTCTGACAAACAAAGGTTTTTCGAAAATGGTCTCGACGAGATTTTCATCCAAGAGTACTTCATCAGGCAATCCAGTGCTTTCGATCTTGCGATTGCGCATACTGCCCTTCAAGTCAAACTTTCGGGTTGGGTTGCGGCTGTAGAACAAGTTTTCCATCACGAGAAGGTAAGAAGAGAATTCGACGCCATTGGAAGGATTGCGCAGCTCGACTTGGAAGAGGCCAAACATTTTCGCGATCACGGAAGGAACGCCGTGGAACAAGCTCTGTGCGCAAAAAGCGAAATAGTCAGGTGCGAACTTGGTGAAAGCTTTGAGCTCGACTTCCTGAAGCGATTTGATGACGAAACGATCATCCAAAGTCTTGAGGAAGAGTGATTTGGTCTTGCCGCCTTTGGAGTCCCACTTTGCGCATCGCGACAGAGATTCGACGAACCGTTCGCTGACGCCACATTTTCTTCTCAAAGCATCGAACGATTCGGCGTAGAAGATTTTGCAAGTGGCGCGGACGTTGTTGTGGCTGAAGCTGTATTTCATGTGCGTTCCGGTCTCGCTGATCAAGCTCGCCTCGATGGCTGATTGCTGGCTGGCATCGTTACTACTGATGTCTGCAGCAAAGTTGAAGCTGGACTGGGATTCAGAATGAGCGTGATGCCCGTGGAAGCCACTGTTTGGATTACCACGGAATTCCCGTAGCTTGGCGGTGTAATCTGCAGAGGAAAGGGCAAGAGCGATGACCGAAGCGGGCTCGTCCTCACGCACAATGATGTCGCTATCATCAAAGACGTGCTCATTTGAGTGTAAAGGGTAGTCGAGTGACTTCCAGCCCGATGAGGAACGTTCGGACCAGAAGCTTGTGAGCATCTTCATGAGGGAATGCTTTTCGTGTCTCGGCAGTGTCATTTCCAGATGTGAGTCTGCATCATGAGGAGATGCATTCGATCCATTGCCTGAAGTTGATCCAAGGTCTGAGAGACCAGGTTTATAAGGCAAATGTATCTCATTGTCGGTTGTATCACCTTCGGCGTCGGTATCTGTATGGCCGGTTGTTGATTCTGCAGTTTCATTATCCGTGGCGTCATCAATATCGTGAGGGGTTTGAACGATCTTTGAATCTGTATCAGGTACTTCCTCCATCGGCAAGTCCGATGTTTCGTTCGACTCGCTTATAGGAGGCTCAACAATCTCAGGTTCTGTCTTCTCACCAACAGCTTCGCGAGCATCTCGGTAAACCTCAACAACAGGTTTGCTGCTAGCCAAAGGATTGGCACGGACCTGCCTTCTTCGAGCCGCTCGCTGTCTACGCTCGCGCGCTCTTTCTCTCTCGAACTCACGAGATAGTTGTTCGAAGTGCTTGGCGAGGGCTGATACGCGAGTGTTGTTGTCAAAGGTCTTGCTTGGCACAGATCTTGGTATCAGTGACTGTTGTGCTCTCCCACTTTTAAAGCCGCCTCCCAAACGATCACTCAGTCGAAGTTCGATAGACTTGGCCAAATCCTTGTTCTGTTGTTTGCCAGGAGTAGGTGTAGTAGTGCCCGAACTTTCGCCACTAGCAATCGCGTGAATCGTTGGCAGCTCTGATGCAGGCTCTGAAGTCCTCTTGGGAATCCCGTCAGGTTGGGATTGGGTACGAGCAAGTGGTGGAGACAAAGGACCTCGGGTGCGTACAAGACGTGGTATCTTTGATTCAGGCATGCCTGCCTCAGGACTGGTCGCTACTGCAGCGGCGGAACGCATCTGTTCGATACGTTCGAGAATGCTGGAGTTCAGAGGTCTAGGGTCGACCAGGGGTGCTTCGGGAGATTTTGACTCGGAGGTTTCTGCTTCTTGAGGACCATTCTCAGCTCTCGGGGTTTCTTGATCCGCTGGAGGTTCGGAGAATGCTGAAGGGACAGCAAGGTCAAGATGTTTGACATCCTCCCTCTCAACCGCTTGCTCTATTTCGCTAGGCGACAGTTGTTTGGAAAGCTTGAGATTGTCCGGAACTTCGATGTTTTGGTTTCTTGATTCGAGTGAGTCGATGGTCGTATCTGGGTCAGAATTCGAATGACCGTGTTCTTCAACGACAGCTGTGAGCATGTGCTGAGCTTTTTCCGATTGGAGAACTTCATCAGTGAGGCCCATGCCAGATGACGGCCTTTCCTTCATCTCCATACCTTCATCGGCATCGCCTAGATCGTAGTGAGAGTTTCCAGCTGCTTCTCCTCTGTCGAGGAATAACTTNTTCAGCTGAAGCGTAGCCAGTCTTCTAATGTCATGCTCGGACGGGAAGAACTTCGTCTCGAAGTCATTAAACTCGTCGTCCCAGGCAATCGCTTTCTCGTCCATCATTCGAACTGCTCGGTTGAGAGGAATGATCTCATAGAATTTGGAAGCCATGTACTTGTCCTGAAGTTTCTGCAACAGTGCCTCGTGGTCACTATCTACTTTCTGTGACAGCTTTTCTAGAGTTGCTGAAGCATCGGTTTGTTTCTCTGGCGCGACAGTAGACAGATTGATAGAGTCCAGACGAACTCTGATAGATGCGATGAAAGCTGATAGACGCGCTTGGAAGTGCAAGTAGAGTTGGTTCTTGAGTTCGAGTCCAGCATTGACCTCCCAGTTGATTGTTGGCGTCGGTACCAAAACATCATACAAGTCAACATTGTCCCACTGTATGCGAACAGCTAGCCCTTGGAAGGCAAAACATCTAACAAAGTCTTTGTGTATGTCATGTGGGCATACACCTGCTCGTGGTTTCAATGGTGTACTCCAAAAGCTGAGTTCCAAATACTTGCCGAAAGAATACTTCCAGGTATTGTCCGACATGGGTATCCATGTAGTCTCCTGTTGGCATATCTTGCAAGTTGACCACATGAGAATTGTGTTGTGAAGATTCTGGAATTTGGATGGGAACCGTTTGACAGAGACACTGACCTGACCAGCGCCATGAACGTACTGGCGATGGTGATCGAACATACGGTGACTGCATTGCTTGCACGCAGTGGCTGCAGTGGCACAAGTCTCCTCGATGAACTGACCAAGAGTAAGATCTTCTTCCAGTCCCAACTCAGCGTTTCCCCAACCAGCATAGAACGAAAGGCCTAGCACTTCAGGGCCAGCACATGGTGCAGATAAGGCGTTGCTAACAAGAGAATGTAAAACAAAGATGTTCTGATGGCTGAAGGGGTTGAACGGATTGTTGTTGCTGATTGAGAAGAAAGACTCCCACTGTCGCTTCTTGATGCCGTACTCGTGAAGAGCCATTTGGTATTGCGCATCATGTATGTCTCGGAGGAATTTTCGAGTGGACCTGCTTTGATCGGCAGGGACAGCTTTGGAGATCATTTCCGGCATGACCAACTCGAACTTCTCTTGTTGAACGATGTCCTCCTCTTTACTTTCGCCAACGTTCTCGGTGTGGTCGTGCTCAACCTCAAAGGCATCGTAGCGATCTCGCAGTCGTTTTGTTTGTTCAACCCGTCGTTCTTGATCCTGAACCTTAGCAAGAAGGACTGGCTCGGGGAACTTGACAAAAGGTGATGATGAGATCAGTCGAGTCCGTGCTGTCTCAATTAGTTCTCTGTATTGCGATGGCATAGACTCAGCATCTTGGTCATCCTGTGCTTTGGCAGTGGGTTCAGGCGCCACGTGTCGAGCTGCATCCACCAGGTGGTTCAATGCGTTGGGTTTAATTTCAGAATGTTCGTCCTCGGTCCCGACAGGTGTTTCTGTTGTGTTGCTCTGAGCCTCTGCTTGCGTTGGGGCTGTCGGTGTGGTAGGAACATTCGTCACATCCACTGCTTTGGAAGTGACGATGCTGATATCCGGAGGGGTTGACTTGGCAGTGCTGATTGAGGAAGGAATCAACACGAATTCATCCCTCATCAGACATGTCTCCAACTTCAGATTATAAACAACATAGCACATAAATTCTGTAATACGTTTAATCTGACGAAGAGTTTCCATCTCTGCTCCTCGCAAGACAATGGTGCATCCGAGATCAGGCTGACAACCAGATATCCAGATAAAGGTCTTCCTAATGTTTCCGTGAACATAAGTCTTGACGTCGAAGTTAGAACACTGTCCCAATCCAGAAGGGTCAATTGACAGCTTGTCTATCGACTTGATCAAGACGGTTTGTGTCATTCGAGCAACAGCAGCAAGTACCGACTCCTTGATGTTGTAAACCACGGTAATACCTGCCTCTTGTAGCATGTTGAGAGCTAATCCTGACACGTTCCGCTGAACCAATAAAATTTGCGGTTTCAATGCAACGATCCGACCAACGAGATTGCGCAAGTATTCTCGCTCCTGGGCGATAACAGGCTCCAGGCTCATGAAGTGGTGATTATGGCGGGCATATTCAATGGCAAATGATATGATCACAATGCGAGGGCGAACAAAGCTTCGACGCATGCCTTTCAATGCAATGTTCTTGCTGAAGACGACTCCGGAGACGTATGACGTATCGCCAGGTTTGCCTCCAGGCACTTTCTTGATCTTGATGTAGTTTCTAATATCCATGTCATCGCCATTTTGGACATCTGGATCCACATCGTTGGGACATTGCAGAAGGATAGGCATCAAAGCTTTCTGCCAATGTCGGCGTCGGGGAATTGCGGATTCCTTGAGCAGCTGTGTTAAGAGGCGTTCAACATGCTGCAGACTGGCTCTGTTCAACTCAACCGCAGGAGCATTTTGACCATGCATGCCGGAACTTCTTTTAACCTGAGCTTGATCAGCAAGACCAGGGTTGAAGATGTCGAAAACAGAAGGATCGTTTGCCCCGGCCTCAAAAGTCTTCATCATGTTTTGACTACGACTTCTCCGAGGGGATGGACGCGACACGCCAACACTACCAATACTTGGGTTGCGCTGTTTTCGCATCTTTGGAAGATGTTTCGAAGCAAACATGAAGTGCTCCAGGTCGCGCGAAGCACGTAAGCTATGACCACCTGCACTTCTATCACCCCTCCGTGAGCGACCTTTNTTGACTGCAGAAGCTAACAGGCTTGTGAATCCAGCCCGTTCATTGTCCATTGAAGAGGGTGCAGGAACATCACTAATGGTGGTATAGATACTGGGCTGATCATCCGCATCGGACCCATCGTCAGACAGGAAGGGAGCTAAATCAGGATCAATAATGTTATCATTGTGGAAAGCAGTGAATGGCCTTCGCTGCGTTTCAGCAACATTCTGGTAGAATGGCCCTCGCTCCTCCGCAGGAGTCTTCAGTGGACGTACGGACTGATGGCGAGAGTGGTGACGCTTATGACTTGACGAATGCGGTCTTCCTGTCATAGATTTCAGTGATCGAGATGAACTTGGTCGTGCCAATGTAGGCTGCATATCAAATTCTATGACAGCAGAACGTCTTTTGGCCTCCCTGTTCCTTCTCGAGACTGGAATACCGATCGACGGTGTTGCAAGAGCTGGTTCATTTGGCTTGAAAAGATCTTGGTCCTGCGAGTGAGAAGCAGGAATTGGAGATCTTATCGGCTCATCTTCGTCGGTGAAGACCGTCGAATCATCATCACTTCCATAAATCATGGCATCGCAAGGCTTGCATAACCTGAGTGTGCCTGACTGTCCGAAAGGCTTTCCTTGAACAGTCACAGTACACTTCGCGTCAAAAATCTGACCACATGTTCTGCAATGATGTTTTCTGCGAAATGTCGAGAAGGGATCACCACAGTAGAAGCAATCGCGAGCATTCTCGTCTTTCATCCAAAATTCCTTGCTGATGACCCGACGTTTGAGGTGGGCAGGTATAGTGGTAGATTTTTTGTCTGACGGATCCAATGATTGTCCCTCTCTATGTGGCACCCGGCGATTCTGCATGCCGACATTGAAGTTGGGCTGTGTATCGATCATGGGTGTTGAAAGCTTGGTACTGAAGATTGATGATGTATCCAGGACGCCATCTACGATAGACGCCTGCGATATTCGCAAGTTAGGCAAGTGAGAAGCAGACACACGGAGAGGAGGACGTTCGGGCTTTGGGTGATTCTGGGTTCTCGAAGAAGCGTCACTGTCACGTCGTTCTGCGGACACATGAGTACTAGACGGGCTATCGGTCCGGTCAGTTTGCACGGATATTACAGGACGCTCTGGTCGAGGACCCATGAACGGGGCGTCAGACTGTGACAGACGCTTTCCGTCGGAGTTGTATGATGGCCGGTTGTTGTCCAAATTGACTGAGGAACGTTTCAGCTCAAGATTTTGCGATGAACGTCGTCCATCTTTTCCATCCAGATTTTGAGACAATCTNTTGCTCTCCACCACGGACGACTGGTTCTGGTTGCTTTCGGCATGACGACCTTGTCTGGGCGGGGAGGCACGTCTCGCCGAAGGAGACGATGCAGCAGTATGCACAGCTGAGCGGGTCAGATCACGAGAGCCGGGACGCGAATGAACGGCAGACGAAGGTATTGAAGGAGCGGGAGCAAAGTCGGTTTCTGCAATGACAGCACTGGCGTCGCTCGGACGCGAAACGTGATTCGAACGGAGAAGGGTAGGTGATTCTGGTTTTGAGAAACTTCTTAATGACGAGGCATCTGTGACGGTATAGCTTCCCCGACTAGCGGGGCGGGCTGAGGTATCGGAGGCGGGAGAGGAAGCTCCAACACTCTGCCTCAAGCGCGAGTATAGACCGCTGATTCGTCCACTAACCAACTCTTTCGGGCCAGGCACGCGGGGGCTGCTGGTGCGACTACGCTCAAAGTCGCTGAACGAAGTCAGAGTGTCTGAGCGTGAGGCGGTAGTATGAATGTGGTCCAGCTCTTTCTGCAAAGCCTCCTTGTCTACAGTGGGCGAGTTGATGGACGACAGCGAGGCCCGCCTCGAAGCTGGTGATGAGTCCATCCGACCTGTAGTAGGCATGGCGATGGGCTCAGCGGGAGAGAAGTAGTTGTGCGTGCATCGTTTGCTGCACCGAGTAGCTCAGTCTTGCTCGCGGGGTGGAATGTATAGTGCTTAAAGAAGTTCGCAATCAGTGCTGGCTGGTAGGCGGGCGTCAGGTGGTGAGGAGAAATTCTAGAATTTGATCGATAGCCAGAGAGACCAGGAGGCCCTGTCCGTAACGATGTTGCAAAAATCGAGTCGTAGGCGCGAGAAGTGGTTGCTTTGGACTGCGGTAATTGTCCTCATGACGCCCACCGCAATGATTGAGTGCTCCACCGCCCACCTCTGTCTCGAGTCATGCATCTCGCTACAGCTTGCCGCCAGGCTAAANCTTGCACCTCCAGTCCAGACTCCANNCGCCGCCGCAGCTTCTCAAACTTCGCGTCTTCCAACTTCCCCGCGACGTTTTCGCGCCTTGGTGGTACAAACCAGCCCACTACATATCTGTAGCGAGTCTCTCGCCGCCCACCGAATGTTCACTTCATAATGAACATGACTTCCTGGCTGGGTGACACCGTCTCCGATAAGGTCGGCGAAGCCGTGGCTTACAAGATTGCAAACCGCGACGGCATAAAACCCGAGCCCTCTTCGCTTCTTGATGTAACGGAAAATGGCAGCAATTTCAAAGTCCGGATGAACATGCCATCTGTCTCGCTATATGTGCTCAAGGTCAGCGATCCTTCCTCGATTTCTCCGCTTGTTCTCGTCAACCCTGCTGTCGATTTCGCTATTTCCATCGATACATCTTCTTCACACTGACAAGCTTAGGTCCAAGGTTCACTACTCACAGTCACCGATGGTGCAACCTCTATGCATGCCAGACTCTCTTCTCACTGTAGAACACGGTTTCAGAATCAGTACTCACCCTCGCTCTCATTCATCGAAAAGAAATCCATCACCTCCACTATTGCTGACATCAACTACACATCTATTGGTCCGTTTAATATGCGGATCCAGCTGCTGCTCTCCAGCTTGACTATTTCTCTCAATCCTATGGACCTTACTGATATCAGAGTCGTTCGCATTACACCTCTTCACACACTTCCTCGTATCAAGGAGTATTTGATTCAGCTCCAACAATTCGAGCAATCAACAGCAGAGCCTCCAACAGCAGTCGATGACCCCGTTTCGGTACTCGAGCCGTCTGACATTGAGGATTTGGAGATGGTCGAAGCTTCACCCAGTGCTTCAAGCGCTGCAGAAAGGACCGTTTCCTTAAAGCGATCCCATGCACTGTCTTCTCCCAGCCATCTCAGTTCTCATCGAGTCGTGAAACCTCGGATTCATCACGAAGATGAAGATGTCATTGTTCAGACAGGGATAAATCTACAACAACCTGTACAGCTTCAATCCAACGATTCTCAGGACCGCAGCAAGCTGCTAAGCCTTCTACATAGGGGCACAGGGGCGAGAGCTTCTGTGACCACCGATCGGGAGCAAGCTCTGCGCTTGGGTGGCTTTATATCAGCGCAGATGGCTCCACCGCCAATTCCAGCTCCTGTTAACATTAATGTTCAGCCACAAGCCCCGTCACAACCAGCATCCCAGCCAATCTCACAAACCTTCGAATCACAGGTACCCATGGCCGACATCCCTGTTGTCGAGTCTGCCAAAGAGGACATTCGTCCGAAAAATACGTCAATTGTGCAGCCCGAATCAGGAAATATGCCCTTCGATACACAGCCCAAAATCCATCTACCAAACAATACGACAACTTCAGCCCAGCCAGAGCCATTAGAAGTTACACAATCATCACTGCCGCGAGTGCCGCCATCACGGGCACCCTTGCCGTCACAATCAGAAGCTCTGGCAGCTTCACTGACCACTTCCAGTTCACATTTGTTGGATAACTCGTCTTCCAGCATGCAGGGACCGCTACACAGAGCTCCCCCAGCGTTGATGATCAAATACGCGCGTAGGCACATACCAGGAAATCAGAGAAAACTGCTCGACAAGCATTCCTCGTGGTGGCCTCCAAGGCCTGGAACCACATTCCCTCACCCAAATGTTCCTGTGGAAGTTCTCACCAAGACTGTAGAAGCCGCAGAGCGGCGAGCAGCAAAACAAAAAGAAAAGGAGCAAGAAAAGCAGTCGCAGGAAGGCAGCGAACGAGAACGAGTGCACCTGCAAGACGCTTTGCCGGCAACCCAAGCGACAGAGAATACTTTACTCTCGTGGGAGTCATCACCAGAGTCTCATACTCGGTCTCGCATGGATACTTTCCGTCGTTCAACCAACTTCTTGGATCCGGAACCGCCACCGGCTAGGTTGCCACCAGGCGAGCTCCCACCTGACAGCAGTGCAGAAAATCAGATGCAAGTAGACGAACCTGAGGTAGTTGAGTCTCTCGACCAGATATCTTCAAGCCCACCCTCTGGCTCTTTGTCTCAAGAAAGCTATGCTATTGAGCTCGACAGCCTCGCGCCGCCACAGCAAAATCTGCGACAGCTACCTGAGTATCCCTTAGGCTCGCCTGAAGAGAGCTCCTCGAGGTCCAATCCTGGTACACAGCCTGATAAGTCCGAGTTACCAGACCCTGTGGGAAAGAGCACATCTCACAATAGGTCTCGACCCGAAAGAGATGGCCGTGCTTCATCCCCTATTCTCGAGGTCGCTGCGAGTCCCCAGCCCTATAAGGGATCCGAGGAAGAGTCTGTAATGCGTTCTCGAGGCTCAGGACATGATGAGCTATCAGTGTCGCAGAATCTCAGACATGTCAATGCCACATCCTCAATGGACGATCAGCCTGAAATTGAAGACGATGTTATCATGGTTGATCAACCCCAAGCTAACAATGATCTGGCTGTCAATAAGCATGAGGTACACATTGTCGCAGATTCTCCAAAACCTTCGTTACGACAGAATCGGCGGACCAGCTGGGGACTTTCGGAATCAGCTGAGACTATCGAACAGAGACGGGCTCGTGAAAAGCGTCAGTTCTTTGAAGAGCGACGGAAGACCGCCGCTGACAACACCAATGTCAGCACTACGGTTGTGCCAGGACCAAAAGCTCGACAGAATGATGAGCATGAGAAGAACCCGGAGGCGCCTGACTTGGATGCAGAACCAAAACCTGATCCAATGGACGTTGATGAATCAGAACCGGAACCATCCAAGCCGGTTGACCCTAGTGTCATCGATAGAGCCAAGATAATCGAACAGTGGCGCCGGCAGAGCAGTCAGAAGGATGACCGATTAGTGAGCGGAGCATCGACTACCGGGAATGGTCCAGAATCTGATGCTCCTGGTCCCAATATTCCTAATCATGCTGTTTCAGAACCTTCAGTGTCCGTACCCGCTACTGACGAGGCAACTGCTCCGGAAATGCCTGTACGTCCCGTCAGATCATTGCCGCCTAGGCCCTCATGTAATGTGGACGTGCAAGCACGCAATCCAAAGCTTCTGATTCGACAACAAATAAAGAAAGGCACATTCGGCGTCCCAAGTCGAGCTCTATGGGTAGGATCACTTCCAGATTACATCGACAACAGACAACTTCAGCAACTGTTTGCAGAGTTCAATCCTGTTTCTGCATCTGCTAAGAAACAGTCTGGCTTTGTCAATTTTAACGACGTTGATACAGCCTGCAGAGCTTTCGAAGAAAAACATGAGACTCCCTTTCATGGGAACATGATTGTGTGTAAATTCACAGCTCCTCGCGGACCTGTTCCTGTGCAGGAGGTCTCCGATCATCACCCTCTTCCAAGCCCGAGTCGTCTCGTTGTACCCGCATCGACAGCCACTCATAATGTTGCAAACTCTGCACCAACTCTGACTGTTGATGATCTGTTCCGTCAGCTGGTCAGCAAGCGCAATTTCAAAGGCAATAGAACGGCTTTTGAAACTTTGTGCAAGAATTTGCACACGTCTTCCGATGTCCCACTACCGCATTGGGACAATTATGTGGTTTTGCACCCAGCTGAATTTGTGCCGTATGCCAATCGGACTATCGCTAACGGCGGACAAGTCGTCGATTATGATGCATACTGGCGTGATCACCTTCAAAAGACCGCAAAGCCTGACCTGCGTCCTGTGTTGACCCCAGCAAGGCTAGATGCTATTTTCAACCCCACACATGCTACTGGATCATCTGCAAACAAACCTAGCGCACCTGTTACGCCACAGACCACTCCGAATGCAAGACGACCATTGCCACCGCGTAGTCAAGAAACACCACCCTCAACCTCTTCTCACACTCCCAGGGCTGTGACTGAGGACTTAAGACGATCTGTCGTCGAGCGTAATGCTCAGAGTACGACTGATTCACCACGAAATGTCGCTTTGAAGCAACCTCATCCTCTTTCCGACTTACCGGATCCTCTCAGAACCTCAAAATGGTTGCGCCAGAACTTCACAAAAGATCCGCAGGGAAGAGTGGTGCAGCAAAAGCTCTACCAAATGTACAAGGAGGACTTTTCTAATGCCACAGTTCCACTGATGTCGGGTAAACCATTCATAGACCACGTGTTCAATACCTTTCCGGGTCGGAGTACGAGTGAACTTGATGATCAAGGCAAAAGGTATTCTTCTGTACAGGACTTCGGATCAAATCACCAAGACGGCCGACCATAACCGATAACGGTACACCTGAATTCAAGATCAGGGGTATCTCCGCTTCAGTCTCCAGTACACGAGATGATCGCAGTGGGTATTCCTCCACATCTCACAGCCCTGCGCGACAAGAGTCTGTTCGTGATAAAACTCGCGAGAGGGACATCAGATCGAGAAGATCTCTTCCATTTGCGGAGGAACCTTCTCACTCGAGGTCTCGGTCGCCGCCACGTGATCCTGCTCCTGCGAGAGTACCGAAGGGTAAGCCTTCTTCCGCAGACCATCTGATACTTCGTGAGGTATTACAATTCTCATATAGAATGGTCTTCAATTGCAGCAGTATTATTACAGTCAGCTAACCTCTGGTGTAGGACTTCGCCGCAGGTTTTGAGGGGAGCCCAGTACAGCGATNTTTTCAAGAAATACAACGCCTTGGGAAACGTGACCAAGAAGGGTAATGCTTTCTCCACGCGCGAATGAAAGCGAAGCGTGGGGGAACAATGAAGAGTTAATGTAAGGAATGTGGTCGAGCGTACGCAGACAGAACAAAGACGCCGGATTGGGCCTTTGTAGAAGTTTGAATATTTTTCCAAGCAACTTCGCATTTTCGCCCTTCGTATACATGGTATTCTTCAACATCTCTTTTCAATATTGCCGTGAAGATGGTGCCATTTGACGCCAACAGGAACCGTGCAGAACTCGATTTTCAGGAGATTCTTGGAGAGCATCCTTTCCTGAGCTCAAACGTTACGAGTACTCAGACATCCCAGATTATAATGACGCATGTCATTGGCATGGTTCTGATCCCATCCTCAGTAGCCTTTCAGTTGGGTCACTGGCCAGGTTTGGTGCCATTAACGTTAACAACCTGAACACAGTACCCATCTACCCGGCTGTGGACGAAGCACTCAAGAACAAATACTTTGATCCTACTTCAAGATACAACGATGCACAATATCATCCCATTTTTCGCCGCAAGAATTTCCCAAGCGTTGACGACTACGATTACGAACACTTGAGACCGGTGTTAGTGGTTGCGACTGAACTGTTGAGTAGCTTCGACACACTCGGCTTCTTCAAAGGTCTCTTCAACGCCTGGAAGTTTCCTGGCACACCGGGTGAACAGGAACGTTTCGGCAAAGGCATGTTGTGGAAGTTCTCACCGAGAAACATTGATTCGTGGAATGAAGCCATGGAGACGATAAACCAGCTGCGCGAGATGGGCGACTATGTCATTTGGGTCTACGACGATGCTAGGAGTTCAGCCAAAGGTGCATTGATGTGTACCTACCCTGACCCCAAGAAACCAATTTATCCTGAGGGGCAGATATTTTCAAACCACAAGGGTATGTGCTGTCGTTTCCCAAGATGCTTTTTTAGTCGTACTGATGCAAATGGTTCAAAACCAGGCATTGCGTCAACATTGCCTTGAGTACAAAATTTCGTGATGCCCTCAGACGCAAACACAGAGTAGATGACATCCACCCGGAACTGGATCAACATGCCGCAGATCTGCGAACACGGTTTTACACAGCTATGATCATGGTCCACGAGATCGCGCACGCATTCCACAATGTCTTCAACCCTACCCACCACATTCAAAAACACGAGCCTTTTATGAATGACAATCGTGTAGCTGAGTTAGGGTACGCAATAACCAAACACCTGTTTGGCAATGTTGTAAACATCATTGGGGCAAACCCAGAACATCTGGGTATTCCGTTTGGATTTTACTTTNTCGATTGGCCGGATAGCGATAACAGGGGCGACAAGAAGGAAGAGAGGTATAGTCTTGCANAAGCTGGTGTGCATACGCATACGTACTATGTTCTTCCCATGTCCTATATACTCAAAGTCCTTCATCCGCGGTTTTGGACTGATGAAGTGGTGAGATATGGGACTATTGCAAGTCTCAGATTGCCGAAAGTGTTGGGTGTGAGATATCAGTACGACGACTATAAACTCTGGCTTGATGAACAGGCACCAGATCCCGAGTTTGAGGCTGCTTTACCACCGGATGAACTTCAACCAGACGTTGCCGAGGGAATTGTCACTCAAGATGAAGCGATACCGCTAGACCTTCACAGCGAAGCGTACAAACAGCAGATGCGCGACCTCGCTACTTCCACACGACCTTGGGAATTGGTCAAGGATCTCAACATGAGATATTTCCCACTGACTTGGGATTTGATAGACAGATTTCACACTAACTATTTCAATGTGTCGGGTAATGTTGTTGAACCGCTGAACGCCAATCCTAGGTTCAATTCTAGAGTTCGAAGGCAAGAGTTGAGGGCTTTTATCCGGGAGACCAAGATGAAAAAGGCGAGGAAGAGGAAGCAGAAGATGGAGAAGAAGAAGAAACAGTTGAATGACTTGCTAAAGAACAAAGGGTCTAAAGTCGGGAATGTCTAGACCCACAGTGGTTGGGTTGTTGTCAAGTCGCGTATAAATTTGTTTAGTACCTATTGGTGCCAATTGTAGCGCTAGCGCATACGTCTGTCTTTCCACGTCCTTCTTTTCCGGCAGGTCAAGGAAAAGCTCGCTAGACCTTGTTGCTAAGCACAGGCAGCTGGATACTACGGTTGCTTTTGCGGTGGTCCATATACAGCACTCCAAGACTCACACTCAGTTGAATCAAGAAGGTCGANCCTAGAACACGAAAATTATTAGTCAAGCGTAGAGACGCCAATCCAGAAAGCTACACTTACGCAAATATAAGACAGAAAAGGAAGACCAAGATGCCAAAGAACTCGTGCAACGATCTGATTAAGATCTCCAACATTAAATATGCAACCGCCACAAGTTGAATACTATGCATGTGTGCTGCATTGAGAGGCTCAAGCTTGCCCATAGCGTACAAATGCATCTGTCGGACGTATAGCGCATCTATCAATACGATGCTGATCAGACTCATAGCGATACTGTATACATTTAGTGGCTGTGTGCTTCAGAGACTCATCGAACTGACTGTAGGTCAAACATCTTCGTGNATGTCAAATATCACCGTGAAGAGTTCGGCAAAGACACCGACTGTTGTGAATGCGCAGACGAAGAAGTGGATAATCCATAGAATACATAAAACGAGGCGCACCGGACGCCATGGATTGTTCTCAGCTTGGTCGTCGTAGTCGAGTTGAAGCATCGTGCAAGTTGTCGTTGGATTTGTGGTAAAGAAAACAGCAATTTGAGAGGTGCAAGGCTTATTATATAGCAAGCACAGACGTACTATGGAGTTGAAGAAGGATTGGGGCGCCTAAATTAAGCTCAGCAGACTCAGCCATGTATCGGACCGTGGATGACAGCGCTTAGTATCTCTACATTCTGTTAGTAGTTCTGTTCGAGCTTTTGTCTCTGGCCGTAAGAATAGACAGTCTCAAGCCCATCCTCGGCGCTAAAGTTCTGAAGCGCAGATTGGTCAGAGCGACCACAACAACAACAACATGCCTTTTATCCAAGCAGATAATCGAACGGACTCGTAAAACATAGCAGTGCCTCTACTGTGCCTATGAAGAAGAGGATTCAGGATGCAGAAGGATGAAACGTGCTGTTGAAACAGGAATGAAGCGGGCTGTGGATCGGTTGTTCCTCGGTTGATCAGGCTTCATGTCAAAGGGCATGAATCTGACTTGACCTCCTTCGTTCCTTCCTACACCTCTGAAAAGAGTCTGCATGATTTGCGACGACATGTCTTGTTGTGATCAATTGAGGTTCGATCAAAGCCATCAATGCACAAGGCAAATGGCTTCGGTAGGTATACATTGTTTGCAAGATGCATACTATATGCAGAGCAAACAGCGTGCAGTATGTTCAAGTGGCAACATACGTGCACGACAGACTATCAGGAAGGCAAGTCAATTGAGGCCATAAGTAAGGTTTGTGGTAGTTCTCATGCTCAAGGCCAAAGAGCATAGAGAAATACTGCCTGGATCGATCTCGTCTGGTACCATCTGTGCGACCATACCAAAAGCTGCTTCGACATCAAAGGTTCCATTCCTAACGCAGAGAAAGGATGGCTTAGGCTTGCCTCCTTAACTTGTGAGGCTTTGTGTGGTGTTCACTGAAGTGAGAGGTTGCAAGCTTCGGACTCGAGACGCTTCACTGGCTGCGAGTGCGCTGGCCAAGCTTGACTTCACTTCAGTACGCCTTCCTTTCAAAATACCACGGAATTTCCTTAACGCCGCTTAACGCCGACATCGGAACCATTGACGAGCTTCAACAATGGCAGGAGAGCCAGACGCCAAACGCCAGAAATGGTTCAACCGTGTATGCCTGAATTTTTGATAATCCCACCAACAACCTCCATGACTGACCACACCAGGCCAAGCGCACCATGTCTAAATCCTTCACCAGCAAGAAGAAGACCAAGCTGGTTATTCCCGACGACTTGGGCTCGACTAATGCCTGCGCACACGAACCTTTGTATGGTGATGACCCCAAGGTCGAGTCCCAGTCCGATCAAGTCATCGTGCGCAGCGACGCCCCATCTGAGCAGACGAAGCAGTGGAAATGGCCTGACTTTCTCTTGACTCACCCACGCAACAACGTCTTTTCGGACTCTTCCAAGCCCAAGTCCAAATCAACATCTGCGCAACGCTTCAAGCACAAGCTCAAGACCGTGGCTCTGCTTCCAGGAATGCTTCGTCTTCCCGTGGAGATTCGCAACCAAATCTATGGCTACCTCTTCCACCAGCAACTCATCACCATCAAGCAGAATGATGCTTGGCCTTACCAGAAGGGAAGCCCCCTCGTCGATGCTATCACAGAGTACCGTGAGCCCGATCGTCCCAGAGCCATCAAGGCTATCAGAATCGTCACCACCGCCGTCAAGAACAAGGTGACTCCTGAACAGTTCCAGCGCAAGATGATGAAGGCCAGAGGTGTCTCCTATGATGGCATTCCTGGCCAAAAGCCTCTGCCTCTCGAAGGCGTCAAGTGGGAGACTTCTCTCAATAACCTCCTGCTCACATGCAAGACTCTCTACGCCGAAACTGGCCCGATTCTCTACGGTATTACAGTCTTCTACTTCGACGATGCTCAACGCCTGAGAGCCTTCCTCAAGACCGTCTCCGACAGAAACCTTGCTTGCATCACCAAGCTGCACATCCATGTTCGTACCTACGGCATTCCTAACAAGGCCGCCGACAACGTCTGGTTTCAGGAGCACGTCGACTGCTGGACCAAGATCTTCGCCAAAGTTGCCAAGAAGATGACCAACCTCCGCACATTGAGAGTCACCTTGACCATGAGAAATGTCACCGACGGTCTGAAGTATGCCTTTAGACCTACTCAGAACAACACCGACTGGAGAAGACGCGCAGGTTACATGCTCATGCTCCGTCCCGTTTCGACCTTGAACAAGCTTGAGGACTTGCGCGTGTCGATCAAGGCTACAGACAACATCATGGCCCAGTACGATGAGATGCTTCCTCTCCTGATTTACAGATACTGGGAGCTCGCCAACGTCAACCCTATCCCTCATGTCGAGACCAAAGTCATGGACACCCACCGCAAATTCTTCGAGGACATGCAAAACGGACTTGAACAGGCCATGACAGAAGTTGCACGTTCCAAGAACGTCAACGAGTCCTTTGCTCCTGTGTGCCTTGTCACCCGCGCATACATGGAGTATCTGATGGACCCTATTGGACACGTGCTGATCAAGCACTTCCCCCCCAATAAATGAGACAGCAATGATCCCAACTGCCATCGAAGCAGTGAAGAGTCTGGTGGTTTTCGAAGGCAACCAGTAGAAGGGCTGCTTCTACTTCACAAGCGACACACAACCAAGGAAGGCTGAAAGACAAAACGACATGAGGAACGAAGACCAAAAAGACACGAGCTACGGAATACACAAAAACTCACAGAAACACACAAAAACACGCAAAAATTCACAAAAACATAACGACAAAGATTGCTACGAGACAAAAGATGGAAAACGCGAAAGGAAATCTGTACTTGCTGCTATGGCTTGACAATCTCCTCATTTTTGATCTGTACAATTATGAGAAGAACAGAAGGAGAGATTGCATGAGGAAAGCAGCAGAAGCACTCGGTGGCAGACTATCGATGCTCGTGATAATAGCTGAAGAACGATTATGGTAGATGAAAATGGAGAGTCGAGAAAAACAATCAAACTGTCCAATTCCCTGTGCAAGTGATAAGGAGACGTGAAACAGGCATTCTAATCTTGCGATGAGGTGCAACGCGTGTAAGGGTCCCGCGGATGGCGGAAGTGGGCTGGCAAGCGGTGGAGTTGAGCAGCCACAGGATTCGGTCGAGCACTTGCCAAGAATCAGCAGACAAATGCTCGGTCTTCGTGAACGTGATGCACGTCAGACAGTCAACAGATCAGCATTGGACTCTTCGAGCATCTGTATATCTGAAGCCCAAGGCTTTTCTGCCCAGGAGAGTGTAGGACTTGAACGTGGTGAAGAAAGTGTGTGCCGTTGCAAGTCGAGTCGAGTCCCCAGCCCACCCACACGCGGACAGGGCCCAAAGCTTTGGAAGCTTTGAACTTTTGAGCTTTGACCTTGCGCGTCTTGGTGTCAAGGGGACACAGTTTCGTGTCTGTTGAGAATTGTTTAAAAGGAGAGACCTTGGTCGTTGTCGCAAGGTCTTGTCAGACGAGTGATTTTTGCAACAATGGCCAGCAAAGACGAGTACAAGTCCGAGTACTCGGAGGAGTTGACCAACTTCATCGAGACTCCTGCCGCTCCTGCTACTGCTCCTGAGAGCACCGAGTTTGGTGTACGCAGCACTGCTGTGAGTCTCCCTCTTCTTCTCACGTGCCAATGCCTTGCTAACGTGATTGCTACAGNNTACCCAGCTATCAAGAACGCCCCCCTCCCCGCCGACGCAGCTGGTAGCGAGTCGTTCAACAACTATGTCCTCTTCGCTCTCCTCGGTGGTATCCCCGCCTACATGGCCTACAAGGTCGGTGGTGGCTTCAAGACCTGGGTCTTCTTTGGTATCCTGACTGCCATTCCCATCTTGATGGCTTTCTGGACCATTGCCTCCGGCTACACTCCCCGCAAGAACGAGAAGGCTCGCTACCCTGGTGCCCCTGTTGAGCACTACCTCAAGTTCCACAAGGAGGCCGACCGCGCCAAGTACCACGGCCGCAGCAAGATCCCCATGGAGACCTTCCACGAGAAGTACTTTGACGGCGATGTCGACTTCAACGGCGACGCTCTCGAGGTCATGGAGTACCGTCACGACTGGGCCAACTTCCGCTTCACTCTGTCTCTCTTCTGGTTCTTTCTTACTGGCATGATGCCCGAGGTTATCATGCACACTCGTTCGCAAGATGAGGAGCAGGTTCGCGACCACTACGACCGTGGTGACGACTTCTACTCTTGGTTCCTCGGCCCTCGCATGATCTACACTTCTGGTATCATCTCCGACATCAACAAGGAAGAGTCTCTTGAGCAATTGCAGGACAACAAGCTGGCCATTGTCTGCCAAAAGATTGGTCTCCAGGCTGGTGACCGCATGCTCGACCTCGGCTGTGGTTGGGGCACTCTCGCCAAGTTCGCTTCTGCCCACTACGGTGCTCAGGTTACTGGTATTACTCTCGGTCGCAACCAGACTGCCTGGGGCAACAGCGGTCTCCGCAAGCTCGGTGTCCCTGAGGAGCAGAGCCGTATCTTGTGCATGGACTACCGCGACACTCCCGTCCCCAAGGGCAAGTACAACAAGATCACCTGTCTCGAGATGTCCGAGCACGTCGGTGTCCGTCACTTCTCTACCTTCCTCAGCCAGATTCACGACATGCTCGACGATGATGGTGTCTTCTTCATGCAATACGCTGGTATCCGTAAGCCTTGGCAGTACGAGGATCTCATCTGGGGTCTTTTCATGAACAAGTACATCTTCCCTGGTGCTGACGCCTCGACTCCTCTTGGCTGGACTATCGACAAGCTTGAGGGTGCTGGCTTCGAGATCAAGAGCATTGACACCATTGGTGTTCACTACAGTGCTACCCTCTGGCGCTGGTACCGCAACTGGATGGGCAACCGCGAGAAGGTCGAGGCCAAGTACGGCAAGCGCTGGTTCAGAGTAAGATGCCCTTCAATACCTATCATTAACAACTGCTAATCAAGGTTCGACAGANTCTGGGAATACTTCCTCGCCTACTCCACCATCATCTCTCGTCAAGGTTCCGCCACTTGCTACCAGATCACCATGGTCAAGAACATCAACTCCACCCACCGTATCGAGGGTATCAACACCCAATTCGGTCTTTCTGGCGCTCTCGAGGCTGCCAAGAATGTTGCANAGGCTGCCTTCCCTTCCGCTAAGGCCTAAACTGCTTGAGCAAAAGAGATGGAACAACAGGCTGTATGACAATGATTTGATGTGTCAGGGAAAAGAATCACGGCATTGTACAAATATGATTTGTGGGTTTCGTCGTTCTTGATGAACAAACAAGAAAAAGTCATGATTGTGTTGATTATCTAGGCAATAGAAATGATGCTGTACCTTATGAAAAGAATGATAGAACAAGCTACGATATGCTCTTACAAATCACTCCGCGCAAAAGAAAAACGATGTCTCGCTCCTGCTTGTTTTGCGGTCAACAACAAATCGATTGTGACATGGTTGTGGTGCTCAGAAAAAGTCGAAACCGCTCCTGCCATCTGATCGGCCAAAACACCGTCCTCCCAACCCCGCACCTTGCTTACCTATACAAGAACTGCTATCGCAGGCAACCACTTTTATTGATGACGTTCAATCGAAGATTACTGATTAGGGCAGAAGGTACAAAGTACTGGCAGACTACCATACAAAAGTCGCGATCGCAACTCAATGATCTCTGTTGAGTTGAAAAATTGAACAATTTCATCTCATCACTGACCATGCAGCTCACTATCTCACGACCTCCAGGCTATGTACTGTCAGCCATTGCGATCTCGCTCGGAGGTTTCTTGAATGGGTAGGTAGTCAATCTGTCGTTCCTCTCTTGTTCAACGAAACATATTGCTGACCGATTCACCAGCTATGATACAGGCAGTATAGGTGCTGTGACTGAGATGAGCTATTTCGCAATCGATATTGGTGAACTCTCACCCTTCCTGCGTGGTTTCACAGTCTCTTTGATCATGCTCACGGGTGCCTTTCCTTCCTTCTTTGCTGGACAGCTTGCCGATCGCTTCGGGAGATTGGAAATTGTTGCAGCGGGTGCTCTAGTCTTCACTATCGGAGCTGCCCTAGAGGGAGCCGCAAGTAAACTTGGCATGTTCCTTGCGGGCCGGGCACTCTGTGGTATAGGCGAAGGTCTTTGGTTGAGTAATGTCAGCGTGTAGGTCTTGTCGTAGTGGGGACGTAGCAAACTTGCTGACTCTGCTTAGGNNTATATTACTGAGATTGCTCCATCGGCTCGAAGAGGTATGCTGGTCTCTATGCCTCAATTCATGGCTTGTGCAGGTATATGTGCTGGCTACTTCACCTGCTACGGAAGCGTACGAATCGAATCGAGTTTCTCGTGGCGAGGTCAGTCGAGCCCGCTACCATATCTCTCTTTGAATCTAGCTTACTAATTCGTGAAATAGNCTCCCTACATCATTCAAGCCATCCTCGGACTTGTCTTAACCACCATGCCGCTGATTTTGCCTCAGTCACCTCGCTGGCTTCTTGTGCATGGTCACCGCGACAAGGCCGTTCAAGAACTTAAACGCCTTGACTTTAGTGCAGTTGAGGCTGAGAAAGATTTGCTTGGTCCTGCTGCCGAACAACGTATGGCTGTGCGCCAGCCAGGTGCCGTAGAGGGACTGACCATGCTCTTCCGCAAACCATATCGCAGACCTGCCTTACTCGCTCTTTACGTCCTCGGTGTGATTCAGTTGAGTGGAATTGACGGTGAAACTCACACACAACGTCTGTTACAATTCAACGCTGATTGGTTTTGTTCAGGAGTATTGTACTACGCGCCTACCCTATTCAACCAAGCCGGCCTCGATGCTCAAACCGCTTCCTTCCTGGCATCAGGCCTGTCAGCAATCCTCATCCTTGCAATCAGCGTTCCCGCACTTCTTCTTGCGGACAAAGTCTCTCGCCGCAGCAGTGTCATCGTAGGCGGCTGCGTCCTAACCTTCTGCATGTTCACAGTCGGCTCTCTCTACGCCTCGAACTCTGTCACGCCGCAAAACCCCGCTCGCTGGCTTGTCATTATTCTAGTCTTCGTCTTTGGCCTCGCATACTCGGCAACCTGGGGCATAGTCGGCAAAATCTACGCTTCGGAGATCCAACCAGCAGCTACAAGATCTGCAGCAAGCGCCGTCGCCCAAGGACTAGGTTTCTTTACCAATTGGATTGTGGCTATTATTACGCCTGTCCTACTAGCGAAATCGAGTTATGGAGCTTACTTCTTGTTTGGAGGGATTTGCTTTGCTAGTGTTTTGGTATTGATGTTTAGTATGCCTGAGACAAGAGGTCTTAGCCTCGAGGCCATCCAAGAGGCTNTTTTGGCTCCTGGTACTGCACAGAGGGGAAGAGTTGTTAGTATGCTTAGGAGATGGGCTGCTCTCGGTGGTTCTGAAAGTTCTGGGAGTTCACAGGCGAGCGAGTCGGTTATTGAACTTAGGGATGTAGGTGGTTTGTTGGATCAGGACTCTCCTGCGAGTGGTGCAGAAGCAGCTTCTCTTGCCAGTGAAAGCGACAGAGTCGTCAGAGTCTAGGCAGATCATGTCAGGAGAACAAACCTCTAGGTCGAAACAGCACAAAGCAAAAACGGCAGGGAAAGTGAGGTAGATGGGCGTTTACTATCCGTTTGATGCGCAGGAAATTATCTTTTCATCACATTCTGGGCAAATCTTAAGAACAGATGATGAATTATGATGAAACGATACTACAAAGTAACGACTCTACAACATCCTACCCAACAGCAGAAGTCCAGCTTCCAGTCAATCTTAGATGAACCTGTTCGAATCGATTAGCACAATGCATCGAAACAAAGTGATGTGAAAAGAAGATAGATGAGGTGAGGGATTTCAGATAGAGCTAATAATAACAAACATCAATCTGGCATGGAGGGATTCAATCTCCGTTTGCCATCAGTGAAAAATATTAATCATCATGTGAGAGAAGGTATATAGATGGTGGGGAAAACCAGAAAAGGAGAGAACGTACGTACCATATGGGTGCAAAGTAAGTCGCTCACACGAGAGAAACCTGCCAGGTTAGATGGACCAGAAGATCGCAAGACTCTTTCGAAAAGATAGGACGCCACTCCGCGGTCAGGCATCAAGCCGCTTCACAGAAAACTCATATCAACCATGTCCAAAGGATTTGAACCATGTTTGTGTCGGAGAAACGCAGTCCTTAGCACACTTTCGTGGTCGTCTCAGTTGGAGCAGACGTTGGATAGCGTGAATGATGCGATCATCTGGCGACTGGGTGTCGCTCGATACTGAGTCCAATCAATTTCCATGCCACAGTAAAATGCTGAGTCTGTCAAAAGGAACCGAGAGCTCATGCTATGAACAAAATGAACAGGCGCAGGTCTCAAACGTGAAGCGAAAAAAGAAGATACATGTCTTGGCACAAGGCTCGTGCTGGCGTCGGTCCGCAAAAACTTCGGCAGGCTTCAAATTTTTGTTGGCCATTTCAAACAGCTCAAAAAACGAGTTTTCTGGCACAACGAAAAAGCGCCAAAAAGATATGACAGCGTTTGTATAGGAATAGCCGAAGGCGGGGCTCGAACCCGCGACCTTGAGGTTGTACTTTATCNTGACGATAAGAGCCACACGCTCTACCGATTGAGCTACCCCGGCAGGTCTGATGATCAAGTTGTGTGACACAACTGGCTGCTGACATGTCAAGGTGTTGACCCAGACAGTATATCAACAGTCGACTTTGCCTCACGACTTGACTATCAAATCTGCTGGGGTAGCTCAGTCGGTAGAGCGTGTGACCAGGCGAAAGTGTGGCCTCCAAACTGTATCCATCGGAGATGCTAATGTATCAATGACAAGAGCGGCGGCGACATGGATACACGTGTCGAGATACACCACGCATGACTGACAACCATATAGATGGATCGAGCTCGGAGAATGACCGCTCAGGTCCAAGTACAATGGTGCAGCCAGGAGAAATCGATAAAATGTAGTCGCTTGTGAGGTCGGGTTGCTGATGCACTGAAAAGATGGCAGTTGTGTTGACATGAGACACCATATGAAGAGAAGGCCAGGAGGCGGGGTATTAAGTTACTTGTACCGTTCGGAGACTTGGGAAGATGGTTCCAAACACAAGGCCGAGCACACATTGTTCGTCGCTATGATCGTGCCCAAGAGCTCTGTCTCAATGTCTCAATGCGTCGTCTCCGTTAACAGCTATCGTTGAGCGGCTCGGATGTACTTGTCGACCTCTGTGCATCGGGGTCCGAGTGCTTCCCGTATTGACATGTCCTTGAACGCAAGGGCTTCTTGACGAGACTCTCGGACTCAGCATTGCGTTTCAGGAAATGTATCGAGTGATATCGCTGGGAGAAAGAGGTAGTCGAGGATGCCTTTGACATAAACACTCTGACCATATGTATGATCGGCGTGCTTGTTGCTTCGAAGTCCGAGTCTATATTAGCAAAGTGTATGTTTCTGGCGTGATGGCAGCCATGCTGAGCTGTCAGCTCCTCTCAGCAATTGCAAGTGTTAATGCATAAGATGTCAAGCAACGAGAGAAGGTGATGCCACGTTGATGTCGAGCGTTGGACAAAGGGGAAGTCACCCCCACATGACGCCAACGCGCCCCGTGGCATCAACAAGAAGCTTTTGTTTGCGACTTTGTCTGACCAAGACATCTGAGGACTCGACAAGCACTTCGATTGATAGCAGCACAATGGAACACCTCGAATCCGCCCTCCGCCCGGTGCTGCAGCCCATCACACAGAACCTCCCTGGACCAATTCGCGACCTTGGTATTTCGTTGCTCGGGAACCACTGCTACAAGACGCTCATCCACGATGTCCAACTCAGTGATGCTTCCTGCTTCAAGCTGGCCATCTCCAAGGGTCTCGGTATCGGTATCATCGGTGCCTCTGCTGTTGTCAAGATCCCCCAACTCCTCAAGCTCCTGAACTCGCAGTCGGCTGCTGGCTTGAGTTTCTTGGCCTACGCTCTAGAGACCAGCTCATACCTCATCTCGCTCGCCTACAATGCTCGCATGGGCTTCCCCTTTAGCACTTATGGCGAGACGGCTTTCATCGCCATTCAGAACGTTGCCATTGCAGCCCTGATCCTCCAGTACAGCGGCAAGGGAGCTGCTGCGGCTGCCTTTGTTGCTGGTCTGGCTGCTGCTGGCTACTCGTTGTTCAACCCCAACGTTATCGACATGAAGACCATGAGCCTTCTCCAAGCTGGTGCTGGCGCCCTTGGTGTTGCCAGCAAGCTGCCTCAGATCATCACTGTCTGGCAACAGGGCGGCACTGGTCAGCTGAGCGCTTTTGCTGTAAGTCACCCTTCCCTCGACCTATCACCCGACCCACACTGACTTTGCTATCTCCAGGTCTTCAACTACCTCTTCGGCTCTCTTTCGCGCATCTTCACGACCCTGCAAGAAGTCGACGACAAGCTCATCCTTTACGGCTTCATCTCTGGCTTCGTCCTCAACGCTGTGCTCGCTCTCCAGATGATCTACTACTGGAACAGTGCTCCCAGCAGAGTCAGCGCACCCTCGCACAAGTTGAACGAGTCGGGAAGAAAGGAGGCCATCGCCATGACCACCAGTGCTGAGCCCAAAGGTAAGAGCCCTAGCACTCGCAGAAGAGGTTAGATTTGGATAGCATTTGTACACAAGATACCGTTCTCCAGCTCTCTCTGGACACATCTCCGTTTATGAAACCATCTTGCATTTTGATGGCTTGTGAAATTGCTCGTGTTCGCCGTGGAGAGTGGAGTCTGGTGCGTGCGATTGTCTGTATCCGGTCGCTGTACCAGTACGCCATCTCACCGGGCCGTTCCTCATGATAACAGATGGCTCATATCTTTGTGAAATTACTCCCTAACGCTCAGCACTGAGGTCTGCCGCGGGTCGAGCGATGAAAGAGACAAAGCAAGAGAACAATCTCGCACCCATACCAAGCTGATCATGAATCCCAGCCTCTCGTGGCACTTGCGTAGACGAGTGCGTGAGTTCACGATAGGCTTAGGATAGTCGACCGACTGTACGAGCGTGTGTATAGAGATCACCTAGGTTTGCTACGGGATGAGCAACAAAGGTGACAAACAGGGAGGCACTCTCACACCCATACCAAAGCTGACCATGAATCCCGCCCTCTCGGATCAAAGTTATGTATGTACGCGCATATCCACGATCTGCTTTTAATGGTCGACCAATTGTACGAGCGTCCGTATAGCGCGCTCAAGTTTGCCACGGAAGAACCGACAAGGTGGATAAACAGGGAGGCACTCTCGTATCCATGCTAAAACAGACCATGAATCCCGGCTCTTCGAAACAGATGTACAGGCGTGTGCGTGAATTCACGATCTACTTGAAACAGTCAATCGATTTTACGAGCGTGTGTATAGAAATCACCCAAGTTTGCTGCGGGATGAGCAATGAAAGGGCCAAACAGGGAGGTACTCTCGTATCATGCCGAAGCTGACCATGGATCCCGGCTTCTCGAGGCAGTTTTATAGGTGTGTGCGTATGTTCACGATAGGCTTAAGATAGTCGACCGACTGTACGAGCGTGCTCATAGAGAATTCTCGGCCATTGACGCCGTTGTCGATGTTGCTGTGCTGCTCAGAGCTCTGGTGCGAACTCTAGCTCGATCCAGCCGAGCAGCATAGTCCAGAGGGTAAGTGGTAGACAGGTCGACTGTTGATTAAGGTGCGTCTTATTGATGGATCGTCTAGAGAAAGATGGTTTATATACCATTCTACGTCGGTTTCTGCTCTCTTTGCTCAAGAGCTTCAGATCAGAGAACACTGGAACAGATGGTGGTATATGATGTCATCGGCATATACGGTGAATACGACGAACGCGATTCGAATGCCTGTCATATCTGGTTGCAACAGCAACGCATGCTATTTTGTGAGATGTCCAATATCCTGTAGAATCAAGATGCCTTGCTTGTATACTCGTCAGTATGTGCAGTGTACAAATCGGATTATTATACTCATCATAACAAAAGCTTCCCAAGTATCAATGATTCCCATTAACTTTTGAGCCTTCATCGTGATGTGACCTTGCTGTATGGATGACTTGGCTGTATCGGCAGCAAGAGTACATGCTAGTGTCGCAATCATATAAAGGTACCTCAAAGACCTCATAAACGGTACTTCAATGTTCTCAAGTCTCAAGATCGATGAGATACAATGCCGTCGTCTCAAGACCCAGGTGACACCAGCGGCATCGAGGGAAGCCGAAGATTAGCCTCGGAGATATCGTCCGTGCGCAGCTTGCTGACCATTGACTGCGACTGCATGTTGTGAGTCTCTCTTTGCGAGAGTCCTTCATCCAAAAACAAAATCATGTCTTTTTCTTTGCGCTCAACTCAGCCATCGAACGTATCTATACTCAAAGCCATGGAGGCTAACCTGGAGCTGCTGATGCCTTGATCCTGGTTCTGGTTCTGGTCCTGGTCCTGGTTCTGGTTCTGGAAAATGCCTTTGCTTGTCAATCATGACCGGCGTTTCGTGTTCATGTCTTATCCGCTCCATATCTTGCAAAGACACACGACTCCTGGGATCCTGGGTACGCCGCGATGAGGGTCGACATCGTTCTGGACGGGCTAGGGTGGTCTATGCCAGCATGGTTCACGAGGTCTGGATCCCGGTGGTCCCTGTATAACTTGTCAACACCTTCATGAATCATGACGCAAACATCGAAAGCAATGGTGCCGGCGCCAGGGAAAGACATTACCTGCCACCTTCTGTTCGACCTCAGATATGGAGCCCTAGGGTTGTGCCTAGTTCAGGAGTGTCTTGCTGGTGAGGCTGGTGTCTTAGTGCAGACATCCGCGCTGTCCATCGGAGACATCTAACCTCGAACACCTGAACCAGAGACTGGTCTCAGGGGGTGTATGGCCTGATGTCTGTAGAGAAGCCCTGCTAGGCATAAGATGGTACATCATGGACGTCGATCTCATCATGAGCTTGCGGAGAAGACACTCCTGCATCTCTGCGTCTCTACCTGTGAAGCTTTGGACTCGTCAGTGCGGGAGGAGCGTGCTTAAGCAAGCATCATCTTGGCTGCCTCCGTCCTCGCACTCCCATACCCGCTCAGTTGATCAGCTCCCAAAGTCAGCGTTGCGCATCCACAAACTTCTCGTCTGCCATCAATTCTTCTTACCCACCACCATCTCATCAAAATGGCAGCAAACAACCGCCCCTTCATGTGCCTCCAATGCCCCAAGGGGGCCAACAGCCACGCCAACATGATGTCGCATATCGCGAATATGCACAGACAAGTCAAGCCCTTTGCGTGCTCCGAGCACGGCTGCGCAGAGACCTGCGCCAGAGCGTAAGATATCTCTGCATCCACCGACTATTAGCGTGCACTATAAGTTGTGACTCCTGAATTCGTTGTTACTTGCAAAACCACCTATCAAAATGCACAGTAGTTTGTCAGATGTGACCTTGTCCACTGAGAGCCAGGTCATTCTTCTCTTTCAATGGAGAGTACTCGTTTCCAGAAGGTACTCTGCATTACATCGCGTAATATCGTAGCTATCTTTGACCCCTGAAATCATGAGATCAATCCTTCTCTCGGCTTACAACTACAGTCAAAGAACGCCTCTATAGAAATGCATAATATCTTCCAGATTTGGAGATTGTCCAGTGAGAGCTCAAATAGTGTCTACTCTCATTGGAAAACATCTATACCTCAAACATTATTCTGCATTTCGACGCAAGGCTTCAAAGCTGAAATCAACCCTGAGATGCTGAAGCTTGGGATTTCTCCAATCCACCATGATCGCAAGAACTAGTTGTAAAAATGCAGAATACTTATTAGCAGGTGGTGTGTCCACTGAGAGCTGAGATAAGTAGCACTCTCAGTGGACATAGCCCATATGTGGAATGATATTCTGCATTTTGACGCAAGGCTTCAAAGCTGCGATCGACCTTGAGATTCTGAATCTTGGTTGATGATGAGATGAAGTCGGAAACCTCAATGGCTCTGTTCCCTAGCCGGCGGATGCAAGCCAAGCTCGAGCTGCTGCTGTAGAACGGCAATCTCGGATCTGCAGACAGCCAATGGGCATTTGATTGCGTTCTTGGTCGATCAGAGTCGAGTTGCAACTCACGATTGATGTTCGTTCATCTGGCAAAGTACAATCTGTGAACAAACACGGAAAGAAGTCACAGAATGAGACTGAAACAGGAGGCTTGAGCGACGTCATTTCGAGCATTGCTTGACACGGGAAAGAACTTCTCAACGGTTCTCGGCTCCGAACACATGCAGGGCACGCTGAGTGACACAGGGACAAAGAACGTCCATCTCTATTGAAGCTTCTTGTTTCTGGTATCATTTTGGGCTATTTGTGTAGCCAGCTGACCAGTAAGCGACGTCTTACGCATTGCCGCAATAGGTGCATATGGTCTTGTCGTAAGTAATGGACATCAAGTATCAGCGCCGAGGCGGCGCCATGGCCATGTGTTACGACGACTCCATCGGCGAAACAAGGCCATTTCGCTATCAAGTGGATGCTTGGCTTTGCAGCATCCAAGTGGTTTGGCGAGTCGTGGGAAGCAGTGGCCACTGCGGTGAGTCCTTCCTCAGCCCTGGCACGTCAGTGGTCGACTTGATGCTCAGGCAGGTCCATAGGGCGGCTTGTTTTCTTTCCATGTTTCTTTTCTTGTCCTTGAGTCTGTCGCTCACCCTTTGCTGCCTCGCTCAGACGTCGCGAAACAGCAGATTGGGCTGAGGCGGCATCATGTACTTGTATACCCCTCTCACCGTCGCTCGTTCCAGCGCTCAAAGCAGACATATCATCGCCGCCATCATCTTGTTTCTTATCTCGATTCTGCTGTACACGCTTTCGTTCCCATCAGAACATCATCTTCCCGAACATGTTCCATCATCCACCAAAGCATCTGCTGATGCGACCTACTCCGACTCTCAAGCCTCGTCTGTGAAACCGACCCCTTCTTCCAGCGACCCGACGACCGACCTCCGTGATCAACGTATACCATGCAACGGCCCGAGAGGAAAGCTCATGTCAGAGAGCTACGACGATCAGATCCATCCACTACACTACAGGGACCTCACCTACCCATCTCCTCTTAGTGGCTCGTATGAAACACTCAACCTCGACAAGTCCTGGCTTACAGCTGCCGAGAGATATGGTCCCTATGGTCTGGGAGAAGAGGAGGAAGGTTACAGCAGGAGTCGGGTCGATTGGTCTACCATCAACTGGGCAGACCTGCAGAACAGCTGCTCCGAATCCAACCACCAACGACTCCCCAACGCCTACGCTTTCGATCACGGCCGCCCGAGATTCACATACCGCCGAACATCATGGAAGGAGAAGTGGCTGCCTTCGTTTCTCACGACCCCCAACATCAACCCAAGACCGGCGGCAGAAACCTTTCATCGCTCGGCCATCGTCGTCCGTGTATGGTCTACCTACCAATACACGCCTGAAGACATGTGGAACCTGAGGTCGCTTGTTGCAGAAACCGCCCTTGCAAGCGGTGGTGAATATGCTGTCTTCCTTCTGGTTGATGTCAAAGATAAAGAGGCGGGCATTCACACAAACTCCGAAGCGTATGACCGTATCCTGCGCGAAGCAGTTCCGCCTGAACTCCAGGATGTTGCTGTGCTTTTCGATGACTCTCTACTGGAAAGCTGGTATCCTGATGTCGTCGAGCATTTGCCCATCATGCAAATTATGCAGCCTTTGCAGATATTTGCTCAGTTCTATCCTGAGTTTGACCACTACTGGCAATTGGAAGTGGACTCGCGCTTCTTAGGACACACTGGCGACATGCTCGACAAGTTCTCGGATTTTGCTAGGAATGAGCCACGCAAGCAGGCTAGAGAAAGAGCGTCCTGGGCATACATGGCTGACTACCACGGCTCATACGACGACTTCTTCAACACGATTGACCGTGTACTGGACGGCAATTCTTCTGTATGGGGCAATATTGACATCCATGACTTGAAAGCTATTGGTCCTCAACCACCTGTTGAAGATCCTCACGACGAGCACTTTTCTTGGGGTGTGGGCGAAGAGGCTGACCTTATCCTCCTCAACACGTTGGACGATGTTTCACGCAATGAAGACTGGCTTTTCAAAGGTTGGCATCACGGCTTCTCTATGGGCACGGAGCTACCCCTGTTCGTCTCGGTCGTCGCTCAGGGCCGCGCAAGCTGGAATCTATTGAACGCAGTTCATCACGCCCAAGCATATGCGGGCATGCGTATTCCGTCGGAAGCCACACTACCCAGTTTCGCTCTTTGGCATGGCCTCAAGATTAGTGCTCCTCCATTCCCCATGTATCAGTGGCCTGGTCGCGATCGTCATGAGATGGAGTTTGCTCTCAATGGCGGCGGCTTGGACGCATTCCCTGATGCCATCGCCAATGGCCCTGCGCGCTATCGCGGTAGTTCACTGGGCTTCTTCACAAACGGCATGACCTGGTCATGGTGGACGACCTTACCTGAAGATCTGGCAAACCCTTGGTACATCAACGAAGTTGACAACCCTATATTGCCGGATATGCTACTGAACGAGGGCGGTAATTTGTACGCCCCGAACATCATGATACATCCTAGGAAGACGAACGGCGAGAAGCCGAAGCATCCTGGACAAGAAAAATGATGAGCGATAAGTGTTTTATGGCCGCAGTGTCTTATTTGGGTTTAAGCCCTCCTGGCAGTTATGATTCATGACTTTCTCTTTTGGGTTACATCTTGTTTGCATTCAGAGGCGTTGTTTTCTGGTTTCTGGCGCATTGTGTTTTTGGGTTGTTGGCAAGCGGGAGTTTCACCAGGACAAACAAGCAAGCATTTCTTGGGTTTCATGTCTTGAATTCAGGATTTCTCTCTAGCATAAGGTTTTGCAAAAACAATTGTGTTTGATATTCTACAAACCAAAACGCCCCCAGTTCCTTTGCATCCAGTGATGTAATCTATATATACATGTGTTTAGTGCAAGCGCAAAACAAAATAACCTGAACGCCTCCTGCAGATCTCAAATGTTTTTGTACATGTATTGAAGATGAAAAATAGTTCTCGATAAAAGAGCTCCGAAGCCTTCAAGAGAATTGGAAGAGTCTCTGAATGAAGAACCCAGTGATTGCCTGAGAGGTACCCAGCCTGGCATGATTGGGTTTAATGAAAAGGCAGAATCTAGTAGACGTTCGCCAGCTTACTGCGTCTCCTGAGCATAGGGCCAAAGAAGTAAAGGATATACACCAAAGCCACCAGACCCAAAGAGATGAAAGCCAGAGTAGCGAACGCCCAAGTAGAACTCATGTTCTGGAACATGGCGACACCAGCATGACACATAGCTGCTGCAATCAAGAAGGACGGAATCAAGAAAGCAGCAACAGCAGAGCCAGCAACATTGCTATATGTATCTCCAAGATAGTTCAGCATTCCCAACCAGAGCAATGGATCGCAGAAACCGAGGACACCGCCTGCGACAATGGGGGACCAGTAAGAAGTCTTTCCGTTGGAGGTGAAGGCGAACCAGAAAAGGGTGATGGGGAATAACCAGACCGTGACGAGGGAAGTGAGGAAACGGGCTTCGGGGCGGTGCTTGCCGTGCTTGATGCGGTCTTTGCGGAAGAGGTAGGTTTGGACTGGCACGAAGATGAACATGCAGGTTACTCCGACGCAGAAGTTGAGGTATGAGAGACTGGCGCCGACGTAACTGAGACCATTGTTGTCGACAAAGACGGCAAATACACCGTCGAGGTACAGGAACAGGAGTCTGTCGAATGTCAGCAGGTCATCGGGGAGTAACGAACAGGGTTACTGACCCNNATAGGCAAATCCGTTGTAGAAACCGAGGAAAATGACGATGGGCTCGGTCAACATGATACGCAATGCCATTGTCAAGACGAAGCGGATCTCTTGGAATACATTGACCTTGGTCAATTCGGCAGCGACGACCTTGGCGTTAGGGTCATCGGTGTTACGCTTCTTGACCGCTCTCGCAATGACGACAGAAGGGAGTGTTTCGGGCATGAAGCACATCACGAGGGCAAACGCACCACCCCAGATGATGTTCATGTAGAAGACTNNGACATTTCAGGTCAGCAAGTAGAAGGGGCTTGAAACAAGGGGTTGATGCGTACTCCAGCGCCAGCCCATGTGTGGGTTGATGCCAATCCATTCACCAATAGGTGATCCCAAACTTGCACCATAGTTGGAACTCAGTACGAAGAGAGCCATTGGCTGACCCGCACCATCTTCGGCCNNTACACACGAATCGTAAGCAAATTGGTGCATCACAGGTACGAACATGTAACCACATACACCAAAAAGATCAATGATGGTTCCTGCAACGTTGGACAAAGCAGTAGATCCAGCAACGCCGACCAGGAAGCAGAAAATAATCAGCATTGGTAGATTGTAGGCCAAAGCACATCCAATGTTGAGGATCGCATAAAGCAGGATGGAACCGACATAGACCCATTTGCGACCTCCAAGATCCGACAATGGTCCAAGGAAAACAGGTCCAACAGCAGTTCCAATGATAAACATTGATTGGCCAAGCGTCACGACCTGTGTCGTACTAGGGAACTTCTCCTGAATGAAGGTCTCGACCGACACATACATTGTCGAAGTCATGGTCACATAAACCTGTAGCAAACAGTAGACAGTGATGACGAACCACTTCTTCCATAATCCCCAGTGCATAGGATGTGCCTCATCGGTCTCCTTGATCTGCTCCAGTACATCCAGAGGTGTTGTAGCAGAAGCTCTGCGGGCCTCCAGATCAGATTGAAGAGGTTCGCTGTGAGCAGAAGACGGCGCTGAACCGCCTTTCTTCTCCTGTTCCGCCAATACACCAGACATTGCTTCCTGAGATCAAGCTCCAGGAAAATTTCTTTGCCGTTGCGATCCGAAAAACCAGTAAAATGCCAAAAATCAACAATCTTGAGGTTCCAAGTTGTCAAAGGCAAGAGCGAATAGGCCAGTCACTCTCAGGCTTCCGTCTGACTTGTTGTTTCGCGCGCACAGATGGCGGATTGGCCGGTTGACGAGGCTACAGAATTCACATTTCCTTTCGTTCGGGATGGGATAATGATAATTATTTAGTGCTGCACGGATCAAGGTAAGAAAACGGGACCCTGACGGCGATGACGTTGGGTCCGGGCCAGGCTCGAGGCTTGAGCGCGGCCTTCGTTGCTTGACATGCTTGCTTTATTTTGTGAAGTTGAAGGCTCTCAGAAACACGTTGCTTAGCCATTGAAGTGTGACACTTGACAGACTTTGGTTACACAGACAGCAGAACAATGTGGCTTCTGCCTGTCGGAAGCGATTCACTGTCTGACTTGCGAGCTGTCAACTACTGCCAAGAGAAAGCAAGCCGACCCTTGCGGTAAACTTTCTTTAGCTGGGGGAGGCCTTTTGTTTTTCTCCATTTCAAAAGAAAAAAGAAAAGAAAAAAAGAAAAGAAAAAAAAGAAAAAGAAAAAAAAAGAAAAGAAAAGAAAAGAAAAGAAAAGAAAAGAAAAGAAAAGAAAAGAAAAGAAAAGAAAAGAAAAGAAAAGAAAAGAAAAGAAAAGAAAAGAAAAGAAAAGAAAAGAAAAGAAAAGAAAAAAGCAAGTCATTCGACTGGAGGATAGATGTGATGTGACTCTTAGCAGATCAATCATGAGCATCATGGCTGCTCGAATATCTAGTATCAGTATGGGATGGAAAGCGATTCTAGCACATACGGCCACAGTCAGCTGAAAACTGGGCATCCCGTCCGCTCTGCCATACATAAGCAGTTGAACGGCAGATTAGTACTACGGTGGGTGACCACGTGGGAATCCCTGCTGCTGTATGTTTTGTTCCTTGTCTCTCTTATTTTGCAAAAGTGTTGTGTCTGTAGCACACAGGGAGGTTGTATCATTGATTCTCTTCGTGACTGTCAATTGCATAGCAAGATTTTTATGCCTTTCCAATGACCCGTATCCCAAGTCTAAAACACTCACGGAGATGCAACAAGCATAACAGACACATAATATAACCAATAACCAATGAGCAATGACTGGGATGGCAAACGAAAGACTCGAATTGTGATCATCATAAAAAGGCGAGCAATCGCTCGGTAGAAACGAAATTCATGTCCAACATGTACCCATAACTTCATCCCCTGGCTCCACACTTCTTGTACTACTTTCAACTCAACATAGACTCGCATCAGTATCAAATCTTTGACCAAGAAGAGTTTCAGCTTTGCTGTGTTGAACAGGGCCAAACACGTGGCCATGGACCAAACACTTCAATGTGAGCCTTGGTGAGAAGAAGGTTGAGTTTTGTCTCTCTAGCATCCAGCGTAGATTGCTGTGGGAATCAAGACGTTAGCATACGTACTAAAAAGAGCCGTAAAATGATTGAGGCATCCTGAGTGTTGTCAGAAAAGGCGAACAAAACTTACCGTTGGCGTAAAGAGCATAAGAATCAGCGTTCAGGACTGAAGCAGAGCTGGAGAGACGAGAGGCAGCGTTGTAACCATAGCCGTTATCCTCAGTACCAGGGCTGTAAACACCAGGGGCGTGAGTCTCCTCGTGCAAGACGGTGGTGGCCTGGTCCTGAGCGTGGCATTGACCGGTCAGACCAGGAAGGTCGCTGAAGAAGAGGGGGCAGTAGGCGATGTAGTTGTTCGAGGGAAGGGTATAAGCAAGCACACCAGACGAGCAACCGCCGTAGATATCAGTNGCCTATCCCGAACGGGATCGTCAGCCAGGAAATTCTTTTTGAAACACGTCATAATGGCCATATCACTTACAGTAAGTACGAGTTCTGCCGCCGGAAGTGGAGCCGCAGTCAGCAGCAACGGCTCTCAAACGTGCAGCAACAGTGCTGCGGACGCTCGACGAGGTAGTCTTGAAGTACTCCTGGAACTTGCTAGCGGAGCCGGAGGTGGCAGCAGTGGCGGCAGTGGTCGCCAATCTCTGGCAGTTGCTGAGAGCGGTGCGAACAGCGCTCAAGCGAGAGCCACTGCAGTCGCTCTGGATGGTGGTGCGCTTTGAGAGCTTGCTGACAGCACTCTCGATCTTGGCTGCCTCAACGGCATCGACCTCGACGGAGAGCGTGTTGCTGGAAAAGGCAAGAGCACTTCCAGTCAAAGCAGTAGAGTTAAGATAAGCGTAGGGGATGGCGCCAGCAGCAAGGATATCGTACTTTCCGCTAGAGGTGAGCTCATACAACTCGGCGAGTTCAACCTCAACCTCAATCGACTGGCCAGCCATAATTGGCTTGAAAACATCTTCGCTAAGCTGGGTGTAAGCAAGGCGTTGCATGATACCAGTGAAAGGAGCCTTGTTTTCTGCANNGCATGTCGTCAGGTTCAATGTCATCTAGTCGGTCCCGTTGAAGGACGACTTACCTGCTGTGGAAACATGGAACTTGTCAACTGGAGCGGTATCGAGGAAAGTGCCCTTGTAGAAGAGGNNGTTGTAACTGGCCTCGCCGTTGTTGGTCACAACAGCTTTGACCTTGGAGTGTCCGATAGAAGTAAGCTTGACATCCAGAGGAGTGTCTCTAGCCTCGAGGTTGACCACAGTACAGCTGGCTGTGGTTGCCAATGCAAGGAGTTGGGACAGAGTGATCTTCATGATTCAACGATTGAATGAGTGCAGTAAGAACGAAGGTGGAGGTGATGTTGTGATGAGATGCCTTGTACGAGGAACACACACATACTTATATATCTTTGCATCTTGAGCCAGAGACGGTTGCAAGTATATCGACCTTCCTAAAGTTCTCATCCTAGCAAGTGTCATAGGCGACCTCCTTCACACATGTTGTGATTGTAGTAGATTAGCAAAGTTTACACTATTGGCCACATGAGCAGACCAAGAACGACCGATACAGGTCGGACAAGATATCAATATGCAGTCTAGTGAGCATGCAGCCCAAGGAACAGTGATGAGCAGCGTGACCTGCATGGTTTCGTGAGGGGGAAAGGGGTTATTGCATAATGTCCCGGTTTCATGTGCAGATCTGTGGATGTTTCCAATGCAAGTAAATGTTTCCGAGGTCGTATATTGCGGATGAGTGGGTGACTATGGGTCAGAACATCTGCTAGATTGCTTGGCGGTCTATAGTATCACTTATAGGTCCGGACATATTTACAGCGATTGGTTGGCGCTCTCGGTCTTGGTATACAGGAGCATTAGCCTCGCTTGCCGCGTGCTTGAATACATTTCCCGTCAAAGCTTAAACCAGAGGTTACTCGTTGTTGTTGTTCATGTGGCGGAAGGCCAGGAACCACTTCCATACTCTTTCTGCCAACCTTAAGAGACTGTAGTGATGAGTCTTTTGGCCTGGTGGAACTGTGTTCTTGCAACATCAGTGTTCCTAGCGTATGGAATTTACTCGGAAGTGCACTGGGATCAGCGCCAATGTTAGCTAGTGGTATCTTCATCGATAATTCAACGAATATCTAGCTCGAGAACGTAGATCGTATTGCGATTCCATGCAGTCAAAGTTGGCGAGCTTCTGACACGGAGGATACCTTCATTCCGAGGCTGTTGCGGCCGAAGTCTCTCAAAGTTCGTCATTGTGCGAGAGGCTGGAATTTGCATGGCACCGGAAGGACACGATCGATTGGTATGGAGCTGAGGTCGAAATTCTCCGCCAATGCTTGGCTGCAGGCTGCCAAGTGCGCACTCAAGTCTCGAGCAAGGTGGAGTTTCATGTTGATCCTGTCGACCTTCCACTTCTGAACTCGTGTTAGGCGAGCAGCGAGAGACGATGCATCTCCTTTATCGCGTGCTGAATTGATATGACCTTCCACTTCTGTTCGCCCGCGTCTCAGCATCTTGTCGTTCAGAGGACAGCTCACATGATATAGCTCCCACTGACTGACCGCTTTGCTTTACCATCTACCCATGGCAGCTCGAACAGTCATCGTATCGTTGCTTTGCTTCCNNCTTTCTATCGTCGCCATCTACAACTCTGGCGTTCTGACTTCTTCCAACATGTCTTCGTCCTCCCACGAGCAAAGCTCAACTCGCGATTTGAAGGTCCGATTGTCGTCCGGCTCATCTCCATCTGTCCTCAAAGTGACTCTCGAGAATGAGAGCCGATCACACACCTATGCGCTTCTTACCTGGAACACTCCTCTTGATGAACAAGCTCTAAACATCGGTGCTCTGACGCTCGAGGACGCCAAGACCGGAGAGGCAGTACCGGGACCACAGATGAAGGTCAACAGAAAGCTTCCTCCTTCCCGCGATGCAGTTTTGGAAGTCGCTCCTCAATCCACTGTCAGCAGAGAAGTCAAGCTCTCTTTCCCATGGCTTCCGAAAGACGGCAAGACCTATCGTGTTAAGGTGCAGGGACCATGGAAAGCTGTGTGGGCGAAACCAGCAGCCCAGGTCACGGATGAAGAACTCTCAGAGATGACTGGCGACAGCCACCTGCTCGAGGAGACTATTCGTAGTGAGAGCGTGGAATTGCAACTGGGTGAAGCAATCTTATCCTGAACAACCAGTCATGAGGACCATGTGTCTTCCGACGACAATTATGAAAGCTCAGATATGATTATATGCAGAAAACCAAAAATCACAAGATATTGGATGCCTTGTATACACTTTTGTGCACGGAGAGAATAAAACCATAACTCGTTATATGCTCAGGTATCTACCATTCTAATCTATCGTCGCAGACGAGATTGACATCGTATCTTTCTTCCGCCTTCCACACTTTTGATCCATCATTGGCTTTGGCCACAATGCTTCTCAACTCTGAAATCATGCGGCCAGGCCCACTGGCATACACAGTTGTCCTACCACAGACAGTCTCGTCAATAAACTCCTTGACAAGAACGCTCAAATCGGGATGTCTGTGGATAGGCTGATCTCTTGGATCAGAAGCCGGAATTGCAGTCTTCTGAACAGCGAACGAATCAGAAGGTGGACCACAGCAAGGGTATGCCGCAGAGGTCGAAGCAGCAGATGAAGAGTCCGGTGTCTGGTCAGATCCAGATCTGACAATAGGTTCAGAGACTGATTTGAAGTCTTCTGTGTACTTGACTTTTTCAGAAACGCTGGATTGTCCTTCGGCTTCTCGTGTAACGAAGATGCGGATGGTCAGATCGATTGACTTGGCAAGTTGTCGTACGCGATCAAGTTCTGGCTGCACCCATGCTAGGTCTGCTTTTTGGCGGATTGCCCAAACAAGCGTGACTTTCCTCTTCATAGAGCGAGGTTGGTGTGCAAGTCCAAGGAGAACAGGGAGTACGTATGTGATGCCTGTGCCTCCTGCAATACATAGTATATTGACATCTTGTGTGAGGTGAGTGGTGATCTCCTCGCCATAAGGACCGGTAAGTATGACCGAAGTCCAAGGATTCACTCCACTAGCCTGTTGCAGTTTCTTCACTGCTAGCTGAGCCACCTTCTTAGTCTCGCCGCCTTTAGCACGGAAGATGTATGAGTGTTGGACACCACAAGCCACATCATCGTGGATGGGTAGACTGAGTGGGGTGAAAGGATGAGATTGCCAAATACTGCTTTCTGGGAAGCAGAGATAGAAGTGTTGGCCAACCGCCCATGCATCATGTGGGTGTACGAAGTCAAGACGAACGACATCGCCATTGGGGTCAGAGAAGATAGTAGTCGAGGCCTTGGCAGGACCAAAGGCAACTTCACCACCAGGCAGGACGGTGTAGTGCAGAATGGCAGTACGTACAATGCGAGCGCCGCGGTCGAGGAACCATACAATCAACGCAGGAATGAGGTAACAAGATAATTTGTCCCAGTGACCAATGCAAGCACCGATATATACCATGGCCAAGATGTAATGAGACTTGCGGAAGAACTCATAGCCAGTCAGACGGATGGCCCAAGGCGTGCTGAGAGCGAAGAGAAGGAACAATAAGATCATGGCGACACAGCCCCAAATCATGTAAAGTTGTTTGATCCATGCACGACCGACTGTAGGTTGAGGTTGGTATAGCTTTGCCTCAATGATGCACCATCCAATCGTGTGGAGAGATGACTGTACTACAATGATGTATCCCAGCCATCGATGAAGGAAGTTAAAACTCTGGTATGGCAGTCCAGTAAGAAGCGAGAGGATCGATTCGCGGCTCGAGAGGAGGATTGACAACGGGGTCAAGGCATATGCGAGTATACCGATACGGTCCGCCCACGGACCGAGACTGGTGCGAGTGCTGTAGACACCAGGCATCTTTTTCACAGGTGTAACCCATTTGCCGTATAGAATGCCAACGAAAGACCAGACGGCAAGATATCCCGTGAGGACGAGAAAAATAAGGACTTGCAATCGTGTAGTACGTCCGAAGATTGGTCGTGAGAAATCGGGGAGAAGATATCGACGAGTATGTGACGAAATAGCACGCTGAAGTCGCTCGATGGCACTGCTTGGCCGAGATGCAGATGCTCGTACAGGCACAAGGACTTCCTCATCTGCACGCTTCGAGGGGAACAAGCGACGACCCATTGTCCATATGAATAAGATGCCGGCAACGGTCGCCCAGAAAATGCCAGAGTATAGCATACCTAAGTCGTGAGAATGATAGACGACATCGAGGTACTTGCAAGATCCGGGATCGTTGGTACATGGGACCACACGGCTAGCATATCCCCAATGGGGTTCTAGCGAACTGGCGTCCGTGAAGTTCTGGATGTGTGACATGGCTGCAGAACTCGAAAGAAGAAAAGGAAAAAGATAGTAGAAGAGAAGGAGTATACTTGTTAGACTACGATACCACAGCGTGGATTGAGTTGATGCTTTAAGTACCGAAACGAGGCACGTTCGTGGCCCGATTATGGTTCAACGCCATGAATCCCCACCTGGGCATAGCATGCCACAGCGTGGTGCCAAGGGTGGAATCAGCGGAGCCCAGAGTCATCTAGTCTGTCGTTGGGACGAGATTGAGCAAGTATTCGGATTGGCACGGGCTACATTTGCAGAGCTGAAACGTGGGCATGGTGCAGACTTCATCTCGACAACACATTGGACCGACTACAAGTACTGAAGTTGTATGAATGCAGTAGTCCAGACGAGGAGAGGTTTGTTAAAGTGGAGCTGCCAAGACGAAGAGACGGTCGGTCCAGGACAAATGCGGAGTGGCCGCGTTGAAGAAGCCAATCACATCCATAGATTTTGCGGATGAGGCTTGAATGCTCCTTTGATAGTGCATCGGAGTTGAGCAAGTTTGAGGTGGCTGCACGTTTGATCTCCGACTGGGCATGGCCGAACGTGTGCAGCACGTTGAGTGCTTGCCAAACTGAAATACTCTCGATGGAAACACATGGTGTCCAGCATTTATTGAGCAGCTTCCTGATATCGGTCATCAACATCTTCTTGCACCTCCGATTCAGCCGAAGTCTAAAGCATCAAAGATGTCTCATTCAATGCATATGGGCGGCGGTTCGTCGTCAGAGTGTAAGATCTCAGTATGATTACACATGCTTTCCAACATACCTTGCAGACCGTCTAACAAAAGACAGATGCTCTGGAATTGGTACACGATTGATGCATGCTTCCTCGCATCTTCCTGGCACATCAAGACCCATGGGATGTTCGCTGCCTCGTGCATCGGAGTAGCCCTTCTAGTGGTCTGTCTCGAGTTCCTACGACGCCTCGGCAAAGAGTATGACAGCTACCTCCTCCGCCAGTTCCATCGAAGAGCGACAAGCCTCCGATACCAACCGAGAGTGTCCTATGCCGCTCCAAAGTTCGATGATCAGCGTACGGCTGGCGGCTGTGGTCCAGATGCTTCTTGTGCTCCTCCTCTTCCTGAACAAAGGTTCATCACTTTTCGTGCTACCCCTGCTCAGCAGATTGCAAGAGGTGTGATTCATGCTGCGACCTTTGGCGTGGGATACATTATCATGCTGTTAGCCATGTACTTCAATGGCTATATCATCATTTCGATCATCCTGGGTGCCTTCTTGGGCAAAGTCTTGTGCGATTGGATGGTCGTAAAACTGCCGTTGGTCAGAGGAGAGCAAAGTTATGATGAGTCCCAAGACGAGGCACATGTCATCTCGGAACCTACTGTATGCTGTGGATGATTGAAGGTTGAATTGTGTCAGCGTCATCTTAGTGCTCAAATCAGTACAACAATAGATCGCAAACCCCAAAATCTCATGAGAAGTCTCCACTCTTTTCGTTCTTAACCAAGTTCACCACGCCGCATGGCCTTGGGCTCATTTTTTCACTGCAGTCAACTTGACCCACAACTTAGGTCTGGACCACAGAGTATGATGCTCAAGTTTCTCCTCAAAGTCGATACTCCTCGGATCCAGCTCAATATCGAAATTGAACAACACCTTTGCCATTACCAGGCGAAGCTCCGCCCACGCCAGATTCTTGCCCACGCAACTAGTGATCATAGTTAACGTGGCTGTTCTAAGAGGCTAAAAACTTGTTACTTACTTTCTAGGTCCGAATGAGAAGGGTTGCACAATTGCGAGGTTGTCGTTAGCATATTCTTGTGGCGGACTGGCTAGCCAGCGCTCGGGAACAAAGTGTGTCGGGTTGACAAAGTTGAGGCTGGAGCGATTGGCGATGTATTGGTTGACTGAGATGGATACNCTGAAGCAGACGTTAGTGGAACTTTGCAATCAAATCCTCGATGACCAATGACACACATTGCCCTTGCCTGAGAAATGTACACCTGCGACATCTCCACCCGTTTCTGGGACCTTCCTCAAGAATCCTGCAGGCACAGGAGGATATAAGCGCAGAGTCTCCTGGATGCAAGCATTCAGATACTCTAGATGAGCAGCAGAGTCCACGACGATGTCGGCGTTGCTTTCATAGCGGTTTCTGACCTCTTTNTTGACTTTCTCCATGACATCTGGGTTCTTGAGCAGGAGATAGCTGCAGATGGAAAGTGTGGTTGCTGTTGTCTCCGTACCAGCTGCCATGAAAAGAACAAGGTTGCTTTGCAGCTCACCCTCACGCAGGCCTTCGCCTTTCTTGCTGTCACTTTCTGAGTTCTTCAGAATGGCCGTCACGAAGTCTGGTCGTTGTGTCTCCGTGGCGACTCTGGCATCGGTCTTTTCTTTGATCCATTGGAAAAGTTCAAGACGCTGCTTGATCTGCGCTTTGTTGACAACCAAAGAGCCCAGTTTTGTAACAATCGGGAAGTAATGCATGACATAGTAAAACTTTACAGCTTTGATACTCTCAAGGATTTGGGGAATCCAGAAATGTTGCTTAGAATTGGCAAGAGATCCGAAGGGATGGCCGAAGCTCAAATCCGTAATCACATCAAATGTGAGTCCATTGTACCAGTTGCAAAGCTCGATCTTGCCAGTAGAGTCCCAACCGTCGCCGCCTGAAGCGTAATCGGGAGAGCGATCTGAGATGTCACGGAACCTGGAGATGAGTAAATCAACATACGATTGGAGCAAGCCCTCTTGTTCTCGGAGGGCTTTGTCAGAAAAGGCGTGACTGATGACACGACGTTGACGGCCGTGATTGTCTCCTTGAGCGCTTATGAGGTGCGGAATTCCTTGCGGTGCTGGCGGATACCAAGCAGGGTCTTTCTCGAAGCTTGCAGTTTGCTTCTGCTTGCCGGTGCGGAAACCGTAAATCTCTTGGAATGGGTTGTCCTTACCCGAAATAACGGATACCNNTTGATTGTGTATTAGTTTGGTGAATGTAATTGTTATGTTTTGGCGGACTGCGTGCGTGTGATCGGAGTCGTGCCAGGAGGCTGTGACCATTGCCAGGAGTGTCCGCTTTCGTTTACTTACCTCGTTAGGAGTGTAGCGAACCATTGCGCCATATTTCTCATGAAGCTCTTGCATCCATGGCAACAGAGTGCCATTCAAGTTGTGACGTATGTATGGGATGCGAGAGGCAGCAAGATACCAAGGACCAGGAACATTGCTCAGAGGGTGGAAGAAGATGGAGTAGACAATGTTGCCCAGCTGATATGCAAAGTACTGGAGGTTGTCAGTTACATTATCCGTCAGCAGGCAAGAAGGATGGTTGATACCAAAGCAGCAAAGCTGCTTGCAATCACCAGGGAATGATTGGAAGAGTCGAAAAGGGTATCCATGAGCTCCATTGGAAAGGCGGATGTGCGTCGCAGGGTGCAGACTGGTTGACCGTGTGAGAATGGAAGCAATGAGCAAGAGGACGAAGCTGTGCTTTATAGTTACAATCGTAAGCATAGCACTTGGATGCCGTGTGCCGACGACAAAGAAGCTAACGCTGGTGATCGATACAGTAAGCGGCCCACGGGCTGTACGGCTATCACCTCATCTTCAAACATGATTCACATCCGTATGGACTATCCATGGAGATTATTCTCAGACCGCATGGTCGTACTCGGTCTCGGCGCTATAACGATATCGAAATGCGAGGTTACGCACGCAAGCTTATAGAGGAATCCTAGACGAGTCGTTCTTGCCAATGGTAGGGGACCCTTGAGGGTGGAGGTGGGGTGTTAGCCGCTATGACAGGTGCGCCTTGTAACAGGTGCGTTCTGCATCACTGTTTTGCGTCCATGCTTCGCGTTCGTGCAGGCCGTTCTTGCATGGAATTAAACAAGATCTGCAAGCTCGCTCGGTTGTGACAAGGCCGAACGAGGGGTTCAGGTCGCGCCTCCTTCTGTTGTCCAGCTCTGTCTTCTTGTTACTTGGTCATAGTGTTGCTCTAGGTCCGTATGCAGGCTTCTGCGCAGTGCCTGCAGGAATGAACAAGAGGAGCCAAGCAAAAATGCTTGATGGTGCTAAGATAGAGAATATGTGTAAGGCTGTGTTCGGCTCCGTAATTCCTCGGCCCCGTACTTTTTTATCCTCCGTTTCCGTTCTGTGCGCAAACAAGCACTATGCACACTCGAGTCAAGAGCTATACTAATGCCTAAGATAAATTGAGTTTAACGAACACTTCATCCTTGTTACAGAGCTCATACATCTTAAGAGAGTGACTCCACTTGAATTGTCAATTCAGACATGCGTAACGGAACCGGAACTTTTACGGATCCGAACATCCCGACATTTGAAGTGTCTGAGCCAAGACTGTCTAGTTCTCTTACATCTGCATGAAGGCAAGGGCACCCTGCAACAATGCTTAGTATAGTGCTTAGATCACGAAGTATACCTTTCTCACCTTAGAGTTCACATTAGTGCCGTACGCGTATTGTCAAAGGATCAGTGACATAGATGTCTCACCTCATCGTCCGCTGCGGAGTTCTGAATAGAGACATTCTTGCCGACAGACAGAGCAAGTTGAATACAAAATCAATTGTATTGTTTAAGTGTACGACTCACCCCGCAATATCTCACGCAAGATTCTCATGACCAGAACCGCCAATGCGACCTTACGTCCGCCGAAATACCAGCTATGCTGCTCCTACCTTCCCACTGCTCCTCCCTTCTCCCCGTCCCTCACTCAACCCTCACTAACCGGCTCCGGCCTACTCCCAAACAAAACCTTCCACCTCACAATCTCCACAACCTCCACCTCTCCATCCCCCCTGCCTTCACCCCCCACCTTCCTTAACACAGCTAACGGCTTTCCAAGTTTCTTGACTTCGCCAGTCATGCGTTGATGCTTTCCAATATAGAAATAAACCCTCTTCATCCATGCACCACCATTAGGGTCAGAGATACCTGGTGTGTAGTAAGGGAACACTAGACGACCTACTTCTGTCGCTGTTGATGATGGAGTGGAAGAAGGGTCGGAGGATCCAGTGGGCTCGGGAAAGTTTATCGTGCCTTGGAGTTCGAGGATTGCAAGGCCGGAGGGTGTGTGTAGGAGTTGTGGGAGTGGGTTGTTAGGGTCTGGAAGTGTTGATGGTGGTGTGTTGATGGTTTTTGATATGTGCACTGGCGTGACTGAGGGCCATGATTGTGTTGACATTGCTTTTTGATGGGTTGTGGTTGATGTTTGGAATGTCAAGTGTCAATTGCGAATCTCTTGAGTAAGGCTTTGGTAGATTGAGAATTGTTGATGTGTAGGGCTGGTTGTGATGTTGGTGTTTCGTGGTCAAGAATCTGTGGAGAGGGTCTTTTGGAAGACGCGTCGCAAACAAATCGCCTTTTCGGGACGTGGAATTGGCGTCACTTTTCACAACTTTGAATGGTATCACACCAGGACACAGACCCTCAGTCAAATTATACAGGCTAATACATTTCATTGCAAGAAGAAACTGGAATATATATGTCCTTTCCAATTTTACACAAACAGAATCCACCAAAACGCCTAATGCCATGCGTCGTCGTAAGAACAAGAAATAAAAAATAAAAAATAAAAAACTATAATGTGCAACACAAGCGCAACATGCCGTAACAAGGGTAGTGTATATCCTCACATACCCTCTTCCATACTGACATGTCTCCACCAGGGTGAGGCGTTGTCCTGAGGACCATTGAGCATGTCTTCGGCGTCTCCAACTTGTCTCCGTTCGCTGACTTCTCTGGTCGCGACACGCTTCAACTTCATAGCGCGAGATGCCATGGCCAGACTTATGTTCTGCATAGAGGGCTTCTTTGATTGTGCTCTCTGTGGCGGACGCGTCAATCCTTGGGATGGGAAATCTGATGGTGAGCCTTCGTCAACCATCGGTCTGTCGATGACTGGCTGGAACCATTCATCCCTCATGACTGGTCGTTGTCACTGGAGTGGCTCCGAAGAGGAAGACAGGCGATTCAGGTGGAGATAGACATCGGTGCCGTAGCTGCGGGTTGTTGTTAGCGAATTGTCACATGCTGCAGGAAAGCACTTGGCACTTACCCCNTCCATGCTGATCAACTTCAAGTCTCCACCAAAGTACCGAGCGTACAATCTGGAGATGGGCAATCCGTATCCGAAACCTGCCATTGGTGCCTTGAAGTCGCTCTTGTTGAAATCAGGGTCAAGCGTGGGTGTTTGGTCGACAGTTGTGTACATGTAGGTCCAGACAAGAGGAATGGCGCTTCTTGGGATACCACCACCCTCGTCTGAAATCTTGATTGTGATGTCTTCCTTTCCTTCGGCCACGACAACCTTTGTAACTGGGAACTCTTCCTTGTCCTGGCCATGGGTTTCAACAACGGCACGGAGAGAGTTCTTGAGAGTCTCGAAAAGCATGTGCGACAAATGCCCTGGGACATACATGAAGTTGAGGTCGGGGTTGCAGACGAGTTGAACCTTGGGCGCATCGAAGAGACCGTAATGATCCTCACATACGAAGCGTGCGTTCTCGATGGCTTCTTGGGCCAGGTCGCGCACGTTTGTCTTTGTGCAGATAATACCGACATAATTGGGGTCCGAGTGAGCTCTTTGATCGGTCAGGGCAATGTGTTGACCAATCAGCATACGGATACCGATACGGGACATGTAGAAACGGTCGAGGAAAGCCTGGATGTTGTGGTCTATTTGCATTCGTTGACGCTTGCGTTTGTACTCGAGAATGCCTTGTGCGACGGTTGTCACGACACTATCGTGACGACGTTTGATCTTCTCAAGTGTCTTTGAAAATCGAGTGTTGTAGTCGTTCAATTCTGGCGGCCATTCGTTGGTGTCGTCGCCAGCGCTATAATAACGCTTGAGGGAGTTTCTTCGCTCGCCATGGTCATTGTTGTTGTGATGGAGCTGGGAGCGGTACTGGCCCTGGTTGACACTCGGGTTCTTGGTGGCCTCGCTCAAGATGCGCGAGTTCTTGCCATTCTGAGGCTTCAAGAGGCGTTCGCGGATTTCGGCTGAGAGGGTGGGCTTGGGTAGAGTGGTGATTTCCTCGAAGGACTGGGCGTACCAGTCTCGTACTCGGCCGATCGAGGGCATGTCGCCCAGTCCATCGGGCAGTTCCTGGAGTTCTTGTACGCGATGTGCCAGACGTATAGGTAGCTCTTCGGACATGAATTGGGAGGCTCTGAACAGAGTGCCTNNGCATGTGTGGTCAGTGAAAGACCTCGGGTGGTCGAGTCGTGTGCTGTTGTCCATACCGACTGAAGGCCTCTCGCCAAACTGGACCATCTGGCGTAGACTCACGCCGGTAGCAGGAAAGTTGGCATAATGGCGGATCGTGTCCATGAGCTCGGTCGACTTTTTCCACGACATGGCTGCGCTTGTCGAGGCCTTGCGGCCAAAAAGTCCTTGAAGGGTTGACAAGCTCGCGAGCTCAGGCTACGTGCTGGCAGAGGCTCAGCAAAGGATGATTCCGACGTCGAGGTCGCGTGTGGTATAGCAAATGAAGACAAGAACAAAGACGAGCCGTGAGTCAACGGTGCTCACGGCCTGTTTGTGTGCATCGAGCGTCACAGACCCCACGCAAACCCCAGCTCAAACCTCCATCGCACCGAGCGCCCATCTACCCCTTCACGTGCCGAGGCTGTCCCACTGCCGATTCTTTTTCGTTTATTTTGCATTTCTCCTCACTCCACGGACAATTCCAGACCGACCTCTCCATCTACTCCGTACTGTATATCCTGGGGAATCATGCCATGGCTGGCTTCTATGCATGCATATCATGACCAAAAATGGTGCGTTGTGCCGCTACAGACATGGCCGAAGCCGGACGCCCATCACAAGCGCGGACCATCTTTGAGAGAAAGCAGTCTTGCATGATGAAATTCAAGTCCAACTCTTGGAGCCTTGCTATAAGCCTAGGTCATTGATCAAAGCAACAATGCTCTCACCACAAAAGAATAATATCAAACACCCCCTCCCCCACACATCGCCCTTCTGTGACATTACTCTCGAGCTAATAAGACCCAACTCTTACTCAGCCGCTCCGAAAAAATCACAAAGGCGCACTCGTAGCGCTGTTGACACTCCTCATTCTGACCACCGCACATTCAATTATTCCTCCTGTCCGAGTCTGTCTCTCTGCGGATGAAGAGCCACGCTGACCCTTGAGTTCCTTCCTACGACCAATCGTCTTCAAGTCTGACAAACTCTTCACGCCTCTCAACGAGCGAGCACGACTGAGTAGAGACTTTCTTCGACCGAATCTTGATTTTCGAGGTTGTCCGTCGCTTTGCTCGCGCTCGGCTGCCTGCACCATAGTGTTTGCTTCTTCCAAGATGGGCGTGGGAGTGGAGTGTCTACGACGACGAAGCACGTTCGGTGCATCACTAGCCGTGGCTCGAGCTAACCATTTTGAAGCCATTCGATGCACACGTCCACGACGTTCGGATTGTCTGCGTCGTTCCTGATCCCCGTAGAAGATCGGGTCATTGTGAATCTCCATTCGTCTGGACACTGCGCGTTGAAGTTCGTGTTGAGAAACATCAAGGACATCGACGGCAATGGTAGTCTTCATCTTGGCGAGGTTGTGCAGGATACTCGTGATCTTGGTCTCATCATTCGAAGTCTTCACGCTGGGACTGCGGTGTTCCGATGGTGTAATCAGGCATGGGCGATGTAGTAACGGAGCGGAGTGGATGCGTTTCCTGCAAACAAGAAATGANCAGGAATAAGCAAGAAGCAAGTACAACTGATTCGAAAAGCCATAGGCATTGTTGATTAGAAAAAGCAATAGATCTGTTTTCCTTTGTGACCCCATAACAGAGAATGAGAGAAACGGAAAGAGGGTAGGGATGCCTGAATACAGAGCCAACAGAAGAGAAGACAAAAACCAAAGATGCACATGCCCGAACTGCAAATGACTCTTCTACTCATCAAACACATAAAGTGATCCCATATGTGACACATGAAAAGGAAATAAAGCGATACATGGGGAAGTGAAGTAAGACGGGTAAAGAGACAAGGAGATTATCATGGTCACCTTCGTCCTATGCTGCCGTCCCTGCTTGACACTGCACTTCTAGATCCTGTCGATTGCCTTTTCATCAACCGACTGTCGCGATCATTAGGACTGTGCTTTTCACTTGGCAGTGCCGAAAGCACATCGCCGGCGGAGTCTTTGACGCCCAGTCCCAAGTGTCGGCCAGTCTTCTGGTCAATCTTGAACTCAATGTACTGTTGTGCGGCTCGCGACAAGGGGNNGATAGGCGCAGGTTGCGTTGGAATCTCCGCGCCATTCTGGAGCAAGAGTTCGGCAACAGGGAAGGGTTTTCTGAGAGGGGTAGGCGTTGTTGGACGCGAAGGTATTCCAGACGGACTCAAAGCTGGTGGTGATATAGTTGAAGAGCCACTGCGTTGCTGCACAAACGAACTGGAAGGAGACGCGGGATCTGCAGCAGCGAGAGCAAGAAACACTGCGTGTGTCCCACGCGAACGATCTGCAGCATTGGGGTTTGCGCGCAATGCAAGAGCGTACAACACTTGCTGTATGTTGTTCTGTTTGATACTGACTAGTAGTGTGTCGTCTGGGCTCTTGAAGTGCGCCATGGCATCGGTAGAGCCTTGGACATACAACCTGTCGCTGTACTTTCCTGTGATGAAGTGTAGACGCTGCTCTCTGGTCACGTTAGGACCTGGTTTGAGGAAAGCATCAAGCTTGGCCTCCCAAACCATGTTGCTAACACGGTTACCGACCAGCATGAGCAGCTCGATGATGTCCGGTGTGAACGCCGAGGTATCCAGAGTCAAAGATCGCACTTTGGAAATGTGCGTGCCCAAGGATCTGTGGATGCCACTGCACTCGATACATAGGATTATGCCAAGATTGATGGACACCCATTCGACCTTTTGATCGGAGTTGCAATCGGCGCAATACTTGTTTCCAGCATCAGCTTCTCGTATCTGATTCAAGAGTGCTGACGGTGTTTCATTATCAGGCTTCATATACGTTGGCTTATCACCCGTTGTTGCATGACGCGAAACGATCTTGCTTGAAGAACTGATATAAGACGAGGTCGCATTGGTTGATGCTCGTTGGGAAGAGAATGGCGTTGCCTTTCCCGTCAAGACGGCAGCAATGGTGTTGCGAGTAGAACCGACTTTTTCGGCGCTTGGTGTGCTGGTAGACGGTCTTGATTCGAAGGCGCTCTGGAGTGCATTGTTGATCGAACCAATCCATGACTTCATATCCTCTTCCGAGGGGNNGGCTTGGTAGACGCGAGTATATTGTGGTGTAATGACTTCAAAACAGAAACGTCTGTCGGCATTGCGTGCTTCTCTTACAGATGCGACTCGCAAGTCAATAGGATCCATGTGCAAATCGAGCTTGTCTTTCCAATTGGCATATTCAGACAGCTTACCCTGATCGAGCACTATCCAGAACNNCTATCTTGGTCAGTAAATGATCATGAGTGGTGCGCAAACAACTCACTTGTGCCATCCAGCTTTGTTCATGATAGGGTCCACATGACTTCCAGGCCGGCTCAAAGACCATAACAGTCCTTCCTTCTTGATCTGACCTGCACCCACGGCAGCAGAAGCGGAATTATCTTTCTCCTCTAGATCCCTGATACCCTTGAACTTGTTGCTCGTGTTCCTAACAGGCAATGCGCCATTCGAGCTAGAACTAGTGGGAGAGGTAATGCTAGATGGAAAGCCATTGGGTGCCGAGGGAGAGGTCGACAGGGTCGAATTTCGAGGCACCGATATGATGCTGCTCGCGCGGTCGATTTGAGTGGCATTGGAGCCATTGAAGACTGATGGTGGACTCTCGATTTCTGGTGATTTGGCACTGTTGATCTCCAAAGCTCGTCTCTTTTCCTCGCGCTCCGTGCGTTGCATTTGGAACTCCATGTCGGCTTGCGAGACCTCACGGTTTAGGGCTTCTAATTGTGGCAGCATCTCTTCAACTTTCTTGGCCGTGGTAAGATATCCTCGAGCTTGTGCAGATGCGTACTTTGTGAGTTGAGAAAGCACTTCTTGTTCTTTCCGACCACCATTGAGATCGTGCATGAAAGAGGAGTAGTCGAAACGCTTCAGCTCAAAGGTGCGTCGCTTGGCTTGATATTTGGCATCGCTCTCAACGCGCTTTTTCTCCTTGAGTGACTCAGAGCGCTGACCAAGGTACTTGCTGACATATGCATAGTAGTCCTTGCTCTCTTCATCAAAGTCACGCCTCTTCGACTCTGCTTGCTTGATGTCGAGACTGTATAGCTTGTTAATGGGTTCAATTATGAGTTTCTGAAGGTTTGCGTTGTTTTGGCGCTCGTAAAGCAGGATCTCTCTAGCGATAGAATCGAAGTAATGCTCAAGAGCAGGTCGGACAGCATTTGCGTTTGAATTGGAAGCCTCCCTAAGCGCATCCATGAAAGCAGAGTGGGCGTCGTTACTGGCAGTTTGCGCGGCTTGCGCGGCTTCGGCAGCTCTCAAGACTCTCTTCATACGAGACCTCATTGTGCCAGTTTTCTGTTCCAGGGCTCGCATTGTGGCTCTGAAAACAGGACCATCCTCGCTGGTACTGGCATCCTCGGCTGGACGACCGACACAACTAATGTCAACCTTTGGCGGGGGCATGGGTCCTCCATTCGTTATTGACGGAACCAGACCAAGACCGTACTCGGGGATTGCATCGAACATGGGCGAAGAAGGCTCGCGGAAGTCGCGGTAGTCGCGCAAGTCTTTGGGATCGCCGCCGTCGGAATCACTGATAGCGCTGACTCTAGACTCGATAGATTGAGCAGATGGCACTCTAAGCCTGGGAGGGGACAAGGTGGGCGAGTTCAACCAGCGCTGTGTATCTGTNACAAGTGTCAGAATGATACATACAAGTGAGGGGGGCAGGACCGTACTGGTGACCCAAAAGGAGAAGCTGGCTAGCGTCTCGAGACGATGGGCGCGTGAGTTGTACTCGACGAANCTGCCATGGTCTGTTAGCAAGTCGTTGTGAATAGTATATGCAAGGGACTGTCATACACTGCAGGTATTGCGCCAGCCTCCGCCATGGTCTTCTGACTGTTTTGGAGGCCTCCACTTCCAAGACCACTGGAATTGTACCGAAGGTACACCGCCTGTATTGTAGTCGCCCACAAGCTCGACATTGGGATTTTTGTGTATGTTCGGGTCGGCATGGAACTCGCGTGTGACGAGCTGATCAATCTCTTTNGATGTCGAGCCAAAGACGTAGGTCAAGCCACACAGCTGAGTATCTGAAGCCGGCATACCGGTGGCAGCAACGAGGTGGTCGCCGATTGTATTCACTGGAGCCGAATTGGATTGACGCAAGACGCATGTGAAATTGAAAGTGAGCTCTTCATCGTTGGCCAGGCGCAAGAGGAAGGAGGGAGAGAGGATGGATGGAGGTTCAGGATCNCTTTTGTGCGTCAGCGCATGCCTTGAGAGCTTGAGAACAGCAGAGCCAAGTACCTGGACATATTCGACAGGGGTGTTGTCGCCAGTGTCGCGCTTTGCATTGTAGCGCGTGGCAGGGAACGAGTTGGGATTGAGCGAGACGAGGGTGCGACCACGCGAGTTGGTAATGTTGACATTTGCGATCGAGACTGGAAAGAAGGGAAGGTCAGAAGCGGGACATGGCACAAGAGGTAAGGTGTACAGACATCTCGTCTGGTCTCTGAAATAGACGGGAGCACCATCGTCAGGTCGGCTTCCTACGTTGCCCATGCTGCGAGCAGGGCGGACGCGCCCCAGCGCCGAACGAGAGGGTCAAGAGGTCAAGAGTGTCGTCTCTCGAACTAGCGGTGTATGTCGAATGCGATGAGCGAACAATGCGGATGCGCGGGCTGTGGTTGCTATGTATATACGGTTGGGATGCAGATGAGATGGTGATATGATTGGCGAAGAATTGCACTCGAGCGGCGCGCAGGCAGAGGCAGCACCTGTCGCGCGCAGACGACAAGACGAAGACGGAATTCAAATGACGCTATTAGTATGCTGCAAAGGATGAGAGGACGCGAAATTGAGGTTGGAGTCGGTCTTGATTCAGGCGCAACCATCTGCTGGCTAGAGGTAACCTACTCCACAGCCAAAGCACGGTATGCGTCCGTCATCTCTGCAAACTCCTGAACCACCGTTGCCAAACTCTAAATCTGATGCCATCTATAGACTTCCATCCCTCGCGACAGCGCCATATGCCATGTGCCATGGGTCATGGTCACGGCACCGTCATACAACCTCGTGCAAGATATCTTCTCTGTTCCAACTTGCACAAACATCCATCAATCTGTTGTTGGAGCAGATGCGAGACGGAGGCAGTGCTCGGTAATAATCGTGCTTTGGCCATGTGCATCTCAAAACGTCTCTGCCTTTTGTGCTCATCCACCAAACATGTTGTCATTCACCCTTGTTTTCATCATCCTTTTCTTCTTGCTTCGTGCCCTGAGCGCCCCGCTTGCAGCCGACTGTGTTTCAGCTTGTCGCTGATGCCTCACGCCCGTGCCGCACCTGCCCCTTGCGCCCCGAACGCCCACTCTCTAATCGCATCCTCTCCATTTCTCAGTTGGACTTCTCGACACCCTTAACCAACACGCGGTCCGCCAGACGACTGTCCAGATCTTCTCATTAACGTGTATGGCCTCACCAAAAGGTAACAAAATGTAGATCGTCTTCTCAACCACAAGCCGAGGTCCCTCGGCCAAGCATGGCGGGGAGTCGGAGACCATCCAACCGCCCTAACACCTTCTGTGCAAACCACCTGCTTCTTCAACGTTGATCTTCCTGCCTCCTTTCTCGTAATTCTCAACCACCATTGAACATCATGACTCCCTTCTCCGATGCTACCACTGTCACCTCAACAGGCACTCACTCGTATACCGCAAACTTTCCAAAGGATTACTGCATTGGCTCAGGTAACATATAAACTGTCAATACTGTTCCTCCCATGTTTCTTATACCATCACTGTGTANNGTTCCTCATGGCGGATACATCACTTCTTGCTTCATGCGCGTAGCACAGCTACACTTTGCCACAACCTTGGCCAAGCAGAACCAACCCCATACAATGTCTATGCATCTAGAGTTCCTTAGACGTACCAGCATCGGACCTGCTCAATTCAACATCAGAGATGTAAAAATAGGCAGAGGTACTTCTGTCATTCATGTGACTCTATTTCAAGATGGTGGCGATCGCGAAGAAGTTGCTGCCTACATCACAAACAGCAATCTGGCTACGGAAGAAGGCACTTCCTTTCCANCAGGCTGGAAGCTGGAACCCGCACCTCCACCCGCCAATGTCTCCGCGCTCAAATCTGGTACCGACAATACTTGGAAAGAGCAGAAATCCATGCCTTTTGCCATCTTCCGCCGCGCCAGTCAACACGTCAACTTCTACTTCCCCAGAGAAGGTCAACGTATGCGCAGTCTAGCAGATCAGTGGATGTGCTTCAGCAACGGCGAGCGTTTCACAAACACCAGCTTGGGCTATGTATCCGACATGTTCCCTCAGATCCTCGAGAGCTACCGTACAGGCAGCGACCCCTATGCCGTTGAACCTCTGCGTGATGCCAAGGAAATCAACGAGTTGGCTGCCCAGCAANAAGGCTTCTCCTCCGCCTGGTATCCGACTCTGCTGTTGAATCTTGACATCAAGAAAGTCCTTCCCGAGGAAGGTGTCGAGTTTCTATTCCTGAGAGTTCGCGCAAAGCAGATTAAGAACGGCAGATATGATCTGGAAGTCATCATCATGGACGACACCGGAGATATCGTCGCTCTCAGCCACCACGTTTGTATGATCATGTCGGCGCAGAGAAACTTGCAAGCGAGGTCGAAGCCAGCAAAAGCTCCAAGCAAGCTATAATCGAAGGCAAGATATGTTGATATCAGTGTACAGAACAATTCTCAATTATCTCGGTAACGGTGCAATGAGAGGCTGTATAGAGACGGGCCCGGCGTTTGCGTTCTTTGTTCACGACGTTTTCAAATCAACTATATTCTTGCTTGACGGCTTTTATAGTACACCATGGCCGACATTTCAAGGGCAATATTGATAAACATAGGCTGGAGCTTTTCTTCAACATGGAGGTCTTAAATGCAGGGCCATTACACATGTTCTACTGCGCGTGGTCAGACAAGGTCTCATGACCAACAATAATCGGCAAAATCCCGCCGCCTGTATATACAAAGCCAAGCAAGAGAAGTCGATCTTTCACCATACGTGTTCCCAGCATACCGGAGACTGTCCGCAACGCCGACTCGAACAATGCATCATGCTACAGAGGAAAGAGCGTTTCCTCAACTCTTGTAGTTTCCATTCGTGCTGCGATTGTAACCAAAGAGCATGAAGTAGAAGCAACCATGTGGCCATAAGGAGTAGGTAGACACACCTTCTGGTGGGCAGGTCCTGTTTCCTAGGAGCGACGTGTATCTTGAAAGCGGTATGCGTTTACACACTACAAAGTTGAGAGTCATGATCAGGTCACGACCGCCAGCCTAAACAAGTCCATGCAGCATGTAAATCCCATTTTGCGGAGGATGATCAATATCAGGGTTGTCGCATGCTTGCTCGCTTGCACCAGGGTTTGAGCACAGTGTTCACCTATATGTGCAATCGAGTATACGTACTCTCGAGTCAAGAAGGTCGAATAACCCTATCCATCTCGTGATTCTTCAACAGTGCAAATAGGTGTCAAGCTTTTTAGCTCATTTAACCTGCAGCAAGAATGGTGCATATGAGTTGTTACTTGTAGGCTGTAGCCTGCAGCCGGATAATGTAGTTACAGAGGCACGTACACATAAAAGTATATTCCAATACAGCCTCTAGAAAATAAAACCTTACATATACTAGAAAAGCTCCCCCTGCATATCCCATTGCCATGCATTTACGAATCCTAACACGAAACGGCAATAAACCACGAAATCGGCAGTCTTCGTCTTGTCACCGTGTTTATGCAAAAATGCCGGTGGGGCGTCCAAGAACCTCAACAACTACTTCCGGTGGGGTTCTCTACTCGTCAGGAAAGTCTCCTTGTTGAGAGAAGGGTTTCCACATGCGGACTCATTGCGCGAACGTGTGCAAGGACCCTGATCTTTTTCGTGGTGGTCCCCGACGACAGGAAACGGGTTGCGTTACCGCCTTCGGATGTCTTGGATGTTCCAAGCCACGTGCCAATCACTAGGAAGTTTGCAATTTGTATCGATGCGACGTCTAGGATGTGACTGATGATCTACCAGATAACTAATTACATGAAATGAAAGATTGTCGCTACACAATGCTTGCTACGATATCAATGTGCCATGAAAATGTGTCTCTCCTGCTGAGTAACAAAGTTTGGTACCAAGTGCCTTGCCGAGCGTAACTTCGACGATGCTTTTTCGAAGGATCGACGCTCGGCTACAGCTGTCTACCGGAGAACAGGACTCCACAGCAGCAACTGTACCTAACTAAGCTGGTATATCGCGCCTCGGCTTGTGTCCGAAGTATCAGCTGAGCAACTTATACAGAAGTGATAGTCGGTCCATCAAGAGCACCTTGGTCGCAAATCCTGCTTGACTTGGTTCAAGCACGAAATTTGTCTGCTTCCGGAGGATTGCGCATCCGAAACAAAAGAAAATGACTGTTATCATGATGATGGGGTGTCTTCTGGATGCAACAATGGTCTGAGCTGGCTAGCTCCAACGAGGGATTCTCAGACAGCTACCTCGCTCCACATGATGGTCCCTGGTCCAACGTCTGTAGAAGGCGGCACCACATAATGGGCAAAAGCACACTGGAGTTTGACCGGCACGTTCTCGCTGGTGCCGCCTGTAGTTGCTGATCGATGAGAACCTTCGCCCGTCGCATCCATGGTCCCAGCATCGAATTACAGGCCTGGCCACGTGCCTGCTCTCAGGACTAGGACCAGCGGAGGGCGATGGTTCGGTGTTAGAGGGAGAGGTTTCTTGCTCCGCGTTTTGTGAACCAATTTCTGAAGTCGCGGTAACATCAGATCCTGTTTCTACCCGAAGCTCAGAGCGTTGTTGCGAAATCGTGTTGTCTTGGATATTCGGGATCCCAGGATCACTGTGGTAACTTGGTCGTCGATTTAGAGTCGGTGCGGCAAAGTTCGGAACCCAGGATGTACAAGATGGCTCGTTGTGGTGGGAGCTTTGGCCGTTGACAGTTTGCGCTGGTATCCCTGACGAAAGCTGTGCAGAGGTAGATACACTACCGTCTGCGACATATTGGTAGTCTGCCTGCCCTTGACCATGAGAAAACCATACTGTCGAAGAATAGTCTGTAGGAGAAGAGTTCGGAAGGCCCCCAAATTGTGAATGATCAATGTGATAAGTCCAGTGACCATGACTAGGACCGCTCAGTTGAGGATGATACAATGCAGATGATCCGAGGTGAGATGGCCAATAATAATACCAGTGCTGGTCAGCACTTGCGGTTGTGGTATAGAAAACTTCGTCGTTTGCTGTTGATTGTTCTCTCAATTCCATAGTGAAGCTTGAAAGGGCTGAAGGATGCTTCCAGTTGTCTTCTGGCTATGGAGTCGATGCATAGATTGCAACAGTCTTGACAGGCAGTTGTGAGAAGAAGATGAAGTATGACTATCGTACGTACGAGCACGGATTCACAGACATGGGAGATTTCGTCTTCTCACGTTTCTGCTGATCGAATACTGTGTTGCGGGTCTCACCTTTTCAAGTTGAAGCGGGGCTGGCTGAGGCTTGTTATTCATCTTCGACACGAGTTGTAGCAGTGCCCGGATCCCTACCGGGAAGACGGAGCCAAAGCCTACGCCAAAGCAAGGCGGTGAATTCGCAGCGTTGACATATCCGGGCAATACCCTGGTGTCCAATCCGAACGAGCATAGGTTTGTGTGATTGGACGAAACGAGCCTCATCGTCCACACTGGCTTTGAGCCAGCTGCTCCTTCGTTGCTCCTTCGGATCGGAGGGAGCTCCTGCCCAATCGGCACTGAGCAAGTGACAGGGACTTTGAACCACTCTCAAGTTCATGGAAGTGTATTTTTGCGCCTAGATTCTCAAGGAGAACGGTGGTGACCAAGATCGACAGAAATCCTCGGGTGGTTATCGCGAGGCTCCAAGCAAAGGAATTGATCGACGATGAATGGCGTTCGAAAATGACCTTCAGCAAAAGCTCAGAGTCGTCTGCGATCGATCACAACAGATATCGGACCATGATGAACAGCACCGGCCAAAATTGACACCTGCCGCAGGGGGCTCCGTCGAAGAGTGGAGGACTTAATTCCCGAGGACAGAAGTCTGGAGCCGCGGTGCGGTACTTGTCTGACGAAACTCTAGTTCGGGGTCCTGAATATTTTGCGCAATATCACGCTAGAGTCGGTGTCTTGTTTCGCCGATTGCATGTAACTTCATTGTGGAAGATGTGAGGATCGGGGACTGTTCAGGCTGCAGTAAAACCTATGAGCGCCTCCAACGGCTTGGGTAGTTCTTGCCGAACCGTCAAACCGTTAGAGTCAAAAATCCTCGTGGCACTTAGGAGGGTCTTTTCTTGGCTAGAGAAGGAGCAACCAAGCGACCAAGGAGCCAGGGACAAGGTTTTGAGACAAAAGTTTGTTTGTAGCAGCTATGCTTTCATCCATACCGGTGCTTTTCTCATTACTGACTACTGCTCAACAACGAACATGTCTCCACTCCATCCATACGCCCTGTGTAACCGCCTACCGAAAAGCCTCGCTATATGATAACGGACTTTATCTCCAGCGTGCAGTGCATGAAACTGAATACTTTCTCCAGTGATTGACTCGGGAGGAGTGAAATGCCAGACCGAACCAAAGAGCTTTTCTACCGCGAAGCCAACCGAAAGCATTGCGTGCACAAAGTCGGTCCATGTGGTATCCCCTGGCATGTCATTCGCTGACGGTGTATAGAGAAGGGCAGAATAGGCCTTTCTTGCGCGTTTGTCGATGTACAAGATTGACCCTTCTGGAGTTGCGGTAGCTTTGGGGTCTGTTTCAGAAGTCGCAGGAACATGCGTGGCTCGCGGCTCTTTCGTGGCTGGCAACGGTTCTAAAATTTGAATCGATGTCTGTCTTTTGTGAGAGCTGCGGAGTTGAAGATAGGTCGATGACAACGGTTCAATGACAGCCTCGTGTTTTTGTTGTGGGGCGGTAGACTTTCCATCCGGCTTGTCGTGTGAACTAGCTTTTGACTTGCCATGAGTCTGGCCGTGCGTCTTCCCGTTGCTTCTACCATTCATCTTACCCTTGGGCTTGTCAGGTGCAGGCTCTTCCCATTCAGAAGTTCGTTGTAAAGATCGGTTGCCGGAAAGTAACAATCTCATAATCTTGTCTGGGAGAGCCACAGACTGTGAAGCGAGATGCTTGTCCACTTCTGACCAGAATGCATCGAGTTGAAACTCGGCTTTGTACAGCGCAGAGGCGTTGGTTTTTGTTCGGCGATTACTGATGGGGTAAGAAAATCGTCCATCCCCCTGGNNCGATCCCAATTCTGCCAAATCAACGCCCTGCCATGACATTCTTCTAAAGTTGTCCCACTCAGCAGACTTTGAGTAGAACTCTTCCACAACTTGCTGTTTGTTGCGCGCCGATTCCTGTTCTACCTCCCTCGACCATGGATAGTACAAAGACAACTGACGCAAGCACTCGGATATTACGCCGAGATCACCTATGTTGTCGACAACCAAGGCGGACTGAAGTTCTTTCGCTCTAGTGTCAGCGTATGTTAGGCGGTCGAGCTCGGCTACTAGTGTGTGGAGACCAATCAATGCACATTGTTTGTCATCCCACAAAGCGGTATAGGCCCAGAAGAGGCGATCCAAGGCAGAGTCATGATCCGGACGTGGATTCGGAATCATGCGGAATTTTGACGAGTGATGATCTGCTGTAGATGTGCCTTCTCGATGCCAGTAGCTGAGCATAGGAGGCGACGGAGGAACATGAGCTTTAAGTAGGGTTATGGAATTCGCCGCCGACAGCTCTAAGAGGTGGCGTATCTTCTTGATAGCAAATGCAAGTTCTTCGGGCAGTGGCTGAAGCGGAGACGGGTTTGGATACTTCTGCGTTAGCTTGTCAAACTTGCACATTTCTTGATGAGTGTAGTCCCAAAGAGAAAGCGACAGATAGGAATCAGTTATCATCTTTCTGAGGACACGGTTCCAGAAAGCTTTTGTCAGGCCAGCTTTATGTATGGGATGCTTCTTGCCTTGGGCATCGAGAAGCATCTCTGGCTGGTGCTCTTTCCACTCATTGACGCAATCTGCGAAGTAACTTGGGTCTTCTCGCAGTAGCCAGATGTGGTCAGCAACGGCAGAGCGCTTAGCAGAAATGAGAGACCGAAGCCGGGAACGATCCAATTGTGCCGGAATCCGATACGGGGCGTCTATGGTGGAAGATGCTAGTGTCTCGAAAACGGGTTCGTTGGTAGGTTGAGGAGTAGACTGCGATTTAGGACCAGATATTGAGTCTTGGTCAGACTCAAGAACAACATCATGGGCGATGGTCTTCGCACATGCAAGCAGAAAANNGCGCAGTATACGATTTTGTATTTCCAATATGAGCAAGGCTTGTCCGATGCCAAACAGAGATCCAGTCATATCATTGTAGGTGGAGTTGAGAGTAACGCTTGCCGAGCTTTCCGAGAACACTTTAACGTAACTCTGCGGAGTACTGTTGTTGTCGAGAACGAGCATGATACACCCATCTACCTCGTTTTGTCGAATCTTACCTGCCGAGATACCGAGTGCACAAGCACTAAGATCGGCATGACAGAAAACGTAAGGATGATAATTGCCGCGAGAGTGAAGGAAGGTCGGCAAAACTCCAGGTCTCAGGAGATCTTCCAGGTTGATAGAAGGCCACTTATAAGCATCAAGCGGGTGTGATGATTCGTTGGAAGTGTTGATGAAATTGGTCAAGTCAGGTCTGTGACACTCGCTCATGTCGTGCCCCCACGCTTCCAGCAAGACAGATCTCTTCTGGTCGCGTGTCTTGTTGCGCCATCGTTTCCGGATTAACTCGTCGTGATTCTTGATGATGTTTTTCAGCTCATGCCAGTCGGAGAAGAGGCCGTCTGCCAGGGCACATGAGGCTTGTATGACCTTGTCGAAGGGAGAGGATGGTTCCAGGGTATCCGTGGGCTCGAGGGACGGTAAGTCACCCTGCAATGATCCGAGATCAAGCATGATAGAAAGAAAGGTGACTTCGTAAGGCTGATATTCGCGACATGTTTCGAGAGCAAGGGGCGATGATGTAGTGTCGCAGGTGCAGGGTAACTTCTGCCGAGCTCGGAGGGGCGAATGCACGTCAACGAGCACAACGCGTTGCCAACAGCTGTGTTAGCAACCCTCATCATCGTAAGACAACATTGTTCTCAACTTCTCATCTGTTAGATATGCCGCAGTACTCACGCTACCAATTGAAATATCTTCCCGACGTGGGATACCGTACAGGCTCGTATTGATGTTCTCCATGATTTTCCAGTTCGAAGCTAGCAGACATATGGATGTATTGTTCTCAAGCAAAACCTCCTGCGGCAAGGCCCAATACTGGCAATCGACAACACAACTTCAATTCGTGGCCTTGTCTAGCTTGACAGCCTTCTTAATAGCCTGAATCGCGTCGAACATGGCACACTTCTCTTGACTGGTGTACTTTGTAATCGCGAGAAATGGCAGCTTAGCCAACTTCCTTCCACTAAATCCTGCACAGTCTTTGGCGACGCTCTCGAGGACCGGTCCAGGAGAGTCAAGGTTTGCGGCTCGCCAGGCTGCCAGTCGATCATAACTTGGCAAGCGTGTTTCGTCGAGGTAGCTGCCGAGGTTCTTCTTGAGATTGACGTTGTCGGGAGGGGGCAGATTCTCAGCCCAAGGCTCATGAACAATCGTTCCAGCATCAATCAGCGAGTTGAGGATATTGCTCAGAATGGTATAGACAGCACTTGCGCATGGAGGTGGTACTGAGACCACGTCGTAGACTCTGTCGAGGAAAGCTGTGTCCTGGGCAAGTTTAGTAACATTCTGCTTTGGCCATGAGCAATCAAGCCTTACGATAGACTCAGCCAAGTTGCTCGTGCAAAAGACAACGATGTTGGGCTTGCTTCTAATTCGATCAAGCGCAGTGAGGAGTTGATTGGTAGCGCGAACAGTATCCGTACACTCGCCGTTCTTTGTAGAGGCTTGACGCGATGCAGCAATACTTTCGATCTCATCAATTAACACACAGACAAGCTCCTTATCGTCGTGTGCCATTTTGAGGATCTTTTCAAACATCTCTGATACAAGCTTACCGCTCTCACTGTAGAATTTGGAGAGGAGGTCTTGTGTGTTGATTTCGAACAACTTTCCACTTCTGAAGGTGCGACTGAGCCTGATGACCAATTTTTGAGCAAGTGCTCGNGCTATATGAAGGTCAGTGGCCCGTCTCTGAACACATATCCTTGGTACATCCTACCACAGGGTTGATTTGCCACAGCCTGGAGGTCCATGAAANAGAATCAGGCGATTAATGTTCATGGCTTCCGGGAGATTGTTCGCTTGGTGCAACAGTGCAACNTTGAAATGTCTCAGTTCGGACGGTCATCCGCACGCCATAATAGGAGGAACTGGCTTACCTGTGTGGACAATCATATTAAGCATTTGCTCTGGGTTAAAGTCTTGCGTTTCATCAAATTTCAGACTNATCGATTAGATGTAAGTAGAGCAGAATTGGTGTCAGGCAGGTACAGCGTACCATTCCCAAACGCCGGCCAAAGACTCATGAGGTAGGTTGATGAGTCTTGCTTGAGAATCCTTGGAGGTGCTGAAGGTGACAGTGGTTGGAGCAGCGGCTTGTTCGCGAAGTGAATAGGCATGAACCTTGACTTGGACGTCGGTGAACAAGAAGTCGCCTTTGTCCTTCAATTCGACATCGACACCAGTGACAAGGGCGGAAGCGACATGGTCCTTGTGCTGGAACTTTTCTNNGTTGAGGTGGTGTCAGCATAAATCCTGAACGAATGGTCGAAGTTACATACCGAATTGCAATTCCTCGCCGTCGCGCACTGGATGGATGTATTCGGTGGTCAGAAAGTGACGGAATGCGTCCTCGATCNNTGGCGTCATAAGCATGTGAGGCGAAGAGTAGTGAAAAGGTCTTACTTCAGTGCGTGTGATGTACTCAGCAGCATCGGCGTCCTTGAGCCGCACTTCCACGTGAACTTGAGGCATGTCGAATATTGAAATTGTGGTTGAAGAGAGAAAGAGAAGTAGAAAGAGAGGAAAGGACTTCAACAATGAGCGAAGGCAGCAGCGAAGTGCCTTCGATTTGCAAAGATCGAGGAAGTCACGATGGAGGAAGCGCTTTCCCAACATAAACAGATCTCTATGCTCACAACTTATCTTCACTTATATCAAACAGTTCGAGCTACAGCACAATTTGGAACTATACTTCGCAGCTTTTGAGCATACGATCAATTCTCAAGGCGACTGGCGTACCATGTCGCGAACTAGACAGTGGGCTTCGACCGCGAAGACAAACTGGCCAAATATCCTGTAAAGATATCACATGAGGTGTTCGGTCTCACGCCGACGTTCGGCTGGAGACCGACTCGCACGTCGTATCGTGAGAAAGCAAGGATCTCAGACTCTTGTGGGTGGCTTTAATTAGTCGGGGCTTTTTATTCGTCGGATCTGATAAAACCCTGGTGCCGGCGGCTGGGCCAGGAAGCTTTGACCTTCGATGGAATTTCTGCCAAGCACAATGTCTGCTGTCCAAGCGGCAGAGGCAGTTACAAATTCACTTGTTCGTCGCGCCTGCATCGTAGTCCGATTGTCTTGAGAGCTTCTGGATGTACTTTGCTTGAGCTCACTAGCTACCCTGGATGAAAGCGCTCAGATTGTTGATTGGGCTAGAAAGACTGTTCTCTTCAGTTGCCGGCATGGCAAAGATGAGACACGCACCTGCCTTCGAGATGAAGATCTCCGGATCTATCCACAGATAAATGATCACTGACTTGGTTAATCAATCGGTAAATGTATGTCATTACCGAAAACCGCGATGTCGTGCCCAGAAATGTTCTCATAAAATCTGAGGGCTGACCCTTATCATATCTGATCAATTCCATCAGCCTCTTTTACCTATTCGAAGTAGTATCTTGCACGATGTATCTCTCGTTTCCGGCGTACACGGCTGTCTCGTTGCTCTTTCTACTATCGTCACCCGTCTCAGCTCGCGCCTCGCAGTTTTCCAAGTATGCACCGATACAGAATGAACGACACAGCAAGATACTTGCTGTCCAGCAAGAGCAACTACAACAACAAATCCCACAAAAACGTTCAAACCATGCATACTTAACTGATGCCACGACACCCTTCTCTGTCAATGGTTCTGCATTGCCCGAGATCGACTTTGATATTGGAGAGAGTTACGCCGGATCGATGCCGATAGGGAACAGTACAACTGACAGTCTGTTCTTTTGGTTCGTGCCAACTGCAAATCCATCTGCTGGTGATGAGATCGTGATATGGCTCAACGGCGGTCCGGGCTGCTCAAGTCTGGATGGCTTCTTCCACGAGAATGGTCCAGTCAATTGGGCTTCAGGCACATACCGTCCAGTCCGGAACACATACTCATGGTCGAACTTGACTAATGTGGTGTGGATTGACCAACCGATTTCGACTGGTTTTAGTACAGGAAATGCCACTGCGACCAACGAGAATACTGTAGCTTCGCAGTTTCTAGGCTTCTGGCGCAACTTTGTAGATACTTTCGAGCTCAAAGGTCGAAAGATTTACGTTACTGGCGAATCATACGCCGGCATGTACTCGCCATATATCGCGTCAGCAATGATTCAACACAACGACACCGAGTATTACAACGTCAAAGGTCTGATGGTCTACGATCCATCTATTGGTCACGATGGAGTGATATCACAAGCGCCTGCTCTCTCCTTTGTGAACCAGAATCGCAACTTCTTTCCGCTGAACGACACCATCAATGCCCAAATCAAGAATATTTCAAAGACTTGCGGATTGGACACTTTTATGGATACAGCCATGACATTTCCTCCCAAAGGACCTCTCCCTCCACCTCCGTCAACATACGATGAAGTGTACGACTACGAGAATTGCGACATCTACGATACCATTTTCAACGCCATCTTCGAGATAAACCCTTGTTTCAACATCTATCAGCTTGGCCAACAGTGTCCTCTCCTCTGGGATTCACTCGGATTCCCTTACTCCTACGATCAATTTTACCTTCCGCAAGGTTACGCGCAACCATATTTCAACCGTACAGATGTCAAGAAGGCCATCCATGCACCTCTAGACGTGAATTGGCAGTTCTGTCTGCCGGGTTTAGAAAATCCAATTGTTGGTGGAGAGTCCGATACTTCGCCTCCATCTGGCTTGACCGGCGGACCACTGCAACAAGTCATCGAGCACACCAACAACGTCGTTATCGGTCACGGTACTCTAGACTTTGTCCTTTTCGCCAACGGTATACTTGCTACCCTGCAGAACCTGACTTGGAATGGCGTGCAGGGGTTTAGCGAGTACCCATCGCAGCCATTCTATGTGCCGTACCATGATCATCCAATGGAGAGCATGTCAGGTGCAGGCATCTACGGATCCTGGACTTCGGAGCGCGGACTCACGTTCGTGCTGACTGAATTGGCAGGACATTTTCTGCCGCAAGGAGCACCCTCTGCTGCGTACAGACATCTTGAGTTTCTGCTCGGAAGGATTGGAAATCTGTCAGAGGTGTCGCCATTCACGACTCAACCGGGCTACGAGCAACCGAGAGGGGTTCTGAACAATTGAACTGTTAGGTCTTCGAGGCGTCAAGAGGGTGAACATCTAGCCATCAGTGTGCGTAGAGCTTTGATGTTGTGGTTGATTGCTCTGGAAGCCCGTTTGCGGATTGTGTCTCCTTCAAGATCAGGAACAAGGTCCCACGAAGTTGTGCATCTCCATAGCTAAAGAGTTGGCCGAGGAGAGCCACATCTGGAGTGACGAGAAGCACACGACATCAAAAGGCGACTGGAAGATACATCGGACTGAGATCACATCACAAACAGGGCGAAGGGAGCAACAAAGTAATTTTGAAATGTTTCGTATTCGTGCTGATCGTCTAGCAATCAATGCAAATCGGGAGCAATGATTTCATGCATCCCATGCTTCTAAAAGTACAACAGCTCTTCATGTCTCTGGTGGTTGTGATTCATGTCGTGAAAATAAAAGGCATCCATCGTCGTGAAAGGGTGGTTCGAAGAAAGGCGTGATTTACTTCTTCTGGGTGGCGGGTCTGCTGGGGCCATCGACGGCCTTCTCGACCTGACCAGCAAGACCATCCTTGGCAGCGTCGAACTGAGAGCCAATGGCGCCGTCCTTGGAGAAAGGTCCACCAACCTATTGCAAATGCTTGTCAGTACGGTGTATCTCGTGTGAAAGTGGAAGAGAAGTTCTTACAGCCTCGCCAACCTGGCCGATGTTTCCATCGGGGTTGAACTGCTTGCCAACGGCACCACCAGAGGAGATGACCGAGGGGTTCTGGGGGTTGGTGTCCTTGGCCTCACCAGCGGCCTGAGTGTTGTCCTCGATCTTCTTGTCGGCCATACCGCGGACGCGGAGGGCGGCAGCCGATGAAGGCTTGACGAAAGTCTTGGAGACGGTGTTGCGGGTGAATGTGCGGAGCATGTTGATTGATTTGTGAGATTGAATTGATTTTGATGTAAGGGAGAGAAAGTAGTGTTTGCTGCAGGAGAGCTTTTAAGAAGAGAGCTTTGGGGAAGCTGTGGTGGAGAGAGCGCATGTGGTGACACCCTGTGACGACATTCGCAGAGTCCTGACGACACGATCCAATCAACACTTTACGATGGATCTTGATCGAATTGGGACAGGACATTCGCAAGATGGAGACGGCATCTCTGTTGTTCCGATGCCATTATGATGCATGTTTCTGTGTTTGCTGTTTACAGCAAGATGTCATGCTGTCGCCCATCAAGGTTGACAGCCGAGGCTGGAGGCTCTGTTACTAACACCAAAGCTTGCCGCCTTCCCCAAGCTACGCGCCAAGCAGCCAGGGTGCGACTTCCAACCAGCATGACTTGATCTCATCTACTCGATTTCAACTATTGTGTTATCATCAAAAGTTGGTGACGGTTTCACTTCGCTCCCGAAACACTGCTACCTCGATATACAGCTCATCTTCCCTGTACTTCCTTCGGCTCTCGACACTTGCCAATGCCAATACCTGCTCTGACTCCGACGCAACTGTGCGAGTTCAGAAATCGGTCCATAATATCCCTTCATTACAGCTCGGACTGCACTTCCCTTTACATGGCCTGGGTATCGATCTCTGCACTTTCAGAAACGAGCATCTTGGGTATTTCGATGTTGACTGAAATTTTTTGAAACGATATGCAATCTCTTCGAAGCTATGGATGCTCCAGCTCTATACACCATCTAAGTAGCCTTACAAAGTCTTCCATCTTTCTGAGGTACCCAGTACTCCGATCCAACAGCAGTAGTAGCATAGAAGATATGGTGAGGATCATATTTATCCTTGATCTGACTCAACTTCTTGTAGTTCTTGCCATAAAAGACTTCCTGGAAGTTGGGTTGCTGGAAGTCACCTTCGTTGAGGTAGCAAGAGCCATTGGGGGTCAGCTCAGCAAGCTTGGGGATCAGGAGATCGGTCATTTTGTTTGCATTGGCAACCATCTCTTCCCATGGGGCAGTGAAGTTCCAGGGAGTGGTGAGTGTGGTGTCGATCAAGGCGTCACGCCAGCCTGGGTTGACTGCGTTTTCGGGGAAGCCGGAGCGAGCGAGGGAAGCGTTGATACCGACACCAATGAACTGTCCGCCGTTCTCATTGATGAAGCGGAAGGCCTCGGTCAAAGCAGTGTTGTTGTTTTCGACCACCGAGCGAGGGATCAGACGACCACCATACTGTGCAATGCCGACCTGGATAGGCGAGAACATGGTGTTGAAGTGCTCAAGGTATGTAGGAAATTCGCCAAAGTAATGGGTGTAGGTAATATTGAGTTGATCAAGCTTGTTCATGAAGGGGGCCAGCATTGACTTGAGCTCATCCAGACAGATACCAGGAGCAGTAATAGGAGAGATGGCGAAGGACTCGTTAGTGAAGTACCAAACGCTCATGGCTCCTGCATCGACAATCTTGGGGAGAGATGCATGATAAGCGGTAACAGCTTCGTAGTAGTTGTCCATGGGAATGCCAGCGCTAGTGAAGGTGAGGTTGAAACCAACAGTAGGTGTGTCAGGATGAAGTTTCGAAGTCATGGAGAGGACAACGCCGTAAGTACCACCGCCGCCTCCAGACAGAGCCCAGTAGAGCTCGGTGTTCTGGTGACGGTTGGCAATCAGATGGCGACCAGTGCCAGTGACAACCTCCCATTCCAAGACTTGGTCAGCACCTAAACCATGTTTGGATGTCAATGCAGAGTGGCCACCGCCCTGAGAGTAACCTCCAGCAATACCAACAGTAGGGCATTCTCCACCGACGACCTGATAGCCAGCAGCATCGGCAACTTTGTAAGCTTCGCCACCTTGGATACCGGCGCCGACCTTGATTGCTTTACCAGTGTAGTACTTGTCGGACCAGTCCTTGATCTCGGTGTCCTTAAGATTGGCCATCCAAAGACCGAGCGCTCCAGCACCGGTACTCTTGCCATTGTAGTCATGTCCAGTGTTCCGGACAACCAGGCGAATGTTGTGGTCTATAGCAAACTTCAAACCGTCGACGACGTCGTTGGCACAGGAGACATTAATGGCATACTGGACGTAGGTACCAATGACACATTGAGCCGAGCGAGGTTGGAAGGGGTCGCAACTTTGATTAGCGAAAAAGGGAGCCATGACTGAAGACGAGGATGGCAGNGCTTGAATATGTCAGTCATGGTCATCGGTCAAATCAACCGTTTCGACATACTGAGTCTCGGGGTCCAGCCAGCTATTCTGTAGCTCAGCACATCTCTCCTCGTCATAGGCAGCATACTGGTCGTCATGGCAAGCAGCAGCGAGAGGAACAGTAGCAATGAGACGACCACTGACTGTCTCATTCAAACTGTTCCACTCCTCTGCACTTGGCCAGCAGGCATCTCCAGGAAAGCATCTGCAGTCAGTACTGTCGGCAGAGGCGATTTCGGCTCCTGCAGAGAAAGAGACAGTCCCTGTTGATGAGGCCGAGACAATAGCGCCGAAAACAAGCCCAGAAACAAGTGTGGTACGAAGCATGATGGCGATGTGTATCAGAAGGCGATAGAGTTAGGAGATCCCTCGAGGTATATAAAGGTTGGCGAAATACAGGCTTGGCTGTCAGACCGAGCACACATCAGGCTGGACCTGAGCATCTAGCGAGTCCCTGCATGGATGAACTAACTTGCCGAACCTCGTGGACCCAACGACATCTCTCAGAAGGACCCGAGATGCGGAGTGGCAGGATAACTCGGCAACTTCAATCACTCACTGGAGGAGCTTTCGTCGATCAAGTCGATTTGAATGCGTAACTTAGCGACGCTCATGATCATGAGAGATATATGGATGCTCAAAGTTATACTCAAGAAGGTAATGCTACCGACGACCGTAGAGCTATACACGAAGCTTGGACCATTTTGCCCAGCTTTTAATAAGGATCGTTCGCGTAATACGGACAGGCTACAGCTGCCGACCGCTCCTTACATGCGGAGAAAGCTTTGATCTCAACGCAACTGCTGCATACATCGGATGGATGGATTACACCTTGTCAAGAAGGGCAGTTGTTTGGCAGGACCACATGGTGGTTTCTGCTGCTGAAGTCCTGGAGAATTTTTGAAATTGTGCATCGATCCTACGGACGTAGAGAGACAAGCCTGTGATCAGGTGTCATTCGAGAAAGCTGTTCGTCGCTGTTCGCCAGTTTTTACCGCCGAGACAGTGTTTCATCTGCATGGTTCGTGAGGGATCATCTCGTATACTGATCTCCCAGTGATTCGGGTGGGTGGAAGTAGGGCTGTCGAAGTTTCTTCAGCTTCCAATTGGATGTCGCCTTGAGAAATGTGCGTGGTTTTACAGTCAGGAACACCGAAGGTATCGAAGCTGAGTACGAGGGATGGGCGACCGTAAGCGATAATAAGTTGTTGAGGTTGTTGAGTCTGCCTTTTCCTATGCACCCGTCGGCGCGAAGAACTATTTCTTGATGCATGGTGAACTATATTTGATAGGCTTCGGGTAAGCTTGCGTCGAACAATCTTCTCTACGAGAGTATACCTGGCACTCAAGTGATCTTGTAGATCATGTCAGGTCGCGTCGGAAATTCATGCGAACACGAGGGCAGTTGATGGAACGTGCAAATGATCGACTGCTATTGATCTTCCGACATAGGATTGGCATCATGTCATGGAGGGTATCATGCGAGGCAGATATGAGCCCTTGTGCCGTCTCTCGTCTTTGCGCCAGCATGCGGTGTTTCTCCATCGAAATCACAAATGTCTGCTCCACCATACACCTTAGGGTGGGTTCACAATCTCAAGACTGCGCCGAAGGAGAGTGATGCGCAGGGCATCATAGCACTTGCAGTAGTCTTTCCTGTTCTGGCTGTCCTCTGCGTCGGGCTCAAGTTCAAGATTCGAATAAAGACGATCGGATCAGTCGGGTGGGACGATATTGCATTGGCCATTAGTTGCGTGTGTATCATGCGGTGAGCGGAGCAGAGCGGAGACCATGGTTGCTGACTTCCATATCAGGGATTGAACATTGGTTATAGTGCCACTGCTATACACCGTGGGTTGATTCGCCGCTCGAACATTCGGAACGTGTACTAACCAGGCCTGTATTACANNGAGACGAAATGGGGCCTTGGTCTCAAAGCGGCAGACTTTCCGACAGAAAATGCAGTGCCCTTCAGTAGAGTACGGGAGATCAAGAGTCCTCTCGAATGACTATTCGTACTGACGATGTCAACAGNNATTCAGTTTGCTGGAGGACCACTATACTGCCTCACAGTCCTGGGGTTCAAATTGTCGCTACTCATATCTTATCTTCGGGTTGCTGGTTTCAATCGTACCTACGCCACTGTCGTTTGGACAGTCTTGATCTCTGTCGTGATTAGTCAGATCCTGTTCACCATACTACTTTCGGCTGGTTGCCGACCAGTCGCAAAGCAATGGGACCCCAGCATCCCCGGCAAGTGTCTCAACGCTTTACCTATATACTTCGCTCTCGGCGGAACCAGTCTAGGATGGGACCTGATCATCATCATCCTACCTTTTCCCATCCTGCGAAGACTGCAACTAGACTTCCATAGAAAGGTCAGTCAGGCGACCCCCAGTCATAAAGCGCTTTGCTGACAAGATTCTCTTGNNAAGATCGCGCTGTTCGCCGTGTTCAGCTTGGGTTTTTTCGTCACCATCGTCCAGGCAATCCGGTTGACAAGCATCGCGAGGCTTGCGACGTATACGGACTCGAGAGGGTCAATCGAATGGTCTGCTGTCGAGATTAATCTTGGAGTGGTTGTCGCATGCGTTCCAACATTTGGACCACTGATCAAAAGGTTTGGCCAGAAGGTATCACGAGGCTCACGATCGAAAGTATCCAAATTGGCCAACTCATCGCGACGGAAGACAAATGAGACACGCAGCCGAATCCCAGCAGAGAGAACTCGCAGCTGGAAAGGCCCAACGGTGGCCGAAGATGAGATCGAGCTATGGACGTCCACAAATCGCATTGCCGGAGGCGCATCTCGTATACAAAGCTCAGCAACGGGCTCAGACAATGATGAGGAGGGGAAGCAGAGTGCACATCAATCTATCGACGAGCGACAGATCCGGGTCCAGCGCGATGTTACAGTGCAACACGATGAAGCTGTTTGTCAGCGTGTATAATAGTCGACATCAATAATTCGCCGAGAAAGACACCACCAGAGATCCAGGCTCCCAACAGTGAACTGGCGAAGGCCGGTTGTGGATTTGTCGCATAGCAAAGCTTCTGCTGCTGCTGCCGTCGCAGTCCGTTCCTGCCAGTCAAGCTCTCTGGTATCGGCCGTAGAGTGCTCAACCACAGCGTGTACGTTTTTCAGGTGGACTGCCGGTTGTTGAGTCGCGCCGTCCTTTTACATCCACGATCACAACAACGTCTCGAGACGCGGCGACAACGCACACGGGCATGGCTCCGAAATCGAAAGCGGAGACGAGCTTGCGCGATGTCGTCGAACTCTGTTGAAGGAATGAGAGTCTTGGCAATTCGCGTTCGCAAAACAAACTCGAGACGAGTAGAATTGATCTTCTGCGAGTCACCTGAGTCGTGAAATTCTTGGAGCTCAGGAATTCTAAATGGCAGATCAGAGTGGCTGATGACCAGGTGATAATAGTTATGCCCGTCGTCAGCCGCATCGGCCAAGATGACTTTTCGGCACTTGCCTGCTCAGGAAACAAGCGCCTTCCCTTTCCGGCGCTGCCGTCGTGCTCACGTCTGAGCTTCTGCCTCTCGATCAACAATTCGTCTTTGCGGCTCAATAATTCCCACTGCGTACTTTGGTATGGCGGCCGGTCGCTCCAGGCGTTTTGTCAATGAATCACTGTCCCTCAGAAATGTCACTGGCCGCTAAACACTCCGGACGAGCGCGGTCGAGTCGTTCACTTCATTCCCGGGTCCCCGACTAGAGCTGCCGTCAGTGCTGGCGCGAAACATTGGTGTTTCTTTTCATTCATGTTGATGCTTTTGCCGCGGCACCAATGTGGTCAACACTGTGAGGCAGCCTACAAGCATACCGGTGCCAAACACTTACGCCACTATTCATGGTTTGCTCGGATCTATGGCACCAATGGCATTGTATTATTGCGTCCTCTTAGGGAGGAGAGCCAGGGATGATGCAACAAGCCTTGGACGAGCCACGTTTAGACACTGTACAAGCTTCTCTGATACACTGGGACGTCTAACTCGTTCGCTCAGCGTAAACATTACGCTACCTGGAAAGCACTGTCACGCTGAATTTGGGATCTGGATAGCCTCATAGTCTCCAGCTGAATGTGCAGTAGTTCGCGCATTGTGATGCGGCTGAAGGACCAACCAGCAGTATCCAGTCATATTTAATTCGGACTTCACATCAGCTTGTAGCTGCTCTAATCCTCTCGCTCGTGAAATCGCGAGTCGATTGAGCTCCACTCAAATTATCATCTTTGCACGTCTAACTTTGTTTGGGCATGCATACGAGCCTTTCAGTGTCAAAGAGATTCTGGCTGTTTTGTCGTCTTGTCAACTGGATCTTCAGTATGCTTCAGTATAAGGCTGTACTTGCTCTTTCAGCCGCAGCATTTCCGTACGATATGCGGCATCCATGGCTTCTTCGCTTTTTTACCTCAACTCCGCTGTGTGTAATTAGGGCTACAATATCTGAACGATCTCAAGGAGCCGATTTTGGATGTCCGTACAATACGCCAAGACTGTGTGGGGACGTATAACGTACAGCCACACTTGGATTGAGGGAGCAAGTACGGAGTAGTATGTGCGGTTTCGACCATGCTTTTGCCGTCGCTTAATATTGCCCAGGCTCTGCACAATTGTACTTGTTGGACTACGAGCTCATATTCGACATGATTTTCAAACGGAATACCTGTTGATCCTTTATCGTCCTTCGGTGGTCCTTGGTCTAGGCGGTCTTTTGTGCTTCCTCCGGAATAGACTCCAGTGGCTGTCCCTGCCAAGCAGACTGCGTTACAGCTGACTCGTGCATCACCGCACCCCGGGCCGAATCCAAGACGAGGCTGACGAGCCTAACATTAACTTCCTGTCGTGTCAGAAAATTCGATGTCAGGATGCTTGCTATCGCTGCCAACTACCGACATCCTCTTCAAATCCTCAAGCCTCATTCTTCCATGATACCCGGTAAAATGCGTCAAGGCTCTGAGCCTCCAACGTTGAACTCCTAATCCCGACAAAGCAAATCTGGTTCACAAACTGTTCATACAGTCAGTATCAACGGAATTTGGACTCCGCTGGACTTTAGCGACTGCTCAACTATGCAAAACGGCCTCTATCAGAAACAACTGGCTGGCGGACCTTGAATCCTACGAGGTCTTGCGTCAAACTCCAGGTTTCGGTCCACACAGCCCAGTATCAGAGCGTGGATGCATGGTGGATTTGCGACTCTAACGTCCACGTTTCAACGAAGATTATATTGCTCGGATGCTTGCCGATGCACCACCAGATACATTGACCGTGGCTTGGATCATACTATACTACTCCAGTATCTTCGTAGATCTTCGTCATTTCATCAGGATCGCTGGAGATCCCCGAAATGGACAAGAGAATTTCAATCTGGACCTTCATGAGATTGTGATGTTGATTGTATTCACTACTTTCTGCTGCGGGACAATCTTTGCTTTGTTCCCGCGCGCCAACTCTAATGCTAGACCCTCGATGACAAGCACAACAGCGCTCTACTGAAATCTTATTCATGAATCGCGACATTCATCCCCAGAGAACCCAACTACTCGACTCAGATGCTTCGTCGTTGCACATGTTGCTGGCTGGAGACTATGCTTTTCAACTACCGACACTTGCCGCCACGGCGGGCGAAACTGTATCTAGCTTGGCTGGTTGATCTTGCCTGTCAGAGCATATTCATTCGAAACCAAATGGATCTTGGTGCGGGACCTCGGCCTTGACAAATCTGGCACTGACTGCTATTTCTTGTCCCAAGTCCCCGACTCTTGTCAGTCTGCTATTTCTGCTATAGATACTTGGGTCTTTACCCTGACCAATCCAAGCTACTATCTGTTCTTACCCCTCTACCCTGGTACTCTGAAACTGGCGCAATCATGGCAGCAACCCAAGCGCAGATTGCAATGATCAAGGCTCTGGTAGACTCAGGCATCCCTCTGTCAGAGATACCTGCTGGCCGGCCGCCACCTGGACAAGTGTCTCACATCCACCATGCCGTGGGTAGAACACACATGATCACAACCTGCGACATCATCTGTATGGTAATCGTCTGCAGCATCGTCGCCGCACGATTCTATACACGTGTACGCCTGGTGAAGAGCCTTTGGTGGGATGATTGTGAGTCTATACTGAGATCCAGATTCCGTTCATCAGTAACTAATGTTTTCAAGNGGTGCACACTATTCTCTCTTGCATGCTGGATTGGTGAGACGGGGTTGTTCCAGATGGCCTGCCGCTGGGGTGCAGGCAAACACATCTACGACCTCCNNCCTGTGTCGTATCTCTATCCCAACTTGCTGCGTGGATGGGTGGTATGCGCGGTGATGTACAGCATAACCATGTTGTTCGCCAAGCTGTCCATCTTGATGCTCTATCGCCGCTTGTTTCCCATCGCCAACTTTACCAAGCGTTGGTGGTTCGTAACCGCCTTCACAGTCGCATACTCAGTTGGAGGTGCATTCTCCTCACTGTTCCAATGCAGACCCATGGCTTCTGCGTGGTCTTTGGATATTGTGCCTGAGTATTGCATCAACACCGAGAAGTTCTACACAGCCAATGCGGCCCTGAACATCGCGTCTGACCTTATGATACTTGTGTTGCCGGCTCCTATTGTCTGGAATTTGAACACGGACGTCCGCAAGAAGATCATCCTCACAGGTCTCTTCTCAATGGGTTAGTCACTTCGTCAATATTGCCAGTATCTTTTTAGAGACCGATCTAACATGTTTCCAGGTTCTGTATCCTGTCTCGTCAGCATCCTTCGTTTGCGCTCAATCGTCGTTTTGTACAAGGACGGCTACGATGACTTGACCTGGGGCCTCGTCGAAGTCGTCCTATGGTCGCAAGCCGAGCTGACAGCAGCAATGATCTGCACTTGCACACCCTGCCTGCGACCACTGTTCGAGAAGATCACGCCACTCTTCGCTTCCGTCGTAAGCTCTAGAAAGGGCACCACCGTGAACAACACCTACGGCAGTGGAAAGTACGTCCGCACAAACGACTACGGTCACCGCAGCACAGCAAGCAAAGCAACCTCGATTGCAGACCTCGAGATGGATTCTGGTATCCATAAGAAGGTGACTGTGGACGTCAGTGCTATGGGTAGCGATGACAGCGACAGCCAGAAGAGCATCATTCGACACCAAGGGTTTGACCGCGATTAAATATTCCAGCATGCAAGGTGTATTGAGTTAGGCATGGGAAGGGCATAAAGAGGCTAGCATATCATAACACGCTCCGCTGCGTGACAGCATATTTCTTTTGTTGCATTGGGATCCACTGTACTGTTAGAGAGCGACAAAATACATCATTCACTTCCGCTTACCACGAAAACTGCGTTTGGTGATTTTTGTCAACATAACTGCTGAGCATGCACTGGTCGATGCAATATTTGACATGAGGCGTGTCGTTGTTTAGATCGACGCCAGAGTGACGCGAAAAGGTTACGCGCAACTTCGGCAGTCGGACATCTCGCCGAAGTAGGGCTCACTCTCTAGCAATTGAAAGATGGGACGACAACAGGCCATCCAATCCAGGAAGAATCGAAGGTGAACGCAAGATGGGTCAAGACGCTGGAGCTTCAACACTGTGCCATTAGAGCATTTGACTGAGAAACAACGATTCTATATGTTCAGCTCGAAGGTATCCCAACACATTGATATTGGCGAGGCCTCGCAGCTTTCGAGCAAAGATTTCACAATTTTTGGCTTAGTACATCGCGACGACCTGAGACACTTCCCTGGATGATACAACATATCCATATGGCTATAGTAATTGCTCCGATATGTTTTAATATGCAATTCAGTCTATACTGTTGTTGCAATCGAGAATTGAGATCTCTGTAGCATTGTTAGTGGTGCGACCCTGTCAGCAACTACTTTTGGCCATCTCAAGAAACCGATCCTCGCAGATTCTGGCCAGATTCTGGCAGGAGCGACTTTTGTCCTCTCCTCCTCGGGGCTCGGCTTTCGTCACTCGGACGAACGAACAGCGCGAATTGGTCATACGCTTCATAGGAGTATCATACATAAACAACCCGTGGTGAGTATCAAGCGGTTGCTCAACCGTGTCTTCAGATTCAAGTCACATATGTTTCGTCAAGCCGTTCTGTTCTCACGGCTCACATCGCATAACCTCCGCTCTATCTCGGCATCAAGAACGACGCGAACAATGGCAACAGCCAACAAAGTCCAACTCACCCTCGGCGAATGGCCTGAATTCTACATCAAAGACATCAAGCAGGAGTCGGCAACAAAAGCTTCGAATTTACTACAAGAGAACCATGAGAACCATCACATCTTCTTCAACACCAGTGGCTTCCACAACCATATCGCCCACCATTTGCTAACGATATATTCGTTGGCTGCGACTCCTCNNTCGCAGATACAGAAGCACTATGACGACAATGTGAGCTACCAGCGACCACCTCAGCCTATTGAGCCAACCATCATCAAAGGCATGGAAGATTATTCGCAATTTAAGAAGTATCTGGGTAAAGAGCGATACTATAACGACTTCCTTCGTTTCTTCCAAGCAGAGATGGACAAANAAGGTTGGCAGCAGGTTCTTAATGAGTACTTGTTTGCTGGAGACGATAGAGCCGATGATTTTCTCACCCGAATGTATGCGGGTTTCCTCCATCCAATCATTCACTTGGGCTTTGGCATCGAGTTCCATCAGCCCGCTATCATCGCAGAGGCCCTTGCTCAAGCTGCTGTACATGATTCTTGGATGAAGCCTTTGTTCCAAGGTGCCGAGAAAGCCGCCAAAGCAAGTACTGGACCCTCCAAAAGCGTCGTTGAGTTGCTGGACGAAACACACGCCGAGAAGCGTCTAGCCAAAGCTGCCGATGTGGATGGCAACCGCATCCGCGATGGCATATTGAAGACTGAGGCACAGACAATGATCGACATAGTTGCTCAGTATCACATCAGCGATCCCGCAGAACTTGAAGAGCGCACAGCAGAAATGACAAACGCAGCCGCCTACTTCAGCGGTGCCGCGCAACGCCGCGACAAAGCCGTCAAGTTTGACTTCTTCTACATGCACTGCATCAACTGTTCGATCTTCTTCTCTGCATTCCTCAAACAAGATTGGCTGAGCGACGCCAACAAAGTCCGTCTGTTGGAGTGGAAGGTCCGCAACGACATTACATTGTACGCATCGCGTGGCTGTCCAGATCTTCTCCTTGACGAAATTGCAAACTACAAGCCGAGCAAACCAACATCTACTGCTACCGATCCTTGGCATGATATTATTGAACGTGTCAAGAACTTTGAAGACGATGGACATGGCTCAAAGTTGGTTAGAGCCTTGGCTCATGGACAGCAGATTTGTAAACCATATGAGAACAAGGGGAACTTCAGGATCAAAGAAGATACGTGGTTACAGCTTGGCCATATGGCAATCGACTCCGTCGAAGGTTCCGAGCCTACCTGGGTTCGTTCAGCTGGCTTCGACAGTGCCTGGGCGAAGGTTCCAGACAGATCTCGTGCACAGCTTTAAGATCTGCAGGAAGCATCCTTAGACAGAACATCTTGTCACTCTTTAGGCTTTGTTACGTCGACCACGAGCTCTTGCTCAGTTCGTTGTTTACATCCTCATTGCTTTGTGCTTTCACAGATAGCTCCTATACTCAGTATTAACGGCTTGCTCACGACATGGCATTCCCTTGAATCCTTGGACCCTTCAGCACGTGATATGTTGTGTGAAAGAACTCTTTCAACGATCAAAGCAGATACAGAAGCAATGTTTGCTGCCTGAGTGTGCTTTTTGGGAGGTGCTCGTGAACTTCTGCCTGTGTGTCGCCATTGCGACCTCCGGATCGTTTGAGAATGTTCCGGATTCTCCATCGTTCTCTGGACTCGCCAAGTGACTGGTCGTCAGCAAACACAGCAGACATAAAACTCCATCGCATCTTGTCGTGTTTCTCATCATCGCAACTCAGACAGTCTTCCGGCCATGGATGACCCAGCCTTCATGCTCTTGCAACTGCAAGAGAACCTTCAATTCATGCGAACGCAGTTCGGTGCACACGTCCTCTCATGTGTGACCCATGATTCTGATGGTGAGCCTTACTGGACTTATGTTCTTCTAACCTACGACAACCACGGCAATGTGCAGGAGTACCATGATCCCTTCGAGGGACGTGCCGAGTGGACCAACCAACCCTTGGAAGCACTCAAGCAGCTGCACTTGAGAGTTGCTGGTTTCGTCACGAAGAGATTGGTTCATGACTGTTATCCTCGCTTGAGAACTTTGGCTCAGCAACGCTACGACGAGGAGGTTGAACACGATTCTGCGGGTGCAGACAACTATCCCAACCAAGCACATCGTGGCTCGCAACCAAGAGCCTCCTCATCATCGCGCGTCACCTCAGAACTTCTCAGGGAACGAACCTCTGATCCTCNNCCTTCATACCAGACTCAGGACTTCATGAACACAGCTCGACCCTCTCATGAGACATTGTCCTCTGTTACCAGAACTGAACTTCGCAAGAGGCAGGAGTTCGAGGACGGCAGAACGATCCAGCCTCAACAACTTGGCCCTGCTCATTTCCCACAGCCTTCTCATGCTTTGGGCTCGGAGACCTGGGGTTCCATGGACACAAACTCGCAAGTCTATCGTTACGGCACTCTCAACAGTTCTGGAAACAGTAACTCCATGTCTCAAGAGGACTATGTGCCTGCTCAATCAGCTCGTTCTGAGTCGACACAGACTCGATTCCGCACTGCAGAGCCAAGCGTGAACTCTTCAGCATTTGAGACGAAGCCAGCACGTCAGACCAATGTCAATCCTTCCATCTTGCCTTTGTACGGAGAAGCCCAGCCACACTCTGGTGCCAGGAGCAATCTCTCCGGTGTTTCCACACAAGCAGACAATGTCATGAGAAGCAGCAGATCTCAGCTCTCGCGCCCTGCTGTGACCGCCAACCTGACGCCTCCTTGGATTGGCAACATGCGCATGCCATCAAACTCCAACGCTCGTCCACCAGCAAACACTTCCGGTCTGCCACAGCCATTGAGCTCGCATCCTCCACCATCAAGCAACTCTGTCATGATGATGATGGACCCAGAGACCTTAACAGAGTTCGAAGAGTTCAGACGCAGATCTGGAACTCAACAGCATCGTGAGCTTAACACCCTCGATCGCATCGAGCAAGAAGCTGCAGAGTACTTGAACCAAGATACTGCTGCACCACCTATGGATGAAAAGACTCTTGCCTCGCTGGCTGCACGTCTCCGCGATTATGGCATCAAGTCTCCTAGGAGCGATTCGCCGGCTTCTCCTGCTTCTGATGAGACGGTTACGCCTTACAATCCTGCTTACCGTCGTCTTAGAGTGACACAGAGACGCTATACCAGCAATCAGACTGGGGACCTTCTGCCTCCTTCTGCACCGTCTCCACCGCAGAATGCTTATTACCCCTCCAATGTCCCTGTGTACCGTCCTAGCCTAGTGACTGCGCGCTCCGAGGCATCAATGCAGAGAGTCCCTAGTATCATGAGTGCTCGCAACAGTAGAGTTCCTTCTAGCAACGCAAGCATGGGCCGCAATGTCTCTTTTGGCGAGGGAAGTGTTGTGAGACAGGTTCCTCAGCCCACTCGCGTTGAGTTCAACAGCGATGAGGGAGGTTCGCCTAGAAACGGCGACGGAGGACAAGGAACCAGATATCCCTCTGCACAGCGTCAGCAGAGCACAGGTGAGCAAGTACGTTTGACCGGTCGCCCTTCCCCACCACTCCACTCACCCCTATTCCTTCCTCGCACTAAAAGAAGTCCATACTGACGCTATCAAATTCACAGCAGGTGCAACCCAGAGGTCNCTCGCACCTTCAACGCTAGGGCCCGCAACACCATCAAAGCAGTGAGAAGAAAAGTCAGCGACACCATCAGCGGCAAGCGTTTTGCTTCCATGCCTTGAAAGTGCCTTTCCCACCCCCATCTCCAATGTCCCATTACGCCTTTCAGAGCATTGCTGGAGTTCAGGAAAGAAATGGAGATCCAGGAGAGTTTGATCGGAAAGAAGGAGAGATTGTATCCAACACCGCTAGAACAGATTGAATAGAACGAGCAGTAGCACTCCCAAAAGCAAGTTTTGAAACATGTGAGAACTATAGAAAGGACAATGAGCAAAATGACCACCTCGCGTACCAAGCATGCACCTTCCACCCATACTCCCCACTATAGCTAAAGAGCAAGATGTAGAACTATGAAAAGGCATGATTGTTTTGCAAAGCAGAGGCGTGTCCACAGAGAAGTCGACAACTTGATGCTTCTCAGTGGATCTTGTTTTTGTGTTACTATTGTGCATTTCGATAGACACTTTATCACACGGTGAGGCAAGAGGAGACAAGGATCAAAAAGGAGGTTCAATAATTAGGCAAAAAATCGAAACCGTCTTTTCATAGATTCATTTGTGGCTCTCATGTCACTTTGTTGTATATATAAAACGCCGGGACCACGAGAACAAGAATCAAAGAGAAAAGTAGAAGAGTAAAAGAAGGATATGCAGAGAAAGAAAACAAATAGCTGATAGATTCTCCACCACTGCTGATTTTCTGTGACAAAAAAGAAAAAGGAAAAAAAAGAAGTGTCCAGAGCGGACCAAGAAGAATGGGAAAGTAAAAGAGAACAAGGTTAGACCAAGAAAAGATATGAAACGTGTGTCGAAGTAGAAGAGAAGAAAAAAACATCAACGCACAAAACACCTTGCAAATTGAGAAGACGCCTCTGTCTCACTTGACATCATGTCATCTTGTCCCTGATGAGATGTCACATGCTTCTGGCATTCACAGCTGCCACCCTCATCATTGCTTGTACTTGGCAACGTGATCAGCAGCAAAGGAAAAAGCAGAACCGCTTGCTTGTTGGTCAGCAGGACTGCGAGGACTTAATGGCAATGCAAANAGATCATCCTCATCAGCAGCTGAATCATTTCTCGTTACCGAAGGGACAGCAGTCGAAGCGGCGGTGCTGAACTCGACAGGAGCTTCATTAAAGGCGAGAGCATTTAATGATGCCATGCTACTGCCTGCTTGTTGTCGTTGCTGTGCAAGGATTGAGTCGGGGGGTAACTGTGGAGCAATTCTTCTTTGAGGTTGTTGTAGTGTTGTCGAAATTGTCTGCTGATTTTGAGGTAGAGTGTGCTGAGCAGGTTTGGCAGCAAGAGTGCTGGGGTCGGGCAAGCCGTGCAGGGCAGCAAAGGTATTGAAGTTGACGGCAACATCTGAGCCTTCTGGACTCAGTGGATTTGAGTCGTGTGTCGAAGCTTTGGTATCGAGACTAAGACCCTTGAGCTTTTCCAGCAACGGGCCGCGACCAGGACTGCGTGGGCTGGCTGGACTGGGCAGTCCGAGGTCTAGGGAACCGGAGGAGCTTGTGGTAGCAATCTTCAGGCCGGTAGGCTTTGTGCGGACGCCGAAATTAGACTCTATCCAGTCACGCTCCTGTATAGCCATGGACAGAGCGACACCCTCGGGACTGTGTTGTTCCTCGTGTTGGATCTCCTGCTTGAGGACTTGTAAACGCTTCTTAGCCCAGACAGTATGCAGCACACCCTTCTTGCCAGCTTGGCGAGCCGAAGCTCCCAGCTCGAGCGGGAAGATGGCGGGCAGAGGATGTGTGCGCCAGACTATATTTTCCTCCTCTTGATTGTCCGGTTGTAGGGTGAGGGTGACGGTGGCCGGTACACGCTCGGCAACGGACAGTAAGAAGTACAAGCGGTGCAGGCCTTCTCTCTTGCCGTCGGAAGCATTAGAAGCGAGCACAGCAGCACGTTTGGCCTCCCAGCTGACGGACCATTGGCCGGGGATTTGCTTGGTCTGGTCATCGTCTTCCCATTCGACCATCAAGATTTTTGTGCCAGCCTTGTCGCCGGCCGGTCTCTCAAACTCGAACCGTGCGAGGGCATTGCCCGAAGTCAAGGATGGCGATTCGACATGGTCGTGATCCGGAGTCAAGGGTGTATAGGTGCCGCTGTTGGCGAAGAAGGTGCCNCGGGTGGACATCTGGAGAGGTGGTGGGTGTTGAGGAGCTGACATGGTGGCAGGAGAGGAACAATTGAAGTGCAAGAGGTAGGTAAGATGGTTGATGTCTATCTAAGAGAACCAGCATCAGTCGTCTTGTGGCTACTGGCAGCTAATTACTCTGCAGCTAGTCTGCAGTAGAGGATCACTCTGAGACGGTCGTCTTGCTCAAAGCTGGTACACGCTGTCAATTGCGGGTCGTCGTCTTGAGCATCGCGGTCGCGCTGGGTGGAGCCGTCGACATGGTAGACTCTGCATGGGAGAGAGCAAAGGTCGGAGCTATGCGTGCATCGCTGGGTAATCTGAGCGCCATCTCACCTGCCACATGCTGGGAGCTGCCATGATCTGCAGTCTGTCGCTTCCGCATCCGCTTCCGATGGCTGTTGCCGAAAATAGCCTCCGACGGTCGCGAAGGTCTTTCCCGCTCATCTTCCCGCACTGCCTCTCTAGCCATCGACTTTCCTCTACAATACTCACGTCCATTTGTTCTCATCTGTTTTGAACCCCAGCATTCGATTGTTCGCCTGTCTCATTGTAGTATCTTGTCCAGAGCTGTAAAGTACCGCAATACCGCCAAGCTCGCCCAGAGCTTCTTCATATCCAAATGAGACAAAGTCACTACTCCGCCTCAGTGTCAGGCGAGAGTGACATGGGTATAATGCCTGAGAAGAAAAAAAAGGAAACTAACGCAAAAACCAAAGTCAAAAGAAAACATGCTCTCCATTACGAATATTCTACACCACTCTCAAGTGATGACCAGGGGTATATCGTGAGTTCGTAAAACTCCGCTGTATGTACAGGTATTATTGTAAAGTGGGCAGAGCAACCAAACCAGGATGGACAGAAGGATGTCTATGACCGTCAAGGCCAAACATAACGACAAGATTTCAGATCAACAAGAAATCCCATCCCTTCTGTGCCATCACGTCTCTCCAGGAGACGCTCTGGTAGCTTCCCAATGCTGCCTCGCCGTCGATCAACATCCACACATCTTTGAAGAGCTCACGAATGCGACCGAACGATCCAAAGTTGGCCGTTTCTCCAAGTCGCGAACAGCGCTCTTCAAACATGCTGCGGAATGTTGATGTGGGCAACGACACCGAGCCAACGACGAGTAGTGGCCACACCAATGACCGGTCGTGACCCTCCGGTCCAGCCGGAATGTACTCCATGACATTACAGAAAGCATTGACCAAATTGGTCACATTGTGATCGTCAAGTCGGAAGCCGGGCACCAACGAGCAAAGGTAGATACGGGCGGCGTACATGAAAGCAGCCGTCACATTGATGCTGAGTTGTTTGGGCTTGATGGCTCCAGTGCCTGAGAATGCGCTCTTGACCGTACCAGGTCCTGGTTCGCAATAACCAATGCTGTGACCAAGGATCTTGACGTAGTCGCAAAGCACTAGATCGTCCATACCTTCAAGCTTGTGAGCCTCGAGGCAAGCGATCTCCGAAATGAGAAACATAATATTGTCGTCGCAGCCCATAAGCTCGGACAGTCCTGCGCTACCTTTTCCAATATTCAGATCGCGATAAGTATCGGCAAATCTTGGGTAGCGTCCAAGCATGGTCGCTCCGAGAATGTCAATCCAAGCCGTGAGGGCCATGTTGAATGGAGGACGCGACACTTCACCGCATTGCATGGCACCGACAACCGTAGTGGGAAGCTCAAGTCGATCAACAAGATCAGCAGCAGCCTGGAAATGTTGGTGCCAAGGTATATCAGGAATCGAGTCTGTTGGTCGGCCGACAGAACACTGGAAGAAAATCATGCCGAGTGTAGCTTCGAGAATCTGGGCATGGTTCTCATCTTTGTTCAGCGCTGCGCAGAGCTCAGAAATAGCTGCATAGCGGTGTCGCAAGATATGCTCATCGATTTCTTCTGAGGGGAGGTCTTCGGTAGACTTCTTGTGAAGGCCGGAAACACTCAAGCAACAATGAAGATAGCTTCTATTCGTTTCGAGCGCAGGCAGGATGATATCTGAACGAGTAGAACTGTGTTGATTGGCATCGAGAATTGGGAAGATGAGCTTCGAGACCTTTTGGATGAAATGGTTCAGTAAAGGCTTGTCAACTTCATCCACCTCGATGATGGTCTCGTGATTCGGTGCGGGTTTCTCGTGCGGCAAGTCGAAGAAATCGAAGTTGACGGGCTCTTCGGCAAATGATTCTTGTTGCATCTCGAAGTAGTCTTGCTGGACCCAGCTCTCAGGAGCAAAGCCGTGACAGCTCGATCCCATTGGTGGTGGTTGAAATGTGCTAAAGGTTGAGATAGTGGAGTCTCGTCGAGTCGGGACGTCATTGATGAAGATCTGGCGTTCAGTCTTGATATCCACCTCATAAGGAGAAAGCATAGGATAAGACGGGTGAGACATGAGTATCTCTGGTGGAGGCAGAGCAAAATAACCTTCTGGCGAGACTTGCTTGAAGTTGATTTCGGGAGCATATGGCGTGCAGACAGAAGGTGTTCGCGACGAAGGCTTCGAGTCGGAGAAAGTCTCAGTCTTGCAAAGACTTGGAGGAGGTGTGCTTGCGTCTTTTGCCTTTTTGGCAGTTTGCGTCAACTTGATCCTTTCTTTGACCATTTCTTTCTGCTCTGCTCGCTTAGCAGTGTTGCTCCACCACATGGGGCGTTTGTAAACACAAGAAACACCCAAGTGATTGCATGCTTTGCAACCAGGCTTTCCTTCATCGCACTTCTTTCGGCGCAAACGGCAAGTGTAACAGCCTNNGCAAATCCGGGGTCAGCAACGGACGTGCGTGAATCAGGAACGAGAGTATATAAGCTTACCTGTGCGCGAACGACGGTGCATCTTCGAAGCATTCGGTTTTGCATCTTTCGAGGCAGCCATCTTGGTGTTGAGTCTGGAGTTTGCTGGAGTGATGGACGATGACATGGCTGATCTATATGTACAACAAATAATTTTGAGGCAGCCCAATCGGGGATCAAGGTCGACTGAGGGCTGGTAGGGGACCAGAGGTCTGGGTAAGGAAAGTAGTGGCGCAAAACGGGTCTTGATTAAACGATAGCGCAAGAGGAGCCTGGACCAGCCTGGCTAGTGGGGGATGGGAGGAGGAGAGACGAAGGGAAGAGAGAAAAGCGTATTAAGTCGGCCTGCGATTGCTGGCTATGGTCAAGTGCAAGAGGAGACAAGTACCTTATATGTCCAAACCTGGAAGAATGGTACCAAATATCACCGCATCTATTCTTAGACTGCTCAACAATGTGGGTTAATACTCTGGGCAGAATCAGGACTAATCATGCGATATGCAGGGAATCATGAACTGCTATTGGTCGTCTGCACTCGAGTGGCACGGGACCGAGTTAGTGGAGGAAAGCAGATCGGCTCACGCTGTTCGTGTGCCACCAAGAGTCATGATGGTCGGACAGAAAGTGACTTGGAGTGCTGAGCCGCATGGGTTGTACAATACACATGCAGTCTGATTATTGCTAGAAAAACCGACAAATCTTGGGGATATCGGATGAGATGTGGAGAGATCCACTGGAACCGTAGAGATTCCCCTTCGTTGTGTCGATTGTCAAAAGACATTATAAACGGGGGGTAATACATGACAATGTCGAGTAAATTTTGACAGAAGTTAGTTTAGACCAATGGACAAGGATAGATGCACCTTGAGCAGGATAGACTTTGACTTGACATGTCGAGACAGTCGAGCTGAAGAGACCCCGAGCCGATCCCCGCTCGCAATGAGCCGCAGGAACTCAACGTCAAAGCGTCGGCAGTAGTTTGGGCTTCATTGCTGCGAATTGAAGCTGATCAAAGGCCTGATCAACAATGCATTTCCCGACGGACAATGTCCCAGATCCTGTATCCAAGCATAGTTACATGGGAAGGTGCGTGTGGTATTGAGGTACAACAAAGAGTTTGGTATTCGATTCATTACCTTCGCATTGGATGGCGGTGAAGCGTCGAACCCATTGTGGATGGGAGAAGCACATGCTGACTTCTCCAGGGTCGTCCAAGAACTGCTTGACTCGCTTAGAGTGTTGATTCGTGCAACTTATGGCGATCTTCCCACGCGCTTGTTTGGCATGGCTGCAGAGCGAGGATGCAACGAGTGGTTGGGGACCACTGATGGGATGTGACGAGAAGTGGAGGATGTGCAGCAACTTGATGTGATTGATGCGCTGTCGCGCCAATCTGCCGGCTGCATTGACCAATCGGACGCAGCTCGGCAGAAGGTCTGCTCGTCTGGCTGGCTCGGATACGGCAGCGGCCCTCCCCGTTCTTGTCTGAACCCTGTTTTCTGCGAGACGACACGGCAGGCACTGCTGGCTCTCCTGCCACCCCCGAGCACACTTCGACGGATATCATGCAGGAACCTTCGTCCATCATGCCCAAATCTCTTCAAACAATATGTTAGCTGCCTGACCTGCTATCGACTTTCCGATATCTTGGTTCAATCCATGCCTGCAACTACTGACTCCAGTCCTAATCAACCCTTGCGGACATGGAGTTTGCATACACTTAGGTAGTGCACAGCAGACGCTTATCAGCCTTGGATGGCTGTAAAAATATCCCATACTGCTAGGGCGGTTCATGCTGTTGACCTATTCACCAACCAGCGCTGAACATGCCGCCTTTTCGTTCTTATTGGTTTCCAGCATCCAGAACTGCTCTTCGCCTTCAAGTCACACGCACTTGCCCCATCCAACACTCGGCCTTCTGCAGAATCTTCGCTTTCTTGCTATCTCCTCGAGTACTGATGCTAGTATTGCTCTTGAAGGTTGTTCCCGTCGATAGATTTCGTTGGCCGGACTTGCCCGAACGACGTCAGATGTGAGCAAGAAAGGCGAGCTGGACTGGCGGCTAAAGCTCATCACGAGATTCATTCGGTCTTCACCGCTCGTGTCGAGGCCGTACAGGACATGTGCTGTTTCTCTGCCCTTGCATTGTGACCATGTGCAACGCTTACCAGGTTCTCTCAACAGCGTGATCGCTGCAGTGTTTGCTGTATACGAAGACCTTGTGCATATCGCTCTGCCTATCTGGCGGGGTAATATGCGCGACCTGCTGGTCTCGAAATCCAGGGTTGTTCAGGTAGCACAACATATGTCTCATTTCGTGGCTAACCATTCCGATGCAATCCTGGATTGACTCATCTATTTTGTGTGCAGCCAAAAACTTGACCTTGATTCCTGAGCCAATCAAGCTCTGCATGCTTTTGCATATGCGCCTAAGTTCACATCACACCCACCGCCCCGACGGCATGCTGCATGCTCAATGGCGCCCAATAGACAATGTCAAACTCGAAACAGGTCTGCGATACGTGTGTAATCTATCAAATCTGCAGGCACAGCGAGACCGTCTGTCCAACCGCTCCAATTCCGTTAACGCCTGTCGATCCCGCCGCCATGGCTGGTCACACTTCTACTACGCACATAGGAGGATACGGGAACATGGTGTACCCTCCAATTCACGCAATGAGCTATCTTTACAAAAGCCTTCGATATTGCTGCCGCGCGAACACCCGAATCTCAAGTCTCGTTGCCGTCTCTTCGTGTCACGAAAGCAAACGTTATAGAGTATCTCACTGGCAACGGTGTCAACTGTCGTTTCATCTGGATTTTACGTCGCCTTTTTGCTTTTTGTTTTTCTTGCTTTGACCATCATGGTGGGTGATATGCATTCTTCCGAGTCCAAGACATTGGCTGACTAGTCAAGCTGGCCATGACACATGCCGTTCACGTGGGCGCCCAGGATTCACAATCCCAGACGTTGAGAACGCCTTTCACGAGTCCTTCCAAGACACCATATACTCGACCACTATCCGAAGCAACTGAGATCTATGAGACAGATGTGGAAGACGATGAGAGCTTGTTCGAGGAGAACTCTCCCAAACCCAGCTTCGGTTCAGTGAGTGGTTACCTACTCGTTTCTCTCAACTACGTACTCACCTCATACCAGTTTAACAGCAGAAGAAGGAGCGAAACCACAATTTCATCCTTTGAAGAGGCTTTGACACCCCGTTCTGATGTACAATTCGACCGAAATGGTCCTTTCCAGTTGCATGCCAAGCCAGTCGAAGGGCCAAAAGGTCCTCATCTTTTCCGTGCTTCTCATTCTTCTGCCGAGTTTGCTTTCGACTATGCTCTACAGATGTCTCCACTCTTTCCCAAAACTATGGAGTTGCCGCAGCAGCATATCACTGCTTCTCATCAGGAGTTTGCCTTCTCACCACAGGACTTATATGTCCCAGGTCTTGACGCAGTGCTGCAGTCTCCTTCTCTGTATAGCGTGGAGCGATGGTCAACTCAAGACGTCTTAAACTGGATGCTGGAGACTGGACTACCCCATGAGGTTGTTGACAAATTTGAAAAGCATGACATTAACGGATCAATATTGATGGAACTCAAGTTTGAGAACCTGAAGGAGCTCGAGATTGAATCTTTCGGCAAGCGTCATCAACTTTGGAACACTATTCAGAACCTCAAAGGTGGTGAACGAGGTCCAAGCCCTGTACCAACGCCATTCCAGGATATCTCTCGCCCTCCAACCAATGTAAGGTCAAAGTCGGATGGTGACATCTCCCGAGACGCACTACCTGCTCTGTCGATGGAGGATGATATGACACCAGTCACTCCTGTTCGGCACAAGAAGCGCCGTGGTCGAAAGAATCGACATCATGACGATACCATCACTCCTGCTGAGTCTGTCTCCATTGTTGCCATTGAACAGCTGATGCCTAGAGAGCACAAGTGTGCTAAAGGCGAAGACTGTTCCAAGTGGCGGAAGCAGCAGAGACTGTTTGCTCGCATTCGTGAACAGCACGGCTACCCCATCAGCCCTGATCACGGCGGTCAGATTCTGATCACAGGCGATCCTGGCAATGCCACCACCGCTTACAAAGTCGTCGACAATGTATATCGCCAGCAAGATACCTCACCTCGTGCCGAAGAGGAATCAACTCGACCTGTTTCGGAGAACATGCCGCCGTCAGTTGTGGCTTCCTCTGATCTGCTTGGTCCCGGTCAGCTCCCCGCTTTCGCGCTTCATGAAAACATGCTGGCCCAGCTTCAGATGAGAGACCCTCAAGAGAACGTCAAGCAGTTCCTCAATTTCCAACATGTTGGCCAGTCGCAAGTCGAAGCACCGCCCACACCTCCTCTCGACACTTTCCCTGGCAATGGATTTGAGATGTTCCCTACCATCCACCAACAAGCCTATCCCTCTCTGCAGCGCCCATCGGTGACCCAGGAGCCACATGGAAACCTCAAGCATCTGCCCAAACTGTCTATCCCTCGCTCTGCCAGTGCCAATCCCTGGCTAGGAAAGCAGAATGTCTTCTCTCCTGCAGAGAGCGTCATGTCTCCCTGCCGCAGCGCCACTGTCTCTCCCGGGTCAAACAACATCTATCGTTACGGCACTCCAGCATCTGAGATGGATATTCCCGTCACTGCTGTCCCCATCGGCCCCATCTCTCGCGATACCAGTCAATCCGTACCACCCAACATGCAATACCGGGAGCACACACGCGCCGACTTCCGTCGTCAACCCTCCAACACCTTGCCCTCTCTAGACGAGAACGCAGTCTTCTCACCCACAACAACCCTCACCCGCACCCCCAGCAAACTCCNNCTTCACGTCGTGGACAAAGACAAGCAAAAGGAGATGAAAAAAGCACACATGCAAGCCACCTACGGCACCTCCGTATCCCACACCGGCTACATGAAANAGCGCAAAACCAAACTCCTGCACCACGAATGGCAGAATGCGCATTTTCGCCTTCAAGGCACTCAACTAGCCATGCATGAAAACAACAGACTGTCAGCTATCATGCTGGATAGCATCAATGTCGATGACTACAATGTTGCTTGTGCATCCCTGCCTTCCAACAATAAGATCACTGCAGCATTGAAGAATCTCAAACTCGGTGGTGACAAGAAAAGTGATGTTGCTGCTGGTGCGTTTGCGTTTCAACTTGTGCCTAGTGCTGCTGCTGGTGATGGAAGGGTCAAGTTGGCTGCTAGTGGTAAGACTCACCATTTTGCTGTTACCAACAGCAGTGAGAGGATTGACTGGATGAGAGAGTTGATGTTGGCGAAGGCGTTGAGACAGAAGGAGAGTGGATTCGAAGTCGAGCACAATGGTTCAAAGGCTTGATACTACTGTGGCTCTTTCGAGACAACGACAAGCCTCACAAAGCATACAAGATCTTCAAAGGTACTCACAAACAGAGGAAGATAGTAAAGAGACACGAAAACGAAAAGGGAAAAGAAAAAAAAAAATTGGCAAATGAATGGGACATGGTTTTTGATACCCCTATATATCTTTCTTTTCCTTTGTCCTTGTTGTTCACGAACGCTGTCCCAACCTCCCTGCTCCGTACAAAAGTATGTAATTCGCAATCGGAAACATAGTATGATTAAATGTAGCAGAGATCGAGAAATCTGATGACGAGGGGAGCTAGAATCTACATGTCATATACTCTAGAAGAAGAGAAAGGCACTGAAGTGGATTTAATCTTGGATTAATTCTTTGTGCATAGTTTAATACACTGTACAAGGGTGTTCGGTCAGGATGGGAAGGGAAACGCCTGACAGCGTATGATTTCATTGATCATATCTACCTTCCCATGGTTGAGAGTAAGTAAAGAACTAAGACAAGAAAGCAGATTGTGGGTACCCTCGCTCCGTAAAATGTACACCGTTAGACAGAAAAAAGAAGGAAAAATGATAATATTTTAATGCTTGCAAGAAGTTAATAGCGCTTAGGTGAAAGCCATGGACTTCTTGAGCTCTGCAATGGCGAGAGCAGGGTTGAGACCCTTGGGACATGTCCTGGAGCAGTTCAGAATGGTGTGGCAGCGGTACAGAGACATGGAGTTGTTGAGGGCGTCCTGGCGGGTGGCGGTTCTCTCGTCACGCGAGTCGGCGATCCAGCGGTAGGACTGGAGGAGGATGGCGGGACCGAGGTACTCCTCAGAGTTCCACCAGTATGAAGGGCAGGAAGTGCTGCAGCAGGCGCAGAGAATGCACTCGTACAGACCATCGAGCTTGCGGCGCTCTGCGGGAGATTGGCGGTACTCACGGCCCTGATGTGCTTGTCAGTATGGTTGTGGTGGGATAATTAGAGAGTGCGGTAGACTCACGTCCTCAGGAGCGGTCTCGCGCTGCAAGAAAGGCTTGATGGACTTGTACTGCTTGTAGAACTGGGTAAGGTCGGGAACGAGGTCCTTGACGACGTAGGTGTGAGGAAGAGGGTAGATGCGGGACTCGGCCTTGGTGTCGGTGGGAATGCGGCCTGGAAACTGTTAGAAACTGTGATACTGGAGAAAATGTTTCTGGTGGGGCAACATACACAAGCAGGCAAGAGTGTTGACACCGTCAATGTTCATAGCGCAGGAACCGCAGATACCCTCTCTGCATGATCGGCGGAAGGTAAGAGTAGGGTCAAGCTCGTTCTTGATTCTGATCAGGGCATCGAGCATCATGGGACCGGTCTTGTTAAGGTCGAGGGTGTAGCTCTGCATGCGAGGCTTGTCGCTGGGGGCGTCGGGGTTCCATCTGTAGATGTGGAAGGTCTTGATCTTGCTGTCGGCATCCTTGGCGGGCTCCTTGACGGTAGATGTCTCGTTAGGCGAAAGAACAGGGCGAGAGGCGCTGATGGCTTCGGTGCCGCCGGCGAGAGGTCCCTTGCTCGACTCGACGGTGGTGGCCATGGAGCGGCGGAACATCATGCGGGGCGCAATGCGCGATGTGGCCATTCTGAACGACATGATGGCGGTCGTGTGTGTAGAATGTGTGGAGTGGAGATTAGGATGGGGGTGGAGGGGAAATAGAAGAGTCGACGACGATGTTGGTCTGGCAGTTGCTGCTGGCACTTCTCTCAGGTTTGCCCCAAGTCTACGAGACGCTCAGCCAATCAGCGTGCGTATGATGATTCCCGCTCGCAGGAAGGCCGGGAAGGCGTTGCTTGTGCCGAGGGTCGACGGCCGCTGTTTCCCGGTCTGCTCCTGTTGCCACCGATCCCTGACGACTTGCATTTTGGCTCCCAATCTCGTCCGCCAAACCACCACATCTCCACGAAGCTTGCCGTTGCAATTGAGATTGGCTTCAGTCGTGTCGTTGTCAAATCGCTTTGCCTTGCCTATCCGTACATCTCCGGTAGGTCAGCAACAATTGGGTCACGTGGGATGATATTCATTTTCAACATCCACTACTCGTACTCGAGTACATGTGTGGTAGGTGTATCTCGAGTAGCAAGAATATCAAATCAGAAACATCGTGTGCGAAATTCTGTTATCCCTATCACACACACCAGCTCTTGATAGTTGTCGCTCCCTCCCTTCTGAATGTGACATCTAATCATCAACACCTCTCACCGTTCCAGCGCTCAATACATGGACTTCACACTCTCTGCACATCTTCTTTACAACACATACTAGTCTCGAGCCAGTCACAATCTGGCCAGTCGCCGAAACCACCTCTGTCATCACACCCAAACTTCCTTGAAACTACAGCCGGCTGCAACTCCGTCAACTTTGATCAGCTCTCTGCTTATGCTGTAAATTAACGCATCGAAGCCTAGAACAGAGGCACTGGAACTGCATCATGAGTACATCTTCCATTAGTCCCGGCTCGCCATACCCAGCAACGTCTGAGTCATGTGGGATGATATTCATTTTCAACCATTAGGTAGATTCCGAGTAGCAAGAATATCAAATCAGAAAACATCGTTTGTCGAGTTACAAAACCAAGATTTTGCTTTTGTGCTGTATAGTCAATTTTTCAACATCATCAGAATACCTCCTTCCCGTCCCTCAGAAAGTTGTCCCGGCATTGTCCAGCAATTGATGTATCGTCCTCCCGGTGTCGATTGACCAGCAATCCGTGTCGCTCGTGTTGCAAATCATAACCTTCATACCACAACATCCCATCAATGGCTCACATAAAAGCCCTCGCAACTTTCATCAAACTGCCCACAGTGTCCATAGCACCNCCACTACCTCCAAACACACTTCCAGACTCATAGCCACCATAGCCACTACTCCCATAATAGCCACCTCTTCCCGCACCACTGTCAAACAAGATAGGCATCTTAACACCAAACTGCTTGAGCAACTCATGTAACGCGCCTCCTGCACTGATCAACGGCACAACCACAGCCATGAAAGCTTTGAAAGGGTGTCGTTGCGCATACTCCCAGAGATCGCGTATCAGGCGCTTGAGTTTGTGGATTAGGCTTTGGATGTAGCCATCGCGGGGCCGTCGTTTGTAGTAAGATGAAGAGCCTCCGTTGCGTGAGAAGAAAGACGCTGTGGAAGATGGCGCGCGTGAGAATGTAGGTCTACTGTTGCTGGTCTTGTAATGCGATCGTGAAGAGGTGGAGCGGTGGGACGAGGGGCCGCCGAAGAAGCTCATTGTGAGTGCACCCCGAAGCTGCTTTGTAGAATTGACAGTGCGTTTCTTGAGTTTATGCGCGATACTCGTAGAGAGGAACTACAGATCAGTTGGACATTGGAAAACAAAAATCACGGCATTGAAGTGCTTGACCGCCCTGGAATTATTGTGTCGCGAGCTGCAGGCTGGCCGCAGATGCGAGATGGCTGGTGCCAATTGATTGCTCTGGACCCTGGCACTTGAGTTGCGCTGCACTCGGGGCATCTTTTGGCGAATGCCCGACAGCTCTCCGGATGATGACATATTCATGTTAAGGAAATCAATTCAAGGCATCGAACAGTCATAACACTTTCTCGACCACATACACACAGCGCACACACACCTTCTCAACAATAACCTCAACGACTCGCCCATCATGTTCACCGGCATCGTCGAAACACTAGGAAGTACGCATCTGCCTCCTCCCACTCCCTCTTGCACCCCACTAACACACCACCCCAGCTNNGTCTCCGAACTCGTCCAGCAAGATGCAACCTCCGGCGGCGGCACCACAATGACCATCTCCGACTGCTCCTCCATCCTCAACGATTGCAACAACGGCGACTCGATAGCCGTAAACGGCACCTGCCTGACCGTCACCGAATTCACATCTTCATCTTTCAAAATCGGCGCCGCACCAGAGACCCTACGACGCACAAACCTCGGCGCCCTCAAGCAAGGCAGCAAAGTAAATCTCGAGAGAGCGGTTTCTGCGCACACGAGGATGGGAGGTCACTTTGTGCAGGGACATGTGGATACCATTGCGGAGATTGTGTCCGTGACGCCGGACAATGAGGCAAAGGTGTTTCGCATGGCTCCCAGAGATAAGAGCGTCTTGCGCTACATTGTGGAAAAGGGATACGTGACGCTTGATGGCGCGAGTCTGACCATTACGGCTGTGGATGACCAGCAAGGCTGGTTCGAGATCATGATGATCAACTACACCCAAGCGAAGGTCGTCATGGGCAAGAAAGAGAAGGGCGATACCGTCAACGTCGAGGTCGATTGCGTAGGCAAGTACGTCGAGAAGAGTGTGGTTGGATACTTTGAGGGCAAGACCGGCGGTGAACCTGCTATTCTCGACAAGATTGTTTCGAGGATCGTCGACGAAAAGTTGAGTAAGCAAAGGTCATAGGACTAAGATGAATTGACCAAAGCTCGCAACATACCAGAGATCGTCCAGATCATCGTGACATGCATCGTTCCAAATTCTGACAGAGTCGACACTTTCACGGCGCAGCCGTTCACGCCAAGCATCGAACAGCAAAAACAAGTCCACACCTTGACCTCAAATACAGGTGCACGCAGGTAATCTAAGAGGGACACCAAAGATATTGTCCGATGATATAGCGACCAAAAAGACAAAAGAAGATGAGGTCGTACCCGGGATCGAACTGGGATTACCGGAATCAGAATCCGATGTGCTAACCATTACACTATACAACCTTGGATGTGCAGAATTCTGTCCAGCAGGAATATAATCCGCGCAGATTATCTACGAAGCAGCCAACACGTTGCTCAACACACCCTGTCCATAAACCTCACCTCGCATACATACAAGCCTACCTCTTAACGACTCTACCACTCCCAAGTTCAGCTTCGATCAACGACCAATATCATATTGGAAGCGAGCGACGAAAAGATGTCTTCCTTCCTGCTATTCTGCATTGCCCAGATTCCTGCTACGGTAAGCCAGTCACTTCTCGATCACCACGGCGGACTGCCTAGATGAATTCAAGGACATGTGGCTTACTGCCAATACAAGACAATCAATACCCTGCTACAAGCTCCGGAACACAACTTTTTCTCTTTAGTTCGCGAGCCGGCGCAGCCATCATTCGATCCAAAATGCACTGAGCCGCCCGTTCAATCTTTCACGACTGGATTCCTCGATTATTCCCGAAAGCAAACTCGTGAGTTCGTCGTTAAGCGACTCCCTACCGCTCCTGAGGGTACTATGCTTGAGCCGGAACAGTATGCTTTGCTTGATGAGCGCAGCGCCCGTGACAATACAGTCGTTCTCGGTCACGCCTTCTCAAGCGTTCACGATCGCGATCCGGATACAATGACAGAGGAGGAGCGCGAGCAGTGGGAGCGAGATACTGACGTTGACGCACCTAATGATTTCTGGTGCGAGTTTCGCGTCAAGTTCGAGGACGCGGATCGGATGGCGACAGTCTTGACATTCCCGAGCGATTTCACATCGAAGCTCTTTAATGAAGCGTTTGTGGAGGAACACACTGATCAGGGGGTGTTTCTCGTTGCTCGTGCCCAACGTGCGCATGAGAGCTCCGCGGGCATTTAATAAAGAAAGGAATTATAGATATCAAGAAGAAAGATTTAGGTTAAAAGATGTTCTACTAGTCTTTAAGTCCTCTCTAGCAACGCGTTCTCGTCTCTCAGAACTCTCAATATCTGTCCGTGATATTACTATCATCTTCAATCGTCGACTCCGCACCCTGGCTGCTCATATCCTCAGGACCACTACGACTTCTCACCGGCAATTGATATGTGGTTTCAAAGTCCGTCATGTCAACATCCATGTCGAGGTTTTCGAGATCTGCTTCATCTGCTTCTCGATCAATCGCAGTCATGCGTACTTCGAACTCGCGCTGGAGTTGTTGAAGCCAGCTCTGGAGGACGGGTCCTTCCATCACACCACCACAGGCATGCATCAATTCTTCTTTCAAACCGAGGATTAGCTTTCTCTTCCTACCGATGATGACAGCTTTGGAAGCTTTTTTCCTTCTCTCCACCTGAGCTTGTAACTTCTCTGCCACTTGAGTTGCGTACTCGATTACATCGGGTGGGAGCGGCATGACCTTGGCCAGTTGGAGGCCATAATGTTGTTCAGAAACTACGCCATCCGTGAGTCTGTAAAGCATGGCCATCTTGTCAGCTTCAGACATGTCTACTGCCAGGTGCTTGTTGACGACTCCGTTACGTTCAGCTAGGATTTTTGCGAGATCTCGGAAATGTGTTGCAAACCAGACCAACGCCCGGCTTTCCACCAGAGCCTCTGCGATCGCAAGAGCTATAGCGAGTCCATCTCGTGGACTTGTTCCTCGACCCAGCTCGTCAATGATCACCAAGCTATTCTTGTCAATGTTTCTCAAGATGAAGGCAGTCTCTCTCATCTCTGATGCAAAGGTCGACACGTTGGCTTCGATGCTGTCGTCGATGGAGATTCTTGCAAAGATTTGCTTGATGATTGGGAAAGAAGCGAACTCTGCTGGCACGAAACAACCGATCTGAGCCATCACTGACAAAAGAGCGATCGAACGGATATAGGTGCTCTTTCCACTCATATTACATCCTGTAATGATCTGAAAGCGCGACTGCTGCGTGGCAAACACATCATTTGGAATGAATGGAGTATTCTGCACTTTCTCCCTGATAGGATGACGGCCAGCTTTGATACCGAGTGTCTGCGTGATGTGAGGACGAATGTAGTCGTGTAGGGTGACGTTGTGAGCAAANGATGAAAGCACGTCCAGCATTGCGATACTTTCCGAAACCTTGAAGAGCACCGACATGTAGCCTCGAATTTCGCTGATCAACTCTTGTATAGCTTTGTCGCTCATTAGCAGTACCTCAGTGTGCGAGTCGGAGATCTTTTGGCTGCGCTTTCGCAAATCCAAAGTCGAGCACTCCACCTTGTTGTTCTTGCGAATGACATTGATGAATACTGGTGGTAGGTTTCGATCTTCGAGTTCCGAGGCATTGAGGCGGAAATAGTATTGCCTTGAACTGTCGTATTTGAGATCCAGTTGAAGCTTGTGAGTCTCTNNGTACCATGGTCAAATCGCAGCATACACAACCAGAAGAAAAGACTTACCTTGTAGTTCGTCAAGAAGCTGATAAACATCCATGTTGGCTTCCTTGTAAGTTTGCCTAGCAACATCAAGCAAGCCATTGACCCCAGANCTGCGCCGTTAGTCAGTCTGAATCATCTTGTGTATTAACGGGGTACTTACCTTCACTGCGTATGTTCTCTGATTTCTCAACTCGAGTGGTTGCTTCGCATAGGTGATATCCTCGTTGATAAACTCGTCAATGAGCTCCTTGATAGGATCGATACTACTGGGAGTACAATTCNNTTGTGGTCACGTCAGTCAATCATATCACAGCAGGCCAGTGAAACTCACACGTCGAATCTCTTTCAGCATGACGCTCTTTGACCCGCTCAAAGCCTCGTAGACAGGCTGAATGCTGGCCACGAATTGCTTGAGCATGATAATTTGGTTGATGCTTTGCTCAGTGGACTGTAAAGACGGCTTGGTCGGAATGATGATTAGCTGCGTCAAGATTTTGTCTGCATCAAGTATGCTCTTCAGCGCTGCTCTTGTAGCGAAGAACATATCCTCCCGGGTCGAAAGTTCTTGAAGAGCATCGTAACGTGTCTCCAACGTGTGTTGATCAGTAAGCGGTTGTAAAACATTGCTTCGCAGAAGTCGTGAACCCATAGGTGTCAAAGTCTCATTGAGAACGCCGAAGAGACAGTCGCGTGACTTTTGGTTTTGAAGATTTTGGATCAACTCAAGAGAGCGAATGGTGGAAAGGTCAATCATCATGGAACCTTCGGATGCTTCATACCTGATTCTTAGAGAGTGTGGCGGAAAGGTCTTGTTCAAAGCAAGCTCGATGAACTTCATGGCTGCGGCAAAGCAGCACACTGAGAAGTAGTTACCGTCGACGGACATTTTGATACTGTCCACATCTTGGATGAAGCCAAATTGCTCGATGAATTCAACACCAGTAGTTTCTGCCCAATAGCGACGGTCAAGGAGGATCAAGTTGCTGTTCAAGTCGCCTAGGTTCTCTTCGATGAGACAAAACAATTTGGACTTCGTTTTGGCCGCTGTGTCCAGGATCAAGATTTTAGAAGGACTAAAGACTGCCAACTTGTGCAGAGTGCGAACATAGGATTGGCTGTCAGGGATCTGACTGAGGACGGCCTCGCCCATATCCAGGTTGATAAAGGTAAGTCCGACGGTAGGGGCTATGCCACGCGATTCGCTCACAGCGCAGATGATCTGTTGTGACTCGACTCCGATAGTCGAGATGGCGGTACGAGGGCGAGTCGAGTACTCGTAGGAACTGTATTGTGAGTAGCCAGCAGTGCTTGAGCCCATAGGTGCAGGCGACGCAGGAAGATGCAGCCGACTATGCGACGACGAGACACTGGTTCTGGTGGATCTGGAAGTCATTTTGATGATGTGCGGATGAATTGAATGCGATGAGGAGGACAGGCAAGCAATGACTAGAGTTGAGTCTTTGGCAGTCGCGACTTCCCACTTGGTCATGCCGATCAACGCAGCTTCCTTCCGAAGTCTAACCAACTTCTGCTATCATAGACGTGCCTTGGTCTTTTCAAACTCTACCTTGTTGATGCAGCTGCCTACACCCTCGAGATTGACCTCTACAACATCTCCATCTTTCAACCAAACTTGGGGCTTGCGACCCATGCCAACGCCTTGGGGNACTAGTTCTGTGTAAGCAAGTGCTTGTTCTTCGCAACTTCCATGTACTTACGTTCCGGTGAAGATCAGATCTCCAGGCAACAAGGTGGTACCCTGACTCAAGATACTAATGGTCTTTGCGACTCCGAAGATCATGTCTCTTGTATTGCTGTCTTGGACAGTCTTGTCATTGACCTTGGTCATGATTCTCAGGTTTTGCGGGTCTGGGACAAGCTTGCTGCTGATAACCGCAGGACCGACAGGTGCCCATGCATCGAAACCCTTGCCGAGACCCCACTGACCACCACCACGTTTGAGTTGCCAATCGCGATGCGAGACATCGTTTCCTACAGCATATCCTGCCACGTACGACAGTGCCTGAGCTTCTGAGATGTTTGAACCCTCCTTACCAATCACGGCGACCAGTTCACACTCGTAGTCGAGACCTTCGCCTTCTTGAGCAGCTGCACACACGGGAATCTTGTCGAATGGCCCTGTGACGGAAGTGACGGGCTTGTAAAAGAGGACGGGATATTTCGGAATGGGCATGTTGGANCTGTGACACTGGTCAACACGAATTCTCTGAATGAAACGGCCGAAGTGGGTACATACTTCAATGGCATGCTGCTCGTAGTTCAGACCGAGGCAGCGGACGGTCCTGATGTCTTCCCGGGCTAATGGTGCAAGGAGTTTTTGTACATCCTGACCAGCTTCAGCGTACGTTTCGAACTCTCGTGCTCATTTGAAGCATACAGCTACACGCTCAGTGACCTGATGCTGTCCCCATGGTGTACCCTGAATGATCTTTGCCTGGGCCACTCTTGTCAAGTCGTTTGCTCCAGATGGTACGAGAGCGTCGCCATAATATGTCTTGCCATCTTTGGCCAAGAATCGGATGAGTCTCTACTGGTCGTTGACGTTAGTGGATGAATGAATGGTCATGTACGAGGCCACATACCGAGAACGACGACATGTCTTTGTGCTCTTTCGACAAGGATGAATCGTGGTCAGGGTTGGTCAAGAACGATGTCGGCATCCCCAGCTTTCTCCACAGTCTGTGACCGAAGCGCGTCATGCGATTTCTCCCGATCATCAACTCCAGTCTATGAACAAACTTCTGCCATGCCATCTTGCATTCGATCCTGACAAAAACATAACTTGACCCAAGTCTTGCAAGCCAACCTCATTGTCACAGCCCCGATACACAATATTCTGCGTTACAATGGCACGCCTATCCGGTCTTCAGCGCGAGGTCTTGTCTCTCTATCGCAAATGTCTTCGCGAAACACGAAAGAAGCCTGCTGTATGAGCACGAATATCCATTGTTCCAAAGAACTAGCACTGACTCTCGGCAGNNGACGTCAGGCCGAACTTCCTGCAATTCACTCGGTATGCCACATTCTGTTCTGTTTGTTTCACCACAGCCTGACACTCCATAAGATCAGAATTTCGTCAACATCAAAATTATGACAAGAAGGACTTTGGAGCCATCGAGTACATGCTTCGTAAAGGCCAGCGTCAACTGGAGATATACTCATCCCCTGGTATCCGAAATGTCATGAAGTAACCTTGGATTCGCTCGCCTCTATTTTGTTCCTGATCGCAAAATCCCGCAATCTCGGCGCAACACACCAACAGACCCTATCGCGAGCGTGTTCTGGCATTGTCTACCATGTTTCTTGCCTTGGATACACCATTCATCGATTCGTTTGTCATCATAGCAGCATTGTGATGTTTGGTGCTGCTCGTAAGCAAGTCCACGTGACTTTTCTCCATTCCGGATTAGGAAGATTCTCGAAACTTCTTTCCTATTCTGGCACCATCTTTCTTTATGCAACCACCTTGGTCAGAAGACGTTACTGGTATCTTCTAGATATGTATTATGCAGCAGAAACGAGGTGGTGAGATCGAGCCAGCATGTTCTGGTATGCTCTGGCGCCTTCAAGGCTGCCATTTGCCAGAGCAGCTAGAAGGTATAAAGCTACTCGACCAGTCCACCCTATCCTCCCATCATCAGAAACAAGAACAAACACAACAACAATCTCAAGCAATTACATGCAAACCTACCGCATCTCCAACAAGCTCCCTCAAGCTTACAGAATCATCAAAGTCGTTCCTCAAGTCACTCCAGTCAGAACAATGTTCTCCTTCCCACGCTTCCCTTCTGGCGAATTCGCCCCTCTCTTCCGTCTTCTTGACGACTATGCCTCGCACCAAATCTCCCGCCAGGGCGATGACTTTGGCAACTTTGGCAACCTCTCTCAACTTCGCTCCTTCCAGCCTCGCTTCGATGTGAAGGAGGTCAAGGATGGTTATGAGCTGCACGGTGAACTTCCTGGTGTCGATCAGAAGGACATTCAGATCGAGTTCACCGATGCCCAGACCCTGAGCATCAAGGGTCGCACTGAACGCCACCGCGAGTCCGGCACTCCTCCCGCCGCTCTCGAAGGTCAGCAGGGAAAGGGTCGCATCACATCCGGCGATGAGACTCCCGACACCTCCTCCCACTACCAGAAGCCTACCGTCGAGGACGAAAACGCCACTCAGTCCACCAACACCGAGCAGCAAATCACCACCACCGATAACGCAAACCAGCAAGTCCAGCAACAGACCGAGCAGCAGCGTCCTCAGTCTCGCTACTGGGTGTCTGAGCGCTCAGTCGGCGAGTTCTCACGCTCCTTCGCCTTCCCATCTCGCGTCGACCAGGACAATGTTCGTGCCAGTCTCAAGGACGGTATCTTGAGCATTGTTGTCCCCAAGGCTTCTGCACCCATTACTCGCAAGATCAACATTGAGTAAAGCGACAACGACATCATCATACCAGCCTGAAAGCTTCTTACCACGAGTCACGACAGATCTTATGGATCAAGCATGCCTATTGCATAGGGATGGAGTAATTGCGGATTGTCTTTTTTAGTTGTTGAGGTTTCTTGCTTTTGTCTTTTGCTGTTTCTTGCTTTTTTGTTGCATAAGTATTTAATCCAATGTAGATTTGTTTCTATGACAAACCACTTCTATCTCATTCGCTCCAGTGTGACTGATTATGTAGCCAGAGATGACAAACTTCAGGTAGATGATGACACTAGAGTGATATCGAAAGAAAGAACGCTTCATGGAAGCTTGCATGAGTCAAAGATTGTAGGGTTGTTGTGTTGCAGTGCAGACATGGAAGATGCATCGAAAGGACCGTCCCTCAAGGTTGTCATGCTACATGAAGCTTTGTTTAGACGAACAATGATTAAAATTGAAGTAATAAAAATGTTTTTAGCAGATATCCAAGATTAAGAAAAGATACGCTATGCTTTATCCCAACTCCACTCCGCCAATATCCTTGAGACCCTTTTAATGCTAATTCTCTTAGGCTTAGTTGCTTCCTTTTGTTGTACGGGGCCGTGGCAGGCAGTTCTGGCTGTATGTGCTCCGCTCCATTGCGCGTGCATATCCGTCCAAGTCATTCTCTTTTTATCTTTTGGTGTTTTTACTGTCTCGATGGTGGGTTCTTTCCAAGGCCTGACATCAGAGTCTTCAGTCATGCGATGCACAAGAGGTGGTGCTTGTGGTTGCTCTTCGTCGGACTGTGATTGGTCTTCATCGGATTGTTCGGAGATGGGTTCGTCGATCGAAATCGTGTCTTCGTGAAGTGTCATCTCATCCATAGGTTTGCAGGACGAACGTCTGCGGAGTTGTGATGTGTCGACCGACAAGGCTTGAGATGTGGTATCTGCCTCTCTAGCTGCAACGACGACCATCGCGGGAATAGACTTGACTTTATGCACCGAGTCTTTGCTGGAGGCTACAACCGAAGTCGCAGACACAGACTTCAAACTGATCGCCTTAGCTTCTCCCACCTCTGCCTCTTCCATATCATCCAGCTTGTAGATGTTTGAGGAACGAGAATGCTCACTGCGCTCACGCAGACTTCTGATCAGAGGACGTAGGGTAAGCAGACAAGCGGCAGTAACACCAGTGCCGACTTCAGTGACACCGAGAATAGCTACCGGGTATGCCATTGCCCATGCTTGCTGTTCCGAGGCTCCGAGTCCATGAATGAAGCCAAACCGGGGCATAGACATAATACTGCTCACACACCCCAGCACCAGGATGAAGCCTGCAGAGACCTTGGCTTGGTGATTCATCTTCATGTTCCGAAGGGCAAAGATAGGAAGGAGAGTGAGTATCCAATCCGCGATTGTGTTGATGACGCTGTTCGTGTATTGCACGCCTTGCATTGTGTCCCAGCTGATACACATGGAGTGGTGGTAGCGAGCAAAAAAGTCCGTAGGGTTACCGCAGCGGAAAATGATGATGAAAAAGGTCGCAAGGCCGAATACAGTGTGTATACCTACAGTCACTTGCACCGTTCGACGTTGCCACTTTTCGAGTAAAATGCGGTTGAAGGTAATCGCAAGAGATGCCTTGAGAAACACGTTTGCCAGTGTGTAAAAGGCGAATTGGAAGGCTTGATANCTTCAGGCAATGTCAGCATAGGACAATACCTACTGCTAAGAAGTCATGCTTACCGTCACATATATCGACGCAACCTCAACATCCTTTAGACCTCGCCCAACAGCAATGAGAAGACTACTGTCGACTGTAAATATAAGCNNTGTAGGGTCGTGAGTACAATGATTCTTCGACCCAATCGTTGTCGCAGTACACACCATCGTAACAACCATAAGCCAATCATCTAGACCAAAAGATCGCATGATGCGTCCCTTGACTATAGTTCGTAGAGAGAAAGCAATCCATGCGACGGCTAGATACGCCACTGATACACCAATCATGGTGTTTTCTCTTCCACCAAGACCCATGGTGATGGTTTGTCGTACGTATGCAGATATTCGTAGATGCAAGCAGTAGTTCAGAGAGCCAGCAAACGTCAAATGAGAGGACACGCCACGGTCCAGAGTCCAGTCGTCGACAAGTGTAATGAGTGGACGGAAGAAGAGTAGAGCCCGATCCTAGATGAGTGGAAGCGAAGAAGACCGTCAAGGCGAGGAAAGACTAGAACGTGCTACAGAGGAAGGAGCGACGCGGAAAGTTGGGAGAGGCCATTACTTGTACCTACCTCGACAGCCCATACCATAACATGGTTCAACAACGGCAGTAGCATCATGGCTTCGATGAAACTGTATAGCAGATCCTACCCAAGCAGCATTGAGACAGGTCTATCGAACGCACAGGCTTCTCGCCAAAACCATATGGCTATACCGTTAGACCGTTTTTTTCTTCGATAGGCAGCCGAAGCCTTGTCGGCACTCGATTGGGTTCGGTTGCGACAAAGTCGTCGTTCATCTCAGTCTTACAAGAAGAACATGCAAACAACCGCAATTACGTCGACATGATGAGATGTCATCTCTACGAAGAATAAGAAGAGAAGGAGAAGCGAGAATACGCAAGTGGTGTGGTGGCTTCGGATTTTTGGCTTTTCTTTCTCCAGAGTCCAGTCAGCGCTTCCATCTGGACTTCTTCGACGTTCTCCGTTGTGCATCTGTCTTACCATATTCAACGTTCATAACGATTATGTTGATACCGAGTCATTCGATTTGAGATAACTCTAGATCTTCTCGTATGATACCGATGAACCATGATTTTCCTTAGCCTAAGGTTGACATTTTTGATTGATATGCACAAATCTTACCACATCAGACATTTTATGTTATGACAACACGAATAATAACACGAAAGGCTCAAGATATATTGAAGTTGGTGTCAGAGTTTGGACTGGTTCTCTCATGCTATAGTCTGCTCAAGCCAAAGACTTGTCGTATACGTAGGGAGTCTTAGAAGACGAACGGCTCTTCAAGAAGAGGGCACAGAGACCGAGGATGACGGCCAGAGCACCAATCTTGGCGACCCAGCTGATACCAGCATCGTTGACAGCGTCGCCATAACCAGCAGCCAACTCTTCCTCTTTGTGGTGCGACAGAGGCTCGTCGCCCTTTTCGTTGACAGGAGCGTTTGCAGCAGGTACGGGGACAGGAGCAGCGACTGGCTCATCTTCTTCTTCCTTGAGATCCTTGACGGGCTCGGCAGACCCAATGAGCTTATCTAAAGATTGCAAGCATCAGCGGCTCCGAGCAGCGATTGAGGAATTGAAGCAAGCTGAAACGGAACCAGACATACCGCCCGGGACACGATCAGAGCTCGGCTCTAATACCTTCTTCGGGGACCTCGAGCTCGCCACTCTTGGCAATCTTGATGGGCTTCTGGGGCTTGTCGCCAGCGCCCTTGGGAAGGTTCTGGATCTTGTCGACGATGTCGTAACCCTCGAGGACCTCACCGAAGACAACGTGACGACCATCGAGCCAGGAGGTGATGGCGGTGGTGATGAAGAACTGCGAGCCGTTGGTGTCCTTGCCGGCGTTGGCCATNGCCTGGTAGAGAAAGTCAGAAAGGAATGTGTAAACAATGCCCGGCAGGGGAGACTTACTGAGGAGACCCTTCTTGCTGTGCTTCAGCTTGAAGTTCTCATCGGGGAACTTGTTGCCGTAGATGGACTTGCCGCCAGTGCCGTCACCCTTGGTGAAGTCACCACCCTGGATCATGAAGTCCTTGATGACACGGTGGAAAGTGGAGCCCTCGTAGCCAAAGCCCTTCTCGCCAGTAGCAAGAGCTCTGAAGTTCTCGGCAGTNCTGATGACACGTAAGCATCCAAGGTACAGGTATGACAGCGATGGATTAGCTACCTTGGGGACAGTCTTGCCGTAGAGACCGAGGACAATACGTCCGAGCTCTTCATCACCGGAGGTCACATCGAAGTAGACCNNTGCAAGTACGTGAGCAATTGATAGCGGAGTAGCTAGGAAGCTGGAAATGTGTACCTTGTGGGTGATCTTAGGTCCCTTGACAGCCTCGGAAGACTGGGCGAAGAAGACAAAGGTGAAGGTGAGGATCACCAACAGGGAGATGATGAGTCTCTGGAAGCTGGCCATGATTGATGTTGCTAGTCAGAGGAGAGCAGAGGGAGAGGTTCAGGGACGAGAGACAGTGGACGGCATTGCGGAGAAGGCAGGTGCATTGACCTCCGCTCCGGCGGCCTGTAGTCTTGGTCTTGGCACCTCCGTCGCGACTGCCGACTTTGACCAACGACGACGACGACGTCCACGTCTGCCACCAGCTTTGCGCCTTCCACTGACACTCGCTCTCACAACACAGTCACCATGGTTGTAAGTAGCCATTCTGTGCGCCTTCATCCGCTCTATATACCGACGCTAATCTCATGCAGCTCGTCTTTGGAGTCAACTTTGCCGAATCGCGCCTTGTCAAGAGCGCCCTCGAGAGTTTCTACGGTGTCGGCCCTCAAATCTCACAACGCCTCATGGCTCGCCTGTCTATCCACAACACTGCAAGACTCCAGGGTCTAGGTCACCGCACCGTCAACGACCTCTCGGCCGAACTCCAGAACTTGACCATCGAGAACAACCTGAGGAGGAAATTGCAAGACAACATCAAGCGTTTAAGAGATATGGGAACATACAGAGGAAGACGTCACGCTATGAGTCTGCCCGTCCGTGGTCAGAGAACCCGCACACAGGTTTGTTCACATTACATCTTGTTTGTCAGTCCAAAACTGACGCTCTGTCAAGNNATCGCAACAGCCAGAAAGTTGAACAGAGTCGTTCGCAGAGGATAAACTCTTCAATTCTTCTTGCATTGTACAATTAATTTCTTTACGGCATTGGGTGGCGTAATGGGTTGCGATACCAAAAATTCTCATTTCCTTGTACCCTGATTCTCATTTCCACCTTCTATTCCATGCGAAAAATGTCCCAGAACTCCTCCCAATCCATGATGGCCGTCGAATCGAGCTGAAAGCGAGAGGAGATGCACCGACCTGGGCCTGCCCAGGTATGCATGAAAAAAACACCATGTCCAACTGTACAAAATGCAAGACGTCCCTCCTAGCTGGTCAAGTCATCGGGACCAAAACACCTTGTATGCAAATGCTGATAAGGATACGCCAGTAGCGACTGTTCGGTCTGGTTGTCCGATTCTATTTGGCTAAGGCTTGTTAGTCGAGGAAGGTATGTATTGAGGCCATCAAGTACTGACTGGATGTAGATTGATCTAGGCTTCTGAAAATGAGCGGTCACCGCAAAATGCGAAGAGGAGAGCGCTGATGCCTTCAGGCTCCGTCTCGCGGGCGCCAGGATCCTTGCCTGTGTCGCCATTGTTCATGACAATGTAGCCCGGATCCTTGCCTGTGTCTCCATTGGCAGCTTGTAGTACGCCGTTGGGATATGTGACGATTGATGTGTGGGAAAGGACAAGGCCCATTGATGAAGAGTTGGTGTGGTGAAGCATTGTGTCTGTATGTGACTGTCTTTGTTTCCAATGTTTGAGTGTGATGTTTCAGTTGTTCGTGCCGCACACCTACCTTCTTATACCATCATGCCTCTTCATAGCATGTATGTACAAGGCGAAGTGAAGACCGTGCGTCTTGCTCCAGTCATCAGGCAACAAACCATTTGAGTGTCTTAGAAGGCCGCTAGGTCAGGGCCGCCAGGCCAGGGCCATACAGATGACGAATGCTATTCGTCAAAACCAACAGAGACTTATAGTTAGGACACTTGCGGTGTTGGTTTCTAGAAATGCCAATGCCTGCGCTCCAGAGCGGGCCATAGCCTTCCCNGAGAGGAGCCTCAGAGGGTCGTGATCACTGGCCATGTCTGCCTTGCGAAGGGGCCATGGAGAGTTTCCGTTTTGGGAAGGAGGTGCAAAATGTTGTTCGATGTCCAAGCGAAACGTTCAAAACCAACCTTTGCTATGAGTAAGAACGTTACAATTACGAAGGCATCAAGACTCAAACTCGTGCTATGATTGATCAAACTATCGATTAGTTAATCTGAAGGTACCCTAGAAATAGAGGCGGAGCCCCATGTCTGCCTTACCAAGACTGAGCCATGACGTCTGCACCAACACGCGATGCCTCGTAAAATGAATTGTAAGCAAAAGTGTTAGGCTTCCATTTCTGAGAAGAACACATGGCCACTGAGTTGCAGTAGCATACTAAGCATGAGAATTGCTCCGCCGCACCCGGTGACTCGAAAAGAAGAGAACGACAGTCAACCTTCGTCATATCCTCCACCGAAACGTTCCGCGATGATTTCAAAGCAACTGCCTAGATGCCTTGAGTATACGGCTGACTGACTACAATGAGAAACAGGTCTCTGTCTGCTCATGTAAGCTTGAATCGATTCTCTCCGAAAACTTCCATGGATGTATTATTCTTCCGCCGGAGCATCCTGGACAAAGTTGAAGTGATCGAAGGGAGGTTCTGTCATGCCGGTCGCCGATATTGCCGAGTCGTGGCAGGTGCGGCCGATTTTTGGGCCTCCTCCTGCAGGCTGATCACTGGTCAAACCTTCTGCATCAGATCTTATCATCTATTCTCAGGATCCAACCTGTTTCTTGTCTCTTGCAACATGCAGTACAGTGTTTCGTGTCTTGGACACACTATTCAGTACTCTACTGACGTGCCGACCTCCGACAATTCACGCATTGTCTGTTAGCCACACCAGGCCTCCTATGGTCAGCCATCACGCCTCGTGACGATCGGCATCTTGATAGGACCCCAGAAATAGATCAACAACACGGCCTGTATTATTGACAAGCCTGCCATCCACATGAATCCTTCTGCACAGCTTTGCGAAAGCACAGACGGTAAAGACGAAGAGTTCTTCATGACGCTGACCTGCACTTCGAAGAGAGAGGCCTTTGCTCAAGAAATGCGCCATTCTTTGCGGAAGAATACTTCTACCTCGTCGGTTGATCTTCAAGGATCTCCAGGCAACGAACCCAAGACTCCATGCACAACCGGCACAGAGGCCCGTGCTGCTTGACCATTCTCTACATAGGGTATGCCTCTGCCAGCTTACAATTCTAGTTAAATCGACCTTCCTCGTCGGACGCTTGAAGACACATCGCATCATCGCTCGCAACCAAGTATGTCTTCTTTCCAGGTAGCAAGGAAACGTCATGCGGCTGACACAACCGGGCCATTCCATGACCACCTCTACAATGATGTACGCAATGGCCTATCAGACGGAGCCTCTACCAATCCACAACTCTTTACTTCTTTAACTTATCGCTGTGAGTCACCAGAGTTCGACCATTGACCTAGTTCAATAGCTTTGCTCGATTCACCGGTCGTAAGTCCAGGGATCGAACGCGATCCTTACCAGCCACAGAGGTTTATCTTGTGCAACTCATGCCTTGCATGATATTGATGTTGAAGACTCGTGTTCCACCAAGTTTCAAAGTCTATATCACAATCTGCAAGATCACGTTTTGAGACCATGCACTTGTTCACCACTCATCGGGTCGTAGCTATCGCGACATCTCCTATTGCTCCAACGCGATTCTGCATGAGGGATGCATTCGCATCATTGGTTCACAACCGAGATTGTTATATTGCATGCATATCACCGGTTGATGCGGGGCTTATCACATGACTCCGTGCACTTGTTGATCAAGCTGGACGACCTCAGCCTTGTTGACTCGTCTTATTCTTACAGCCACGTTGACAATGTAAGAGCTTGTCAAAGCGGTCAAAATCCATGCTGCTGTGCGGTACGGAACGCTCCTAGTGTGCCTGAAATCCCACACCAACCACCCCTCAGACTCTACTACACAGCCCTGTACTCCCGTGTTGTCTTTCCCATTAGGAAAGGAGAGTCAGCTTCAAGTGGACCGTGATCAAGGATGGAATCCTACGCTTACGAAACCAACAAAATGGAGGAGCTCTTTGATTATGGGCCTGATTTGCTTTCTGATCGCGCGTCATTTCAAGCACTCATCGATGAATTATATCCGTCAGGCAAAACAATGCAATTAGATGTTGAGTTCAGCAGCCGTGGCACCTCTCCTCCTGGTCCCGATACTCCGCCTTCATCTTCGGGCGGTGATCAGGAAGAGGTCGTTAGCCTGGAGGCGGAACATGAACATCAAGCCTTCGCTCAAGGAGCACTGATGACAGAAATGCTTGCCGGAATAAGAGGATCCACCCCTCACGAGCTGATGCGATCAGGCTCCAACGTTTACCATGATCTGAGCACGATCGAGTCATCCTTTCATGAGCCTTATTTGGGAGTCCCGTCTTCTTCTCAAGATTCCCACAATCAAATGCCATCTTATATCTGGGATAGCACTCCTGAAAGACCTCTTCAGCACAGGACCGTCTATGGTACCAGCTTTACATGGGCCGACCCTACCGCCATCAACTTCAACAACCCTAATCTAGTCTACCACCCAGGTGTCCAAGCGTTCTTTGATCCGACAGCGTTCGTCCCTCGGTCTGCGATGCTGCCTCCTCAATTTCCCTATACTCTTCCTCCTGCTGCCGGTACAGACCATGGAGTTGATGCCAGCCAAGAACTGACGTCCCCTACGGGTTTCCAACGTGATGATATGTTGCCAGGATACCAAAACTCATCCTCGCCAGATATCATGACAAGTCATGCTGGATACAACTTCGATAACAGTCTACAACGATCCATCCCCTTTGACATGATTGAACAGCCCCCCTTCCACGCCAGCCATCAGACCAATGCTTCCCTCTTACCACAGCAGCAATCTACTGCAAATGAGGAGACACTCGTTGTTGCTGCAGAGATTTCTCGTGCCAATGAGACGGCTGATCTCCCCATAAGGAACAACTACCGCTCAAGAGAGCAGCACAACTCCCGATCTCCAGAGGCCACGCGGCGAGGCGGCGTATCAGGGTCTTCGTCATCACGAGGCTCGAGCCCGAGACCTATACATAAGGGAGGACGCTCAGGCGGTCTCGACGGCAATACCAGAGCACATGCCAACCAAATGCGAAAGTTGGGCGCATGCTGGATCTGTGCTTTCCAGAGAGATCAGTGCGATCCAGGAAGTCCTTGCACCAGGTGTCAAGACCGAAGCATCAGGGGCTCTCTGCATATGCTACCTTGCTCGCGCATGCATCTTCAAGAACTAGTCCACCAGTTCCTTCCTGCTACGATGAACAGACAACATCGTCGTGATGAAATTTTGTCGTTTGCAAAGAAGAGTCTGGGATTCTGGAGGGCTGATGCTCCTATTCAGGTTCACTTGACTTCGTTGGGCATGGGTCACTTCACTTGGGATCTACATGAATACGAACCCTCTTCTCAGGATCTACTACTGCAGAAGCGATACAAGGTTGGCATCTCTGGGACTTGGCAGCGTATAGAGAAGAGGTCACCACCTTTAGCTCTGAAACAAGTCAACTTCAGCCCAAGCCACAAGCTGGAAGATTATGTGGATAACATCGTCGATCAATATCTCGAGATGTTTCAAGAGCAAGCATATTATGGAGAAGAAGATTCGTGTGCCATGTTCCAGAACGAATTACTCAGAGCGCTGTGCAGTCTTTACACCAGCCTGCCGGACGAAGACGATGTAAGCTGATCCGTAATCCCAGAACAAACGGCACAGACGAGCTAACGTATCCTCTCAGGACAAGACANNGACAAGACACTGAAAGGCGACGTCCGCCATGTCCTCCGCATGCTGATCCTGACCTGTATTATGGACCACCCCATCACGATCTCCGAGTCTTCTCTTCCCATCACCATCTCGTCGATGCACTCCCACAACAACCCCCATCTCTACTCTGCCTGGACATCCCCATTCCTCGCAAACCGCCAACTCAAATACTTCTTTGCTGAAATGCAGACCCAACAATACAACCGCACCCTCAACCGCCTACACCAAATCCTACGCAAAGCAGGTGACAAGAGCAAATTGTGGATGTCTTCGTTTGTATTGATGCTCGGCATCGCCATCGTGCTTGAGAATTGCCAGCATCTACTTTGGATCAAGGCCGATGCCAAGGTCGCCAGAAAGGAAACTACAGCAGTGGATGCGGCTTGGGAAGCCCGCAACCACTGCCAGGAAATGGATGACGGCTTTGAGTTTCTGTGTAAGCTGTATCATTGCAAGTATCGTGGCAAGCATCGTCAGAAAACCAGATACGAGGAGTTGAAAAACAAGACGAGTAGGCCTGCGGAACAGGCCTTTGCGGACAGGATCTATGAGATTGTTGACAGAAATGGTGAGTCCCCAAGTTTCTTGTTTCTTGTCCACGTCGGTGGAAAAATAAGGACCCCTAGGCTAATTTGAAGATTTCATANNGGGGGTTACTTGTTGCATAGGCAGAACCTCACTGTCAACGGTATGCAGGAGAACAACCATGCGTCGAGGTTGGTCGCGAGATTTTTGGTCGAGTTGATGGGATTGACGCAGTCGTCTCCCTGAGACAGAAGAGCAAGAGGAACTCAGACATGGGCGGCATCTTTGATGACTTTAACGATATATGTAACGACGGACAATAATGACTAGGACTCGAATCAAAAGGCATGGACTTTGTTATACTATTACTCTGATCTGCTGTGACAAAAACAACAATTGCAAACAAAGAAATGTAAGGAAGCGCAACTAAGACTCTCAACATCACCAAGTAACGACGTGAAAAGCCATAAACAAAGCCACCCTTCTTCTTCTCTCTTGTGCGGCAATATGACCCTTGTCTCGTGGGTTATACAAAAACAAAGGTTGATTATCCGCTCGTATGAAAAAGTGTATGAGAGAGAAAGAAGCTTTCCAAAATGTCAACATGGCATTTTGAACAAGTGCATGATTGTGGGAGAGGTCAAAAGTCTTGGCCAAACTCGAGGCTGAAGGTCATATGTTGAGGGTATTTGCCGAGGAAAGAAGTTTTGAGAATTGGCGAGCGTCAAAAAGCTGGATGGTTTTGTTTTCTTTTGTTTAACCATCAACAACGTCTTTTCTTCTCTTTTTGGGGCTGTTGCGATCAACTCGCGACATGCAATCTGCTGTCTTCCTCGAGTACTGCCTGCCTGCCGCCTCGGTGCGCGCTTTCTTCGCGCTTTACAGATTTTGAAGCACGAGAGCCCTTGCTTGTCCGAACACGAAAGGCCAGCGCCTGAGGGACACGCCTGAACAGCAGGTAAAAGAGCTTGGAACACACATTCAGACAAGGATACATACACAAAACAACACACCACGATTTGCCTGTGGGGAGGCCTTCAATGCCTTGCCTGCTAACTATTCAATTAGTGGAAGAGCGATATCTTTGCTTTGCAAGGATAGGCGAAATAAGCAGCGCCTTTGTCTTCTCCACCCTTATGCATCACATTAATGATGAGCAAGGACTATGATAGACATACATCTTGTATCCGTAATATTCAATTTAATTCTGATTTAACTCTGTATATGCTCCTCAGACTGTTCTTCATCTTGTTGTGTTTGATCGTGCTTGCTGTCTTGAGACAGAAATTGACCAGTTGATTGCTGCTTCCTCGAGTTTTCTAGTTGAAAATGAAGAAGCGCAAAGAACCTTGGAATACACATTTCCATCGTTCAGTCTCTAGACCGTGGACATCACAACAAAGCTCTATCTGCATGGTTGCTTGCACAAGAAGGACATGCCTTATCGAGAACATAGCATGGATAGGCACACCAGATTCGGCTTTCATGTTTGATCGTTTTGCGAAAGACCTATGGTACAATGACTTCCATCTGCATGCAGCAAGGCTGACTTCGAATCTATCGCCAGCTCTGGCCTTTCTCTCATGGCCCTCTCCTTGTTCATTAAAGAGAAAGAACCCTTCCATACCCAGAAAATTAAAACGCCCCCGCTCATGTTTGAAGATGCCATGCAGAAGGTTGGTTCATATTATCTACAGCTTCTGGTACTCGAGCTTGCCTTCAAGCTTCTTTGATTCGGCGACCTTGCGGACGGCCTTGTTGAAGTCGTCTTGGTTGATAGCGTCACGGTAGTCCTTGATGGCGAAGAGACCNACTAGAAGATCAAATGTCAGCATGATATGTCTTGGGACATGGGAGGGAGAAACTCACGCTTCAGTCACAACGTTTCTCAAATCGGCACCGTTGAGCTGGTCACTCATCTTGACAACGCTCTCATAGTCGATCTCGCCCTCCTTTTGCACACCCTCGGCGTGGATCTTGAGAATCTCCATACGGCCAACCTCATTAGGCAGAGGAATTTCAATCTTTCTATCCAGACGACCAGCACGCAGCAGGGCGGGGTCGAGAGTGTCGGGTCTGTTTGTAGCCATGATGATCTTTGTCTTTCCCAGGTAATCGAAACCGTCGAGTTGGTTGAGGAGCTCCATAAGGGTTCTCTGAATTTCTCTGTCGGCAGAGGTACCTTCTGAGAATCTACGACCACCGATGGCATCGATTTCGTCCATGAAGATGATGCAAGGTTCGTGTTCCTTTGCGTAGCCGAACATTTCGCGAATGAGACGGGCGGATTCACCAATGTACTTGTCGACGATGGCGGATGAGACAACTGGAGCGTGTCAGCAATGATCAGAACGAGACAAGATAGCGGGAGTGACTTACCCTTTNAGGAAGTTTGTTTCCAGACTGCTAGCGACGGCTCTGGCGAGAAGAGTCTTTCCAGTACCGGGAGGACCATATAGCAAGACACCCTTTGGTGGCTTGATGCCGACTCTGAGGAAGAGCTCTGGGTTCTTTAGCGGTAGCTCAATGACCTCGCGCAACTCTCTAATCTGCTCGTTCAAACCACCAATACCAGCAAAGTTGACCTGACCGGGATCCTCGAGGGACATGTTGTAGACGAGCGGGTCGACCTCTCGTGGGAGCATGCGCATGATTGTGAGGGTTGTCATATCGAGAGCGACGCGGGTTCCTTGCTTGAGCTTGAGCTTGTCGACCTTTGACCTGCATCCAACGACATAGCGCGGTCCTGATGACGCCTTGACGATGACTNNGTGGTGAATTAGCTATGTTGGCGTTGAGGGCTAAAGAGTGGTTCACATACATCTCTCCTCGTCCAGCTGCTTCAAGACTTCTCCGATGATTTGACCGACACTCTGCAAGGCCTTGATGTTGTCTTCGGAAACGTCAAAGTCGTGTTGCAGACCCTTGATCTCTAACCGCAGCGCCTTGAGCTTTGCCTCCCATTCTCTTGACTCTAGCAGCTTGGACTTGTATCCTTCCAGCGCGTGTTCTCTCTCGGGGTCGGCGCTCATCGTGGCTGATGTGGAATGTATGTGTTTGGATGGACTCGTGTGATGTGAAGGCGGCGGCGACAAGGTGATGGCGGTGGTGGATGATGTTTGGACCGATTGCGAGTGCTCCGGACTGAGAGCTTCCCAATGCCGTCACATGTGCCAAGATTTCACATCTCCTTTTATGCACCTTCCATAAATAAATATCCACAACCTCCACCGTCTCACTCCTGCCTTCTCATGTCATTTCGAAACACTCCCTGCAATGTTATTGCACCGACTTTGTTCCGCTTGTCGACGCCCATGATTCAAAGGTCTTTGTTGTTTCTTCTTACACCCCTCTTGCTACTGCTACGCCACGACACAGCATTTGTTCATGTTGCTGCGGACACTCTATCCCGTGGCTGTGTTACCACTGTTGCACCCGAAAGCCTGACTCTCGTCTTCATATAGCCACCCCAAGAGTCGGTCAATAAGCGCCCACGGACCTGCCAAGCTGTAAACTTCTTCACTCAGCCCCTTGCAATTGAATCCTTCGACCCATACAATCCATCCTCTATGGCTGATACACTGTCAATGCATGCAAGCTTCAGGCGCCTGTCTTGCTCAGGTAGGTCTGAGGTATCCAAATATATAGACTCTTGTTCCTCACCCCATTGTTTTCTCTGTCTACCCATATATCCTCTATATTTCCAAGTACAACACATCCTCACCACTTTCACTCTATCCAACATGAATATCTATCCTGGCTACAGACCCACCGCCCGCACCTCGGAGGAGGTACAAGAAACCCCCAAAAACATGCAACCAACCACCGATGGAGTCCCAGTCTGGAGCAAAGCAATGCTCATCACCTTCTGGGTTTTTCAACTCATCATCTGTATTATCGGCTGGGGAATCGGAGCTCTCGCACTCGGCACCAAACGTCTTCTAGACGACGGCGATTACACATACAGCCACGGTGTGAAGCTTGCTCTCAGGTACGGAATCCCTTTTGTTCACCACCATGAAACCCACAGTCTAACATTCACGTTTATCAGTGTCGGTGGTGGCGTTTGGGTAGCATGGGCCAGTGCAACCTTCATCCTCATCGTCACCGAGATCATCATGTTTTCGCGCCAAAACCTGAAGGCTTGGTTTGAGGTCACTTCCTGCTGTGTCAAGACCACATTATGGTTGGTCATGTTTTTGATCTCTGTTCATGATACTGCGGTGACCTCTTCCGGTGGTCTTTCGCTTCTGATTCTTGGTGTTTTCCTGTAAGTCAAATCATATCCCAACGGTCTATACAACGATCAATTCTGACCTTTTGCAGGANTTGTCTTCTTGATCCCTTTGATCTACTCGGCTGTCAAGTTGCATCGTCAACGCAAGGCTGTTCCAGCTCTTTTGAATCGAGTTTGGTCTAAGTCGTTCATACACAAGTCGCTCTTGTACAACAATAGTTATCCACATATCTCGATTCGAATGATGACGATTATACCCAAAATACCTTGACCATGTTACCAAAACACGTTCCTATGTCCATCAATACCAGAGTATGTGACCATTGACAGGTCCGCCTCATCGCCAAGTGTTGCGCAAGAACGTTGCAGTAATTATCGTTCGTTTGCTGGTTAAAACTTTGCACATCCACAGTTGCCAAGTTGGATCACATCGTTCCCTGGACAGACAGGTTTTGAATTCAACAACATTCAATCGCTGTGCTATTTCTCGCTGAATTTAGTCGATTCGTGATCTCAATCAACTCGCATCCTGTTTGTTGCTTGTTCTTCCGATCTACCATCCTCGTCTGTCGTTCTTTCGTCCTTCTCGTTCACTCTTCTTCCACCAAGTGGCTCCAAGCAAACATGAGCCAGCCTCATACTGTATTTTTGCTGCCTCTCCGACTACTAAAGGACAGTGGAATACACGCTATGAAGATACACAATACGAGCATAAGATAGGACAGTGTCCGCTAAGAAGCGATCTATCATTAGCTCTCTTTGGCCATATCTTTATTTCTGGACAGAATTGTGCATTTTTATAGCGTGTACGTTACATGATTTCGCACACGGGATGTAGTGAATGGCTCATGTTTCCTTGGACCCCCTTGCACGTTCTCCACGCTTGCATCTTCGTCTCTCCGTTTTTTCATCTCTGCTCCTTTCTCTACTGGTGCTGGACTATGGCATTGCCATTCGAATCAATTTGACCAAAGAGCCAACTGCGCTTCTGGTCATCGTCAAGGCTTGTCATCTCAGACATCAAAGTTTCCAAGCCCCTGTTCGCACCATGTTCGCCTTCCCATTCGCGGCGTTCGTCCATGATAACAGCAGACTCGGTTCCACCTTGGACATGGAAGAACACGCGCTCCATGACCAAGCCGAGCAGTTTGAAGCATTTGTGACTCAACATTGCATCTAGTCCGGCGAGGGTTGGCCAAGCGCTACCCTTTTCGCTGTCGAAATAGCTACGGTGGTTGGGACCGTAGATATGGACATCGGTTAGAACAAGCTTTCGCAAATTGGTCGTTCCCAGTCTGCGAATGCTGAGTGGAAGTAACCAACCCTCGATTGCACATGACGAGATGTGAATCTCCGTCACGTTATCACTGCCGATTGCTTCCTGGAAACGACCGAGCGTGCACAGTGAGAAAAGAGAAGAAGTGCCCGAACCATAATCGTAACGAGGCTCTGAGCCTACTGAGCCCACAACCTTGGGGATGAAGTCAGAACGAACCTCACCACGGTTTTCCTCGATAGTGCCCTGGTACTCGAAAACAAGGCGGTGGTGGTTGTTGTCAGGGCGATAGAAACGAGTCGTGAAATCCAGTCCTGCCTTGAGGTAGATGTTCACATCGCGCTGCAGCTTGCCGTCTCTCGTCTTCACCATGGGCGAAACGCCGAGCATATGATCAAGACCGCCGAATTTGCTACGCAGAGCACTCGCAAGATCCAGCTCCATTGGGGAGACAGCAAGCCTACTCTTCTCAATTGCTTCCTGGAGAACTGCAAAGGTAAGCTCGCCAATGGGGACCTATTGCAAAGGGTTGTCATCAGGGATGGGCAAGACGTTGCGCCACAACTTGTCAAAACCATATGCCTTTCGGAGAAGACCTTGGCGCCCATCGGAGACGACATCGTCGAAGATGCCCAGCGTAACTCGATTACCGTGCTTCTTGAGATTGGATAGAGCTCGAGTTAAGAGATCGATGATCTTCTGCTTACGCATCTTCAAGAGTGTCTGCTCAACGTTTTGATATCTCCATAGGGAACAGCGGTCTGCTTCAGACATGTGTCCGAAGCTGGGTCCAGGGAAACCCTCAACAGGGTCAGGGTTGAAGGTAGTGTGTGTGCTGAGAAGGATCTTTCGAACGCATGGGCCTCCATAGAGGTCAGCATCTACTCACTTTACGCATGATTGATTAGGACCTGTTACTTACCGAGTTCAGGATGAGCAGTGAGACCAATTAGACCTTCCAGACTGTACTTTGACAGCATGAAACGACGCTCAGCAAGTAGCCTCTCGCCGAACGGCTTGGTGGAAATGACATTCAGCTCCTTGTTTGTGAGGCGCAAGTTGGCCAGGCAGGAGTCCTCGGCGCAAGAGACGATCATCTTCTTCAATTCAGTAGGAAGTCCGCTCAGAGTGGGTGGAGGACGTTGGTTCGAGACAGGGCCATCAGCGCTTGTAGTAGTTGAGAGCATATTGAAGGCTGTAGACATAGACTGGGTGCTTGTGGGATAGCCGGAAGAGGCTGGCTTCGAGTTGTCGACGGCTGCAGAAGGCTTGGGAAGGTCCATGCTCTGGCAAAGTGTTAGAAAAAGGTGCGCAGGTGATTCAGGTGCGCACTAACTGGAGGAGATGTGATGTGAAGATTCTCTCTGGTGTTTGTTGAAGCGTTCGTGCTGGTGTTTGCAGGGGCGGGTGACTGCTTGGTGTGTTCGCCAGGAGACGCCATGTTGGAGTGTGTGGTCGCGCAAGGTCCAGGAGAAACCATGCTCTGATGAGAAAATGTTAGAAGGAGATCTTTAGAAGATTTGAGTGGGCGCTCATAGGTAGTGATGTAGTGTGAAAGCTGGCGACTATGTTTGTTGACGCGATGTGAAGTGAAGCAATAAAGATGTGTTGACAAACACCGCCGCTCGTCGCCACGCAAAGCAAACGACCGTCTTGGGTGGAGCAAACGAACGAAATGATTCCAAGACATTCTGAAGACAACTATGAAAAGGGAAAAGGGGGACGGAACAGAAGTGGAAGACGAAGATGCAACTACTTACACTTTCAAGACAAGCAAGAGTGAGTCTTGCTGTCGTGCTTGCTCAAAAATTGCACCTACCGAAACTCACAGTCCTTTTGAGACAACAGATACTGGGTGCAGGGACGATAGGCCATAGTTGGAGAGCAGAATGTCTTTCAAGTTTGGAAACAACCTTATCTCATCGCACCCCCTCTTCATATCCATCTCCTAAAAATGCTTTTCTCATGATCAAGAAAAACGCCAGATCTCTTTTCCATAATAGATGCAAAGGGTATCTGAAATGTTTCTTCTTGCAACCTCCTTCTCATATTCAAAGTCATCAAACCGTCACACCATAAACCCATCATTTCGTAAGTCAGAAGCAGAGTCGTAAGGGAAATGGACAAACAAAAACGCGACGCTCTAAAGAAAAAACGTGAAACCATCAATCGCGCAAGCATCAAAATGCATGACCAAGGAAGAACCAGAAAACAGTCATAAGAAATGTTGGGGTTGAGGAAAAACTCCCACATACGCATGGGAGACAAAAGCCCTCAGTCCCTTGTTGCTAGTGTCGTTGGATCTCATATCGTCTTCAAACAACGACATGACGAACTTTGACGCCGGCAGCAGGTTTTTCAGCCCCTTTTGGGCGCGGACGCGTAGTGCCTCCGAGCATCCATCTGGTGAACGCCGGGACCTGTTTCTTCTTGCCTGGGTTAGCAGTGGTCTTCTTGGGGCCACGTCCACCTTCTACCCTGCCAGGTTCTTCGACAATCTCGACTATAGGATCATCGAGATCATCTTGACCGGCGAAGACGGTGGGTACGTGCATGGGAGGTATAGGAGGGGAAGCGTGTTGAACTGGTGCAAGGGGGAGGTGGTGGTGGCGGCGCGGGNNTCCTACGGACGCACGCTTGCCCGCGCTCTTATTGCCACTGACCTGAGTGCGTCCTCTGTTTCTCGGTGGTCGCTCCGGGACAACGATCGGGGTCGGGGAACCGCCAGCGTCGATGGGTTTTTCTTCCATAGGATCCGGTGGCAGTGGCCAAAGCTGCATTTTGATGTCCCATCCAGGCTGCACAACGATATCCCAGACTTGAGGTAGGATGATCTCGTTGTTCGGTCCTAGCAAGTGATAATGGCCGTTAGCGACATGTGGCCCAATGCGCTCGATATTGACGAAAGCTTGTCTGATCAGAGTTTCCATGCCCTTCCAGGTCTTGACCAAGTGCCATGGCAATGTAAAGCTCCTGTCCACAGCGTCGGTAAATTTGAGAGGCGGCTTGTCGGCGTCTGGTGCAGGAGCATTCTTCTTCAATTCTTCTTCGGCAGCTTTCTTTGCTGCTTCGGCTGCATTAGCGGCAGCCTTTGCCTCTGCCATCTTCTTCTCGTGCTCCGCTTTGGCCTCTGCAATCACCTTCTCATTCTCGGCTTTGGCAAGAGCAGCGGCGGCAGCAGCCTCCTTTTCGGCATTCTCACGTGCTGCCGTAGCAGCATCGGCAAGCTCTTTCTCACGAGCTGCCTTGGCCTCAGCCTCAGCTTTCTCTTTAGCAGCTTTAGCAGCAGCAGCCTCCTCTCTTTCAAGACGCTGTTTCTCAAAATCTGCTAGCAACAAAGCAATCTTGTCAGACTCGGCCTGCACCTTGGCCTGCTTCTCGGCNGTCAGCCGCTTTCTCTTCGGCTTGAAGGGCCTTGAGGGCTTTAACGAGGTTCTCAGCCTGGAGCGCGGCTTCTTTTCCATTTTCTCTTTGATTTCCTCGGCCGTTGGTGCTGGCGGAGCAGGTGGGGCTGGCGGCGGCTCCTCTTTCTTTTCAGTTTTTGATGGCTTCTCCTCGGGGACTGGAGGCGACGCATGAGGCTGGTAGAGATGGTATCCAGGATGCATCGCGGGTTGCATCATGTTCTGCGGAACCGAGTATGGCCTTTGAGGATAACCAGGATATTGCATATCGGGAGTCATGTATGCCATGCTGCTTCTTGTCAACATATCAGGCCTCTGCGGGTGATATGCGCCGGTATAGGAGTCATACGTATAGCCTGGCTGAGGAGAAGGAGCATGAGGCAGCACGGTCACGAAGGGGTTTCCAGTGCTAGCTGGACCTCCATATGGATGAGCTTGGCCAGCGTAGGCATAGTGATCGTAAGGAGTAACCGCAGCAGGATTCGAGTAGTGGGAAGCTGAGGAAGTGCTCGACGTCATTGTAGGAGGGTAATGCGCATGCTGTCCAGCCCAGTGGTGTTCAGGATAAACACCGTCATATTGTCCTTCGTGGTAGCTACCACGGGTCGAATAGCCTGAGTGGTCGTAAGGATGCGTCATGCGGGCTGAGAGCTCCGAGGGGTCGCTCGAAGTCGAAACGTGTTCTGGATATGCGCTGTGTCGGTTGGACTCCNNAGGGTGATGGTGATATTCAGCCTGTAGGCGACGGTATCGTGCCTTACGTGAAGGTCTATCCTGACGAGATCGTTCGTGCGATGGAGGATATAGCGGGTGAAGGTGAGGATGCGATTGGTATTCAGCGTGACTGGAAGCTGAATCGCCGGGGCTGATTTCGCCTTCTGAGCCGGTCGAGGTATTGTAGTATCTTGGGCGGTTGTGTTGATGGTAATCAGAAGGCTCGTAGCCTGTGTCGTCGACTTCGTCGAAGTGGGAATGAGGCTGAGAGCCCGTCGACGAGGAGGCCGAGTAGCTGGTCCTCCTGCATGAACTGGTTAGCGCAAGCGTAGTTGACTAAGAGCAAACCAAAAGCACTCACGACATGTACCACGACGAAGTAAGCAGTGTGGTTGTTCAGTTCACCCGTCTTCGCCCAAGATATGATCCAGGTATATACTTGGCCGAAGATTGATGTGCAGGTCGTTAATCCAGCAGCTTCGCAAAATCGAGCCTCTTTGGCCGGTAAACAATCGCCCTCTGGGCAGCTAGAGCCAGGGAGGTGCTTTGCGATTGGACGGCGACGCTTCTATCTGTATACCCCTCTGTTTGCACGCCCAGGGTTTACTGGTCTTGCCGTTTTTGTGTTCGTCGCCAACCCTGTCGCTCGCAGAATGTGGAATGTATCGAGATCCAACTTGATCAAAAAGTTTGGTTCGTGAACTGGTAGTCTCTTGATTGTTGGCGGTGAAGGCGTCACAGTGCATACGATTGGGATGCAAGGTGGGATGGATTGTAGAAGGGACTTTTTGAATCCAGCCTAGGCCCGACCTCGTCCACTGAGCGTCAACCACGTCGATTGCGACGTCTAGAAATTGCCTTGCAGCTTGGTTGAGCGTGTGCAAAAGAGCGCGCCGAAGGGAAAGGTCGATCGGACTGCCGAAGCCTTGGTCGCGTCGCCCTACTCTATTTAACCAGAGGAAGAAATCGGATCCAAGGTCGAAATAGCTGTTTACGCCCCGGTAAAATCAGTCACCCTACGAACGTGCTTTAAATCGACATAAGATCAAAAAGAGTACAGCGCTCTTTTTCTTTTGTCCATCTATCACCCCTTGTACAAGGAGGTGGAAGCGTGTGACTTGACCGTTTTGCTGCGTGGGGACGTACCTTTACCCGGTTACCAAGCCAACAACCTTCTTCTGCTACACCCACCCTGTCAATGTGCACCTGTGAGTAGCAAAGATAGCGATGATCTTTCGTCAATCAAGGTCTCCTTCGAATACGTGGTCTGCGAACTTTGCTGTGTGTGAATCTGTGAGGAAACATTAGGTTAGAAAAGAGAATGATGAAGAGAAGTGCAAATAAAGCTCTCTGCTGATGATTTTCCGTCGCCTGTTGTCACACACTCAGGGGAGCATTATATACTGAAACGTGGACAGCAATCATCCCGCCATTCTGGTCAGGGCGAAGTGTTGCTATTAACTTTTCCCCTTGCCTTCTTCAGAGCCCAACCTAGCCGCCTATGTGTTCTCTTGGGCATCTGGCAAGGGCGTGCTGTGTTCGTGGGAGGGCGATATAACCCGGATTCGAGCGCTGTTCCTCCGCCCCTTCCGCGTCTTGATGCCCAATACATGCATGCATGCCCAAGCCAACAACGGGCCTTTGAGGACCATCATTCTTCTTAATCGACTGCCATCAGCATGTCAACGATGAGTCAAAGTTGGGCAGCTCGAGTGGGAGTGCTTTCGGATTGATTTTGACGATGAGTAGTCTGCAAATGCGCGGTCTGTAATTCTAACCTCCCTCTGTCACTGACTCACTGAGATGGGTCTGTATGAACGCGCGATGGCTTCCGAGCCCAGAGACTTAGCCAGGGAAGTCTGATGACCTGTTGCCTCTTGATCAATACTGTCTTGTTTCTGAATATTATTGCATTTATTATACTCGATAGCTATACACGTTGCACACTGGACTTGTACATACCAGAGCCGCCATTGTTACACGGTCGAGTCGATACCTGACGAGATGTACCACCCACAAGCGGCGACCTGCTTCTCGACCCCAACAGCTAGCAAAAGGCCTTCGACGCCAATGGTGACCAGTCACAATAGCAAAGGCTCGTCCGCATACGATCATACGTCATGTGCCTGAATATGCGGCAAGCAAATATGGTAGGGGTATCAACCGATCTATGTACATCCATTCGAGGCCAGCCTCCAAACGCCACAAACCCATGAAAAGATGATCAGAGAAGAGAAAGAAGAGTGAAAAGATCGTACAAAAACGACAATACCCACCAAACATTTCATACGTTCATACGAATGCCTTTGGGCGTCATGAACAGATGGCGGTCCGACATGCTTACCCAAAGCTAACAGCCATGGATCTTTTNTCCTCGCCTCCTGATTCACCGATTCCAAGGACTTCTAGAACAACATTGATTGTAGTGCTGATGCACCACACACCGATAAGGATCCATCCAATTTTTCTGCTCAGTATCCACTTGTTCATGGGCACAGCGATGAGGAGCCCAACCAAAGTGACAAGCAACGTGACACCACTGACGATCAAGGTCTGCCCAACCTGAATCTCGTAAGTCCGGAAGTGGATTGGTTTTCCCGGATGTTTCGCGTGCCTGTGCTCTGCTCCACGGATCAAAATCCAAGAGCCAGAGAGACCGATGCCCAAGAGAATGTTAAGCATGGGACCACCAAGACATGCACTTAAAGCCATGATTGGGTAGCCCAGTCTTGCAACAGTGATGTCTGCGACGAGATCTCCTAGAGAATTACCAACAGCGAAGATGGTGAGACCCATGATTGCGTGAGACATGTTCATGATGATAGCAAGCGCTTTCAAGACGGCGACTACCTGCGCCGCGATCGTTGAAATCCAGGCTATCGAGACTACAAAACCAGCCATGGAGAGGATGGTGTTGTAGGGTTTCGGTCTATGAGTGGGGGTCGTGGTTAAGAGTAAAGGAATAAGAAGGACAACCGACACGAGTAAAGATATCAGCATTGGTCGTATCAAGGGTTTTATGCTGTCGGTATCGTCGAGGTACTGTGTGTAAATCACCACTACGATCAACAAAGGAGCCAAGAACAGCTGAGTGATAGTCAGCCATCTGTTCCAGTATTGAGGTTGTATCTTAGCACTAGGTGCAAGAGGCGACGGCAGAGCGGAGCTTGCGGCGGGTGATATAAGAGGATCTCTCTCGCCAGGCACCGACAGATAATCTCGTTCAACGTGGGTTGCTACTGCGGCACTCCCAGCTCCTGGACCAGCAGAGGGATGAACATAGTCGGAAACATGGGAATGCGGGCTTTCAATATCCCGATGGACGACACTCGGAGATCTTGATCTGATAGGGTCGATTATGTCAATCTCTTCCTCTGCCTCATCTCGATCGGATTCCACAACAGGCAGAGTGACGATCAAAAGGAACATGCTTGGAGCCGCAATGATGGCCAAGAGTCTTTCCCACCAGTTCTTGTTTCGCCAATGTTCGATTGTAGGAAACAGTCTGTACAAGAGCACGAGAGGTGGAGGAAGGATTTTGTAGGGCCACCAGCGCAGCGGTTTCTCGTCTTGCTCGTCGTCCATGTGTGTCAAAGGACACGAAGCAACAGACACACTCGCAGGAGGAAGATACAGACTAGGTGGTCGACTACTGCTGGCAGAACTTGGTTCGTGATATGCTGGAAATGGCGAAGAAGGTGCCGAAGTGTTTGGCGAGACATGACTGCTTGATGGGATCTTGAGATTGTAAAGATCTTTGCCAAAAGTACGGGGCGAATGGCTAGGGCTGCTGTGACGAGAAACTTTAGTTGGTGACACCATAGTGTCTTCCGACACATCGATGACTGGCACACTAATTGAACTTGTGGAGCGACCACGAGAGTGTGGGGATGCTGTGTTTTCCTCAGGGTTGGATGCTTCCCATGGATTTGCGAGATGATCATCAAAATCAGAGATGGTAACCTCGGGNGTTTGCGGTCTGGCGGATCCACCAGAGGGCATGCTGCGGAACGATGCTGGTCGAAGAGAAGGCGGACGAAGTGCATTGTCTTCGTCCTCGACAATATCCAGCATGCTGGGAGTGTGCTTTTGGACAAAGCGAGGATCGATACGCAGATGTGCAGCATCGTTGGCAGAGACAGCACGTGTACGTCCAGACTTGTTGTTGAATACATCGGGAGCAGGTCGTTCGAGAGTTGGGGAGGTGCCTTCATTCGTGGGATGGAAAGGAGGCCGAGAAGCAGGATCAGACTCTCCAGACAGCTCTTCCTGCTGCTGAGCAGTAGTGTAAGTCGGATCATCCGAGTAGCGCCGTGTATGCATAGGGATCGTTTGATGGGACCTCGCTTTCTGCAGCGATTTGAGCACTGCTTGGAACTCCAAAGCGCCTACCAGACTAGGTCGGATAGGAGTTAGAGTGTTGCGTCGCGAGCTTGGGCCGGGTCTTGATAAGCGCATGTTGCTTTTGAGCTCACCAAGCCATCGATCCCTAGCTTCGTCATCATCTTCGTCTTCGTAAGGTTCAACAATAGTAGGTGTGCCTCCTCTTTCGAGGATAGAGAAGTCATCGGCTGAGGGCCCACGCGAGAACGAAGGACGAGTGGTAGACTCTTCATCATCAGCATCGTGGTAGTTCTCTTCAGCATCAACCTCTTCACTTCCAGGAACAAGGAAATGGCCTCTTACAGCGGCGTTTCTTTCGCGTCGGCGTCTTCTTACACCCATCCACCAATGCCAAACTACGACAAAGGCCACGTAAAAGAAGTAGAAGACGACCATGGTGATGCACTCCCACAGATGCAGTTTTCCATCCCACAGGAAGGACAAACTAAACGCTGCAGCAACGATGAAGAAGCCGACATCTCTGATAAAGGCCTTTCGGGCCACTCTGAAAGGTCTGACCAAGGCCATGGAACCTGCAACAACGGCAGTGATGAAGCCAGCAGCGCCGAACAACTCGCCAATAGCCAGACTACTGCTGTTTGTGCTGAAGGCAGCAAAAGTGGAAAAGACGTCGGGACTGCCGTTTCCAAAGGCCAGAAAAGTAACACCAGCCATGCTCTCGCTCATTCCCAGGATTGTAGCAATTGTGCTTAGATTGATGCAAAAGAAGTCGCTAGCGGCTATACCGATGGTACTGAATAGAAGACCAAGCCAAGAGACCAGGATAAGGAAGGCGATTGGCTTGGCATGCGGCATGGAGCAATAGAAGAGGGAGAGATAAGAGTAGAAGCCTGGATCTTCGGCGGGACAATGTTTCGTAATGTAGTGGCATTGATCGGTGGCCTTGTGGACGAGACGACACTGCGAAGGGAGTCAGATACGGGTGACATGGTGTTGTGATTACTGGACACAAACCTCCTCATCAGTAGACGCGAATGTGCCAACATCTCTGCGAATGAGAGTTGTGTATGACTGGCGTGAGAGTTGAATGTCGGGATCAGAGCGATAGAGGTAGCCAGCAAGACCGAGCAACGAGAACAACAGGACAGTATAGACGAAAGATTGCGGCGAGTAACGACGTCTGTGGAGGCGGGACCAGGCGTGGGCCCGATATTTTGGATAGAGATGGTCAAGGGAGGTCATTGCGAGCGAGTCGCATGCCGCGTGTCGAGCGTCGCGAGTTAGGGAGGATAATCTGAATCGGAGGTCGAAGGTCAGGGTAGCATGATTGTTGCAGAAACAAGACGGCACCGGGATACAGAGACTTGAGTCGAGAACAATGGGCGTGGGTATGCAAGTGGGCACAGTTGGCCGGCAGTCGACATGCACAAGCGGCAGCCGCAGCCATGACGACGGATGGTAATCAGTGGCGGTGCATTGATCTGTCTGTGGCTGAGCAGGGCTGAACGAGCCACACCTTCGGAAAGCCGCAAGCCGCTCCCCGCTTTGCAAACTGCTTGTTTGTTTGCACCACACGGACCTCGAGACTGCCGACCAGTTGCTGCTTGCGTTTCGCGACAAGAAACAGGCAGAGCCACCAACAAATTATTCCACCGTACACGCCGTATCTTTCGCCGACCTCGACTCCTCCAACATGCCTCGAGTGCGCGAGCGGCGCCGCCGCCAATGCCCCCGTAGCCGCGACTCCTCACAAATCTGCTGGCATTAAGATTCCACTCAACGATGATCGCGAAGAAAAAGCAAAGCGCCTCCAGTCTCGCCAGGCTTTCCACGAGATGCACATGAATTCGCTCAAAGCTGCCGCATCCCCTGCTCGCAAACGAAAGTCTCTCGGCGCCGAACTCGCTGAAGGTCCTCAAACTCCTAGCGGAAATGGAAGTCAAGATGAAGGCTTCCACGTCGGAGGAAGTGCTGTCACGCCTATGAAGCGTGTCCCTATCCTGGCCAATTTTGAAGAGTGGATGAAGATGGCTACCGACAACAAGATCAATGCCACAAACTCCTGGAACTTTGCCCTGATCGACTACTTTCACGACATGTCTCTGTTGAGAGAAGGCGACGGTGTCAACTTTCAGAAAGCCAGTTGTACCCTGGATGGCTGTGTGAAAATCTACACTAGCAGAGTCGACAGTGTCGCGACTGAGACAGGAAAGCTGTTGAGCGGTCTTGCTGACAGCGGCAACAAGNAAAAAGCGTGGAGAAGACGATCAAGAAAACGAGGACGGCGAAGACGAGGAGGGTGAAGATGGCACCAAGAAAAGACAAAGAAGAAGACACATCGTTCCGAAGCAACTCTCGCAACCTCCTTCGCCCAGTTGCAACTCAAGAAGATGGAGCTCGAATTCTCAGTAGACCCATTGTTCAAGAAGGCCTCGGCTGATTTCGACGAGGGAGGCGCAAAGGGCTTGTTACTGAATCATCTCTCAATCGACAACACTGGAAGAATCGTTTTTGACAGCAGCGACGATGCTCAAGAAGATGATGAATCTCGACGAGACAGCATGGTTGCAGCTGAGGAAGAGAAGCCAGACGAGGAAGAACTCAAGGCTACTCCTCCGGCACCAATCGACATCTCGGGACTGGCTGCGCGATTCTTCCCAGATCNNTCCAAGCTCGACTCCCAAGATATTTGTCCATCGCTCAAGACCTTCGAGCTCGGCGGTGGCAGCGCCTCGATGGACCTGCCCTTTNTGAAAGCTCCAGAAGATTGGCGGGCGCAGAAAGAAGAGGAGGACCATGATGATGCTCGTTCCGGCATTGTCCTGGGCGACGATGATGCTGTAGGCTTCGACGACGATGACGATGCATTTGGCGGCTTCGATATTCCTGCTGATGCTGGATTTGGCGAAGGCGGTGAGGCTTGGGCCAAGGAAGCACACGTTGAGCCTCAACTTCGACCTCATGATGAAGGTGCTGATGTTGATGCTGGCGTGGGTGTCGACGCAGAAGGAGGCGAGGTGGGCGGCTTCGATTCGAACGGCAATCAATTTGGAGTCACTCTTGCGCATCGTGGTGACGAGCATGAGAACATCCTCAGCTACTTCGATCAAGCACTACAGAAGAATTGGGCCGGTCCGGAGCATTGGAAGATCAGGAAGATCAAGGATGCTGCAAAAGCAATGCCCGCCACGACAAAGAAGAAGGAGAAAGAGCCATTCGAGATCGACTTCATGAGCCCCATGAACCAACAACTAGCCGACCTGCTCTACACACCAGCACCCTCGAACGCGACTATCAGTCTGCCAAAGAAGGACTGGAAGAGCAAAACACGAAATCTGCTTCCTGATGACAAGCACTTCAGCTCGCGCGATCTCCTGCGACTCTTCCTCAAGCCCAAGGCTCGCATGGGATTACGAAAATCGACACAACAAGCCCGTGGCAGTGTCGAACAGTTCCAACATGGTGATGTTGACGAAGCATATTGGGCAAACGCACAAGGCTTAGCTGAACCGCAACCCATTGACGAAGAAGGTGCACGAGGTGACTACGATGCCAACTTCTTCCAGGATGACGGTTTGGGCGTTGCAGCAGGAGCTGCTGATGACGACGATGATTTCGCAGACGCACAAGAGATGTTACCGCCCGCAGATGCTTTCGATGCTGCACAACCAGGGGAACCTAATAGTCTGCCGCCCAGCAGCCAAGAGACTGCTTTCGGATCGAATCTCATAACACAAAGTCGACGCATGCGACCAGAATACGTACAATATGCACGTGTGGCGAAGAAGGTTGATGTACGGCGGTTGAAGGAGGAGATGTGGCGAGGAATCGGATTCGAGGTAAGTTTTCTGATCGCTCTTTCCCATCACAAATCTCTAACGACTCCACAGGTCGAGCCAACACAAACACCATCCAAAGCCCCGCCACCGACCGTCGATATATCAGAAGAAGGCACCTTCAAGTTTACAGACGTGATGAACAACCTTCGACATGTGTATCCACAACAACAATTATCAGACATCAGCACGAGTTTCGGCTTCATCTGCCTTTTGCATCTTGCCAATGAAAAAGGCTTGGTCATTGAAAACCAAGCTGGCTTTGAAGAGTTGGTATGCAGGAAAGATGTTAGCTTCAATGCCGCGGATAATGTTTAGAAGTGGGCTTGGGTCTGGTTATAGGAATGGGCCTTGGAGTGATATAAGGATTGTATAGACGATGATGATTTTTCTTTCTCTTTTCATATTGCTGTATTCTTATTTGGCACGCACTGGCTAAATGTTTGTCGGCGCGGCAGCAAAGCTCACTCGTGTCTCCGTCTAAGAACACCTCTTGCTACGATGCTGTTGAGAGTCACAATATGATCCGATCCCGTATGGCTGCCCGGAGAGAGCTGACAGGCAAACAGTTTGACCAGAAGTGGACAGGCCTCAGACACGATATCAATCACTTGTCTCCCAAGAAGCACTTCTTCACTCAAAGAGTGCTATCAAAATACACAAAAGTACCAGAAACCTGCTGTTGCCTATTGAGGTGGTCTATTCCAGCTTTCTCTCCCTGGATGTGTCTTTGTTCTCTTAACCATTATGTATTTCGACAGCGATATTGTAGCTTTTGCGTGCAAGGGAAGTCACGTCTTTCACTTTGAGCCAACACACTGTCACTTCACTTCCAACAACAAATTTAAAGTGGCTGCCTCTCTCCTCTTTTCCCGAGCCCACCACCACTTCCCTCTACTTCCGTGTGTAACATACCAAGAAATCTCTCTACCAGGACAAAGCCTATCGATCAACAAAATGTCATCAACAAAACCCACTACCGACTTCCTCTCAATCCAACTTCTCGAGGAGCTCGACATCAACGATCATCCCTCAGTGCGCCTCCACTGCAAACCCTCGACTTCTCCTACCAACCAAACCGTCACCACCCACAAGTCCAAACACTTCACCGAAATCCGCCTTGAAGGCATCTCCATTGACACAATCCACCTCGACGATTTCCTCGCCTCCCAAACCAAAAACCTCAAGAAACTCTCACTCATAAACACTCACATGCGCTTCCTCTCTTCCCGCGACGAAATCGGCGAACCTTGTGCTGTTTTGGCTAAGATCGTTTACTTGCTCCAGCACAGTCTAGAAGCAAAGAGTTTGGAAGTCAAAGAATTGGGTTGTGACTATGAGGACAACATCTCGCCTTCTGTGGTCACTTACAATGGAAAGTGGGAGGGAGAGAAGGAAGTTCGTGATGGGTTTGCTGAGATGGTTGCTAAAATCAAAGAACGTGGAAATAGGGGTCAGATGGAGGCACAGGAGTCGGTGAAGCCTCAGTCTAGCTTTGTTGAGATGGAAAGATGGGAGGATGAGTATGGGTTTGCTGATGATGGAGAGGAAAGTGATGATGATGTCTATGAGCACAGTGAAGACGAGGAGTGGGCAATGTGATTGGGGGAAGAAAACACGATCCAGTTTTTGTTTTATCTATGGTTGCTCTTAACCACGCAGACCATCAAGTGCCTCCCTCAGTCTTTCCCAACCATCGGTATCTTCCCAGCAATCCTTGCCTTTGCCCATGATGGATCTGATAGCACTTCTGGCCTTGAATTTCCAATCCTTGGCCACTAAAGCACCGCTACCGGCAGCCATACCCTCGGTCTTCTCCATCTGACCCAGACTCTCGTATGCATCACACAATTCAATTGTTGCGTCGACAACAACATTCCAGCGCGCTTCGCTCTCAGTCTCCCAACCAGGCTGACTGCTCACCGCTCTCCACGCCTTCTCGTTGGCATCCAATGCAGTAGCTGGCTTCTTGCGCCAAAGACAGAGCTTAGCGTACAGTTGCCACAACTCGCGAGAAGAGGTGATGAGAGGTACAATCTTCTTGTCAAACATCTCAACAAGCAAACGCTCGAAACCAGGCTTCGTAGGGTCGTACTCGTCATTCAAGGCAATGACGTGACGAATCATGTGTTCCATGATTTCGACATCAATGCACGATTCGCCATCAGTCTTGGAACGCAGATCGATGATGTGACGTTGAGCTGTCAACACAGTATCGTAATCTGGAGGTGAGAGAGAGGCAGCAACAATAAGCAGGTTCTCCCAGATACGGTGGCTGTCATGTTTGAGTGTTGCAGCACGCTTGAGAGCGCGCAAGGCGTCTTTCTTGTTTTGTTGAGGATCAACCTTTTTAGGCTGGGGAGCCATGGAATCGTCCTCATCTTCGGCAAGCTCGACTGTAGGCACGACGGGTTCATCGTTGGCGGTGGGAACTTGGTTCTTCAGAAGAGCAGCAGCCAAATTGCTCCATGCCTCTGCGTCTGTCTCTTCGAGCTGAACAGTGCGAGAGAAGGCTTCAGCAGCCTTCTCAAATTGTGCAAGCTCTAGTAGACAACAGCCCATGGCGAACCACGAAGCATGGTTGAGCTGGTTTGCTCTCAAACTCTTTGCGTATGCGTCGGCAGCCTTGATCATGTCACGTTGACCAATGTACATGCGACCCAGCGAGCGTTGGGCACGAGCGTAACGCTGACCTGAGACCTCCCACGCCTTCTCGTACATAGAAGCATCCTGGTCAAGGTCACCGAGAATGCAGTACAAACGTGCAGCGTCAGCTGGAGGAGGTTGTCTCTCAGGACCCTCCCAGGCTTCCNNCTCATCACCAGCGTTCTCTTCGTCACCATTGTTGGTGGCATGGAACAGTTGGCGGCGCACCAACTTCTTCGCTGTCTCCTCCTTCTCCGTAGCAGCGTAGCACAAAGCAGCTTCAGCCCACATCTCCAAGCGAATATAAATGTCAAGTGCCGAGCGCAGACCTCCCAAAGTAACCCATCTCTGAGCCAACTCTCCTTCGAGCTCCCATCGGGTAGGAGCAGCGATCTGGAAAATGTAACGCAGTCTTTCAGAAGCTGGGGCAGAGTCCTCGCTCTCGCCCTTGCGCAAGAAACTAGTGGCGGTCACATCTGCATTGCCATCTGCGGGTGCCTCTGTTGTGTCGGCAATGACTTGATCGACAACTGCCTGCAGTTGCAAGAGACCACGTTCGATGGTTCTAGATCTGTAGCCCTCCATTCTGCTGCGAACGAGCAGACCCTGAGTGTAGACTTGCCAGTTCGAGCTGCCACCTTCCAATACACGGGTAGCATATGGCAGAGTCTCTTCTCTGGTAAGTCCATTGGCAGGAGATGTGTTTGTGATAGAGGATGCGAGAGCGAGCAAGATAATCGAGTCCAGAGGCAATAGCTTCGGTTGATTTGAAGGGTCCAATTCGGCCAATGTGGGGGACAGAGATTCCTTGGTCTGTACATCCAGATTGAGTGTCGGCTTTGACGTGAAAGAGATGTTCTCCAAAAGTGTGTCATCATTGAGATCCAAGTTCTTGGGACCGCTGGTCGCGCCTTCCGTTTGCTGAATGACCTGTGATGCTTCCACGTCCTTGGCGTTGTCTGCATCGCGTGCACTTTTAGCAAGAACGACCAGCTGACTAACGTCGTGCTGCTGGAACTTGGTTCTTCTTCCCAGAATACCTGTCAAAGCAAACTGGAAGTTTTGTTCTGCTGCCGCCTCGTCCAGGTCAATTCTAGCCTTCTTATCCAGGCCGTAGAAAGTCTCGATACTAGCGCGTTCGAGCAGGAATTCAACCTTTGCATCATTGCTGCTGGCTCTCGACTTGCCCTTTGGCGAAACGTCAAAGAATTTCTCTTGAACTGCATCGACATCTGCGAAAATCTTGTCCTGTAATGTTCCGCATTCCTCTGATAATAGTCTCTGATGCATAAAGGTGACTCTCAGTCTGGCCCATCGCGACACAGAAATGTTATCGAGAATGTCAGGGTTGCTGATTATCACGTTTGCCAGGCAGAGAAGCTCAATATTCGGTGTCAATCTGTATGCTGCAATACCGTCGATTGCGAGGCTGGCGATCAGTTGGCGACGCAGTGCGGTAACTTGCTGCTTGTCCTCAGCCACATCCTGCGGCAAGACGGTTTTGGAAGGAGTGAATGGGAGCGGAGGACCAGTAGCGTTAGACTGTAGGAAGGCAAGCAAAGCAGCATATCCAATAACAAANAAGAGGCTCTGCTTGTACTTTGCGTTTCCATCATCTCTAGCGAGAATCTTGCTCAAACGAATCGAGATATATTCATTCCAAGTCGCGCAATTTTCCAACTTTGTCTCATCCAGTTCCGAGTTTGGGCTACGTCCAAGAAGTTCCTGCGCATCTTTTGTTTGTAGAAGGGCGAACAAATCTCCAGATTCCAGTTCCGAAAGACGTTCAGCCAGGAGTCCTGAGGTCTCTTCAGGCAGAGAGCTGCGAAANAGATTTTGCAAAGCGTCGGCCATATCTGCGGCTGACTTGTGGTGTTTTGAAAAGGTGCAGACAGTCTGCAACAATATTTCTCTGGACCCTGAATCGAACCGCGCCTGAGATGGAAGACGTTCGAAGTTTTTGGCCGTCACGGGAATCTCCGCCTAACAGACTCTCATATAACAGATGATCACATTGTTCAACAGAGGGTATGAAGGTTTGATTTGCGTTAATCCGATCAAAGTATCTAACAATAACTACATGAATTGAAGACTTGCGCCTTGAAAATGTGCAACCCGACAAATGGCCAACCTATGCCCTAAACCACTAACCTGGAAAAACGCCAAGAGCCTCCCGGATAGCAATAAATCAAAAGCAATATTCAGTATTGAGCCAGAGGTAACGCATCTGTTTCTGCATGCCTGTGAGGCTGAAGATTTGACTCCGAGTCCTACTAAAGGTCGTGGGAAGTGGAGAGTGAGCTCAAAAGACACATTCTAGCTAGGAATATGTCCGAGAGAATAACAGTTTACGCTCTCTTCTTGTTCTGGATGCCATCCCAGATACTTGTGACAATACCGATGTATGCTGCAATCATGGCACCGCTGTAGCCGTAAGGCATAGCATCCTCGACTGTCTTAACGGTCTGGTCCGCAAAGGATCCGTAGAGTCTGTTACCTTGGGCATATACCATCCAGGACATCAGAGCTTTGGCGATACTGAACATCAAAGGATCAATGCGATAGACAGGTCTGTAGTCCTCGAAGCCATCCTTCTTCTTAAGCTTGAGCGACAAGTTGAACATCCAACCAGTAGCAAGAGGGACCCAGAAGTTCATCGTAGCCCAAAGCAAAGAAGGTGCCCAGTAGTGATGAGTGAGGAACACAAACACGTCGGGTAGGAATACCGCGAAGCTGGGGAACCCGAACAGACTCGGGACATCGAATGCGAACTTCCATGGGACAGTCGCGTAATGAAGTGCTGCAGATTCAAGAAGAAGCATGGTGAAATGAACGCCTGTGACGGAAGAAAGATCGAGACGAGCTTCGTAAAGCACGTCCATGATATGTGATGAAGTCCAGAGCTTGTTCATGCCCTCAGAGATACGGGCAGTCTGCTCCTCAATGGCATCGGTCACGACAGCAGGCGAAGGAGGGAGTGCCATGCGTGGTGGGCTGAGAAGCATCGAATCCTCGATACGTGGCTCCTCGATCAAGGGCTCCTCAACTCTAGGTGCCTCAACTCTGGCCGTAGTTGCTACAACTACAGCGCGAGCAGTGCGCCTTCCAGTGGCTGCAGTAGGTGATGAAATGGGTTCANNCTAACACGTGGTTATGAGAAGGAAGATAGTGCACACGAGATAGGAGATGACTTACGCGTCAGACTCGCCCTTGATGCGTGGAGCGCGTTTCCGCACAGATCTGGTCACTTCTGGTTCGGCTGCTGGAGTTGAGCCCGACTCGCGCTTTGTGGGAGAGCCCTTGCGAGCATAGTAGCCCTCGAAAGAAGGATACTCAGAGTATGTTGACGCGTTGGTTGTAAGTTGCTCTTCGAGAAGAGCAACAATCTGATCTTTACGAAGATCGGAAACANNCTACAAAAATCAGAAATTTGATGAAAAACGACGCGTTTGGTATGCATACTCGTCGATGCCGACTTGGCCAGCAAGTTCGGCAAGCTCAGCTTTGCGATGCAAGTTCAACCAGGTAGGCATGATGCGAAAATAGAATGGAAAGAGTCGCGTAAACAAGGCAATCAAGTATCTCGTAAGATCAAAGTGTTTAGAGGGGTATGTGATGAGCAATCTGATGGAGACGAAAAACGCGTGTATGGAAGGACGTGTTGGCAGCAGCTTCGACGACGTAAAGTAAATAGACCGAAACAGAAGCAACGAGCGCCAAGACTACTAACAGAGTGGTCCGGCCATGTGATCAGCTGTCCATACGGTTCAATGCTATAGGAGCAGTACTACTACTGTCCCTTTGAGAAACATATGCTCCCTTTCGAATCAAGACACAGAGATATTAGCAGAAGATGTTTGTCTCAGATTCTGTAGGCAAGACAGGGTGGGCGGCGGAGAGAAGCGGGAGCGAGGCAACTGCCAAGCCAAGAAGCATCATGACGCTGAAGGCAGAAGACTCAAAAAGTTGAGTAGGTAGAGCAGCCGAAGAGACATCTGTACATTTTGATATACAACCACCTTGCGAAACACTCTCTGCTTCGACGCCTACACATACAAACGCTCGCTCCCATTGATTCTCTCGACGATACCAAAATAGCGCATTCGAGGCGCATTCGAAGGCACCCATGGTATTAGCCCGTGTGGCTGAATACTTGTTCCCGTCCGACACCATTTCACACCATGCTTCGACAGAGACGGCGGCACAACGGAACAAGCAAGCAAAAAGAGTGCAGCAGGAGTCAGACATGGAAGAAGACGACCTAGATGCCGCCCGGCCGCCATACATTCATGTTAGTCTGGACGGCGACACTGCCACGGGACCAAGGTTAACTGAGTTTAGGNCAATGCTTGCAGGAGGTCTCGGTGGTTTGATGGGTGACATGCTCATGCATTCGCTCGACACAGTTAAGACGAGGCAGCAGGGCGACCCTCACATGCCCCCAAAATACACATCCATGGGCTCGACCTATCGCACTATCTGGCGCCAGGAAGGTTTGGTACGAGGACTTTATGGAGGTGTTACGCCTGCTTTCCTTGGTTCCTTCACCGGTACCATGACTTTCTTCGCTGCCTACGAGTATTCCAAGCGTGCCATGATTGATTTTGGCATCACTCCCTCCGTCGCATACTTCACCTCTGGTAAGACACATTTATCTTGCACATGTTCTGCTCTCAATGCTCACCAGACCGNNTCAGGCTTCTTTGCCGATCTGGCAGCCTCGCCCTGGTATGTCCCTTCCGAGGTCCTCAAGACACGACTGCAATTACAGGGTCGATACAACAACCCCTACTTCTACAGTGGCTACAATTACCACGGCACATGGGATGCTTTCAGAACCATCATCCGTGTCGAAGGATGGAGGGAGATGTTCTCCGGCTATTCTGCCACCCTAGCACGCGACCTGCCTNTTTCCGCTCTACAATTCGCCTTTTATGAACAAGAGCAAAGGATAGCAAAAGCTTGGATGGGAAGCAAAGACATTGGTCTTCCATTGGAGATATTCACTGGTGCAAGCGCTGGAGGAATGGCAGGTGTCATCACATGTCCACTTGACGTGGTCAAAACACGTATCCAAACTCAACTGGACCCCGAGTTTGCTCACGCACCTGCTTCCCAAGCCTCCAAAACTGGTCCGACAGTCAGTCCGGCGAGCACAACGCATAGGCCCACAAGGCAAGCACCTTCGATACACGATGCGAAAAGGCCTATATCGACAGGAGGGCCATCGACCGCTCTGAAGAACCACGGCGCCGTCGCTCTCGAGACCGATAATGTCATCGCGGGTCTGAAGGTGATTTACAAACACGAGGGCTTTGCTGGTCTTTTCAGAGGCGTAGGCCCACGTTTCGTATGGACCAGTGTGCAAAGCGGCACCATGCTCGTCATGTACCAGCAGCTCCTCAAATATTTCGAGTTACATCCGCTCGTTGCTTCGGACGAGGATGAATTGGCCCTGTCATAAAAGAGCTTGTAGACTTGTACTTGTAAGAACGATTTCGTGGAAAGAGGCATTTTAGGGGCGTTTCACATGATAGACGCATACTGGAACGGCGTTTTAGATCTGGATGCTTTTATTTTCGCGTTTTCAGAGTGCTCGGTTCATCACCGTAGACTTTTGTATATCAGAACCAATACCCACTCAATCTTGACTACACTTCTCTTTTCCTTGCTCACATACGCACGGGCATCAACGACTCCTGAACTGGTCCACTCAACAGGAGACAAACAGCCCCTCCCCGTGGGCTAAAGGATGTAACTTCCATCATACTCCGATTATGATAGAGAGTAATGTAGATGCTATAAAAACGCACAATCTCATCCGGAGACAAATGCTGTCCACAGAGAGTCAATGTTTTGTCGCTTCTTAGTGGAAACTGTCCAGATTCCTGGTAGTATTACGCATTCCTACAGCTATACGCGTTACATACTTTTGAATATAGGGAGGTTAGAACGAGTGGTCCGGACAGACACCTGCCAGAGGACGATACTCCGACTCTTGGCCATAGCATGTCTTTTTATAGCTACACGTGGAAACAGGCGTTGGTAGCAAGGGGTGTTCAAGAGGATCCGTTGTGGTCAGCAGGTTTGTCACAGTTCATGCCTAGAGTCGTCTCCATTGGTAGTGATGCTACACCTATCGCTTGTTATCTTTGCCCAGTGTTGCATCTGCGACATGTATCAGGTAGCGATGCCATGGGATTGTGATCGCTGCCGGATCAGCGAACCCCTGTCCGTTCACAAGATCCAGGGCGATAGGTAGAGCCAACGTCATTCGCAGATGGCTGGTCGGCAGCGAATACTACACAAAGCAGGACAAGACCCATCCTCTTCCAGACAAGCCCTTGGCATAGATTCTGGTGAGAAAGCAAACAGCTTTGGGCTTCCGGCGCGGTCAAAATACCGCCGTGCGCCGTCTTGCCCGACCGTGCGAAGCAGCCTAGCAGGTCGAGATGAGACTGGAACGCTCTGGCAGTGTCGGAAGGCCGAACCCGCAGATTCCGCAGTCTGCCAGGGCAAAATTTGCCGTCGACTTTATTCCTCTTGATAGAAGCTCAACAGTGGGCAGTTGTTATGGTCGCTTTTTACATGGATGAGAGCACAAAATTCGACGCTTCGAAGGTCATGAAACATCGGGCATTGCGACGCAGTATTAACGGGCATAAATCACACGTTGTTGTACAAAATGCACGGTGTGTCGTTGATAAAAGGATTGGACCGAGTTAGACCGAAGGTAAGCGTCTGAGTTTTTGCTTTGTCCGGCGTACCCTGCCGACATCGCTAATGGCAAAGATCGCCCGCCAGGAAGCTGATGCCAAGTCGTACGACGGGGGACCCGAGCCTTAACCTTTACGCATTCATATTTCTAGCTATCTGATAGGAGTAGGTTGGAGGCTCCTCAGTGGCTGTCAGGCACAAAAGCCAGGCGAGGCTTGGAGGCGTCGATTGACTCAAACCCGCTCTCCACCTACGTAGAGCTACTTCTGACGACACATCTAGCAGAAAAAAAATTGCTTCCCTGAGGCAACAAGATGCCATCCAGATGTTATGCGATCAAGCAGTTCTCGAAGCAGGTCGAAATTGATCACATCCCGGGGCTCCACATGCATCCCCATACCAAAAAACCGGGGGCCACGTTGCTTGAGAGCGAAAGGATTCCTATTACTTGATGCAAACTGCCTGCGAGTCAATTTGACCAGTGCGATGCGTTGCTTGGAAACCTAAACGCATACGTGCTCAACCAAGAGTATGATTCTTTTACCTAACACCGTGGGGAAAGGCTCCGTTGTAAGGCCGTAGCGTCTGGTGCATCGTCCACTTCTTCTCTCCACCAACGACCAAACGACTTCAGCAAAATTTTACGTAGGCACAACCGCTTGCTTGGAGATCTGCCGGGTCTAGTCATCTTTTACCCCAACCACTATTTAACTACCCTTCCCCTCCGTCGTGTGCCCTCTTGCCCTCCTCTCTCACGGTCATCTCTGGTTATTCTTACAGCTGTCACCTTTGTGGGGATATTCCAGAAACCAGACACGCCACCTTCTCATATACCCGGTCGGACCCTACTTAAGGCCCTCGTCAACACAACCTCTTTAGGTCTCGACACGTCGTCTTCATCATGCATCAAAACGAGATGCCCACACCTATTGGTCAACCACCTCAATACGACCAGGAAAAAGGGTTGATAACTTTGGAGCCATCGGTTCAGTCCCCATTGCCGACGATGTTGAATCTAACGGTACGATGAAGGAAACTGAGGTGCTGGATGTCTTCGGTAACGAGGACGGTGCCGAGATTCAGTACAAGACCATGACCTGGTGGCAAGGTGCCATGATCATGATCGCTGAGAACATCTCACTTGGTATCTTGTCTTTGCCTGCTGTTTTGAAGACCATCGGTCTCGTCGGTGGTATCATCGCAATTATTCTCATGGGTATCATCACTACCTACTCTGGTTACACCCTCTGGCAATTCCGTATGAGATATCCCCAGGTCGCCTCTTTCGGCGATGTTGGTCACATCCTCATGGGCAAGTTTGGACGCGAATTGTTTGGCTTCGCATATGTCACTTTCTGTGTCTTCTGTAAGTTTTGTTCCCACACAAGCAGACTTTCATCATTCTGACCAAGCATAGGCATGGCTTCTCACGTTCTGACTTTCATCATCGCCATGAACACTCTTACCAACCACGGAACCTGCAGCATTGTCTTTGGTATCGTCGGTCTGGTTCTCTTCTTCCTCCTTACCATCCNNCCCCGCACGATGAAGAATGTGTCCTTCTTGGCCATTGCTTCTTTCATCTCCATCCTTTCAGCTGTCATGATTACCATGATTGCTCTTGGTGTTAGTCCTCTGCCAGACCGCAACCTCGTCGCCACCGCACACCCCAACTTCCCTACTGCTTTCAACAGTGTCTCTAACATCGTCTTCGCCTACGGTGGACATGCTGCCTGGATCAGTTTCATCAGCGAGCTCCGTGACCCCAAGGATTACCCTAAGTCTCTGTTGACCCTCCAGGCCGTTGACACTTCTCTCTACTTGGTCGCTGCTGTCGTCATCTACTACTTTGCTGGTGACAAGGTTACCAGTCCCGCTCTGAGCAGTGCTTCTGCTATTGTCTCGAAGGTCGCTTGGGGTATCGCCTTGCCTACCATCATCATCGCCGGTGTTATCTTCGGTCACGTCACTGCCAAGTACATCTACATCCGCATCTTCGCTGGCACCAAGCACCTTCACAGCCGTGGTGTCGTTGCCACTTCTTCCTGGTTCGCCATCATCTTCGGTATCTGGTTCCTCGCATGGGTCTTGGCCGAGTCGATCCCCAACTTCAGCAACTTGCTCGGATTCGTCGCTGCTCTTTTCGCCTCGTGGTTCAGTTATGGACTTCCCGGTATCATGTGGCTTTACATCATGAAGGGCAGCTGGTTCGCCAACCCCAAGAAGATTTTCCTCTTCTGCTGCAACGTCGTGTTGGTGCTCTTGGGTATCATCATCTGCGGTGTTGGTCTTTACGCATCAGGCGTCGAGCTGGCCAAGGACTCCAGCGGCCGCTCCTGGTCTTGCGCTGACAACCGATAAGCAACGAGCACTGGATGCTTGTATGCTATGAATTTTGCTTTTTTTACTGCCTTGATGAACTTTTTATACCTTTTTGATAGATATGGCGAGAAGAATCTATATGACCATTTCACGAAAATCCCTTCACTTTCAACACTTCGATATGTTCATGTTCCACAACATACTTGTATCTGACCGCTGCTAAAGTCATTACAGGGTACCTCGTGCCATCGCGACATATTGGAGCCAAACGAACGCCTTCCAAAGCAGGATCTGAAGATGCTAGGGATCCGCATCGACGAGTCCCGGAAGGAACAAATTCCCCCTCTTCCGGTGTCAGTGGCTTTCGCGCCGGCCTCGAGCTTGCAAAGCTTGCAAAAACCAAACGTCACAAAACGTTGATCCATTTAGCCAAGACATTCATTTTCAACAACAATGATCCATCGCTTCGCGCCGCCAGATGAAGATCAGCCCGACGCGATGAGCGAGTCAAGCAAGGCATCTGCCCTGGTCGGAATTGCGACCACTTTGGGACTCGCTCGGATTTGAGACCGTGTCGCGAAGAAGGCCGTATTGGATATGGCGAAGGTGCATAAAGTCTCTCCTGAACCTGGTTTGCAGTGTGCAAGGCACGCGACTACCTAGAAACCAGGCAAAGACGATTTGTATCAGAGAGGTAGGGCCTTTTCACATACGCCGTGCTTGCTCAACCAAAATGAGCTCGATTCCAGCCATCAGCAAAATTCTTCTACCTCAGGCTGCCAAAGCAACATGACGATTCTCCTACGCAACAACCATCTTGTATGGCCTTCTAGATTCTGTTCGTCTTATGAGAGTCAGCTTACGGGACGCCTTGTTTGGAGGCATAGGCTCTGCACTATCCACGTCGATATGGCCCACGAAGGCTATGAAAAGCTTTCCCGTCGCTTGGAGCATCAACGGCATCTCTCGGGCATACAGCGTACAGCGTACATAGCTCTGGGCTTGCTGAAATGCATCATGTTCGCCATGTTCGAATAATGGCCTGCCGCAAAGGAGTCGTTCAACATGATCTGGAAGCAAGCCACACGATCCCATTGAGAAGGAGCACAAGACATGACCTCACACCGAGACTACACCTATCAGNGAAGCCCGCCAACCGGCCTGCAGGCCTTGCAGAAAAATCAACTCCTCCCTATCTTACGGACCCAGATCTCGTCTTTCGAATCACCACAGCGTNGCTTGTCACCACCTTTAGTCAATCCCTCTGCCGCCTGAACGACACAGAGCCCTTTCTGCTTATCTTCCCCACCATCCGGCCATGCGCGCTCTCGGCTTAACATAAAGATGCGTAACCTACCCGGTTCTGTGAGAGNNAGGTGTTGGTGGTGACGCTCAGGGATGCCTGCGCATAGCGTCGGCATTAGCAGAAACCTCCATCACTGATCTGAGCAATATCCTTCACGCGAAGGAAACGTGCCGGACTACCGTGTGCCTGGAACGGTTGCTCCGCAGNCAACGCACGGGAGGGAGATAGCTAGTCACTCCATGGGGTCGGTGGTGTCGAGAAGGATGCGTTATGGGNGTGATGACCGTCAGGGTTTGGCACGGGCCCGGATATAAAACACCACCCCAGNNCTACCGCTAGGCGTCTGACGGTGTCCGACGTTCGGAGAGCACCAGGATACATATACCACATGGGCATATGGTTTCCTGATCGTGGAGCTGGTGAAAAGTCGAACGTGGTATGGAGCTCGGCTTAAAGCGGCTTTGTGGTTTTGGCCACAACCTCATGCCACTATGCAAAAATACATTAATACATCGGTGAGATATGCATGAGAAGGTTATACCAATGCTAACAACTAGTTCTGGGTGATTCATCGATATCCTGTCGATGTCAACGACGTTGTTGTCGTCATTGTCGTCTACCAGTTGCAGAGCGCCGACAACTCACCTCTAATTCTGAACACATCTTTGACAAGCAAAGGTTGGTTAACGACATACTCAGATGCAGCAATACCATATGTTCAAGCGTCTGGTGTTTTGTGATTCTGGTGTTTTGTGATTTACAATCCCCTTTCGCTGGCTGATGTTCAAACACAATACAACAAAACTCAACAGAATATCCCTTTTCCTGTATGTGCTAGAGTCAAGTCATTTTTGATCACTTTAATCGCGAGCTTCTTATTTTGCCTCTCTCTGTGGTGAGAGTCGAGATCAAGACACTATTTTGTATGTTGACAGATGGAGATTCCGTGAGCAGTCTTTCGGAGATCAAAAGTTAGGAGCTCTCAATGGTGGTAGCTCTATTTTCAATACCACTGTGCATTTTAACGGATGCATATATCAGCTTGTCTCACACAGAGGGCAATCTCGGTGAACAAATATGCATCGACAATGTTTCTATGCATTTTTTTTTTACGGACGAACACACTGCAATGAACGAATCACAGAATTGTGCTCAAAATATAGAGGCACAACTCAAACACATGCAAGACGCGGGTTCGCAAACTCGCTCAATTTTCACAAACCCAGCAGGCAGCAACGCACTTGTGAATCAGGTAGCAGCCACGCCACCGCACACGCTGAATTTTGGAGCGGAGCAGAAACGGCGATGTGTAGACAAGACACAAACTGGTATACAACAGAAGTTAATTCCATACAATGTCAGAAGCCAGTACAATGTAGTGAGGGGTATACAGCTATTCCAAGTGGCCATTTCCAAATGCCATGTCCAAATATCAAAATCTCCCGAAACACCTTGCTAAACATATCCCAAAACACCTTGCTAAACATTCTTCAATACCCACAAATCTTCAATAGCATGTACATTACTTCCTTGTTCCTAGATGAATTTGCAGATCAACTTCTTGTTGAGAACTGTGTCGCCATCGACCTTCTTCATGAGCATGTCGCCCAAGGTCTTGTTGTCGCAGTCGGCGTAGATTTTGATGCCGGCAGGGTCACTGGCGATTTCGATACTTGAGTAGTAGGCATCGATGTTGTTGCCATAGAGGCTGCACAGGTGGTTCCAGTCTGAGATCCAACGGTCATAGTAGACTGCTGGGATGATGGCGAGAAGTAGGTGGACACCCCTGACGCTTGTTGTTGCAGCGCTTGAGCTGCTTTCGAAGCTTAGTCCGGTGCTTGATCTCTTGAAGCCAGGCTCTGCGCTTGGAGTAGTTGTGTTTGGTGACAGTGAGTCGTGGCGAGCTTTGCTCTTGCTGGACGACTCAGTAGCACTGACGAGGGTGGGTACCCTGTCGGGCTCTTCGCCTTTGGAGGCAGGTTGAGTAGGCTTCTCCAGAGCCTTTGTTGTGGTAGACTCGCGGGAGTCTGCGACAAGCTCCTCATTCTTTCTGAATGGGTTGTAGGGCTTGGAGGTGATTTTGGTAACCTTTGTCGACTTGGTGACCTTTGTCGAGTTGGTGCGCTTCTTCAAAGCTGATGCTTGTTGNTTGCTTCTCAATATCGTGAGGAAAGGGGTTGACCAAGTCCCACGAGCACGCTGCTGGTTTCTGGCGGCCCTTCTGATCTTTTGGGCAAAGGTAGCGGGAGCCATGGTGAAGGATTAAGTGTGTTGGTAGTAAGAGAAGAGTGTTGTTTAGGAATGCCAAAGGGCTAATAGTACAAGCGTTGGCTGGCTTGGTGTGATGTGTTGTGAGATTGAAAAATCTGGAAGAAGGCAGTCAAATGATTCCTGAAATATACGGGAGTCAACAGCATCCCGTGACATTCGCGGTATTCACTCACCGTCGGGTCAGCGCGTGAGCAATATAATTGTTAAACGGCAGAGGATAGACCTGTGATAGGGTGCAAAGCTCGTGAAGAGATTTACAGAGACTCCAGATTGGACTCCAGGCTGCCACATGAGAGAGATAATATAGGTGTTGGTGTCCTGGGCTGGAAACTGCTCGCCAGCAGGCTTGTTGTGATGTGCTCTAGGTTGTGGTTGATAACATGAATTGTCGTCTTCAAGGTGTCTTCGGGGCGTATGTGATTGAGATGGGACGCGTTTCCTTGAAAAGGAGAAAACAACAAAGTGAAAAACAGAGATGACAGATGTGATGGTGGTTGGGAAGGACTTTGATTTCGTCAGGGGCTTGGTGGAAGTCGCAAAGTCGGCAACAAAGCGCGTAACTCAGACAAGCAAACAACAACAAGACAAACTTGACCTCTTCAATCTTTGCCCAAACAAGAACCTGCATGCTTTGTCTCATACCACAAAGCGCGAAAGCAAGATGCCAGCGGCCGAGGGCATCGTCTTGACACTGGAGTCGCAGTTTGATGCCGACACAATCCCCGAGGCAGCCATACCAGTCAGCGACACAACTCTTGCTTCTGACAACCCACGACTAGTCGATGTTTACGTCCCCTCCTACCTCGCGTCTCAGTTTTGGATATCTTACACGATCAATCCAGCCATGCTCGCACCCGCACTTGCACCCGCACCCACCCAAACACCAACAAAGTACATTTTCTTCAAGCTCATCCTCGACGGCGAGTGCATCGTCAGCTGGGGTGTCGGAGAGGCAGAAGGATGGAAGGGCAAGACCATGTGGGCTTTCTTCCGGTCAGAGGACCAAGGTGGCTGGCGCGCTGTCGACAAGCGCGCCTTTTTCTTCCGTGCTACAGGTGACGACCAGGACTTTGACATTCTCGCATACCGTGCCAGAGGAAGACGCAGGGCCTGCAGACAATTTGACGACATGCCACCAATGGGCCAACAGGGTTTCGACCTCGTCAGCTGGGGCCGCCTCAAGGAACATCACCCTCAGAATTTCTATCAGTATGCTCTCCTTGATCCAATCGATCAGCCATACGCTACCTTTCGCTATCATATCCGAGGAGGTCCCCACGTCCAAGCTCGTCACCCTTGTCAGGACCTTGACCAAAGCAGCAGCAGCAGTTCCTCTGTCGGTATGCTCAACGAACCTTCCAGGCTGGCGAAAGAGTTCCAAGACGCGTCGAGACTTCGTAGATTGTCTTACCCACCGACCATGTGTCTCATCCCCACCTCTTCATGTACCGAGCCTTCATCACCTACAAAGCTCGATGCAGAGATATCGGTACCCCCAGAGCTAGACATGTCGATCCTAGACCCAGAGCCATCCATCACCGTTGAGAATCCACCGGAGTCAGAACAACTTTCTTCTGCAAACCCCCAGCTACATACCTTGGAGCAGAGGGAACAAGAGCACATCAGCAACGAGACGGTCATCCGTAAGCAGTCGGTACAAACCCCTACACCTCTGGGTCCGGAGCAGATCGCGGATACACCACCATCAAGCCTCAGAAGACGTAGCGGAGCAAAGATCAAGGAATGGTTTGGAAGCATTTCTAAGAGAAGAGCTACCAGATCAACATCCCCTATACATCCATCCTTGTCACACAAGACCAGCTCGGCGTCCCTGTTATGAGCTGAACCAGGAGGTGCAGATGGCCAGGCTATCTCAACTCCAACGTCGAGTCCGGAGGGTGATGAAGTGCTGCAAAAGGTATTGCGGAACGATGGATTGTCCACAGAAGGTATTTGTTGCTTGACCGGTCGTCTCTGAGCTCCCCATGTGCTAAAGACAGTCACAGTGTAGCTCTCGAAATGCACAATATTTTCGCGAAAACCGTGGTTTCCACTGAGAGAACCTTGATGAAGGCTATCTCAGTGGCCAGACTTGTATTTGAGTCGTAACTGTGCATTTCGATAGCGCATGTCAACCTTGCAACTCGGGATGGAGAAGGTGTTTGCGGTCGTCCCTGAGTGGTGACGTGTACGAGAAGCCAAGAGAAAAAGATAAAAACTGGGGATTCACGTGCGAACCCCTCGGTTGTGAATAGTCATCTCTCCTCGCGATTCTAGCAACACGACGGGTCAGTATATTGTGGCACACAGTCACGCGTCTCATGTACGGATACTTCAGCGATACATGCATCACAATTCTCATGGCCGTGATTACAGTGACTGCAAGCAACCCTATCGCGTTGCGGATAGAAGATGTACCCCGCTGTGGAACGTGGGGAAGCTGCAAGGCACACAAGCCACTGATGGCGATCACGAACATGTGCTTCCCCCATTTGACGCAGCGATTCGCGTCTCTGTGTCGGCTAAGACTTTGAACGGGTCAGCAGGACCATCCTTCCTTTCTCTCTACACACCCAACTTGTCTATGAGTGCGCTAGTGAGGTTCTGAGCTATCGGCTTTCTCGTCCTTATTCTTACTCTTCCTCTTCCTCTTTCCTTCTTGATAGATCAGCCGGACTGTATTTCTATCATCTGTTACCGTCCTGTCTTGGATAGATTCTAGACCATGAAGCTGCAAGCTGTCGCTGCTCTGACCTCGCTGGTCTCGTCGGCTGCTGCTTCAACCCTGAACCCACCAGTGTTGCCATTGATTGTCAGGAACCCGTACCTCTCTACCTGGCTCGGCAACGCANGAGACAAGCCATGGACCAAGTGGCCCATGTTTTATACTGGCGAAGAGGTGTGTAGCGAGAGGCTTGTGCCTGTCCTGATCACATCTGACAGCCCATCTAGANTCGGCTTTTCCGTCTTAGCTAGTGTGCCCGAAACCAGACATGCCTATCCTCTACTCGGCCGCCCTCAGGATTCCTTGGATGAGAATGACCATACGTCTGTCTCTGCAGCCTAACTATTGGACGTCCTGCTAACTGATTCCGTAGCTNACAACATCTCTTATCCCGTCTACAAAGGCGCCCAGTACGATGCATCAGTAACAAACTTGACCTACCACATCCCATCGCACAACTCGTCGTCGGATCATGTCGAGATCGTCCTGTCTTTCCTGTCTCCAGTCACACCCTCGTCCACCCTCCGCCAATCCATTCCAGCATCGTACCTTAGTATCCATGCCACAGGAAGCTTTGACATCGACGTATACATCGATCTGAACGGCCAATGGGTCAGCGGAGACAGAGGCGCTGAAATAGTTTGGGAGCTTGAGAATGCCGAGACGGAGAAGCTGAAGAGTTGGGTTGTCAAGAGAAAGGAGGAGCTCTTGTTTACTGAATGGAGCGATCGCGCCGAGTGGGGAAGTCTGCGCTTCACTGGTCCCTCGGTGAGCATGGCCGTACTCTTCTGTTACGTGAGACTGACGAATAAATAGGATGTCCGCCATGAAAGCGGAACATCAGGCGTCCTGAGAAACCGCTTCTCCCGTACCGGTACGCTGCAGAACGAAAACGATAACCGCTTCCGAAGCATCATGCAAGACGAGCCTGTTTTCGCTTTCTCCAAATCCTTCAACCTTGCTCCTAACACGACTAGCCACAACAAGGCCAAGGCATCCTCGGAAAGCGCTCTTNTCACCATTGCCCATATACAAGACCCTGTCACTCAGTACGCCTCTGCTCGCGGCTTGACTTTCATGCGTCCCCTATGGAAGACATGGTTCCATTCCGATGACAATCTGACTTCGTTCCATTACTTGGATTTTAAGAATGCTCAAAAGCTTGCCCAAAACTACTCCGACCAGCTGGCAATCGACGCATACCAGTCTGGCTCTGACTCCTACGTCGATATCGTTGCTCTTTCGGCTCGTCAAACCATGGGAGCCACTAGTTTTTCAGGCACTGAGGATAACCCATTGCTCTTCCTCAAGGAGATTTCCTCAAACGGAAACAGCCAGACGGTTGATGTCATCTTTCCAGCATTCCCTTTCTTCCTCTACACTCAACCTCGATGGCTGGCATACCTTCTCGAGCCTCTGATTGAGCACATGCTTTCTGGTCAATATCCGAACGACTACAGCATGCACGATCTGGGTACACACTTCCCCAATCTGACAGGACATGCTGATGGCAAGGATGAATACATGCCTGTCGAGGAGTGCGGTGATATGTTGATCATGGGTCTTGCTTTAGTCAATTCCTTAACATATGACTCTGCACATGAGGCTCAATCGATATGGTCTACCCTCGGCAGTGATCACGTCCCGCTATCCGATGAAGCCAGTCCTTTCGCTCTGGTCACCATGCAAAGTCAAGACGAAATGTTTGGTCTCGATGACCGTTGGGGTGGCTCGACTCAAGGAGTCAAACAGGCCCGTCAGTGGCTCGAAAAGTCTTACGGCTTATGGAAGCAGTGGACATCTTACCTGGTCGACTACAGTCTGGAGCCTGAAAACCAATTGTCGACCGACGACTTTGCTGGATGGCTGGCTCTCCACTCCAACTTGGCTCTGAAAGGTATTGTCGGCATCCGAGCCATGAGCGAGCTCGCTACAGTCATGGATAAGAATGATGACGCGAAGCATTTCCGCAACATCTCGGATACCTACGTTAAGCGCTGGGAAGAGCTCGCCATATCTCGCGACGGCACACATGCAAAGCTCGCCTACGATTGGTACGGCAGTTGGACTACTCTATACTCGCTGTACGCCGATGCACTACTATGCTTCCATCCTTCGACAACCAACAGCAGCAGCGCTCAATCTGCCGACGATTATGCCAAAGTGTCAGGCAACAAGCAAACACCCATTCTCGAGCCACCAACTCATGACTTCATTCCCAACCACATTTACAAGATTCAATCTGACTGGTATGCTGCGGTGATGCAAAAGTACGGACTGCCATTAGACTCTCGTCATCTTTACACCAAATCCGACTGGGAGTTCCAGGCTGCTGCAGTCGCTTCTCGCAAGACTCGAACACAGATCTTGGATAGAGTGTCTAAGTGGCTGAATGAGACTGTCACTGATAGACCTTTCACCGACCTCTACGAAACAGAGGGTGAGGGTGGTTTCCCTGGCCCCAACTTCTTCGCTAGACCAGTTATCGGTAGTCATTTTGCCTTCTTGACATTGGAGAGAGCTTGTGGTGGAACTGCTATGCAGGGATTGAGTTTCTTGGATGAGGAATGAGTGGTTTCCTTGATGCCGTTGAGATGCTCCGGCCATTTGGGTAGTGATGGGACAAGACGTTCTGTTTATGATTGCCGTGTTGATATATGTTGGCAATGAGGTTTATGAATCAAGTTGAACTATACCTTTGTCTTCACATTCTCGAATTAGACAATCCGTGAAATCAAGAGACGGCACTTTCAGAACCTCTATTGTAGAGGAACGGCTTGACAGGCCAGGGTTATACCAGCAGCAAGTGTCTACGAGCATAAATGAACCACCACGTCTTCCTAAAACAATATTTGGGCCTTCGAACACCTTGTATCAAGAGTATAAAAGGTGTTTTGCTCAGCTGCTGTTGGTTGTGGAGGAACGGTAGTAGTTCAAGGAGAAATCGACAAGATCCTCAATTCGATTCGTCTTTTTGAGCATTTGGGTTTGAGACTCACTGATACCACGGGCTTCAAATATTGACAACTCATTGTCGCCATACGACAACATGTATAGCTTGTTATCCATCCCAGACAGCGATAAAGAGTGCTACGGTGGATATAGAAATGCACAGTCTGAATCAAAGTAGCCTCCCCGTATACTAAAGCATGTAACGCGTATGGCTATAGAAATGCACAATAGTAACAGGAAATAAGACAGTATCCACTGAGAAGCAACAACTTGCCGACTCTCTATGGACACGCCTATACTCCCGAAAAGGATTATGCTTTTCTACAGTCTACATTCTATCCTTAGCTACAGTCGGAGCAGGGTGGAGTTTACAGAATTTAGTACACGGGCAGGAGGGTGTGTCTTGAGGGAACGATGGCAATACAAAATCTTGGTAGAAGCTACCTCTATCGCTCTGTAGTAATTTATAAAACTTAGACACAAGAATGAGGAGAGGATATACTTCGTCAAACTCTAAGTGTATAGAATTTTCGTGTGTGGCTTCCGTATACGTCGTAGGCGATCTATTCTCTGATCCTCATCATGGGTCCATAGGTAGCTGTAAACTTGAGCAACGCAGGGCCACAGAAATAAAGCGGCACGGCAAACAACAGCAAGAAGTACTGTATAGCTGCCATCTCGCCAAATACAATCGAAGCACCTTGTTCAGCAATCCAATCACTGGAGTACATACTCAAAACACAAGCAATGGCATTGCGGATCACAAACACAATCACTAGTGCCTCACCAGCAAATTGCGAATAGCAGTCGACCACATAGGTGACGACGACATTGCTGAGTGCTGTGAGAGCGAAAGCGTGCATGCCGAAGCCGAAGGCTGGGCCCACNCATGTTGTTTTGTGTGCAACACACTGACCGTATATGATGACTCCTAGCGGGCCGATAATGGCTGGGATGATCAGAGCGACTAGGCGTATCTCTGGACGTGGGTGCGAAGCACGTCGACGAGCTCGATTGGCGATGAGATCAATGAGACGACCTCCAGCGTAGAACGACAACATGGCGCCGATGAAGGCAGATAGCGAGAACAAGCCGACATCGCCTGTGGTCCATTTGTAGGGTGATTTGGTGAATGTCTGCGTTGTAGCGATTTGGATGACAATGGTCCAGCCGACGAAACAGCCAATAAGAATGCCGGCCCAGAAGACGGGTGGGTAGGTGGCCATGCGCAAAATGTCCCAGAATGTGCGCACAAAGTGGCCTTGAGGATTATATCCGATCGTCGGAGAGAGCCATCTGACATAGCTTCTCTTGGCTGGTATGTTATCCTCAGAATGCTGAATGCGTGGTCTGGTGTATTGCGTTTCTCGAACAAGGAAGAAGGTGCAAATGAGCAAGACGCCAGAGAAGATGGCGATGAAGCCACAGCTCCAGCGCCAGCCATGTAGTCCAACGATGTAGGCGTTGATCAGGGGTCCCAAGAAGAGACCTGATGCCAAGGCTACATGAAAGAACATCATACAGTGGCCGCGCTGGTCGAAGAAGAACATCTCAGCTACGAGAGAAGGTACTGTGGCATCAGCACAAGCGGCGCCGACGCCACTGAGCATACGTCCACCTAGTAGACTGCCCCAAGATTGTGCGAAGGCGCTCCAGATATTGGCCGCAGTCAAAACAGTTAAAGCCATGAGGTATACCGGTCGTTTTCCAAGCACACGCATCAGGGGTACCCAGAGGATATTACCAACTCCAAACATGAGGACATTGAGTCCGACCAGGAGAGTCGCATCCGTAGCATCGAGATGGAAGTGTTTTCGAAGAGGCACTATGGCGACAGTAAAGTTGCTGCCATTCACATTGGCGATGAAGGTGAAGAAGCAGACTGTCAGGTACACTGAGATCTTCACAGGCAAAGGCCAATTCNNTACGAATGCGTCAGATGGCATTACCAACAGCCGAGACGAAGGACTTACCAAAGGATCGTTGGGATCATTGCTGGGAACTGGCAAACGGACACTTCCTGTTTCTTCAGGAGTCTTCAAATCCTCGACATCGTCAATCCTAGTCTCTTGTGGTTTGTCTGCCATAGCTCAGGAAAGTGCTGTGTTGTATCGTTGAACTCAACACGCTCTGGCAGTACATCTGCTAAGCAAGAATGCTAGTGAGATTGAGTGAAGGGAGAGTCATTTTCACAAAGGGTGCAGGTCGAAGGAACCCCTCTTCGCCAGCATACAAATGCAAGCCATTGGCTGATTCCACCTACCTGTACCGATCCTGTCCTATCTGAGCCTGGCAGGTAGGGCGTTCTTGCATTGGTGCAGCATCCCCACGAAGATCTACAGTTTTCAGAGTCCCCACGATATCATCGACCAGTGAGCTCGAGGAAATATCAGTCGGAGTTGCTGAACAAAAGCTCCGCGTTGAAAAGGATGTGGAGAGTTGTGTGGAGAAGACAACCTAGCCCTGCTCCAGGGCAGAGAATGTTCCGGGTACGGTTACGCAGCGAGCCGACTGGCATTGGTGGATACGATGTTCGGACAAAGAGTGACCGAGAAGGAAGCAACTCGCAAGCTGCAAACGAGTTGAACCGAGATGAGACCTCGTTCGTCGGAGCGCGTCTGTTTCTGTACGAAAACGCCGCTTCGAAATGCGGGATGGCCGTTTCGAGCAAGCGAAACAAGCAGAAGCGCCGCCCACCGGAGGACCTGGTGGCCGAGACCGTCTGTTTAGGCTCCAAACGTGAAATCAAGCACATTTCGGCGATGAGCGAAGCACGTGTGGCTACACCGGCCTTGATTCTTATCACAGAAACATGACGAGGTAGGAGGGCTTTGGCGAAAGCCACAACGCACCTTCCCTTTTCTCGAAGGTGTGGGGTCACAGTGACATCCCATGAAATCGGCCTCTCTGCGGAGGTGCTCGGCATATTTCGTGGAGAAAAGATAATCTGGCGTCCTTGACAGAAGGCCCGACTTAACGCCTTTACTTCACTATTTCGCGTGCATCTGTTGCAAGGTAGGCGTACAGGCTAAATGCGCAATTGTGAATAACCGCCAACAGGACCGAATTGAAAAGCAACGTCCATGCCAATCGATCCTGACAATGTCCCCATTCTTGCACGCTTGCCCAGATGACGAGCAAACATGGGGAAAGAAGTCGTGTGTATTGCCGACGTATTATAACCTGACGTGGTATGATATGACATCGTCACTGCCAGCAACTCGGTGCAGGATATCCATGCCGGAACATCATTGTTTCATGATAGCCAATGTTCACTGAGCCAGTGATGACCCTCTCAAGGCGTCATCTACCTCTTTCTTTGCATCGTAGCCGTAGAGCCATGGCTGTACCACTGGGCAAGTCCTGCAGATTTCTGTCAGCATAGATTCACGGGATCCGGCACTTTCTCGCACTCACCAACGACTCGGAAACTTGACCTCAGGCTCTTCCTTGCCAAGTTGGCCCGCAAACAACTCATCACGCGCTTGTTGCTCTTCACCGTCCATCATGTGGAAGTCGTTCCTCTGGGCAAAAGTCTCGCGAACAATGGCTTCACCACGCTTCTTCCTCAGGTTCTCGTACAGACGCAGCGCTTCGGGCAGTTGCTCTTTGCTCTGCACTACAGCAAGCAGGTTACCAAGCACGGCGCCATCCTCTAGTGATGAGTTCGCACCTTGAGCTAGGTAGGGTAGCATGGGATGGCTAGGCTCTGTCAGCATACGAGACCATATTCATGGTAGGACAATTGATACTTACCAAGAGTCTCCAAGGAAGACGAAGTTACTCTTCTTGCTAACCCAGCTATCCAATTCTGGACGATGCATCAACTTCCACTTGTCGACAGACTTGACATTGTCAAGGAAACGATTGAGGATAGGATCCCATTTGGTGAAAATCTCCCTCATCTCACTGATATCTCCGGAAGATCTCGACACATCTGGAGGAAGGTTATCGGGCACAAGAAGCACAATATTGTACTGCTTGCCACCACGAACAGAATACGCTACAACGTGAGCTCCAGGACCAATCCAGAAGTGGCATGCTGGTTTCGATACCCATTGCCGGAGTTCGGGATCTTGAAGGTCATCCAGGTTAAGGACAATACGGTATGCCAGATCTCCGGTGGGAAGCGGAGCGTCTTCCTTGCCAGACTGCTTTAGGAAGTGCGCCCTACATTTGGACCATAATCCATCGGCACCGACTAAAAGGTCTGCCTCGAATGTGGTTCCATCATCCAAGTGTAACGACGAGTTCTCAAAGTCCACACTGGTGACCTTGGAGTTTAGCCTCAGGTTGACGCCTAAATCCTTCGCCCTTTGTGCAAGCGCCTTTTGCAAGTCCACACGATGTAAGTCCCAAAANGGAGCTCCGTACTTGGCTCGTATCTTCTTGTCGAAATTTTGTTGCAAGGCAAGTACCTTTCCATCAGAGTACCTGTGCACAGCTAGGAAGGTCGGTTCGGCCGCCAACGGCTCGAGAACTCTATCGATTCCCCATTGTTGGAACAATCTCGACGCGCTNGCGGTGCATGTCAGGAACTTGTTCGTCTTGTCCTCCTCGGCTATTGCGATCGGGTGAGCCCGGATCTGCTGCTCTTACTTTGGTGTGATCTGTAGGCCTGCTCCGATNCTGATTTGTCGGTCAGCAAGGAGGTCCTCCGTCGGCGACTGCCTTTGCTCTGCGTTTAGGACACGTACCTCCGCCAGTCCTCTCGCTTGTTCCAGCACTGTTACACTGTGGCCGCCGAGGGCACAGGAAATGGCGGCAGCCAAGCCGCCGAGTCCGGCTCCAATCACGACAATGTCGAGGGATGTGGAGTTTGCAGAGGGCATGGTTGGTGAGATAATAGAAAGATTGTGGAAGAGACTGAAGAAAGTCGCATTTGCTTATAAACAGAATATGATCACCGACCTCTCCACGCTGCTGTCTGCCCTACATGGCCATCCACAAGCAGCACTCCGTGAAGACTTGCCGACTGATATCCCCACCCCCACAATTGCCCAAAAGACCCGTCGAGCCACAGGCGGGGAAGAGCATGTGAAAAACTGTGGGAAGCACCGGAAGTTTGGCGCTACCCGTCGCTAATCCAGCGCGGAGTAGCCGCGAGATTCGATTACGTCTGTGTCTATCGGCCCGACCTGGGCCCTTTTCCGCCTTGTGAGACCTTACCCTCCTCCACATTGGAACTGAGAAGGACCGCCGGGTAAAGAGTGACAGAAGGTGAATAACGAGGGAGAGACAATCCGCCGTCCCGGATGGGTCCATGTGCCCACGAGTTCGTCCGCAGCAGCGCCGCGAGCTCGTTTGTATTTATTCCGATGCCTCGCCCATTCTTTTGACCACGAGAGAAGTCCGCGCGACCTTTTGGATCTTCTAGTATCAGTCGAAAGCAGCAAAAATGTTCTCCCCGGACTACTTCCACACAGCCTCGGCTCCAAAACTTCAGGATTACCACGACTATGCCCAGGCACACATTCGGGACAGACGTATCTCATTATCGCCTCTGGCCAAANAATGGCTTCGCAATTACAGAGAACCCTACAAAGGTTTCACTTCGGATGGAAACATTGTTCCTGGTCTCTGGAAAAGTACCCCAAATGCAAATGGACCGACGCAGGCGATGGTAGATGCAGCCCAGCACTTGCTCGCAGTAGCATCAGCAGCTGAGAAGGCACGATTCCGTCATCTCGTTACTGCTAGAGAATGGCGTGCATGGTCAAACCCTGAGGTTCGTGTTGGCATCCAAGTATTTTTGCAGCACTTTACTGACCAGAACTAGGTTATCGTCATGGAATGTGGTCTCCGTGTTGATGCCATGAGCTCAGACACCATGAACGCTGTATACGAGCTACTCAGAGTGTCATTAAGTCCCGAGGGTTTCGAGAGAGTCTGGACAGCGATGATGATGACCCAAGCCGAAAACCAGGAAGACTTGCACCGTATCGCCGGTTATCAATTCTGCTTGTTCGGCGAGCCTGGCCTACTTTCACCTTGGGGATTCAACCTGTTCGGCGACAACGTCTGTGTCAACGTCTTCACGCTCGGCGGAGAAGTTGTCATCGGACCATTCTTCGTTAGTGCTGGTCCTAGTTTTACGGAGCAGGGCTTGGTAGATGGAGTACAGGTGTTTGAGAGAGAAGAAGCAGCTGGACTCGCTTTGATGGCTTCTCTCAACCCACAACAACAGCGCGAAGCCAGTCTTCTAGGCGAGATTGAAGACTTCAACGCGGATCAAGATCTGTTTGACCCAATGGACTACCGCAGCGTTGGAGGCGCACACCAGGATAACAGGGTCGTGCCCTACGAAGGCATCTGCGCCGCCGATTTGAACTTGAACCAGCAACAAGCCCTTCTCAATATTGTGAGGTCTTTCAACCAAGTCTTGCCACAAGAGTCTTTGGATTTGTTCATGCAGCGAGTGGAGAGCCATCTTGGCGAGACCTACTTCTCGTGGCTTGGCCCTGTTCACACAGATGCGCCTTTCTACTTCCGCATCCACAGTCCAGTGGTGATGGTCGAACTTGATCACCAGGATGGAATCATGGTGCCAGGAACATCAAGCAAACAATACCGCATTCATGCGACGCAGCGCTTGCCCAACAGAGGCGACTATGGAGCTGCATTGCTGGACGAGTGGGTGATGAAGATGGCTGGATTCGACAGAATCGGCAGCATGGTTCGATAAGAAGATGAAAAGTCGGCTTGATTTGGATGTTTTCAACAGCGAGGCGCACGGGATTTTTGAGATGATAGTTTTACGATACCCTTCACGAATTATGGACTTCTTTGATCTGATTACCCATGACTCGAGTGCATGCTGCATACTGCATGATGTTGTGCATTAGCCGTGAGTGTTGATTGAGATGGCGGCGTGATCAAGGATTCAGTCAAGATGTCGGACGGGCCGAAAGATAGGCTGAGCATTAGTCAGTGGCATGTTGACGCCATTGTCCATGACGTGACAAAGACAGAGATGTGGCTAACTGTACATACTAAACATTGCCAGAGTGTATGTTACGGCAGAGGATATCAGGCGCAATGGCAGGAAAGTTTTCTGTCAAGAATGTGTGTATAGTAGGTGCCGGACCAAGCGGATTGGCTTGTGCAAAGTAGGCTGCGTCGCGACTTCCTCAAGCTCGTGCGACCAACGAAGCTGATGTCTTCAGATATCTACTTGCTGAAAAGGCTTTTGAGCGCATCGATATTTACGAGCAACGATCGCGTGTAGGAGGCATCTGGGACTATTCGCCTGAAGAAAAGACGCCTGATGACCTCCCTGTGCCATCCGTAACACCCCACGCCGGCCTCGCCAAACCGAAATGGCTGCAGTCAGGTACCAGGAAGGCACTTGGGAGTCGTGTCGAAGAGGATTCCTTGTTCCTAAGTCCGCTGTATGACCGCCTAGAGACGAATATCCCGCGCACGTAGGTCCAGCCGTGCGAAGCCTCAATCCTGCCACCAGCTGACGCTCTGCAGGNNTTGATGGGATACAGTGACTTTGACTGGCCCCAAGACTCGCAACTCTTCCCGAAACACGAGACCGTCACTCAGTACCTCGAAGACTATGCTGCCGATATCAAGCACCTTATCCACTTCAACACACAAGTCCTTGATATCAACCTGGCTGGTACCAAAGAAGACGGACAAGACGTATGGTCTGTAAAGACGCAGAAAGTGCAGCACAAGATTCAGGAAGACCCGGTGGAAAGAACATACGATGCTGTCGTTGTCGCCAATGGTCACTTCGCTGTGCCATTCATTCCTCAGATTAAGGGCATGAAGGAGTGGGCTGAGCAATACCCAAACGCCATCTCTCACTCCATGTACTACAAAAAGCCAGAGGACTACACAAATCTCAAGACCATTGTCGTTGGCAGCGGCGCTTCAGGTATTGATATTGCCATGCAGGTCATGCAAGCATGCAAACTGCCCCTCATACAATCACAAAAGTCGAAAGGATTCCTTCTGTCCGATCCCACTCCGAAGAAGCAGGAANAAGAGGAGATTGTCGAGTTTATCATCCAAGACAGAGCCGTGCGTTTTGCTGACGGCACTGTGGAGAAGGACATCGACTCTATCCTCTTCTGCACCGGCTACTTTTATTCTTACCCTTTCCTCAACAACCTAGATCCGCCGCTCGTCACGAGTGGCACCCACGTTCAGAACTTGTATCAGCACTTGATCTACCGCCCGCGCCCCACTCTTTGTTTCCCGGTATTGCAACAACGCGTCATTCCCTTCCCAATGGCAGAAGCACAAAGCGCCGTCATTGCCCGTCTATGGAACAACCGCATCGCTTTGCCCTCTGTGGAGGACATGAAGGCCTGGGAAGACAATCTGCGGAATGAGACAAGTGATGGCAAGAGAGACTTCCACCTTCTCTTGTTTCCAAAGGACGCGAACTACATCAATGCAATGTATGACTGGTCGATGTCGGCACCCGACGCAGAGACCAAAGGCAAGCGACCACCGCACTGGGGTGAGAAACAATACTGGATGCGCGAAAAGTTCCCAGAGATCAAAAAGGCTTTCCAGGATCGAGGTGAGGGTAGACATCAAGTCAGGACTTTGGAAGAATTGGGCTTTGACTTTGAGAAGATGAAGAGAGAGTCTGCTGTTGAACAAAAGAGTTTGCTCTGATACGTTTTTAGATAAATGTGCTGATTGTATATATCATCGAATAGATCTATTAGACATATCCTCTTTGTATGTAGAGGTTTATAACTCTTATCGTACTCCGAATGCAGTGAAGAGCAGTATACCTTGCCAAAAAGGCACAATCGTTTTTGGAAGGAGACGCGTTTCCACAGAGAGTCATTCCTCCCCGTGTGCTAAAATATGTATTGTGTAGCTATAGAAATGCACAACAGTGACAGGAAACAAGGTAGTGTCCACTGAGAGGCAACAAGTCATTGACTCCCTGTGGACGCGCCTCTACCTCCTAAAAAGAATTGCGTCTTTTTATAGGTTTATATTCTGCTCTTAGCTATAGTCGGAGTACGGTGGAAGTTATAGACTTTAGTATACGGTGAGGATATATTATCGAATGAACCCATCAGACATTAGATTCGAAGGTTGTGGTTCATCAGTCTAACCAGAGCCTGATGCCGCTTCTTTCGCATAGCCATTAAACTCGCCAGTCTCTCTCAGCAGAATCGGCAACTCCTCGTCCCTAAACGCTTGATGAATATCCGTGTGCTTGGGCTGCCAACCAAGTTGTGTCAACCTCTCAGCTCTGTTTCTAGCATTGCTCGCAATGACAACATCCGAGTATTTGCCAAACAGATCGTTGTACTGCTCCTGAGGGATCTCTCGCGGCGAGGCATCATCGATCTTGCCAGCTGCTTTCAACTCTTTGCCAATGAATCCTGCACACTCTGCCCAAGTGGTTTCTTTTCCGTTCTCGCAGAAGAAGTAGGGGTTCTCCAGACTCACAGTGTCGGGAGAGTTTTCAAGCCATTGCAGGACAGTGGCATAGCCATATGAGAGATCCTTGACGTGAACCAGACCCCAGATACCTTTGCCTCCACCCACGTAACCAGCATATTTGTGCTTCAAGGCAAAGCGAGCCATGGTGATGACTTGGATGGATAGTTTGCCGTAGCTTGAAGCACCATAGATCAAAGGTGGAAGTATGATGAACAACTTTGCTTTTGTGCCTAACTTGTTTCTGGCGGCGAGGATGGCAAGGTCGATTCCACGATGAGAGGACGTGTCTGGTCGTGCATCTAGGTCCGCTGGATTGGTGTCTTTGTAGATCTTGTCGCTCCCGTAGCGGCCGTGGCTGTCGTCGCTGAGGAAACTGCAACCACTGGTGTGGATGTAGTAGGTGTGTTTGTCTTGAGCAGCTCTTTCCTCAATTCCTTTGATGACGGCTTGTACAGAGGGTAGGTGGTCGGCTGTAGCAGTATGAACCACAATATCATGAGCTGCGGTTTGCTTGGTGATGAGGTTCGAGTCATCAATCGTGCCCATCACCACTTCGACATTTTGTTTTTGCTTCAGTTCTTCGGCTGCTTCTTTNCTGCGGACCAGAGTCGTGACAGAATAGCCGNNTTTTTCAAGAAGTCGGTCCATGACTTCGAGGCCGATGTAGCCTGGACCGATCAAGAAGACCTTTTGCTGGGTTTTGACATGTTGTATCTTTGAATATGAACAAAGTTTGGCCGGTATGGAGTCAGGGAAAGAAGATAACGTTTATATCAGGTCGAAGCTATGGGTCTGACCCCACCCCCACGCAACAATGACACAATCCGACGGAGGGTGGAACCCCGTCTTTCCATTTAAAGAGCGATACTCAAAGTATCAAGATTGTTAGAGACTTGCATCGTTTACACCAACGCGTCGGAAATCGACCTATGCTGATTGCTATTGCTTTCTTCGTCAGATCTACACCAAGTTCCGACAACTCCAGGCGAAACGCGCTCTGAATCCTAATCATGAGAAAGCAAGCGTTCAAGACACAAAACTCAAGATCCTCTCATAGACAGAGAAGACAATTCCACCAGAAAGAAGCAGTCTGCCGAGTCTCGGGGCGCTTCCTTTCCAGTAACCCACAATACCACTATCAACCCAAATGCCCCTGGCAGCTCGCAATAGCGTCTCACCTTGACTGCTTTGTGTGCGAGTTTTAATCGTATCGAATGGCTGAGTTGCATATACAGTGATCAATCCTGCGCATGCACCGATTGCGAATGTTTCGGGCGTCGTCTTTGGCGCGTGTCCGATATAGCTGGTGTACCGAGTCTTGAGCGTATTGTATGATCCCATCCTGACTGCTGAAGTGGCTGATTGCTTGATGGTCGTGCTTACTAGACCTCGGTACAATCCTACAAGGCCTTGTTCACGTATCAGGATGCCGACTGCGTGAGGTGTAGAACGAAATCGTTTGGCGCCCTTGCCATCGTCGATAAGAGCAGTCTTGATCCGCTCAGTCGGTGTCACAGCCAGAACACTCTCTACAGCTCCTGCTACACTTCCAGCCAGGATTCCGCCGGATGTCGACAGTTTTCCATTCTCATCTGCAAGCTGGGCTTTGATGGTATCGAATGCAAGAAAGCGAACGCCAGCTTTTAGCGCAGTACCGACGATCAATGCACTGCAACCCGTATAGATACCAGACAGTCCTTGAGTTGTCACTACACTGCGAAGTGCTTGGAAAGCATTCCCTTGTTTTCCTTGGGACCGTAGTTGACTGCTGGTTTTCGCGTACTCGAAAGGGTATGTGATGCCNTAACGATTATCAACAACCGAACTACGCTTCGATTTCACAATCTCCATGATTGCATATAACATACCGGCTTCAACACCTCCCGCTACTGCGCCGGCAAACAAAGACGTTAGAGGATGTACATATGTTGTATTTCTCTTCTTTGGAATCGGTTTCGTGGGCAACATGACCGAGTTTGAGGAAACAGCGGTTGTCGACATTATGAACTTTCAGGTCTTGATGCTTGGGTCAAGGTATTCTTTATGCTCCTGGGAAGAATTCTGCGTCCAGACCTTTCCATTTCACAAGGAAGTCGTGCCTTATATGGGCATATCACTGGGGCTCAACTACTTCTATCAGAATGCGCTGTATGTCTTCGTTCTGTTGGCGTGTAAATCTGGATCCTAGATGATAGGCGATGTTCCGTGGTCCGCGGCAAGTTTACATCCGGAAGTTCAGGCTGAGTCTTGACCATGATCGTAGAAGACGACCGCGACGCGACTGCCACTTACCATAAAATCATAAACGACATTCAAACTCTTACTCGATGGCAGTGTGACGTTCCTGCCAGCCAAATTGTTCAACAGCCGAGAATAGCAGCTTCCCGTCAGCACACCATAGAATTTGAATCGATGTCGCTCTTTCCCGTTTGCGAAAAGACTCCCCAGAGTAACTCATACAATGTACGATATCTCTCGAACTAGAGATGCACCCAATGAGACCCCCTACCACAATTCTCTCTGTGGTGACTCTTTATTTTTATGAAGTATCGTGCATTCTCACATCCTGAAATGTTATCTCACGTCACCGTGGGAGAGGGAGTTCGTCACCGGCCCGAGGCTCCACTCCCCGCAGTGCGCGACACGGTTGAACACTCTCCACGGGCTTTTGTCTCCCTTCAGAGTGCCATCACACTTCACGAAACAGAAACTCGATCAGCTGTCGCCACGGAAGACAGTATCCTGCGACCATGCCTCCTGAGCGACGGCACGCCCGTGCACAGCAGGCATGCGCATACTGCAGGCAGCGCAAGGTCTTTAACACTAGTCTCTAGGGATGTACCCTGTGCTGATGATCTTGTACTCAGATGAAATGCACTGGCGAACGACCTCGTTGTAGGAATTGTGAAATTTATGAGCAGGAATGCGTCTTCAATGGCCCTAACCGAAGACCACGACCCACGAATGCTGCACTGAATGAGCTACTAGAGGAGAACCGACGCCTCCGTGAGCAGGTCTCCGGAAGCTCACCAAATAATCAGCTCCCGGATCGAGCTCACGTTGAGGAAAACCATGATGCAAGTCACGATACAACGGCAGAACAGACGACGTTCACAGAGAGGCATGTCGATGCCGGAGCCATAGACCAGAGCCGCCTTGAAAGTGACGATCCAATCGAAACACCAGCATCTGTAGGCAGTACAACCTATCATGGTCCAACAAGTACGCTTTTCAACGAAGCATCCAACCGACAATCACAGTCATACCTTACANAAGAGCGAGAAACATGGATGCCTAAGATTCTAGTGGCTGCTGCAGCAGAGCAGCGTCAACTCGAAAGCATCAATTTTCGTGCTGGTAAGCTCGATTTTGATGGCGTGGATCCCGAACTCGGTATGCATCTATTGAATCTTCATTGGAACCGACAACATCATTCGTTCCTTATCACATACCGACCAGCTTTCATGAGAGATATGGCCTGTAAGGGACCATACTTCTCAAAAATCTTGCTCAATGCAATATTCTATGGAGCCTCTAAATTCAGCCCAAGATTGGACCTACGTAAGGATCCGAACGATGTCAGAACAGCCGGCTGGCAATTTCGTAACCGTGTGCGCGATCTTCTTGGACAGGCACTTGATCATAGCGAGATTACCACAATCCAGGCATTACTACAGATGAGTAATTCACTGTTCGCTCTGGGCGACGAACAGAGCGCTGCTTGGGTCTATGCTGGAACCGCTTTTCGAATGCTCGTCGATGTTGGACTACATGTAGATACCGCAAAGATGCCAACCATGCAACGGCTCTCCGAAGAAGATCTCGAAATCCGACGACGAGTCTACTGGTCCGCCTATGTCGTCGATAAGATGCAGTCTCTTTACCAAGGCCGTCCGGCCACCCTCAGAGCTATCGATGGTCGAGTGCCTATCAAGTTCTTGGATACCTATGAGGAGCTAGAACAATGGCATCCTTTCGCATACGCTAGTGGACCTAGTTACCCTGGATCCCCGAGCTATAGCGTGTCAACTTTTGAACAGCTTTGTAGGCTTTGTATGATCCTCCAACAGATTCTTGACAGAACATACTGCGAGAGAGAGCAGAAACGAAATACAGAAGAACTGGTCCAGGATCTTCAATATGTTGAGAAGCAGCTACAGGAGTGGATGGCAGGGCTGCCTGAGCACCTAAGAATCGACACAACTGGTGACGTGGAAGCTCAACAACTGCCCCCACCACATGTCTTCTCACTCCAGTGTATGTGGAACGTTCTTAGGGTACTTCTCCACCGTCCACTTGTAGCTGATGGTCATCTGCACTCGACTCTGCCATCAACGTCCAAGTCTTCATTGGCAACGTGTACAGAAGCAGCGATCAACATCGTGAGATTGGTTCGGCTCTACGATAAACGCTTCTCTGTGAAACGAGCGCCATATTTGATATCGTATGCCACTTACGTTGCTGCCACTATACACGTTCGTATTGCAGCTACTAGGGCCTCTACTTCTGAGGCTCATGAGCATCTCCGCACGTGCCTCGCAGTTTTTGATCAGAACTCTGCCACCAATCACGCTGTTAAGAAGGCATCTATCGTAATTGAGAGCCTAAAGAAGCGCATGGGGATGCAGTCAGATGCTCCTCCAGGGGCTACTTCGAGCACTGATAGTAGTACCAGGGACCCACTTACCGACCATCAACTATCTGGAGTGACGCCAAGATCACAATCCAACACATTCGCTTCTAGCAATGCCTCTAGTGTGGCCCAACCGCACTTGCCGATGATCAATCACGAACCAACAATGGTTGCTGGTCAATTCGATCCGGACCTCGACGTCGATACCATCATACACAGCTTCATGCACGAGCAACAGCAACTTTATGGCCAGCCTGCGAACCTCTCGATGCCATTAGACCACGGAACAACTAATTTATATGGTGAAAACGGCGCCATGCTGCATGCCACTCAGCCACATGTGTATAACGACGATGCATTGTTTGGGTTCAACGCTTCGGCCTTTGATTGGTTTTATCCTACCTGAAAGTGCAACATGTCTCAATACACAGAATTGTTTTCTCCCTCTCCCGTATACACACACTGTCACGATAGAGCTATCGAAATGCACAATCTTTTCCAAACAGAAGGCGTGGCCATGGAAACACTCTGAACTGATGTGCTCTCTGTGGACGCTATCCTCTTTTGTATACATTGTGCATTTTGATGGCTTGAAGTTAACACTCTATCACTGTGGAGAGGGCTCTCGACAGCGTTCAAAAGGAGGGCTCATGACAGTCTCGAAAGGGGGCTTATGACAGTCTCGAAAAGGGGCTCATCACAGTCTTGAAAAGGGGCACCTCCGGCACATAGAATCTTGTTTGTATGAATATGTACAAGAACGAAACAATCAGTTGTCGTAAAAATCCAAAGCATGTTCCCATAACTGTCGTGATAAAGTTGTAAAACAAGACCGAAGTGGTCTGATAACGCCTCATGATTTCTGAACGTACTCGACGTGTGTGGCCTCCTCACCAATCTTTACTTCTTCCAGTGCAGCACCTTCAAGTCCACTGGTCAGCTCTCCACCGAACACAACGTCGATTTCTTCGAGAGACAAGCCCTTGGTCTCCGGCACGCAGAAGTACACAAACACAATTGAGAGTGTCGTGCAGCTGGCGAAGACGAAGTATGTGCCGAATCCAATATTGGAGATCATGTATGGCACGGATCTTGCGATCACAAAGTTGAACAACCAGTGCGTGGCAGTACAAAGAGCCATACCTAGACCTCTGATGCGAAGAGGGAAGATCTCTGAGCAGTAGATCCATGGCACTCCAGCGTAGGAAAAACAGAAACCGACAGCAAAGATGTAGATGAAGGTGACTGCCGCGTAGCCTCCAGCAGACAGACCGACGGTATGTGTGGCAGGGTTGGCAATTTTGATGTATGCACCAATGAACCACATTGCAATGGCCATCACCGCTGCTCCACCCATAAGCATCTTTCTGCGTCCAAAGCGATCAACAACGTAGTGCATAGCGATGATGACACAGATAAGTCTGACAATGCCGTAGATACCAGTAGCATAGAGACCAGTGGACTGTCCCTTGAGACCGATAGATTTGAAGATTCTTGGCGAGTAGTAGTTCNNTGTATCTCATGTTAGCTGAAGCAAATGACCGACTGGTAAGCGAAGGGCCTGACTTACGATCGCATTAGATCCTGCAAACTGCATAAAGATGAAGATTGCCACTCCAACGAAGATACGTCTGCGATTGCTGGGGACGCGAAGCTCTCTGATCTGCGAGATCAAGCCCTGGTCGTGTGGGCTTTCGAGCTGCTCGTTGACAGTATCCATTATGTGAGTGAGCTCCTCTTGAAGATATTCATGACCCTCGGGCAGACCACGGAGCTTGCAAAGGGTGTGTGCTGCAAGTTCGCGTGACTTGTGTTGAGCCAACCATCTCGGTGACTCAGGCACGAAGATCATGCCAACGATCAAGAGTACACCAGGAATAAGCTGGATAGCAAAAGGCAAGATCCACTGAGACGAGGTGGCGGCCATGTTGCGTTGCACACCATAGCAGATCCAGAAGCCGATACAGGTACCGGTCTGTACGCTGATCTCGTAGATTCCAACAAGTCTACCTCTTATGGCTGGGGGAGAAAGCTCGGCAACGTAGAGGGGTACGAGTCCACTAGCAAGACCAACGCCCTTGTCATATAATCAGCAATTGCATATACTTGTGAAGTTCAGCAATACCCACAATNNTCCTCCAATGGCACGACCAACATACATAGCTGCTACATGACCAAAGCTCACAGTCTGCATCAATGATCCAGCACAGAAGATCAGACCAGCGAGAATCAACGCAGGCTTGCGTCCATAGCGATCTCCTAGTGGGGCGACAGCCAAGGAGCCGAAGAAGCAACCAGCTTGTAACAAAGAAACAATATTGGCGGAAAAGGCATCTTTGGCGCTTGCCGAAGCGTGCGTCAATCCAAAGTCTTTGAGGAACGGTTTGAGTGTGATGGTAGTTCCAATGAAGGCAAGATCGTAACCGAAGATGAATGCACCCATAGAGGCTACTAATGCTACAGCGTACACGTATGCATTGTAGACCTCACGAGGAGCCGGAATGGCCAAAGCAATGTTGTGATGTCTTCCGGGCATGTCGAGAGCTGAATCTGGTGATCGGATGCTTGGAGTTCTTGGTCCCAAGAGGGCAAAAGAGCTAAGTATTTATGGAAACCCACTAGAAGGATTAAGCCCTAGATATCACAACGACAAACCTAATGTCACGGTTGGGGTTCGCCGATCCCGGGCGGATAGACCGGGGTAGTGTGGAGTGAGTGTCGTTTGTGTGGGGACCTGGAAACTTTCACGGCCTGCCAGATGCCGTGGACAATGACACTCCGTGTCTGTCAACTTGTAGCGGGCCACGGCCTACTCATCCGCGATCCGCGGACAAGACCTGCCTTCGTTCGATATGGTCCCCTAAAAGAATGCCACGATAGTCGTGTACATTGGAAAATTGATTGAGTATAAGTTTCAATGTTCTGGCCTACGTATCTTCGAAAGCAGTACACATTCAACTTACTATGTTCAAGACAGCCGCACGATACATCGACGCTGCAATTGTCCCTCGAATTCCAGACTTCCATCCATCAATCATGCCAGGACTCATCACATCTACCACTACTGTGGCACCACAAGTGGTACCCAAGAGGCGAAGAGCACTTCCAGCAGTCTGGATGAGAGCTGGTACCTCAAAGGGTCTTTATCTCCATCGTAAAGATCTACCACAGAGCCAACAAGACTGGTCTTCGGTAATCACTCGGGTGATGGGCTCTTATGATGCGGATCCTAAGCAACTGGATGGTATAGGTGGAGCAACTTCAACAACATCAAAAGTCGCCGTTATATCGCGATCCTCTCGTCCAGATGCAGATGTGGATTACACATTTGTCCAGGTGACCATTGGTGCTCCAAAGCTAGACATGACTGGCAATTGCGGCAACATTGCATCCGGTGTCGGTCCCTTTGCAGTTGACGAAGGCCTGATTAATGTTCTTCCAGGACAGAAGCAGGTTCAAGTCAGAGTGTTCAATACCAACACAAACTCAGTCATGGTTGAGACAGTCCAAGTCGACGATGAAGGCCATTTTCTCGAGGATGGAGATTGCAAACTTCCCGGATTATGCTCTGTTGGCAGCCGAGTGCAAATGGGGTTCTCCAAGCCAGCTGGTGCCATGACTGGCAAGCTATTACCTTCGGGGCGCGCAATGAACACCATCCTTGTGCAAGCCTCGTTCAATTCCGAGCCAATCCCGATTCAAGTCAGTCTTGTCGATGCGGCCAACCCATTCTGTCTGGTCGACAGCGCTACTCTGCCAAACTTCTATCACAAAGAAGGACCCGGCGCGACGGCCTCTATCAACTTCATCGAAAAGATTCGAAGAGAGGCAGCGGTCCTTATGGGTCTTGCTAAGAGCACCGACGAAGCAGCGCTTACCAGAGGCACCCCGAAGATTGCAGTTCTTTCGAGACCAAATACAAGCAATGACAGATCATCAGTAGACTTCCAAGTCGTCGCATACTCCATGGGCAAGGTTCATGGAAGCCTGCAATTGACAGGAGCAGTCTGCCTAGGAACTGCGGCGTGCACCAAAGGCACTGTAGCATATGAGCTTCGTGAGGGTTCATCCGACGTGAGGAAGAGACAAGACTCTCCTATCGAATCGGTTGACATGCCAGAGCTCGAGACGGTTCGTCTCCGACATCCTGGTGGAGACATGGATGTCGATGTTCGTCTGGATGCCGAAAGCCAAGTAGAAGAGGTGGTAGTGTTCCGAACAGCCCGCCGATTATTTGAGGGCAAGGTTTATTACTTGGGATAAGCGATCTAGATCGATTAGAGATAGAGAAATAAATTTCATAAGATGCAACCAAAGGTTGGGGAGATGCAACGTCGCATCTCGTCTTGTTGTCCAGAATGTGTTTGATCTTGAGCATAGGAAGGTACGTATGTAAGCGCCAAGATCTTCACCTTTGTGGCACCTTACTTTTAACCGAACCCCGCATACTCTACCTGCACCTGACTGTTTACAGGACGTCATGCCTGCCTCTATATCTACATCTTCTACGATAGTCTGGCAATCCTTTTGTCAAGCTCGATTTATGTATCTTTTTTGAATGCTTGACTAATTTCCGAAAATGGCCACCAGCACTGCATATGTCCAACGTGAACGCGATGGCAAACAAGTCCTACTCAAGGACGATGTTCAATTGCCCTCACGCGAAGCACACCAGAGCCTTGTAAAAGTGCAATATGTAGCTCAGAATCCCACTGATGGTATATACTGCAACCAGCTTGCGAATTCATCGCATTTCACTAACCCTAAAGCAGTCCAAACACTCGACAGCAATGCATTCGGCGACGGCACAGTCCTTGGCTGTGACTTTGTAGGCACCGTTGAAGAAACTGGCAAAGATGCAANNAAAAAACTCAGCAAGGGGGATGTTATTGCTGGTCTTATATGGGGAGGAGAGACCAAAGGTCTAGGTGCTTACGGAACCCACACCTTTGCTGATGATCGCATCAGTTTCAAAGTTCCGAAAGGTGTAAAGTTGGAAGATGCAGCTACTGTTCCACTTGCCTCGTGTACTTCTTGGTTGGCCCTGTTCTCCAAAGATTGTTTGGCTATACCTAAGAAGGAAGCAAAGACGAGTATTTTGATTTGGGGCGGCAGTTGTAAGTTCAAGGACGAAAAGAAGCAGGAACGAACCACTGATTTCCTCCCAGCGAGTGTTGGATCCTATGCCATTCAAATCGCCGCTATGTATGGCTTCAACATCATCACTACTTGCAGCCCTCGAAACTTTGGTCTGGTCAAGAAATTCGGAGCCGCTCATGTTCTCGACTACAACAGCTCCGATGTTGTCGACAAGATCAAGGAGGTCGCTCCAGATCTAGAATATACATTCGACACGATTGGTTCCAAGGATTCCTCGACACAGGCATCCCAAGCAATCGCCTCTAAGNGGGGTGTATTGTGTACTGTGCGTCCTGGAAAGGCAAACACCGAGAACGTGGCCAAGCACGTAAAGGTTACAGATGTCTTGGTCTGGACGGCATTCCTCAAAGACCACCAGTACAAGGATTTTCACTGGCCAGTAAGCTGCATCAATGTATAGAGTATGTGCAGGGAAGCATGACTGATTGATCTCTTTGCAGNNGCTTCTATCAATGACCATGAACTCTCTGCTGAACTCTTCGAAAAGCTTCCTACCTGGTTGGAGCAGGGCAAGATCAAACCTAACAACGTCAAATTGTTTGACAGTCTCGACTCTATCCACGAAGGATTTGATATGCACCGCCAGGGCAAGATTTCGTCCTTCAAAATTGTGTATAAAATCTAGCTGAGCAAACTGGTATCAGCTGTTATCACTCAGAACTAAATTAGGAAAATGATTCAAGATGTTGTGGTGTTAGCGAGAATTCCTAGTCTTGTTGTCGTTTAAGTCTCCCGCAGAAGAGAGTCTCAAGAAAAACGCAGATGTTACATGGAACCAGTCTGTTCCTGATACATGACGTGAATGAGATCAGAGGCCGCTTGTGGCACCTTCACTTGGTCGTTCTTTCCAACGACAATCTCTCTAGGGCTCTGAAATGAATCACAATAATGAATGTCACATCGAGATGAGAAAAGTAAGACAGATATAGATATCATTACAACCGTATGTGCATAGAGCATTCCTCATACTAGTATATAGAATGTGAGTAGAGCCGAGCATAGCGAGCGACAACAAAACAAGATCTACTCTCAAGCATCCATCAAGAGCGAAAGGCTAGATCTCGCCCAACGGACGGGGATCGTTTTACATGCCAGTGGCTCCCACAGGGAAGGTGACGTTCTTGTAACCTCCAGTGTTCATAATGTCAATAGCGGCAATCTTCTCGCCACCCATCTTCTCGCTGTTCATGGGGTGGTCGCCTCCATCCATGAGACCAAGCTCGGTGTAGATTCTGTCGAGTCTGGCGCGGTCGTCGGCGGCGTTACCAGCCTCGTCACCGAAGACCTCATCCATCTCTTCCAGGGTAAGGCCCTTGGTCTCAGGAACCATGAAGAAAATGAAGGCGGCGGCAAGGAAACAGATGATTCCGAAGAAGATAAAGGTGCCGTAATTCATGGAAGCAACCATGTCGGGAGTTGCTTGTCCAATGGCGAAGTTGTTCAGCCAGTTTGACGAGGCACCGATGGAGATACCCTTAGCTCTGACACCAAGAGGGAAGACTTCGGCGACGAGGACCCATGCACCAGGCTAAAAGATTGTCAGCACATGTCAAGTCGTAGAGAACAGTATTCGAGGTTCAAACTTACTCCCNCAAGAGTATCCGAAGTTGATCTCGTAAATCCAAACGAAGACGACGGCGACCCAACCAGCGGCAGCATGGCCCTTCCATTCAGTGGGTCCAAAGGAGCCGTACAGAGCAGCGACGATAATGTGTGAGATACCCATACCGAGGGCACCAGCGATCAGAACCGGCTTGCGACCGAGTTGATCAATGTAGAGGACGGCAGGGATGGTGGCAAGCATGAGCAAGATACCACCAACACCACTGGCCAGGAGCGATGTTGTGTTGCCAGTCAAACCCAAGTCCTGGAAGATGAAAGCGGCGTAGTACAGAATGGCGTTGATACCAGACCCTACATATGAAAGTCAGTGAAAGTAACGTCAATGAAGTACGATGGGGACTGACATNTGCTGGAAGACCATGGTGAAGATGGCGACGAAGACTCTCTTGCGGAGGGACTTGTTGGTGAACAGAGAAGCGTAATCGTAGAATCCGAGCTTCAAGTTGTCCATGAAGCTTCCAGACTGGAATTGAGGGAACTTGGCCCTTGATCTGTCGACCTCGAACATGTGCTGGGCCTTGATCTCAAGGAATTCAAGTTGTACGATCTCGCTGTCTCTGGGTGCTCTTCTGATCTCGGCAAGAACACCCAAAGCCTCATCCTCACGATCTCTGGTTACGAGCCAGCGGGGACTATCAATTCGTCAGCACACTAGATTCACCAAAGTTTCTAGGCCGTCTCACCTTTGTGGGAGCCACATGATACCAATGCCGAGGATGAGGGCAGGCAAGAGCTGGATACAGATAGGAACCAACCATGCAGCGTTGGACTGACCGGCACCGGTGCCACCAATGTAGTTTGTTCCGTATCCNTAGATGGACAGGTTAGGGGTCTGAGATTGTGAGATCGATTCAAGGGACATACCGATCCAGTAACTGATCATAATACCAGTACAGATAGCAAGTTGTTGAAGCGAGACAAGCGAACCTCTGATTTCGGCAGGTGCGAGTTCGGCGTTGTAGNNCTATAGCGAGAGTCAGCAAGACGGCCACGTATGAGAAGCTTTCAGTACTGACAGAGGAACGATCATGGACAGAATACCAACACCGAGACCAGTAACGAAACGACCACCGTAGATGTAGTCGGCATTCTTGGCGCATGCTTGGACGATGACACCGACCATGAAGATGACCACACCAATCTGAGTGGCAACTTTACGACCAAACTTGTCGGCGTTGTATCCGTTGATCAAGACACCAACCCATGCTCCGAGTTCGAGAATACTGCTTGAATTAGCAAGATATGAATTTGAGTATGCTGGAGGAACCTACGCAGTCAGGAGACCTCTGGTGGTAGTGTTNTTGATAGACTCTGGGTTTACTGTTGCCTTGAAGGAGGTCATGTTCAGGACCTGACCGAACATTCCTTGGTTGTCTGGAAGGTATGATCAGCACAAGCGCGCATCAATATCAACAAATGCACTTACANNTCCATAGACGAAACCACCGAGCGAAGCAAAGACAGCAAGAGCGAAAATCTTGGAGTTCTGAATAAGACCTTTGACACCTGATGGACCAGCGAACTGGGCTCGTCGCTTGGACAAGGCATCGTGGCCTCCACTTGAGCCTCCGGTATGCATGTTGAAGAAGAGGACTGATGGATTATCTCAAGACGTTAATGATAGTCGTACGAAAGTCGATCTTGTCTGGGGGATGTGGAGAGACTCCACAGGTCTTATACTCGAGCAAAGACTGGAGAAGAGCCAGGTACATGGATCTACGGCACTTGTAGCATGATCAAAGGCTAGTGTATGTACGGAGTACAGGTGAGAACAATTAGCCGCCAGAGTACTCCATGCATGTGACTAGTATACATTTGGATTTAGCCGCCAATTGCGAGCCTACTCTTACTGCTTTCAGGACATGGAGGTCTCGACGTACGCGGGGACTGATGCGGAGGAGCGCGGAGGTGTGTGGAGCCACGGGTTGGAGTACCTATCATGTGCATCGGGTTGGCCGTCTAAGGGAGCATGATACAGGCTCAGTCGATTTAGCCTGAGCGTTTCTTAGAAGGAATATCGTGAACTGCAATCGGGATATGCGGAAGTCATCTTCGGACGGGCACGAGACAGGCTAGACATTCGAAAATCGTGCTTGTCATGAGTCTAGTGACGGGTATGATCATGACCAGAGTAGGCATTCAGTTATGCGAAAGGTCAAGATGAAGCCATAAACTGCCAGACAAGGAATGCCGATAACGTTGCCCGGCCAAGCTTTGGTGGCTTCAGCATGTGGAAGCAAGCCTCATAAGCCTTCCGCCCTTGGAGCCTGAGCGACGATTGCGCCGTCAATATGGTAGACGCACCACACTCAAGATAGCATAGTGATGGGCCTCAGCGCGCGAGACACCTGATGGGACGTTACTGAATGTGGGTTCCGAGTTATCCAGATCTCCGTGTATTGGATACCTTCACCCGCGCGGCTTGGGTGATGTGACACGACTGCACGAACACGTTCTGGACGGTGGATTCCCTGCCGCAACATGTTGGTTGCGGAGCCGCTGTATCGGCTGTTCTCCTGGAAATTGCTCGAGCCTCGCATGTGGCAAGTAAAAATCATCAACCGAACGATCGAGGCAGCAGCAGTGTTGCTGCAAAGCTCTTCGAGACCAGAGAATTACAGGCGGGAACTTTTGCTTATGCAACTCGAACGTGGATTGACGCTTCCGCCACTGAGTCACGCCATTATTTGCAAAATTCGCTGCACCATGACAGGTTACTTGACGGTGTATAACCAACCAGGACACAGAAATATTTTGCTATTCGTTTGTCGTCTGGGATCTACTTCGCTGGACCTGATCAGATTCTGCTAGGGAGACCCTGACTTCGCTCTAGTACACCAGTCCCGTATGGCCGATGGCGAAAAACGACTTTGGCTATGGGTCTTACTGGTCTGAAGATCATTGATGAAGGACGCATCAGTATGATGTGGTTTTCGACAGTTGACGTTGTGTGTGCGGTCCCTTGGACAATACCTACTTGGACCCAGTGCTGTTACACGTACTTCGACCCCAAAATGACTCCCTAGTTTGCTGATCATTGTACACGCAACCTTCGCATGCATTTCTATCGTTCGTTTTTTATCGAGAATACTGTAGATCAGACCTGCAATTCTACATCTCCAACCTCGAAAGCGCTTTCACGACCATATTAAATCCGTGTGTCCAATAAACAACCATCTGTCCGTCCGCTACCCGTTTCAAATCGATGTCCTCATCAATACTCTCAACGTCCACACCAATTCTCTGCAGCGTTTCTGATAATTCGCGTTGACTGCTTCCCATGGGATCGTCCCTGATACAGATGCCCACGTCTGCAGCAAGTAACGCTTCGAGATCGGTGGCGGAATCTCCGATGTAGACCACGAGATCATCCTGCTGTTCTGATAATGCTTTCGTCAAGGGACACATATCAAGCTTCCGCTGGCATCGAAGGGGCAGATGAGATAGTTTGTCTGCGGAAGTACGAATACCAGTGTCGGAATCTTTGGACAGTCTACCGTCACTTCCTTGTGCAGACTCGAGGTCGGAGATCTCGTTTGCCTCGATATTCATGTCCGTGACATATGAGTACAATGCCTCTCTCTCCGGAGATGTAAGTCTTGAGGATGCGGAGAGGAGAGATTGGCGGATGAAGCGTGCACTCCAGTTCACACTTAGGATGCTGATCTTATTGGACGGGCTGGAGAGCAGAGTTTGGAACAGCGAATCCCAATCGCTGCGGAGCTGTAAGTCATCATTGCTGACAGAGGAAGCAGCGACATGGTCGACATGGCTAGCCTTGACACTTTTGAAAATGCGACTAGATTCGACGCGCTGGACGCTTTTGTTTTCGATGGGTGTCAGACTGGCTAACCATTGTCGTTCTTGATCGATCGAGGTTCTAGCAGATGAGATGGGCTCATAGCGAGATGCGTGCTCGGTATAGTCGTTCATATATCCATTTACAAAGTCTGACCATGGTGGTAGGGATTTTGAGGAGTTGGCGTGATATGCTATACTGCCAACCAACGAGAGGGTATCTTTACGGGTTAGGGTGCCATCCCAATCCAAGATTAAGTGAACTGGTCGTGGTAACTTCATAACTTTGATTGTTGGCGTGTCGAGATGTAGGATAGAAAGTGATGTTGATATAAGTCTATATCCTTCTTGGCTTGTGTCGAAAGCCGCATAATTTAGACTTTGTCTGGCATAATCACAAATGGCTACAAAAGGCTGAGGCTCTTATGAAACTGGCATAAGTGCTCATATGAGGCCTATGTAATAGTACGAGTAGGTGCTACAAGTGACCTAAAGCTGGATGCATGATATGCGAACGCAGATTGAATGCATAATGCACAAGTATGCGTGGGTGCACAGACGTTGATCGCATGGCTAGTGAGCGTCATGGAAAGGGTTTTGGGCGGCGGGGCGCACCCGGTTGCGGCGCTTGAGCCTCATCCATTTGATTTGATAAGAGAGCGAAGGCAAGGCATCATGACACATGCTGTAATGACAATACACGTCCAGGGTCTGGGGAAGAGCGAGTGGCCGTCCAACTTGACGTAATCTTTCTGATGCCCTCCGCCGTTCCTAAACCTCGCATGCCAAAGGTGCAGGACATCATGGCATCAACCCCCTCGCTCGACGTTTCCAAGCACACCAAATACTTCCTCCGCACCCTCAAGACTTTCCTGCCGACGGCCTACCAGAGCAATGACAGCAATCGCATGTCCCTCGCCTTCTTCATCCTTAGCGGCTTGGATTTGCTAGGCACCCTGCACAAAAACACAACCCAAGAGCAGAGGAAAGACTACATCGACTGGATCTACAGCAACCAGCACCCCAAGGGCGGCTTCCGCGCCTTCCCTGGTGCAAACCTTGGAGACGCATCCACCGACGACAACCAACACTGGGACCCCGCGAACCTACCCGCTACCTTCTTTGCCCTGTGTTCGCTGCTCATTCTGGACGACGACTTGAACAGAGTCAAGAGGAGGGAATGTTTACAATGGCTCACGCGACTCCAAAGACCCGATGGTAGTTTTGGTGAAACGCTTGTCAAGGACACCATCAACGGTGGCACAGACTCGAGATTCGGATACTGTGCCACAGGTGTACGCTACATCCTACGAGGAACCTATCAGGNNGGTGAAATAGAGGGCTGTCCAGACATCGACGTCGAAAGCTTCGTGTCGTGTATACGCACTTCCGAGGTGAATACATACGAGAACCACGTCATTCTGCCCATGCTAACATTGAGTGCCAACCCAGNNACATACGACGGCGGCATTTCAGACGCACCCTTCCATGAAGCCCACGCCGGCTTCACCTACTGCGCTATCGGTGCTCTCAGCAACATAGACCGTCTCCCGTCACAACCCTATTCCGCCGTCTCCACCGCTTCCTCGCCAGAAGCCTCCCTCACCAACCCCTCGCTACTTATAAAATGGCTGGTCTCGCGCCAGACCGCAACTATAAGCGAAGATGACGAACTAGACACCTACGGTGATGAAACAGACACACCGGAGACCTGTCACGATGCCCACAGCTTCGTCTACCAAGACAAGTTCGTGAGCAAACAAGGGAAAATGAACTATGAAGGCCGACCGAGCGTCCACTTCAGTTTGGAGTGGACAGGCTTCAACGGCCGCTGCAATAAGATCGCAGATACTTGCTATGCCTTCTGGGTACACGGCTCACTATGCGTACGTCTCTGAGTATCATACACTCGCAAACGAGAATAAAAGGCTAACACAATAAAAACAGNNATACTCAACCAACCCCAACTTCCTAACGTAGAATCAGCTCGCCGTTGGCTGCTCGAAAGGACAGTCCATCCACAACTTGGCGGATTCGGCAAGGTCGCTGGCGATTTGCCGGATGTCTATCACTCATATCTTGGTCTTGCCACGTTGAGTCTGTTTGGCGAAGAGGAACTAAAACCTCTGGATCCAGGGTTGTGTATCAGTAAAGAAGCTAAAGGCAGACTCAAGGGTATTTGGAAGCGATGGGGCATTGAACAATGATCAGTGCGTTGCTTCTCTGACGTGTCTGTGGTCTTCTTTTCTTGTATACCCACATGCCCATTTAGTTTGTCCTATCTTTGAAACATAATTGTTCTCAGAAGCGCGGCTTAGACATATATATCTCGCATTGCAGGAGCATGGTCGTCATCACACAGATGCATTTCCTTGTCAAGCTTTCATTATCACGTACTACCCCAGAAATATCTAGAGACACCGACGTATCTTGCCCAGAGGAATGCTCCGCCCCAGACCGCCGTGTCCAGCGTAAACTCCAATGCCAGACACAAGCCTATCTTGTTCATTCTCGCCATCCTTGATGCTGCCAACAGTGGCACCAGACCTGCGGATCTGCCATGCTCAACACTAGTCCTTGCTGCTGAGCTCGAGGAAAACGCCGATGAGAGTGATGTAAGATGCATCGTGTCGAGGGGTAGTAAGATTATAGACCAGAAGAGGTAATCAAGGTTCAAGGCTAGAAGATTGGAGGACAGAGTTGAGAGTTCGGTGACACGGTGTCGTGTGGCAGTGCGATGTTGTGGCTTTTCTGTCCTTGTCTCTTGATTGCGTACACTCAACTCTTGTGTCAAGTCTCGTGTCTCCTTCTCTGCTACAGAAGGGACTGACGCCCAGCCCAGAGATTGCAACAGCTTGTCCCGAAGTCGTGAAAATGGTGTTAGATAGCTGGACTCGGCATCGTTCGTCTGCGATGGGCAGGTAGAGTTGTGAGGACCCAAGATACAGTTGTATTCGAACAACGGAACATGGCCATATGCTGAGGCGGCAGAGTGTTGGAGCAAAGCCATGACTAACCACATCCCTGCTGGCGAAGCCACCAAACCTAGGACTTTAGATCCTCGTATTGGCTCTTGATTTAGCAAAGCCCAATGGACAGGCGATGCAGAACTCCAAGGTGCCAGCCAGGATGTTGGAGGCAAGAGGGGTTTCGAGGATATGAGGCCTAATTGTTGCAGACATGAGAAGGAAGCTAGAGGGTAAACTGAAAGGTGGAGCAAGGCATTGATGGCCTTGTAACTGTAGTTTACGCATCGTAGCAGCAGAAACCGCTTCCTGGTGCTTGATTTCAGCCGGATGATCTTCTTGCTGGTCTTCAAGACTTGTTCGCCCAGATACCAGTCAACAAAGGTTATGATGAGTTGAGATGTGACTTCTGCCAGTCCGCCGACTGTGAGGAATCGAATAGCACCGATGAATCCATCGCTGGTCAACGATGCCCACTCGGCTGACAGGATGTCCAAGAAACTGAGGTCAGATGAGACAAGACCGACTTGTAACCTTCTCCTCAGGCCCAGAAGCCACCACTCCAAGACATTTCTCGAAGTCTCTGCAGTCATGCGGATGAGTTCACCATAATCGTCTTCGCCATCCTTGATGATTTTCCATTCTTCGTCGGAGAAATGGACTCGATATTCACCATCGGGTAGTTCCTCACTCATACGGTCGATAAGCTTGTCTTTCTTTTCGCATACACCCACAGCCGCCAGCACCTCGTTCTTAGCTGCTATCATGGCTTCATTGTGGCGTTTGGTGGCTATGCTGATGGGTTCACCTCTGGCATTGTATTGCTGCTCATCGGATCTCATTGACTGAGGAGCTGGTTCTGAAGTTATTTGTGGTGCTTCGTACATCGACCGACCCTTAGATGAACACCGTTAGTCATTGTGATTGTTTAGTTTGTAGACCACATTGAGATGTTTAAGAGTTTTATGATAGAACAATTGTTTATTAGAACTCCGCAGGAAACTGAAAAGACCCTCGCCTTTTGTGATGTTATGCAAAATTCGAACTCACCAAGGCCATGCGAGCGAGAAATGCATTTCGACTCATGCTTCACAACGCTATGGGTTATTTGTTATGTGGGAAATCGTGTTCAAATCGAGTCGTACGACACAGATTTGATGACACTCAATACATCAAGTTTATGGTAGACACGTCGGGTGAGATATAGAGAAAATATATCTGATAATGTAAGAGTTGAGTGCAATATGCATGAATGGAGAAGGAAGAAGTCGAGATGTTGCTTGCCCAAAGCAGAAGGCGGTCAAGGCAGATGGCCCGGAAGCCACGCCCGGGCCATCTGTCTTCGAGCAGCGGGCAAAAAAGTTTCTAGGAAGTCGCATTTTGCTGCAGCAGAAGGCGTAACTTCACAGTCACGCCAACAATGTCGAGTTTCTTCACCAAGCCCGCCTCTCTGAAGAGAAAGAGACCCGAAGGCGGTGCACCACGACCTCAGCGCACAAACGATCGCTCAAATGCACGACCGACCAAGCGAAGAGAAACCCGCGACGATTCTGTGTCTGGCAGCGATTTTGACGACGACGACGATGTAGGCCCTCGTCCACCTGCCGACTCTGACGATGAGTCTTCGGAATCAGAGTTTGAGGGCGAGGATGCGGCAGGAAGAAGAACACGGCTGGCAGAACGATACCTCGAAAACACGCGACAACAAATCATTTCCGAAGGCTTCGACGCAAAGGATATCGATGCGGAGCTATTGGCTGAGCGCATGGGCGAGCGCTTGAAGGAAGATTCAGCAGAGAGCAAGGGAAAAATCTATCGCTGGATTGCAGACGACTACGACTACCAGAACGCTCTCCACTCGCAGTTCCGTGCAGACTCGCAGACGCTGACTGGCGTGGCCACATGCGCTCCTTACATTTACACCGTCTCCAAGGACATGACTCTGATCAAGTGGGAGATGCCACAGAAGATCGATGCTTCATCCAAACACACGCAACCTACGAAACCTAAGAAGCTCATCTACACACGCGGTAACGGANAAAGAGAGGACGATTTCGACTTCAAGCATCACACCGACGCTATTCTATGTGTGGCCGCCTCAACAGACGGCAAGTTCGTAGCGACGGGTGGCAGAGACAGAAAGCTCATCGTCTGGGATGCCGCAACACTCACACCCTTGAAATTCTTCCACCACCACAGAGACGCTGTCACATCTCTTTGCTTCCGTCGCACAACAAACCAACTTTACTCGGCCAGCAAGGACAGGACAATCAAGCTTTGGAGTTTGGACGAGCTGGCCTACGTCGAAACACTCTTTGGTCACCAAGACGAGGTCACCGATGTTGCTGCTCTCAACCAAGAGCTGTGCGTTACAGTAGGCGCTAGAGACAGAACAGCAAGATACTGGAGAGTTGTTGAAGAGAGTCAACTTGTCTTCCGTGGTGGCGGTAGCGGTGCATCATCCAAGCAAAGAAGGGAGAACGCTGCAGCCGGTATTCCTCAACCACGAGAGTTCCACGAAGGTTCCATCGACAGAGTGACCATGGTCGACGACGAAACTTTCGTTACTGGCTCCGACAACGGCACCCTCTCGCTCTGGAACATTCAANAGAAGAAGTCTGTCTTCACTTTACCCCTTGCACATGGTCTTGATCCGCCACCAAACCCTGAAGATGTTAGTGCAGAAGCCGATCCTTCAGCAGACGCCAGCGTATACACCGAGCCCCAGCCTAGATGGATCACCGCACTTGCCTGCGTACCATTTAGTAATATCATCATCAGCGGCAGTTGGGACGGCCAGCTTAGAGCATGGAAGATTAGCGAAGACAAGAGGAGGTTGGAAGCTCTAGGCCCTATCGGCTGCGTCGAGGACAACCAACTCATTGATGGAGAAGCAATGTACATGGACGACTCAATACACGCTGTGCCAGAGTCGAACAAGACAGTCAAGGGAGTCATCAACGACCTTGCGGTGTTTGAACGCGGTGACAGGGGCAAGGATGGCCTGGCAATCGTTGCAGCTGTCGGCAAAGAGCACAAGCTTGGACGATGGATGCAGAACGCTGGAAAGAATCATGCCATGCTATTCCGCGTATCCAAGAAGGTGACCGAGAATGGGACGATAGAGGAAGCTGAGGGATCAGAGGATGAGTGATGTATTGCATAAAAAGCGTTTCGTACAATTTCCATATACCCTTCTTGGTCTGTTCAAAGGAAGAAGCATTTTCTTCGATCAGGATCTACCATTTCGTCTTGTTGTCAAGGAGTGTTGCACAAAAGAAGTGGTGGAGGTATTTCTGCAAAAGCATCTCACGTGCATGCGATAGAAGCTTGCACACAGGTTGTACAGCTGCTTTGTTACAACAGTTGCATAGGATTTGATAGACCCACCATGAGTATGTGAACAGACAGCCTGGCGGCACTGGCACACAAGCAGAAATTTGAGGGTACGAGACGATGAGAGTAAAAATTTTCATGATTTTGATTGATGAGATGTGCTTAAAAAATTGATATGTACTCCTTCTTGGACACCGAGACTCACAGCCCTAAGTTAATAAGACCATTACGAGAATCAGCTTCCTAAATCCAGAGAGTTATTCTCCAAAGCCACGCCTCTCTGCCCGAAGACAGAGAGACTGGCAACTCAAACGCCGTGTAGGAAATGTTAGTGAGGGTGGTATTGCCTTGCAAGCAAGGGTTCCAGAGCTCGACATAGGCGCCGGTCGTGGCAGGCTTTGTTGTTTTGATCAGCAGGAGGAAGAGGGTGGTAGGGAAGGCACGGCTTTTATGCTTGCGAGGAAGAAGCGATGCTTGGCATTGATTATGTCAGCAACTATGGGTCTCTGGGTCGGATTCAAGACGGTGATAGAAGTGATAAGAGGCAGAAGTCAGGGTCCGAGGCTCGAAGGCCTATCGGGGGACCCCGATGGTTCGTTAGTCGCTACTCGCCGCCTTCGAGACTGTTGGTCTTGTAGTCTGTGTTTAGAACCTTGTCTGTTGTCCTCATGATTTACTCTGATCTGTACACTGGGCAGAAGACTGTGGTCACAGTCGATGACTTTGGGTGAAGATGGACGCCTTTGCCAACATGGACGCTACACAATACAATGCCTATATCGAGCACATGAGGCAGACTGAATATCCCATGCTCANNAAGGTACATCACTCTTGTGTCTTGCGACGGAATCGCGTCTAACGAATCCAAGGTGCAACATATCTTGACCATGCAGGAACGACTCTGTACAGCAAATCGCTGCTTGATGCCTTTACAGCCGACATGCTGGGAAACCTGTATGGCAATCCACACTCTGCCTCGCAGGCTTCACAACGATCTACCCACCAAGTTCAAGATGTTCGACTACAACTTCTGCGTTTCTTCGATGCCAATCCCGACGACTTTGATCTGGTCTTTGTCGCCAATGCCACCGCAGGCATCAAATTGGTCGCTGATGCTCTTCGCGAACACGAGTCAGGCTTTTGGTACGGTTACCACAGAGATGCGCATACCAGCCTTGTTGGTGTGCGGGAACTGGCACAAGGACATCGCTGTTTTGCTGGAGACAAAGATGTCGAAGATTGGATTGAACAAGGGGGACAAGATACACAAACTCGCCTCGGACTCTTCGCCTACCCTGCCCAGTCCAACATGAATGGCCGCCGTCTGCCACTCGATTGGTGTCGCCGAGTCCGAAACAACGGAACGCTCACTCTCCTGGATGCTGCTGCACTTGTCTCGACTTCTCCTTTATACCTGGCCGACCTTGACACAGCCCCTGACTTTACAGTTCTCAGCTTGTACAAGATATTTGGCTTCCCGGATCTTGGTGCTTTGATCGTTCGTAAAGACGCGGCATGGGCTTTGCAGAAGAGAAGATATTTTGGTGGCGGCACAGTTGACATGGTCGTGTCGTTAAAGGAGCAATGGCATGCTGTCAAGTCTGCTCATCTGCATGAGCAGTTCGAGGATGGCACTCTGCCCATACACAGTATCATCGCCATGAAGTCTGCTATGAAGGTTCACCACGACTTGTTTGGCACGTTGGAACGTATATCTGAACACACATCTTTCCTCGCCGAACGCCTATATTCTTCTCTGAAATCATTGCGCTATAGCAACGACGAACCAGTGTGCCAAATCTACAAAGACACTACTTCCACATATGGCGAAAAAAGCACGCAAGGTCCAGTCGTTGCCTTAAACCTTTGCGATGCCAGAGGTCAGATGGTTAGCAATCTAGAAGTGGAAAAGCTGGCCCATGTCCGCAATATCAACATTCGTACTGGTGGTCTTTGCAATCCTGGAGGAATCCAATCCGCACTCAACTTGTCACCATGGCAAATGAAGCAGAATTTCTCTTCCGGTCGGCGCTGTGGATCTGAGAACGACGATGTTATCAACGGACAGCCTACTGGCATGATACGAGCAAGTTTGGGTGCCATGTCTACCACAAAAGACGTCGATACCTTCGTGTCCTTCGTCAAAGAGTTCTTCCTCGATATGACAAATACGCCATTTGATCGAACCGACTCTCCTATCTTGTCGTTAGAGGTCCCAATGCCAGAACAATTACACATCGAGAGCCTGACTGTGTATCCAATAAAAAGCTGTGCCGGCTGGCAAGTTCCTACTAATACTTCATGGGAAGTGCAACCACAAGGCCTGGCATGGGACCGTGAGTGGTGCATTATACACAGTGGAACCTCTGTCGCACTTTCGCAAAAGAAGTATCCACGCATGGCACTCCTCCGCCCCACACTAGACTTCTCTGCTGGACTTCTACGTATTACCTGTGCAGTCCCCGTTAAAGACACATCACAAACAGAAATCAGCGTCCCACTCTCTGCCGACCCACGCTGCTTTACACCTTCAAGCAAAACCTCCACACCAACAAACGTCTGCGGCGACAACGTAGCAGCAAGAATCTACGCCTGTCCCAAAATCTCCTCATTCCTGTCTTCTGTGCTAGGTGTACCTTGCACCCTCGCTCGTTTTCCTGCAACATCCGCTTCCAGACACGCCAAAGCACACCTCTCCACCCCCAACAACACCACCAAATCCCCAACACCACTAGCATTCTCCAACGAAAGCCCCGTCCTCTGCATATCCAGAATGTCAGTAAACGCACTCAACAAAACCATAAAAGCANAAGGAGGACCCGCAGTCCCTGCATCTAGTTTCCGTGCTAACATTGTTGTTTCGCAACCTTTGCATCTGCCTCCTGGTACGGAAACACCGTATGTGGAAGACACGTGGACAAGCCTTTCCATCACGGCAAAGAAAGGGTATGCACAGCAGAGTGTCAACACAAAAGCAGACTTCAAGGTTTTGGGAAAGTGTAGGAGGTGTCATATGTTATGTGTTGATCAAAGGACGGCAGAAACCAGACAGGAGCCTTTTGTCACATTGGCAAAAACGAGGCGAGAAGATGGAAAAGTGTGGTTCGGTGTGCATCTAGCTCTGAACAAAGGAGAAAAGAACGGGTGGGTCAGGGTCGGTGATCAAGTCACCACTATGTAAAGCATCCTATGCAGATGTAGCCCTTCTCCATTCCGAGTATAAAGATCATTGTAAGCTATCGAAATGCATAGTTGCAACTCGAGTATGAGGCTGGTCACTGAAATGGCCTTCCATTGGTGGATATTGCATTGTTTACAAAAGGATTGTGCATTTCTGTAGGCTACACTGTGACTGTCTTTGGCGAATAGGGGGTGGAAATCCATGACAGAGGTTTAAACAACAGAAAGAAAATAAAAGTGCATAGTCATTGAATGGCGTGTGGTATCATACTAACAAAAACAAAAAAACAACCCCGTTCGCTGGCAGATGCAAGTCTGAACGCAGTCCTCAATTGTAAACAATGCAAAAGGAAAAGAAGAAGGAACCATCCGCATCAAATATCATCTTCACCAAACAGTGAGACGTTGAAGAATTTTCATGGCCGTGAATCCGACCATGTTGCTGATGTAGCCTGGAGAGGATAGCGTGCGTGACTACCAGATGCTCGATGGGCTTTTAGAAATTATCTAGGGTCGGGGATTGTAGGTGTATAGGTCACGTAAGGCGGTACGTAGGTAGCGGGTAGAACGTCGTGAGTGGAGAGATGGTCTGAGAGAGCGTCGCGAATCGGAGCTTCGTAGAGACGGTCTTTTCGAGAACCACGAGCGCACTGATTGTGGTCTAGAACTGATCGAGGAGCTGTCGTTTGCTGGTGCGGAACGTCCTCGCAGATCTTTCTAGGACCGACGGAGACGTCTCAGAGAGCGTCCCCGCTAAGAAGCTCCCGGAGGAGCATTGCTCCCTCCACTGCCACCACCGAAGGCGTCTCTCATGCGAGCCCACGCAGAGGTACCGGCCCCAGAAGCAGTGCCTGAAGCGGATGTAGCATTGTTGGTGGTGCGAGGACGATCAGGGCTTTCGACATTAATAGGATCATCTCTGGTGCCTTCGCCTTGACCCCAAGTTCGGTCGTTTCTCGCAGCCTGGCCAGGTTCTCTAGGTCTTATTGCGTCCTCGGGACCATCTCTGGGCATGATACCCTGCCTGCAGTGAGGGCATGTGTCGTGCTCACCCAGCCAGGCCTTGATACAGTCGGGGTGGAACCAATGAGTGCAGGGTAGGCAGGTGACTTGAGTTCCGATTGGAGCCTCGTCCATGCAGATGGAACAGTCAGCCTTTCCGGTTGTTTCGTCCAAATCTTCCTTGGTGATGGCTTTCTGCGGCAGAGAGGCAATGGCTTCGGCCGAAGCAGGGCCTGGGGCGTTGGATTGATTCTGCTCCATGAGCTGAGATATTATCCGATCCAGAGCTTCTTGACTGTAGACGGCATCACCGTGTTGCATGTTGGCAGGGTTGAAGAGGGTGTTCAACAAGTTACCAAAGCCATGTGGCTCGAAGTTGGGCTCGGGACCGGCGCCTCGTGGAGGAGCGTGAAACATTTGGTTGAGTATGCCCGGTAGGTTATCAATGGCCGGGGCACGGGCTTGTGGACTGTTGGCATCACGAGGACCGAGACGAGTTGTGGCCGTGTACTGGAAGTTGGGACCACCGCCAGTGAAGACGCGCACATTGGGGTCGCCATCAGGAGATTGTGTTGCAGCATCGCGGGTAGCGGGATGTGGTTGGCGTGCGACTCCACCAATGATTTGGTTCAACATTCTGAGGATGGCATCGGGTGCTTGTCCATTCTGCGGAGGAGCAGGTGAGGCAGGACCACGGGAGTTGTTGTTGTTGTTAGAAGAGAAAGTGTGGCTGAAACTCATTGAGATGCCACCTTGAGGATTGGTGCGGTATTGGAAGGTGGGAATGTCGCTCTCGTCGGGATCGGGGGCATCGAGGGGAGTGTTTGCCCATGGATTGTGGTCATTGAAAGGATGTGGCGGGGCTTGTTCTTCGGCATGGGCCTGTCTAGGGTCATGTTGTGCCTCGATCNNTGATCAGGACGTCAGCAAGAGGCGTTGGTGGACAGTGGACAGTGGGAGTGAGGCGCTGCTTACGATCTCTGTGAAGTCGGAATGGCAGTCTGGACATGTCAGGCCGCCCTCGTCTCGGAACCACTCGTTCTCGCACTCGTGGCAGAAAACCAAGTCTCGCTGCGAATCCATGATGGCCGATGGATGCTAGGACGCGAGACGCAGGCGTGTCGAGGTGGATGATTGTCGATGGCGAAGACAAAGATTGATCCGGAACTATGCGTTGCTGTGCATATGCAATGTCGTGTGGTGCAGTGTTTGTTGATCCGTCACTTTTTCCAATAGATCCAATGCCGGTTCTTAGGTGCGAGTATTGACTGAAGACAAAACGTGTGCCATCCAACAACAAGGCAATTGCTCTACCAACGATACTGTGACTGCGCTTTGTGCTGTTCCGAACATGACGCATTGTTTAGTCGTTGACGCCACACCTGCGCTACACCCGCGCTAACGCCACACACATGTGGCGTCTACACGTTTCCATGTGGCTGATTCGCCATCTCCTCGCTCTTCCATTGTCAACCTACCTCGTGACCGCACTTGGTTGAAGAACACACGCTGTTTTTCACATGGAAAGGTCATTCAACTCATGGTATACATCTGCAATGCAATAATCTAGTCTGTCTATGTGGAACTCAAGCGCCGGTTCCACCAGCCACCCGAAGGAGGCTGAGTTCACCAAGTTTCCGGTTTTCAACCAAACATGCAAAAGCAAATCTGAATACCAATTCATGTTTTTCTCCTTCGCTCTTTCCTAAGTCTCCATATTACCTGTGTGAACCAGGTCGTGATTTCCTACACGATGAAGTGGAGGTCAATGTTCAACCGCGACAATGACGGAGCGACACGCATGATTGACGAAGCCAGCGCTCTGCTACCATCCCACAGCGAACACATTCCCAGCGCTGTCCCTGCCAAAGAGGTCACCAAAATTGCCCTACGCCTCAAACACCAAATTGAGCAAGTCATCCCCTGCGAGCTTGAGGAGGACAGAATCACTGCCGCCCATTCCAATGTCATTACTCCAGCTGTTGTCGAAACCGCCCGCACTGCTGGCAAGTATGGACGATCCGGCTCTTCCGACAATGACTATTCTGCTTGTGTTGTCTTTTGCTTGCTGATTTGCAAGAAATGGTTCAAGCGACAGGCCCTACTGGAACTCTGGGATGCTGACATGCATGAAGTTCGTGCTGTTGCCTGTGAGGTGATCGCTAAGGCCATCATCGAATCCGAGGATGACGCCGGTTTCTTGCTGCAGGACATCCTTCTCAAGAGATATAGTATTGTCATCGACGGAGAAGAGACTGCTCCCAACAATGTCATCGAGAAGGCTGTCGACTTGCATGCTCTCAGAGTCATTGGAAGCTCAGGCTACCAGAAATGCATCACATATCTCTGGCGTGGTTGGTTGGTTCAAGATGAAGATGATCCAACTCGCTTCGTTGACTACAAGTTGAAGACTTCGACAAGTTACTGGGACCATCTCGATCCTGATCGTATGCGTGCTCCTCTCTACCAGAACGCTCTCCAGGTCTTCATCAGTCTGCTCTATCTCGGATTTTACACAGGCGCCATCAACACCATCAACCCTACTGGTGACCTTGATGTCATTGAAGGTCTGCTTTATATCTTCACCCTAGGTTTCGTCTGCGACGAGCTTGCCAAGTTCTGGAAGGTCGGCAAGTACTACTTCGGATTCTGGAACACCTTCAACAATACCTTGTATGCTCTGTTGACCGTCTCTTTCGTCACAAGAATGATTGCTCTCGGCCATCACATCGGAACAGAAGACAGACACAAGTTCAACGAGCTCAGCTACAACTTCCTGGCGTTCTCGGCGCCCATGTTCTGGTGCCGTCTTCTACTCTACTTTGACACTTTCCGCTTCTTCGGTACCATGCTCGTTGTTCTCAAGGTCATGATGAAGGAGTCCCTCATCTTCTTCGCCCTTCTGTTCTTCGTTAGTATCGGTTTCTTGCAAGCCTTCATCGGTCTGGATCAAGAAGACGGCAAACTGGATGCCACCAACTTTGTCGTTCAAGCCATGATCAACGCCGTTATGGGAAGTCCCGAATTCGACGGCTTCGACAACTTTGCTCCTCCTTTCGGCTTGATCCTCTACTACATCTTCACCTTCATTGTTATTGTCTTGTTGTTGAATATTCTGGTTGCTCTTTACAACAGTGCTTACGAAGATATCACCGAGCACTCTATTGACGAGTACATGGCTCTTTTCGCACAGAAGACTTGTCAGTTTGTGCGTGCTCCTGACGAGAACGTCTTTATTGCGCCTTTCAACTTGATTGAATTGGTCTTCTTGGTCTTGCCCTTCGAATGGTGGATGGACAAGGACACCTACGAGCGTCTCAACGACTACGTCATGGCCACCATCTACAGTCCTCTATTGGTCATCACTGCCGCTCTGGAAACAAGAATGGCCTACAAAGTGCGCTTCAACCGCAACAGAGGCGAGGTAGACGAAGATACCATCGAAGAGTGGGAGCAATTAGACGGCGAATTCGACTTTGAAGGCGATGGCTGGGCCAAGAAGTGCGAAGAGACCAAACCAAATGTTGAGGTTGATGGAACGCTTGTCGAAGTCAAGGCATTGAGAAAAGAAATTGAGGAGTTGAAGGAAATGCTGAGAAGTCCCAAGAACTGATGAATCATGCTCACTTTGTTGGAGTTTGCGGCTTCCTTTTGGCTTCTGCTCTCACAGGATGTATACAATGGCATACAAAGTACTCTGCATTTTGACATTCCAAGTTCTTGTTGTCTGCAGCGTTGAGAAAACTGGCTCTACGCCTGAACGACCGAGAACCAATCTGCCTCTCTTCATAAACATCTCCAGCTGTTTATTGCATTGTGATGAGAATCATGATATGTCGTGCTTAAGTGTTCCGTTGATCATGGTTGTTGTGGCTGGTTGTGGAACCGCATAGTTCCCATCACGTTGCTCAATCGACCACAAAGCGTGTGTGCCGACAATAAACAATCACAAAGATCGTACATGGAGAGATATGCTAGGAAACCTAGTACAGTCAGGGACGTGATGTCGAAACTACAGCAAACTGCAGCAAGAGAACAACCAATCAAAGGCAAAGACTCTGCTCCCCGTTACGTCGCATCAAAAATCGCCAACGATGTGTGCAGATAACCAACGATCATGACGCTCGATATGCAGAGATGTGGTCTGAAAGTGGTACGGTCATGGACGTGATGTCGAGACTTGATGACCATACACCGACTGGGCGAGCCAAACAGAATGGTAGTATCGGGGCAGAGCACAGTAACTCGAGGCGAATAGGGGTCAACAGAGTAACATTCCAACTCTGATAATTTGGATGGCAGAGTTGAGAGATGTATGGGCCACGAGTTTTATAGCAATGCTTTGCAGTCATTCATCTCGATTAGGTGAAAATGGTCTGTTGCTTCCAAGACAACCACGATGACATATTCAGCGTGGAAACGCTATAATACTGTGATTACCATTTAGCCGTTCTCTTCGTCATTTCATGAGCATTGTTTCATTCTCATCATCAGCCGTGACTTAGAAACCTCCAGCACCTCTGACTCTCTGCACAGCACCCACGATGCCCTTCGCCCAACTCATCTTTCCGGCATCCACACCAATGGCTCCTGGTGCCTGATTACCACCGGCATCACGCCAAATACCATCTACATTGCTAGCTTTGCCCAGCTTGCCAGTGTTCTGGTTTCTTTCGACACCCTCGCGCCACTTGCCGACAATTTCAGCACTGTCGACCATGATGTTGACTTCCTGGCTGTGGTACCAAGATTGCGTGTCTTGATTGCCATTGCCCATGATACCGAGATGTCCGTCTACAATCATGAGTTTGACGTGGCAGGAGCGCTGTTTGAAGCTGTCGTGGATAGGAGCGACCTGGTCCTTGGCGGTGTAGTAGTGGATGTTTAGGAGGTTACGTGCTGCGACTTCGTCCTTGGTGAGGGATGTGTACAGCTTGTTCGCTACGCCTTCATTATGACCTCCTTGGAAGGGAAGAAGCTCGCCTGCATCGTTGTAGCCCAGACATACGTAGTATGTCACTTCAACTCCGCGACGCACAGCGGCCAGAAGCTCGGGAAGTAGGGGTGCGGCGTTAAGATCGGGGGTTTGGATGAAGACATCGCGGGTGGCGTTGCGTACAGCAGACAGCCATGCCTCGTTCTGTGGCATGAACACGCCATTGTGGTTGGTTGCACCGTATGGTTTACGGTTAACAACTGCCATCGGAACGAGCTCATGCACCTTATGTGGGATGTAGGGTGTCATCTCCTCGCCTGGAGCATAGTCACCCTCGATCGTTGCCTTGACATCCAGACGCCGGCCACGATTTAGATGACGAGCTGCAACTTCCGGACCAGTCTCGCCATTTCGGGGTGACATGACAGATTGCATACGAGTCACCTCAGCTGCAATGTCTACATCATAGTGGGGATCTCCTGGAGCATGAAGTAGCAGTTCCTTACGTTTTCCGTCCTCTGCAACTTGATCCAGCGAACGACTGTTGCCGCGTTCCGGGACGTTAAGGTTGCCATTTGCGTCAAACATGCCACGGAAAGAGGGTTGGTCGAATGCTGGCAGACCACCTTGAGCTGCTGGTGTGTCGAATGATGGTAGAGGCGGGTCCAGCGGATTGTGCCAGGAGATCAAGAAAGTGTCGTACAGAGAGTCAACAATAGGGCCTTCGACATGGCACATCNNTGTCAAGAATGATTAGCCAGATCACAGTAGTATATCAGCGACAATCGAACTCACCATTTCCATATTTGAGTTATCTTGAATGTTGTTTGAGCTCACGATACCGATCTTCCTATCCACAACCATGAACTTGGAGTGGAAAGTGCCCAGCATCGGTCTGTGATAATTCAAGACTTGCATGTCAAGATGAGGAGCTTCTTGGACAGATGGCAGGCGGATGTTTTTGCCAGTGTACTCTTTNTCCAATACCGCTTGGTGGTTGTCCATAACCTGTATTCAACTTTAGAAGCTTTATTGATTGAGTATGTCGAGACTGTCACTCACCTGCTTGACGTTTCCTCTGTCATACATGATCTTCACGACTGCTCGTACGCCTCTTTCGCCGGCACGTCTCGAGAGCTCTTTAAGACTGTCAGTGATGAGTCGTGAAGCATCAGAGTCCATCCAGTAGTTTGTTGCAAGCAGAACCTCCTTGTCTGCTCTTGCGATTAGATTGGANCTATGAGCTTCATCAGTATCATGCAATTGACCGTTGGGAACTGTGCTGCACACCATATGTCTGCAGATATCAGGCAATCCCGAAACTATAGTCAAAGGGCATGTTCCTGTAGAGCCAATTAAGGAGGGACTGCAGCAACCCATGAGGGGATCATGTTCGAGTGGCATCAAGCTGTCATGGAACACGCGCAAGAACAACTCGCTTGGTGGTGTGGTGAACTTTCCGCATTGCAATGCGCGCTCGAGTTCCTCTCCAGTCGCGGGCTTTCGCACAGAAGGCACATGTCCCTCGCTAATTGAGATGTTATCAGGGTGGTAAAGCTTCTTTGCAGCTTCGCCAGGTGACAATGAGGGGTTCTCGGCAAGCGCCTGGGAGACACTATGAGGATTGCGGCAGAGGCCTTCGACCTTTTCAGACAGCGACATCTTTTCCGCGGTGATTGTTGATGAGAGGACGAGTGTAGAGAATGTGGCATTGAGAAAGGTAGCTCCAGGCAGGGCAGAGGGCACTACCCTCGTGTGGCTGACATTGTTCTATAAGAGCCAGACTTCAAGCCACAAACGATCCTACGACCGTAACTCACTGCTGACGCGGCCTCGCTTCTACATGTATTTGACATGGAACTGGCAGGCGCGCTTGGGAGACTTTGGTCCCAAAATGGTTGGACCACCGGTTCGGACGGATGTACTCTACAAATGACGACAGAGAAATCTGGCCAAGCACGACAGAAAAGTGATCGCCCTGGCCAAGCTCTGCCAATTTAATCGAAAAAGCTTGATCGAATGCTTGTTCGCATCCAGAAACCCTGATTTCTTGCACTTTTGCTTGGAATGAAGCGAGCCGCGCGTACCAGGGCTTTGCGTTGCGAGATACAGGTTATCGAGGTGCAGATAGTGATGAAGTACGTCCTGGCTACTTGGTCATCTTGACCCCTGTGTGCTAAAGCATGTGAATTCCACTGTACTCCGACTATAGCAGTGAGTAAAGTACACACTATAGAAATGCACAGTTCTACTTAGAAACGAAAATCGGCCAAAGAAAGCTGCCAAGAGCTCGATCCTCAGTGGACACTATCTGTTTCACAAGATGTACCCTTCCGAAGGGTTCTATATATACAGAGATGTAACCATCATTCGTCATAAATCGTTGATCTTCGACCACCCATGTTCTATCCATGATCGAACACAAATGGGTGCACTCATAATCACCTGCCTGTCATTGACTATAGGGCATATTGTTACTTGGCCGACGACGTAAAACTTGTCAACCTGCGTTGTACGAAAGTGAACACAGGAAATGTCTTCCTGGTCATCGATCCGTAAGTAGGACTAGCCTATGCGCCAACCCCTGCCTACAGAGGGAAATCTCTTTGCGCTGAGCAGCACACCTTTNACACCTCTAATCTCTGCCTTCAAGGTCACAGCTGCGTCAGGCTGCTTATCCTTGGAAGCATTAGACGCATTGAGTGAATTGTCTGCATTCCATGAGTACGATGGAGGGGTATAATAGAGGCCGTCGAGGTAATGCCTGGTCTCGCTAATGCTTGTTTGCAAAGTCTGGTTACTTGTGCCATTGTTCTCTGTACCCTCGAGGAGCTCCGACAGGTGAGACTTCATGATTTCGAGACGATTGGCCTGCTTCAAGGGCACTGTATCAGGCTTCATGACCTCAGTGTCGGAAGAAATACTTGTGCGGCGAGAGAGTGAAGGCGAAGTCTGGGTGCCGACATCACGGTGAAAGAGCTCAGTAGGGTCAGAGGTAATACTATCCGTATCGAAGTCTGCCAGATCAGCAGGAGTAGATGGGAGGGATTTTGCTGATGAAGGGACAGTAGACACCAGCTTAGTCAATTTGTTGTTGAAGCCTGATACGTGATTTCCTGTGTGCTCAAAGAGATCGTGACGAGCATCATTAAGGTTGTCGGCCATAGGAGCGATGATGTATTTCGACAAGGCATAAGCAGAAGCAGTCAAAGCACCGGCTATGTATGTAGCGTTTATGAGGCGGCTCACGGTAACAAGCGGCGGGGGTTTCTGAGGCTGTACGAGAAATTCTGGATATGTAACGATAGGAGGCACATCCCTACGGGGCTGAGGAGCATTGGCCTTGGCTTGTGATCGAAAGTCGGCGGCAGAGAAAGAGACGGCCTTGGAAGCATCAAACTCTTGGTTGGCGGCCTCTTGCGAGCCGTCTGTTGTTTTTACATATCTCTCGGGCTGCGGAATTTTCTTGCTCGCATCGAACTCTTGTTTGGAGGCTTCTTGCGAGCCATCGGTTGTTGTCTTGTTGTAGCTTTCGGGCTGGGGGTTCTTCTTGCTTGCTTCGAACTCTTGGTTGGCAGCTTCTTGTGAGCCATCTGTCGTTTTGACGTAGCTCTCAGGTTGCGGAACCTTCTTTGTTGCATCGAACTCCTGTTGGGCAGCCTCAGAGGAGCCATCGGTGGTGGGAGTGGTCTTGCTGGCGTGGAACTCTTGCTGTGCGGCCACCTTGGAACCGTTTGTGTCTGAGTTGTGCTGGGCATTCTCTTCGCCCATGACTTGGTATATCATCTCTTCTGAGACATCTTTGGTCAGCAGGAAGGCCTTCTTCCTATCGTACGGGGCATCTTTGACGGCGGGATCCTGGAGGAAGCGGCGCACGCGGTCAATAGCGGTGACATTGGCATCGTGTTCTTGGATGGCAGCTTGAGTAGAAGCATCGGTAGCATGCCGTTGCCAGGCTGGAAGGTCTTTCTTTTCTGACATTGTGGTTGCGAACAGATTGTAGTTACTCCAAGATCTATCTTGCTTTGGCCGACGCATATGCATGCGCATTGACGGTGGACCGACGAACCTCGGCATAAGTCTCTGTGGGGAAGTGGCTAAGTTCAGCCACACGAGCCGTCTGCCACAACTGTTCCTCCAACGAAGCTTACGAGTACTACAACCAATTATCCGTTCAGAGTCCGCTTCAAGCTCTGCGCATACGCTGCCGCAAGAGTCATGTCTGCGCCCGCCAACAAACGACAGAAAGGTGTTGATGGAAGTCCTGTGGGCCCGTCAAATTCAAGCAGAAATACACGAACTCCTCCAACGAGTCGTCCTGCGAATATCAACAGGTTGGTCCCCCATTCTGGTCGCAAACACACAAATACGAGGGGCATGCTTGCTCCAGCCAAGAGCCATCACGTTGCAGAGTAACGGACCTGATGGTTGGGAAGCGGCAACCGACAGCATTCCGCGAGCCACAAATCTAAACACGCCCAACCATCTGCCCTGATCTTTCTACCAAAATATCGCTGCACTTTTGCCCAAAATGCCCCCACCCGCTCCACGAGATCAACACGCGCTGAAACTTCTCGACTGACGGCACCTACCAGCACATCCGCCAGCATCAACAGACAAGCATCCGACAACCACCATCTGCGCATCACCGTCAAAGCCCCCCCAAGTAAATTGCGACAGGCTATCTCAGGCGATGACCCTGAGTCTGACTATGACTCTCCTGAACCTCCCGTGAGGACCGCTCGCTCTACTCGCAACCCGCGTACCGTGCTCGACAATGAATCCGATGACGACCAAGAAGATGATGATGATGAAGATGAGGACGAGGATGCCGAAGGAGAGGACGAGGACATGGAGAACACAGAGATGATGGACGCTGAGGGCAGCGATGAAGACGCCGACGCCGATGCTGACGATATTGACNATGGACTCTCCACATCCAGCCGCTCCAGTCATTCGTGTTTTGCCAGCAGCCTCTACCGCAACCTCAAAACAAAAGTCGCTGTCTCCGCACCTCCGCACAAAGGAAACCTCAAGAGCGTCGAAGCGAAAGAAGTAGATGATGACGATGAAGACGATGACGACGAGTTGTCTGACCTACAATCTGGAGACGAGGATCTACCAGGCGCCGAAGATGATGACGAAGAGCTTGATAGTGATCTCGAAGGCGAGGATGGCGATGTGACTCTTGACTTGACCAAGTTGACGCGCCGCCAGCGTGCCGTCTACGATGAAGAGCAAGACGCAAGTCTAATGGCTCTGTCCAACGAAGCACAGAAGAAGAAGCACCTTACTGCCGAGGAACACGCCATGCGCAGGGCCGAGATGGCAAGACGAAGGAAGAATCTATCTGAGANNAGCGTAACGAAGAGGAAAAGGTTCATACTCATCCCCTGCTGCCCAAGTTCCTTGACTAACGTAACCTTCCAGATGGACACAATCAACAAGCTGCTCAAGAAACCTGCCCCCAAGCGTCGAACTCGCGCTGAAATCATTGCGGCTCAAAATGCCGCAGAGGCAACGCCATCGTATACTGAGGACGGTGAGGAGTACTACCACCCTGCAAGCTCTCTCTTTGTTCGCTACGTCAACAACAAAGACGGGAGCCGGGTCGGTGTGCCGTCAGAATGGCTGGAAGAAGGTCAACCTGCCGGACAAGTCTTGGGGAATGGATGGAAAGCACCTTCTAAGATGGTCGAGGAGGTGTCTTGAGAGAAATCATGACTTCTCTCGTCACAGAGTGTTACGATCAATGGCCGTAGCCAGTAACAACGACATATGAGCATCCGAACATCCACTTTTCCGCTTTGCTGTACCATAGCTATGCTCTGGGTATGCGGCATGATTTTGTTCTACAATCCTCGTCGTCCCAAAGAAAGTCTGTTTGGCTGTCGGACGCTACGACACAATGACTCCGACATCAAGACACCACCACACTACAGGCTGAATCTGCAGCACGTTTCACGATCGACGGAAGACGCAACACTCGATCTGCAAGGAAGAGTACGGAAGAGCCGCTTCTGCCGTTGTGCTCACAGCTCCAAGCCTTTTTTGACAGGGTGCTCCCCCAGACGGATGCTGATCATCTCCTCATCCCCACAGGCACGGATGACGTCTTAGAAATGCCATCTGCCGTGGAGAAAATAAAACATTCATTGAGCAACTGAATGATGCTGTTCCTATTGGCGCTAGGTGACGCAGCGTTGTGCCGTTGTTGCATGATGTACGTAGGCAATGCTTCTGTGAGTCTATATATTCTGACTGCCATGCCTTCGAGTTTCGGACCTCAACTCCATCCGCCAGCATGAAGTATCTAAGCTCCCTTTTGTTGCTGGCCACAGGTGCTCTTGCCCAGCAGGTCACCTACGAGAACTCCTCCTCTACCATTCTTCGAGTGGACAACGGTACTTATGGTCCTGCGATCGAAGAGTATCATTACTACTATGACCAATGGCCGATTGGCTTAGCTATTTCCTCGAAAGGGCGATTCTTTGTCTCATATACCCGAGGAGACTACACCTATACCGTTGGAGAGGTGGTCAACAAGACCGCTGAAAAGCCATATCCATCTCAAGAACTCCAAGTGCCAGTCGCCGATCTGAACACATCATGGCACGGCATTGCTTTCGGTAGCGGCAACAGCACTGCTTTCATCTCTGTCCAAGCTCTTTACATCACCCCCGAGACTTCCACACGTCCCGAGACCCTCTGGATCTTGGATACAGGAAGACCCACTGTCCACAGTACAGCTGGCGACCCAAGCATGCCCTATGCTCAGCCTGGAGGCCCCAAGCTCATGGCCATCTCTCTCACAAACGACACAATCTACCAGACATACACTTTCCCCAGCACTGTCCATTACCCAGACTCCTACCTCAATGATCTACGTTTCGATCTTAGAGCAAACGTCTCTGGCACTTCGGGAGGTGGCATTGCCTACCTAGTCGACAGCTCGAACGAAGGACGCAACGGTTTCATCATGGTTGATCTCAAAACCGGCGAATCGTGGCGCAGACTCAACCAAGACCACAGTGTGTTGCGTGTGCCCAACGATGTCCCCACTTACTTCGGCAAGCCCTTCTACTTCCGTGAACTCGGAATGCCTATTAGCTGGCAGCAGGAAGGTCTCGATGGTCTTCAGCTGTCTATTGACGGCGAGACTGCTTACTACTCTCCCTTGACATCAAAGTATCTGTACTCGGTACCCACTGCCAATCTTCGCGAGAGAGACACCAACCCACTTGCCGAGGTTTGGGCACACAGCAATGTATCCTCCAAGGGCCAACGCGGTGGCGACGCCAACGGCTTCGAAGGCGACAGCAGTGGAAAGATCTACCAACTCATGCCTGAGCAGAATGCTGTCTACTATTTTGATCCTAGCGATGGTATGACTCATGGCTTCCTTCAGGACCCTAGAATCTTGTGGCCTGATGGTGCTACTGTTGGTGCGGATGGTTATATTTACCTTAACATCAACCAGTTGCCTTTCCAGCCTGACTGGAACTTTGGCGTTGATGGTAGATTGCACCCTGGTGCTGTGTTGAGAGCCAAGTTGCCTGATGGTGCAGTGAAGGTCAACACTCTCTATTGAGCAAAGCAATGACAGCATCAATTTGGTGATGATGCTGGTGCTGTCATAATGATTCTTCCATAGCAAAGTCATAATACACAATCATTCACATTCTATCCCTAAGACAGTCTATTGCTTCTGCTTCCACTCCTCAATAACCTTCTGAGCAATCTTCGTGCCCTCCATTCCAGCAGGCATACCAGCATAAACCGCTGCCTGCAAAATAACCTCTCGAATCTCCACTTCAGAAGCTCCATTGTTAAGTGCCCCTCTCGTGTGCACAGCCAACTCAGGGCCACGATTCATAGCACACAACATTGCTATATTCAACAAACTTCTGGTCTTGAGGTCTAGACCCGGTCGTGTCCAGATGGCTCCCCATGCTCCTTCTGTAGCTAGCTATTGACTTGCGGTGAGTGGTATGTAGGAAGGAGAAGAGATGAGGAGTGTGTATACCTCTTGCATGGGTTTTGCAAAATCCGACGTCGCGTTTTCGAGAGCGCGGTCGACGTATTCTTTNCCAGCTACTTTGTAGCGCATTTCTAGACCGGCATCGTAGAGGGTTGAGTGGGCTTCCTTGACCTTGTCCGCGTTTTGTTCTGTGTATTTGGATGCCATGATTTTGGGGAGATTTGAATATGTTCCAAAGATTGGCTATTTGATGGAGCAGGACTAAGTGGTATGGATGTTTCAAAGAAGCCTGTGAGAGAACTGGTGTCGTGCAAGAGTACAGAAGGTGGTGCGGGGCTCTAGCCGAGGGGAGATGGATGTGAGCTCAATGGATGCCCGAGGCATCATTGCTTTGCCATTGGCTCGACTCGCATGCTGGAACACCTCTTTGACTGCTCATCTACTCCTCCAATCCTGCAGTCAAGATCAGGATGCTTTGCGTGATTCAAGACATGAGCGTCAACACCCCGAGAAAGCGCCCAAGAGCAGTCGACGTCCATCGAGCATCGAGTGTCCCCTCTGGTACAATCGCGACCAACAACAAAGCGCTTGCTGTACGTTCATTCTAGCGACGCCGACGGTCCAGAAGGGAGGTGCGGCCGTTGATGTCTCTTTCCAGATGTATGTTGGAACAGTCCTTCCTGTTTTCCAAGAAAACGGCGAGGCTCGGCGTGCATTTCTGCCAGGCTCAAGCCAACATCTTCACCACAATCCACATTCTTGACAACATACAAACAAGAATTATTAGCATGAACAATAATGCAGATGTCTGTACAATCACATCACAACGTCGTGAGTACCAGACCAGGGCCAAGGATGCGTAAACGCCTATAGAATAGCTTTTGGTTGAGCATACTAATCTGATCCTGCAGCAAACGTTGTTGTCTCAAATCTGCTTTCTTTCAGCTGACGGCTCCAAGACAGGTACCATTAACCAAAAGAGCAGAGCTCTTTGGAGGGAAATTCATCCAGCCAGAGTAGACAAACAACGGCCGTAATAGAGCTCAGCTGAACAACGCTGAAAGGATTTGTTCTTTCACTGCTATGTGTCGGTCATGTCCGTTGAGCTCTATACAGTATATGGTACCTTGTATAAGAGCAGTCACGGCTACCATACCATTTTGAGTATGAATCTTGCGATCTTTCCCAGTTTTGAACCATGCAGGTCTTGTTTATCGTCTCGTGCTTCTCCTTTTTCCTCACGGTCCAGTCTTTGGCTATAGAGCAGAGATCGTGTGCTTCTCCTGATGTTATTGCAATTGCGCAACAGGTGTCCCATCCTCACTACTTCTGTGCCTGGTACCTCAGCGAGTATGTAGTTTCGTGTCAACTGCCAGAGCTTACCGCTGACTCCAGGATAGCGNGCAGAACCAATTCCCCAATTTCTGGAATCAGCGCAAATGCATTACTGAATGCATGCAGATGTGTTACCAGTGTAGAACCGGCGGGCACGAAGAGGAAGAATCTGGACGCGATCGAGAAGGCAGCACGCCTTCATAGCTATGTTAGCGCAACATGCCCAAGCACACCTGGCAATCCGATCAGCGAAGAGTTTAAGAACCCTTCATCGTTCTGTNACTTTCTTCAAGGCTTAGTAAGTGCTCCTAGGCCTTCAAAACCTAGTCCCTCGGTACTGACAGCTCAACAAAGTGAACGTCATGATTCGCCCATTCCTGATTTGAATGTTCCTGCAGTGAGGCACGCTTGCAGATGCGTCTTGGACGGTTCCCAACCGTCCAGCACCAAGAAGTCTNTTAACTACTGCCAAGCAGTCGACTTCAAAACTATCAGTATCGTCTAGCAAGAAGTTGAGCTCGAAGACCTCATCGACTATTGTTAGCAGATCGAGCAGAAAATCATCCGCACGTGAGACAACCTCGAGCAAGAAATTGTCAAGCAAGAGTTCGACGAAATCTGCCTCGAGCAAGCACTCATCTACCACGGCCTCACTCAACAAGTCTTCTTCGACCAAAAAATCACCAAGCAAGTCTTCATTGAGCAAATCTTTGTCGAGCAAACCCTCGTCGAGCAAGGTGTCTTCTGTGCCAATCTCGTCAAGCAGACCAAGCACGAGTAGATCGTCATCAGACAAACCTTCGTCTTCGATTAAGACTTCGTCGAACCGGAGTTCCTCAAGCAAGGCTACACCAAGCATAACCTCGAGTACCAGAAGCCCTGCGACATCGACTACCATTTCGAGAGTGTCCTTAAGCTCTTCAGCGTACACCTCGAAGGTGTCTACTTCTACGATATCTATCCCCAGCTTAGCTTTCACATCCTTGACAAGTTCGCCATCAGGGTCACCCAAAACATCGTCTTCTGTCTCGTCGACATCCTCAAGCACAGGCTCCTCGGTGGCACCTCTATCTACAAACTTCTATATCAAGGTTGTGGGAGGTCCGTATGATGGGGTCTATTTGTCCACTAGGAACGATGTGACGTACGAGTATCTTAATCCTTATAATCCCATACCTTTAGTGATAGAGGGTGTCATCACTGTGACTCTGGACTCGTCGAAACCTGCGGTATTCAAGATTGACCCCAGCACACAGACTCTCAGGATCATTGTGGATTCGAGGGAATATCTATACGCAACTCACGGCCCCGACCATAATCACCAGCAAATCAGCCGGCAAAACTCGACCACGACGCCGATGCTATGCAAAGATTTGGATGGATACTTACGTTGTGGAACTCTTGATGACACACTCAATGTGTTTGCAGCTGAAGGACTCTGGACATATCTCACGTCCCAATCATGGCAGTCCAAAAACAGCCCGGAGTACGTTGGTGTCAAATACCAGATTGTCTATCAGCCAATATCTGTGGCAAGCAGTACAACGTCTTCTTCAACACAGCCGACATCAACTCTGGATGCATATGACATGATCACCTCGAAAAATCTAGAAGACTTCTGTACGACATACCTCGGATATACGACTCCTTCTATCACAGAAACAACGACCTTGTTGGCGAGCACGACTAGAACTGCCATGTTCAACTTAACTACTACATCAACGGTTGCTGTTCTTACCACAGAAACCAATTTTGTTGGAACTGTTACCGTGACCTCGACGATCGGCACTTCTGCAAGCCCAGCAGCAATCAAGAAACGTGCTCTTGAAACCCCTATCGAGTTAGGTTCTTACCACGAGAGTGAGATCAGTTCAGGTTGCGGCAGAGCAGCAACTCAACCAATGACAACAACGATCTCGGAGACCGTGGCAGTTACCTCTACCGACAATGTTGCCACTACCATGACAACAGCTGTACACCACAACATCACCTCCGTGATAACAGAGCTGGCTACTTCTACAACTACGGTTCTGATCAATGCAACATCTCCCTCATCAAGTAGCGCAACTTGCATGCCAACGCCAATGGTTGATGCTGAGCAGCAGGCAACAGACTTGACCGCGCTTGATTTTCTGTTCTCGCACAACGACTTGCAGAGCATGCTATCTGCTTTTCCGATGTCCGTGCTTGGACAAAAAACAATCACTGGCGATGTCCTCCCTCCCATTCAGACCGCGTTGCAGGATTGGGTCCCTTGCACTGCCACTTCGTACAACATCACTGCGCAGCTTCTGGCATGCAGAGAAAAACATATCCCATCGAGTTTTCAGCCTGTATTATATTCCACACCAGTCCAAAAGCCCTAGCGGAGTGGGGCGATCGGTATGTTCCTAGCTCAGCGATTGCCAGACTCTATACGGTTTACACCTACATGTACAATGTAAGCGTTGACAATACTCCACTCACGCCGAGTATGAGTCTGATCGAGGTCATTGATCATGCGACGTCTGGTGGCCGCTGGAAGTCTAAGGACTTTAGGAACTCGATGTACTATTTTGGAGAATATCCCGGCCTGAATTAGAGTCAAGGTCAACTTGAACCGGCAAGATGCGTTACCGAGCGGTCCTGTCCTTCAATATTACGAATACATTATCTCAAACTCTGCAGAGCCGTGTACCTTCCATACACAAAGCTTGCAAGATGATCGCAGCTCTGATGACCATTACATCCCTGAGCGCACCAGCATTATCAGAAACAGAAAGAGCAACCCTCTTCCTAGCCTCCAACTTCCCAAGTAACTCCATAAACCCCAAATCACCTTCGGGACGCAGCATAAACAACCAAGAAATGCAGCTATCGGGCTCGGAAGCCAGAATCTGCGTTCGCAACTTCTTCGGTCGTGTCTCATCGTCTACGTTGCTTGATTCGGTTTGTTGCGTCTGATCGGCCACACAACTGGCTAGTTTCTTTGCACACACCATGCGTGCAGCGCGATAGCCAGATACATCTTGCTTATTGACGGCAGCGGCTACAGCTAGTAGTTCGTGAATAAGCGTGAAATGTATGTTTGGGACAAGGTTCCAGGCTGTGAGGAGCCACATGCCCATCTCACGATCGAAGAGCTGAGGTAGTGATGATGGATCGATTGCAGGATATAAAGTTGGCAATGGCAAGTGCGTTGTGGGAGCGGAGATTGGTTTCTCTGGCGTCGTGTCGGAGATGACGACCTTGTAGGGGGAATAAGGGGTACTGGGTATGCCGGACGCGATGCTATTGCAGACGACACTACCGGGTGTGATAACATGGCAAGAAGAATTACAGGCGCCGGACTGAGGGAATGGATCTGGTTGTGTTGGCTTTGCGTTGGGAGTGCGTGGTACCTGGAAATCCGCATATACGGGAGGCGCAGAGCGGTGATCATACGCTGGTGGAGCCTTGATCTGTTCTTCCTCTGGGAGAGGGGAGCATGCTTTTCTCTTCCTTGATGGGACCTCTTGACCGTTGTGCCACCCTTGAGCCTCCCACAGATCAAAAGCACCATCCCATCCGCTCCCATACATGTTTCTCAAGTTGACATGAGGCGTAAAGAAGGCTACGTTCTGTTGCATTGATCTAAAGAGGCGCTGAAGTCCAACTTGAGCGTAGGAGCTGAATTTCAGATACAGATCAAACTGCCTTGCTTCAGACAATGACTTGAGGCCGTCGAGCAGCGCAAGTGGAGTACCGCGCAATTCGCTCGTGTAAGGCCGGGTATTCATGACAACTCCGCATGTGCGTTTATGACCAAGCGCGAACGATACATGCAAGATGCGAGTCGTGTTCGCAGAGACAGGGTCGGCAGGCCGTTCAAATAGAGCTTCGGGCACGGAATCAAGAGGAATTGGTTGAAAGTCATTCATTGCACTAGATATGCGCAAGTCTTCTGCGGGGACGACTAGGAAGAAGCTGCGTGGACGTGCCTTCGATTTGGAACGCATTTTGACCGATGTTGTCAAAATGACAAGCTGCTCGTTTTTGTCGTGATTGATGGCAAACCACAGGCGCAGCGAGCTGTCGTTGCCGTGTACAGGCAACGGCCCTCCAAGATGGCGTTCCTTTCCAAGCTCTTTCTCTTCCCACCGGGCGCCAACTTGATGGCCGCCCACGGTCCATTCATAGCCGGCATGCGGCGACAGCAAGACGTCGCCAGCATCGGCATCGAGCTTGAGGGAGTCGTCGTTGCAAGACATGTTATCGAAATCTAATAAGTCAGTCAGGCCTACCGTTTCCCTGCGAGCTTAAACGCAGCGCAGTTCCCACCCGCCCAGGCTTTCGCGTTGTTGAATGTTGCAGAGCAGCCTTGACTCGTTGTCGACGTGGTATAGAATCGGGCCGCACAGGTCGCAGACCTAGGGAGACTCATTCACACAAGGTTCAAGTCTGCAGTAGACGCGCCAAAGGCTCAGTCACGCAAACAGTGTTGGGATAGAGCCGGAGACAGCGAAAACTAAAGAACAAGTTCCAAGGGATAGAGTCGGACTAGGGATGGACTGTTCAGGCAGGTGCGAGGAATATTTCGACTTGTTGCGATTGTTGACGTTGACGATGTGATCGAGGAAGGCAGTCACAGTGAGCGCGACGTTTGGCTTTCGCGATCGACGCGTTTCAGTCACGTGGGATCATGCTTGAATTATGCATCTTCACATCTGTGCGATCTGCATATTGTAATGCACAATACTATCAGGAAATAGGATAGTGTCCACAGAGAAGCGACACCTTGTCAGCTCTCTTCGGCCACGCTTCTGCTATCAAAGCCATTGTGACTTTTTATAGTGTACACTTGACTTTGTGTTGTACTCGGAGCACGGTGAAGTTATAGACTTCCATACGGGAGAGTCATTCCATGCGTTAGCAGGCGTGAGGCACTGCATTCTATGAGTAGAGAATCTCAGTGTTCTTGGAATGGTTATTCATTATTGGCTACAAGTGCGCGATGCCACGCTGGGTATTATAAAATCAAATGTAGGATCCTGGTTGACTCCTATGCTCCCTCCACCCCTGAGCTTCAACCTTAGCTGAATTGGTCGCCATGATCGCCGTATTGCTGGACTTTGTTGGCCTTCCTCATTCTTATCTGCCTCCGAATCTCCTTCTCTTCCGCCTCACGCTCCAGACGATGTTTCTTCTTTCTCTCCCAGACTGCTCGGATCGTGCGTCTGGTCTGTTCCTTTCCTTCCTCAAAATTCGCTCGAGCCAATGACACAACTTTGTCGATCTCGTCAGTCGTGTAGACGAAGTTCCACGTGCTCATGAAGTCTGACGTCTGTGGATCGACTCCTGGAACCTTGTCGTTCTTGAGGAATGGGAAGTAAATCACAGCAATACCAGCATCTGGCCGCATGAGCTCCCAATCCTCTTCGACTTTCTTCGACAGAGGTGGTTCTGTGTCAGTCTCACGCTCCTCGGTTGTACCAACCCAGACAGTGCAGTATCCCAACTCGGTGGGCTTGGCCGGGACCTTGTCACCTGCCATGACAGCATTAGAAGCTTCTGCACGTTGTGCACGCTCGATTCTGTCAGCCGCTTCTTTCTCCGTCGTAACCTGCGCCTGTTCGAGTTCCTTCAGCGTTTGCTCCTCGCTTAGTTCCTCACCAGGCCACCCAGCACCAACGGGCCACCCTTTGATTCCTCGTTGTTTGACATAGCCGTCGGTGACCTTGATCCAATTGTCTTTTCTGACATCTGCAGAAGCGTCGAATGCGATCAATACGTCAATGTCTCTTCCAGGTCTCAGGAGTGGGTAGATAGGNAGATTGTTGCTCATACCAGCGTCCATGAGCTGTAGCGTTGTTACATCGTGAACGCTTTCAGGACACGACTGAGGCAGAAGGCTCTTCATGTTCGCAGCAAAGTTCGGTATGGACGCTGGTTCGAAAGGATGAACTTTAGTAAGATCATCATCTTTCTCAGCAATCAATTGGTCGATGCCACTGAAACCAGCAAGACTGCGGACAAGAGGTCGGACTTCTTTGTAGTAATGAGACAGCGTCGCACAGAACGCACTTCCCCAAATACCCATTAGCATAGGAACTCGGAGCTCAGGCAGTGCAAGACCGTTTTCTCTCCAAACGCTGTAGCCTCCGTCGAATCTGCGACCAATCGCCCAAGTCGGAATTCCGGCTCCGAGTTCCTCGCAAAAGAACTCGTAGGGTGTCCATTCGAACCACTGGAACCATGACTCCGCTCTAGCAATCGCCTTCGAGTTCTCGTCCTTCAAGTTCATTGCGCGATCTTGTGACTGAACAACCTCGGGAATCTCATGACGGACCGCCGTATATATGGGAAGCGGGTAAGCGCCCGAGTCGGTGTATTGCCGTTGGTTGGATATCTTGAAATCGTACTCTGAAATGCCTAGCTCGCCTCTAGGAACTAGTAGACGTGTACCTAGGAGAAGGCCGTATACATCCACGAGACCAAAGGCGGCATCCGGTACACCCTTCATCTTTTCCACTAGTCCACTAAGGAGATATTTGCTGGTGGGTGCACTGCTTAAAAGTGAGAGTGCTGCCGGAGGATATGCGATATGGACGTTGAGGCGGCTTTTGAGGTGATTGATCATGCGGCCATGATCTTGTTGGCCGACAGAAGAGTAAAACAAGGTTTGCAACCAGCAAGAACCACTGACACCTGCCGTGTATGTCACACAGTCGAACAGCCCTGCTTCGTGTGCAGAGAGGTATGAGGAAGTGCCGGCAACCAGGGCGCGAAGACCGCCACCAGATCCACACATTGCGATGATTGGTACATCAGCTGGGTGTATTTCTGCTTCCGGCACACCGAGATACTTGGCCAGGGCAGCAGTCGTGCGTAACTTCCGTTTCTGGAGGAAATCACGCTCCTCTTTACAGATATCATCTGATACTCGAACCCGTGCATCCCACATGATCTCGGGATTGATTTCAGGATCATTTGCTTCGTGCCAGATTTCCTCGGCCAGGGAGCCAGGAGCCATAGACAGCTCATTCTGCAATTTGGTTATGTATCCAGGTATAACCTTGACCCATCGCGGTACAATGGTGCCCGCGATTTTCTCACCAAGTTTGGAGATCTCAAAATTGACGATATTGTCCTTGGCTGTTTCGAAGCTCCCGACCATTGTGTGCCATGCCGATACATCAGAGTCTTCTAGAGCCTCACTGATGTCTGAAGCTTTGTGGCCTTTGGTCTGAGACGGCGGCGCCTGCTGACCTGGTCGAGCTTGGGTGTCATCACTTCCGGTGCTAGTTGGTCCAGATTGCACCTCTTGGTCATTAGAGCCCTGTTTCTTGATAAAGACTGGCCACGAGAACCAGTCTTCAGACTCTGGCTTCCCAGAGCTATCTGCATGCAGGATCTGGGGAGAAGAAATCAGAGCATATGTCCCTGCACAAACTACGATAGTAGCGACGGCACGAGTTGTGCTTCTGTGTGAGCGGCTGTGGCCTGGCGAAGCTTGGTGGAGCTGTCTGCGACTGGAGGANACTTTAGTATGCCTATTATAGCATAACGATTGGTCTATTGAAAGAACTCACCAGCCCACACGGGACTTTATGTTGTAGCGAAAAACACTTGATCTGAGCATTGGTAACATTGAAATGGCATTGTTGATAATAATGATGGGGTTTTAGAAAGGCATGTGAGGACAGGAGATGTTAGGATGTCAAAAGACTTGGGCAGGGCGCACCACCAGCACTGCCACGATGAGGCTTTTGAGCAGAGAGATCAGGTTCTGCACAACTAGAGATTGCTCGTCATGGCTACGATATGCGTTTTTCAGGAACAGGAACACGCATCTGCATCATCACGCGATTCTTACCGTGCCACGTGCATTCTCCCCACAATCACGAGTCAGCTTGAGCCACCAACCAACTCTGTCCTCTTGGTTGTACTCAGCTGTCTCTTGTTGCCAACGTCTTTCTGGTGTTTACTTTACATCGCTAGCTACCTTACCTGCACCAAGCCTGTATCCACGCCGGAACTCCCTTCAGCATGTATTGATATCGCCATCTCTCAGCTCTAGATTCAGAATCTCATTCATCCGACTCCAGTATGGCGGGTCCGAAGAGGGCCGCGTTCGCTGAGGAGAGCGCTGAGGTCGAGGTGCTCTATGCGAACCTTTCCAAGATGAAGAGCTTGACCAAGAAGATACAAGCTTCTATGAGTCGTCTCGAAACCAGCGGGAAGACAGTTGAAGAGGCCATTGGGCCCATCTACGGAAACACACAAAAGCTTCAGACGACCAATGCAAACATCGATCGCGTAATAATGGCCATCGACAGGATACGCGAACCCCTGGATATGCGCAACAGAGAAGAGCAGGTTCTGCGCTCGAATCCTCAGACTGTCGGTTTGAACGAATACATAGCATCCATCGATCGCACACGCCAGGCTCTGGGTGATCTGAAGCAGTCCAATCTCCGCTCCAATCAACAAGCCATCTCTGAACTCAATAGTCTGTTAAGCGTCGGCAGCCGACAACTCGAAGACGTCTTCCAGAGTACTCTTCGCGATGGCGTAGCTCCGGTCGAGCCGCTCCATTTCATCACCAAAAACATCGACTTCCCTCGTATCTCGTCCAACAAGACGACTCACCTACGGACTATCAACGCACATACATCTTCTTCGGCTACCGAACTTGCCCAAGGCGATTCGAGGGGCACGCCCACAGCAAAAATATATGCTGAAGTAAGAGGTCAATACATCACCGCGAGTCTGCAAAACATGGCTGCCGCTTGTCTGGCAACTGCTCGAAAGCAGAATCCAAGTACGGCTACAGTCTACAAGAAAGGTGACAATGCCATTGGCATGTATGCTGCAGGTATCAAAGGCATGTTTATTGCCGAGTACGACAATATCTGCCCCATATTCGATCGTGAGGAATGGGGCCAGGTTCTGTCAATGACCTGCCAAGGTGCTCTGAAGGCCTTTGCTACCACTCTGAGAGATCTCGATCGACATATTAAGGATAACATAACAAGCGACTGCTTCCTAGCTTATGAGATCATCGAAGTTGTGTCAGACACCGCTCTCGAGATTGATAGCAAAACAGGCGAGCTGAAGGCCGAACTATCTGATGCTCTAAAGCCTATACGGGAAACTGCGAAGTCGTCGCTCTCGGCACTTTTGACGGATGTGCGGAACCGAGTGCAGCAGATGATGCAGCTACCGGCAGATGGCTCTGCAATCCCTCTGACCACAGAAATGATGACCCGATTGCAAGCGATGACCGACTTCCTCGTACCATTGTCTTCCATTTTGACGTCTCTTGGGAAGGGTGGATGGTCTGCGCCCGGACCGGCATCATCGAGCAGCTCTATACCCACCCTCAAAACTTTCGATGTTGGTGCTGATGGTCGCAAGCTGTTTGCCGACTACGCTGCAGACACCATAAACACTCTTCTCTCCAATCTGGAAGCGCGTTCTCAAGCTTTGCAGAAAAGCAAAGGTGTGCAGGGCGTTTTCTTGGCAAACAACATTGCTATTATCGACCGTATGATTCGCAGCTCTGAACTCGGTCCATTGCTGGAGCCTGCACAGCCCAAGATAGAGGCCTGGCGTGTCAAGGCGACTAAGCATTACATGGCTACCTGGAACGAGGTGTCAGCGTATCTGCTTGATGTGCAGTACACCAATCGTGGTCCCCGACCTCCTAGTACGGGAACTGCAGTCGACTCAGCAGCATTTGTTAAGGCTTTGTCATCAAAAGAAAAAGACGCGATGAAGGAAAAGTTCCGTGGATTCAACACATCATTCGATGAGATGGTTGCCAAACATAAGACCTACAGAATGGAGAAGGAAGTCAAGGTTTCGCTCGCAAGAGATGTCCAGAGACTCATCGAACCTCTCTACGGTCGTCATTGGGACAGGTATCATGAGATTGACAAGGGCAAAGGCAAGTATGTCAAGTACGACAAGACGCAGCTCAATGCAGTGCTCACGAATCTTGGTTAAAAAGAGATGATGGGATCTGAACTTAGCGTGGCGTTCGGAGTTTTGGATATGTAGTTCAGCAAGAAGATGGATACGAATGAAGTCGAAGATGTATTGGTGCGGGACAATCGACTTGCTTACATGCAAATTAAGCTCGAGATGTGTCCAGGGTGGATGTCCTGGTCGCTCCAATGCCGCATGACGCCTTCCCTGATTCGGATAAACAGTGTGTTGATTTTGAAAGCTGCCCTGCCTCTGTGAAAGAATGGGGCCGCTTCCTCAAAACAAACAAAAACAAAAAGCCAAAGGTGTAGAACAATGATATTGAAGATATCTGATGATAGACTGTATGTCGTGAGATGGCGTCGGATCGCTGATCTGCGGTTGCTTCTCCATCTCGAGACGCACGCACCCACAGACCCCTTTCCGCGGCGGTTTGGCTGCTATAGGCTGGCTGTCCCCTTCCTCCACAATTCGACCTCCATCTTGTAGCGTTGATACTTCCGTGATTCTCACCCTTGTCTATCGCTTTTCGGACCGCTTCTCAAATATCATCTTGTGCAATTGAACGGTATGTAAAAACTGTTAGGGCGCGTGTGTGGATGCCAATCGCAGCAGGTGAGCTGCCGACTGTTGAGCAACTACGACAGTGGATGCTCTTGCCGCCGCAAACCTGCTCAGCACAAACGAAGGTTTGCAAGTGCATGGTGCTAACACGTGCTCGCCGNACAGAAGAAGGAACGTCCGACCTCGCAACAACTTGAAATCCACCCGCCATGGGTAAGCCAGCTCTCCCAATCCATCATCCTTCATTGCCTCTTGCATCGCGAGCCGCATCACTTCTTGCTCTGTCGCCATGAGCGCTACCGAAGAAAGCGCATCGCTTGCTCAGGCAGAGCCTGCAGATGCCGACGCATTTGTCCATGTCAACAATCCATCTGTGAATGATGCTGATACAAAGCTCGTCGACACAGCTTCCAACGGCGTCTCTCCCACGCCTCCTCCGGTCCGCGCATCGCCAGTTCCTCCTCAGATCCCTTCCGACAACAGCCCTACCTCGCCCCTGATGGGTTCCATATCACCTCAGATCCAGACTGTCTCTCACAGAGATCCCAAGGCTGCCGCGGCTGCAGCAAGCGACATGAAGAACATCGTTCGCAGGAAGTTGACTGGTTTTGTTGGTTTTGCCAATCTGCCAAACCAATGGCACCGCAAGAGTGTCAGAAAGGGATTCAGCTTCAATGTCATGGTTGTTGGTACGTTCCACCACAAGCGCCATCGTGCATATGTGCGGCTTCTGACATCAGTACACANNGGTGAATCTGGTCTCGGAAAATCAACTCTCGTCAACACCCTATTCAACACCTCTCTCTATCCTCCCAAGGAGCAGAAACAACCCAGCCTCGACTTCGCTCCTACCACTGTCGCCATCCAGTCCATCAGCGCAGACATCGAGGAGAACGGCGTACGTCTCAGACTGAATGTCATCGATACTCCCGGTTTCGGTGACTTTGTCAACAACAACGAGTCCTGGCGCCCCATTGTCGAAAACATCGAGCAGCGCTTCGATGCTTATCTTGATGCCGAGAACAAGGTCAACCGCATGAACATTGTCGACAACCGTATCCATGCCTGCGTGTACTTCATTCAGCCCACTGGTCACTCGCTCAAGCCTCTCGACATTGAGGTCATGCGTAGACTGCACACCAAGGTCAACCTGATCCCGGTCATCGCCAAGGCCGATACACTCACAGATGAGGAGGTCATCTCCTTCAAGCAAAGAGTAAGCACATTGACTCTCTAGTCCTCTCAAATATCATTCTGACGCACACATCAGATCCTCTCAGACATCAAGCACCAGGGTATCCAAATTTTCGAAGGCCCTCGCTACGAGCTCGACGACGAAGAGACGATTGCCGAGAACCAGGAGATCATGTCAAAGGTTCCCTTCGCCGTGGTTGGTGCCAACACCGAAGTCAGCACTCCCGAAGGCCGCAAGGTGCGTGGTCGCAAGTACCCTTGGGGTATTATCGAGGTCGACAACGAGGATCACTGCGACTTTGCCAAGCTCCGCCAGATGCTTATCCGAACACACATGGAAGAGCTCAAGGAACACACCAACAACACGCTCTACGAGAACTACCGTTCCGACAAGCTCGAGTCGATGGGCATGCAGCAAGATCCTTCTGTCTTCAAGGAGATCAACCCTGCAGCCAAGCAGGAGNAGGAACGCTCGCTGCACGAGCAGAAGCTGGAGAAGATGGAGCGCGAGATGAAGATGGTCTTCCAACAAAAGGTCCAAGAGAAGGAGTCGAAGCTCAAGCAAAGTGAAGAGGAGCTGTATGCCCGCCATCGCGAGATGAGGGAACAGCTTGACAAGCAGAAGGCCGAGCTCGAGGAGAAGAAGGGACGCATCGAGACAGGCCGACCAGTCGAAGAGAAGGGAAAGAGAAAGGGCTTCTCGATCCGTGGTTAAGTCTGGCGCAATGGACAATTGCGGATGCGGAAGAAGTCAAGACTACTATTGTGGTTAATCTACATCATCACCATGGATTGCTGAGCAGCGAGGCAAGGGTGGGCTGGACTGCCTTTGCACAAGTTGGGTCAAAGTTGTGATACCTCAGCGCTTTTTGTTTGTTTCCCGATGCGTTTTCCTCCATGTCAATTTACTTAATTGCTTTTCAGTACCTTTGTACCTTTAGTCAACAAAAAGCGAGAAAAAGATAAACAGCATGGTTATTCTTGCAATGATCTTGTGCCTGTAAGTAATTTGAGACCACCTATGCTCCGCATGTAGATTGATGGTGAACAAGCTACAATGTAAATCCATCGTAGATAGTCAGGCACCACCAGAAAACGTTTTGGGATGCAAACTCATTGCTCCGGCGAGTAGATGTGACCTTTGCTTACTACACACTTTGACAGTCAATCGACGGCAGCTCGCACGACATAAATCTCACCTTAACCGAGCTGCGATGACTCGAGGTGCATGTGCAGTGGTGGCTGGGGTGAGCGGAGTTGGCGTGCGTGGACGAATGACTACGTCACCGTTGAGATTCCCTGATTGAAAGGTCGCACCTGCCTTCCAGTCTCTCCTCCATAAGCAGACTGCACTGCAATCGATCCACTTCACAAACAATTGTCTATCCTAACCCTCTACCACCACCTATCACCTTCAAGACTCGTCTCAGGATAGCGTCCTCAGTCGCAACAACAGCATCAGCAGAGTGAGTGACGTTCTTGCGGTCCATTTCCCCCAGCTTGCTAGCTCGCGTGAGTTTGTGCGCGCCAGCCACGGCGGAGCGCTGACCATGACGACCCCACTGGGCCAACACCTGTCATTCTGCTGCTTCTGCTCTCACTTCTTCCTTGCACTCTTCTCAGCGTCCATACTGACACGATCTGCTCAAGCCCTCCTACAACAATGGCTCCCCCTCCTCCCGCAAACCTCCCTCTTCAGGAGCGCATGCTCCAGCTCGTGCAGACACTGCAATTCGCATGGTTCGCTGGCCATGTTACCCTCCTGCTGTCCTCGGTCCGCTACGGTCTTTCGTACATGACCTTCCATCCCAGCTCCAAGTGGGCCATCTTCTCGTACCGCACCGCTTTCGTTGCTGCTGCTGCCACGTACGGCATTGTCGTCTTCAAGAGCTTCCGCGCTCGTGCTCGTGCCGGAAAGGCTCAGGGTGGTGCTTTCCAGATCATCGGTGATGAGAACGTCCAATACCNNTTGGTAAGGCTTTGAACCCACTTGTAGCCTCCAAGCTTAGTGCTGATTTGCTTAGCAATGGCTTTGATCTGGCTCTGGTCCCGCCAGATTCCTCTTGCCATTCTGCCCTTCGCCGTCTACTCCATCTTCCACGTTGCAACTTACACCAGATCCAACCTTCTGCCCACTATCCAGCCTCAGCCCGCTGCCGCTGCTGGTGAGAAGCCCAAGTCCTCTGGCCTCGCCGACACCATTGGCAGCTTCGTCAAGAACTACTACGATTCTTCCATGACTCTTGTCGCTATCCTCGAGATTGCCCTCTGGTTCCGTCTGGCTTTCTCTGCTCTCCTTTTCCAGAAGGGCTCATGGATTCTGATTGCTGTCTACACTGTTTTCCTCAGAGCTCGCTTCCACCAGAGCACCTTTGTGCAGTCTGCCGTCAACCAGCTGGCCGCTCGTGGTGACACCATTGCTAACCGTCAGGACATGCCCCCTGCCGTCAGACAGGCTTGGGATGGTCTCAAGAACGGTATCAAGCAGGCTGCTGACCTGACCGACATCAACCGCTACGCTGGTGCTCAGCAGCAGGGTGTCCCTAAGAAGACCCAATAGATTCCACGTGTCGCCCAGTTCTGACCCGCAGTCCAGACTGGACTGACGTCGTGTCATCTACATTACCTCACTCCTGAGGTCTGACTTATACGATACCACATTCAGGCTGGTCGAAAGGAGTATGCACATAACGATGCTCTCAATGAGAACAAAAAGTTGATAGAGGAGAGGATGAAGTTGCGCAGCTGTGTCAACAAGCTGCTTGGAGGAGATTGGAGGTTGAAAAGACTGACCTTTGTTCATGATTAGTACAGACAGCGATACCTGATTTTTCATTCCTAACGCCCTTGACATTGTCTTCGTGCGCCCTCCCTGACTTGATCCAAAGTGATTGTCTGGACACGCAACGATGACGCCTCGTTTCTTGACCTGCAAAGTTTTTCGAAAGGTGTTGGGCTTGAAGAGTCCTTCATACGCCCTCAAAGACACGACGCATCCAGCGTAACAATACTCGGTTGCACAAAGTGGCATTTGTTCCGATGCTGTTCCTGCAGTGGTCTAATCCGGTCCTGGGTCTGAGGCGATACTTTGTGGCTTGACAGATCCGCACGCCGTGTGTACCTTAGATCAGTCGTCGTTCGAGAAGAAACGGAAGTTCCAGCTCAAACTCGGCCGAGTCTGGCATAAGGCATGCCAACAGCCAGATGAAGAGTTGCACAATCATCTGTTGTGCAGACTATGATGAGGACTTAGATCTTGTGGAATGCTAGTGCTTCTGGCGTGCATGCGGCGTAGAAACTCTTTTCTGATCGTTCTACGAGGCAATCTCACTGCAACACAGGATAATGAGCAGCCACGGTTTATGGAATGACAGGCTAATTGACCAGGTGTCTAGTTCCGCGTTCACACAAGCCCCACGCAGTCGCCTCTTTTCTCGTTTGGTGCAACACTGTGCAGCATGATGCAAGACGGTAGATATGCGAGTGGCAAGGTATGTGTATGCAGATATGGTTGACACTATAGGAGAAACGGAATCTGTCAGATCAAGATCGAGACAGGCTGCATGCCTAGCATTCCAGCGACCAGGTTCACTGTATGTGGAGCAAGTGGTGTCGGATGGGCAGCAGCAGGAAGAAATGTTCCGGTGACACGAATTGGTATAAGGTGTGGCTGCATGACAGAAACATATCTTGCAACCGGGTTGGTGGGAAAGGGGTGATGGCATATTGCTACTTGTGCTACAGCCAATACTGCTCGACGACTGGAACTGGTTGTCACAAACAGAGCTCGCATGCTACACCATCCGTGTCGTACCTGACGCAAGATCGTGGATGATTTGGTAAAGTGATCTTGGGTATCAACAACAGCGCCATGTTTCGAAGAAAGGCAGTATTTGCAGGGGATCCATGCCATCTTTTCATTTATGATCGTGGTCGAGTCATCTACATAGGAATGTAACTACTCTTCAAAAGTGACAGGTTCATGTTTTGGAGGCTTATGACCCTTGAGCAGAGTGCTATCTCCACCATTATTACTCCAAGCCTTCTGCTGGTGTCTTTCTATCAGGCCTTTGAGAGGACCGGCGCGCCGTGGCTTTATGCACGAGGCTTCTTCGGATTACGCATACGAATCTCTGAGCGGCACAGCACCATCCTCCCAGGCTTTCTGCCGAAGTGCTAGATATGCAGCTACAGGCCATGGTTGGACTTGGCCAATTCAAGGAGATGACAATGTCAGCCAACCCCAATCTACTCGAGTGTACTTGCTAGGTGTAATTGAATCACGTATTGTTAAGAGTTGGTCGAAGGAGAAAGGGGAAGTTTAAAGTCATCTCTGTCCGAGTTCATAGCACAGATCTTGTCTCACAGATCGTCCCGCCGCTTGCAGATCTATGTGTTCCCTTGGAACCCAGNNGTGCCATGCAGAAAGAGGAAAATTCACAGTGTTGTGCAAGGAGAAAGTCCCCGAAGGGTCGACCAANGCAGACGTGCGATGATTGACGCAAGCTGCAAGTGTTCCCTGCTAGATCTCATGCATGTCCGGCACGACCATTCCGCTACGCCAATTGCAAGCCCCCACCTGCGGGAATGGGAAAACATAGTATCTTTATCGAGTACCATTATCAGCAGGGAAGTCGACACGCGCCAGAAGAAGACGTCGTCCTGCAGTAGAATCTACCGGCCCTTCTCTGCATACTGCATGGGCCTGCTCGATCCGTGCGGCGTCTTTCCAATTGATGAAGCCTGGGNNTTTGATCNNACTTACATCCGCAGCCGTGGACATGGATGAATCNATGTCGTGTGGAAGTTCGGAGAAGTAGCTCTCGCAACAGGCAGCAAGCAGTGAGGGAGAATGATCAAGAATGATGGCGCCAGGTACCACACGGGTGCCCTTGCCGTGTTTCTTGGATAGACTCGGGCCTCATCCCCTTCCAGCTCACCCCTCTCCAAGGTGGGTCGTGACATGAGCAGAGCAGCGAGCCCGGCGCCCAAGATACGGAATGGCGGCGCATGCAACAGTACGACATAGGCTTGCTGCTCTCTCCGCTACATTTGCTCACGCCTCAGCCCATTTCAGTCTTGGGCTGGCTGCCTGTTCGAGCAAGTGCGCATGGCGCAAGAGCCTCTTTCACTCTGGCTTCTCACCCCTCCACTGCTAGCCGTTCATTCCCATCTCCAGACGCCATCATTTCTTGTGGGAGTGGACGTAGGTCTCAGCTTTGCTTGCAGCGCGAACGTTTTTTTCTGGCTGATCCAACAACGCCTCCCCAGAACGAAGATCTTCTGCCCTTCTACTTCTGTATCTTGCTGCTGCCGGGTATGCTGCATTGGTAGCAGATCTAGCCTGCATTGTTTTGGTTTGATTGTTATATATATCTTTTACTTTGACCACTTGAGAAGATATTCCATCTCATCACCTTCCTCTCCATCTCCCTCGACCACTCGTGCCTGCCTCTTACCATCGTTGCTAGTCGGCCATACTTCATCCACTCTCTTCCTCTCTTTCACTCTCCAAAGCTCTGACAACAACTCTCGCTCTTCACAACACATTCCAACTTTTGCAAAAGTCGACTCATTCTCTTCTCTTTAAACAAGCAAGGTAAATTCTACCCCACCATACCGTCATCGATCAATTGAACTGACCAGACACAGATAGCACAATGGCAATCTCTGGTTCTTGCGAGCATCGCTTCAGAGTCATCAAATCAGACACAACTCTCATCATCTGGAATTGTAGCTTATGTCATTCCGGCCCGCATTGGTTCATCTACGAGTGCACGAAGTGCAAGGTCAAGAGATGTGAGCCCTGCACTCGCAAAGCATAAGAGCCGAAGAGAAGCGAATATACCGACAAGGGTACGTACAAGACCATTCGCTTCTTCCATACCACCAATCCTTCGATCTCGCCAATGCTGCATCGAACAGTGGACTGACTTGAAATGGATTAGTTTTCTGTACATGCGTACCGATGTCCCCCTTGATGCAGATCAATCGCCTGCATCCACCGACATGCATGCTTCCCCACCATCAACCCATCTCATCTAATTCGCTTGGCCACAATCTCTCTCCCGAGCACCCGGGTCGCGATGACTCTTGCGCGATCAACCGACGACGTGCTACCACGATAGCGTATGACGCGTTGCACCAGATATTACTTGCTTCACATATCAGCTACACACACATCACTAGCCTCCTGAGCATCCTCAATCGACCGGCGAAGCACCGGCACGGCTTTACTTCGATTTTCTTAATGGCTTCCCTTGGTATCTCCCTTTTTTACATCCTGCGCACAATGTGGACCATTCTATTACTGGGTATCTGGTTGTCTGGCGTCGAGCGAGGAGTTTCCGCTTCATCAATTCACAAAAGGAATCGGACATGGGAATTTTTTAGGCAAGCGATTGCCTTGGTGTTTGAAAAAGATTAGGATTTCTCACGAATGCCTCACGGCTGTATTAGAATACTGGGAATGGGGATCGCAGCGTATCAAGGCTTACAATTTTTTCCGCAAGGATCTCGCTGGCGTACATCTGGGACGAAACGATTTCTTTCTCTTTATACCTTTCATCTCCTTTTCTTTTCTCCTTCTTCGAAGCCTCTGCAGATTCACGACTGGTGGGTCATCTACCTTGTATCTTTTCTACTTCCAGATAGCCGCCGCGAGGCATACAGACTTAATGACTCTCAACAATATCTTCGCGTCCGTACACGATTTTCGGGAACAAACCAACTTGATGCTTCAAGTCTCGCTTAGCCAAAGCACAACGACCAGCAAAACTCTATCATCAGATTGTCTCTGATCAGCCAGCCTACAAGTTCAACAAGCAAGACAACCTACCAGACTAAGCCAACTGACATGCAGCAAAGACGTACACCTTGCATGGAAATGCCTTATTAGGATGACCATGTGCTACCGCAAGACAAACCATTGGGATTACCTAGCAGGAAACCAGCACCAGGTCGACGGTGACTTGAGCAAAAGCGTTTGGTGCAAGGGAGAGCGTGCTCTTTGCATATGTGGCTAACGAACTCAAATAGAGCATAGAAGACTCTTGACCACCTTCCTATTCTGCCGTGATGGTCAGAGTCTAGAGCGTAACCGGATGATCGGCCACCTCTGTGTGTTTTGACCTGCGATCTAAACGCACCTGCTTTGATATGTGGTGAATATGTCGAGCCAGTTGGCTTCTTCGTCGTCACCAGTAAATGGTATACAGGCTCATCCGAGCAGGAGCTCCGCGCTCACTTCAATCCCATGAGGTGTCCACATGTCCTGTAGATGCTGTAGCAGACAGTCTTCTCTTACTTTAAAAATAAAAATAAAAATTGTGTTTCAGCTTTCGAAACAAGTAGGTGGTTGAGTGGTAAAACGATCTCCAAACAATCGAGTGGTCCAAGCTCTCTTGCGGGTCAGGAACGGCCCGCCAAAAGTTGCACGGCCGCCAATGGCGCATCCGGTCGTTCGCAGAGGAATCTCCAATTGATCCCCTTCTCACCTTCACATCTTGCCAATCCGATCTTTGCGGCGCGCATACCAGGTCAAATGGCGCCCAAGAGAAAGGGAACGCGCGTGTCACAAACGTCCAGTCCTGCACCAACACCATCACGCTCAAACACGACTGTCGCCGTCGAGATAGAACAGCGCCGACGACCGAAGCCATCAGACGAAACGCCTACCACGAAACCTTCTGAGCAAGCAGCAGAAGCTGAAGAAGAAGAGGAGGAGTATGACGAGGAAGCTGCCAATGCTGCTTTAGTAGCAGATCCATGGACCGACGACGAGGAGATTGGCCTGTTCAAGGGTCTCATACGCTGGAAGCCTACGGGCATGCACAAACACTTTCACCTGCTGTCTCTACATCAACATTTGCTGTCGAACGGCTACATTCACCCCAAAGCACCGCACACACGAATTCCTGGCATCTGGGCCAAGCTACACGACCTCTACGATCTAGAAGCGCTAGACGAACGCGAAGACGCAAACGCTGCTCCTTGGTCTACATCCGAAGATGAAGATGAAGAAGAAGACGAGAAGGACGAACTAGGCGATGACGAGGACGAGCCAGAACACACGCACGACACAGAGTTTGAACTCCCAGACGACGACTTTGGCAGCTTGGTCTGGCGCGCGCGTTTCCCAGATTCAGAAGACGAGCAAAGTCGAGAGAGTTCACCGCCGTCACATGAAGAATTGGTTTCGCGACCAGACAGTCCGCCTGTGCGCTTTACACCCTCATTTGAGATTCCTCTGTCGGAGGCACAGCAGACACCCTCAGCGCGGACATCCAAATCGAAAGCGGCGGCATCTACGAAGGCGAAGGGGAAACAAGCACCACCAAATATTAGGAGGTCAAGTCGTGTGGCCGATAGTGTCGACCCCGATGATGATAACGATGAAGACGAGGAAGAGGGAAGGCAGTGAGGAGGAGGATCAGAGCGAGCAGGAGAGTATGGCCAGCGGCACTCCTGCGCCCAAAGCTTCAAAGGCAAAGGGCAGAGGAAGGCTCCTGCTGCAAAGGCTAGAGCTAGCAAGCGGAGGAGATGATCCAAGGAAGGTGTGATTACAAGTTGTGACTGCCGTTGTTTATTTTCGCTGCTCATTGGCCTCTGAGATACCCATTTGTATTGACTTCGTTTTGCTCTGTCCTTCCTGCCTTCTTTCTGAACTTGTTCCAAATGACGCGATACTTACAAATGCAATAGTATGCCAAGAACTGCCAGGGTTGCACTTGGACCATTAAGCGCTTTGCTCTGAGTACACTTCATCGCCTCGCTGTGATCGACATTCTCCCAGAATACCATCTGGAATATCCTTGCTACATGGCTTCATTATTGTCACTGCCACCAGAAATCTTCAGTGCTGTTCTTGATGACGTTCCCGGCCGCGATCTCATCAACTTACGCCTCGTCTGCCGCCATACAAGTGCACTATCAAGCCATCACTTCGGACTAAAATGCCTAAAGGATCTATCTTTTATCTGGTCTCCTTACAGCTTGCAAGGATTGCTAGATCTTAGCAAGCATCCATTCGGTCGATACGTCAAGCGCTTAAACTTTGCAACTCATTTCATCTATACGGAAAAACTCACGGGAGATCCTGAGGAACAGCGGGATGCGAGAATGAGAGGCATATTCGAGCAGTGGGATGAAAGAAACGACCTGCTAGTACAAGCACTGAAAAATCTGCAAAAGTCGGGTGTTCAACCTGTGTTTGGTGTTTTCGACGTACCTTGGAATCTCTTGGATACACGGAACGACAGCAAAAGCGACGTAAGGAGGTATGGATATGGATATGAGAAGTTCTATGGTGTTGCCAGATCAGATGGTTTGTATGGAGAATCCGTCGGCACAGCTGAGCCGCGTNCCGCCTTTGTTCACGCAATCGAGTATGTCCTCAAAGCTGCGCAACGAGCCGAGATTCCTGTCAGAGCATTCCACATACATCGGGAAATAGGCACACAACACAAACAGGACGAACTCCAGATGCTTCGAGAACAGTATCTATTAGCCAAGCCTGGCGAACTGCGACCAGACTTTGAGATCACAGCCACAGTCTTGTTTTTCGAAGCCAAAAACGAACCAGGCTACATGTCCAAAGTCTATATCGACACCAAACGACTAAGGTATGAATACTGCACATCACCAACAGAGGGTGTAGCCTGGCCCACACAATCCCGCGCCAACTTCGACTGGTACGGTACCTCTCTACATCCTCCACTCAACCAAGGGCCCAGAGACATGAACCACTGCTTCCGAGAAATCAGCATAACGATGTGCGATGCGTCTCTCAATTCTCTGTTTGACTTTCTGCTCAGCCAAAGAAAATCCTTACGGGTACTCCATCTGGAACAAATTACCATGCGCAACTTCAGAGACGATTCTGACGAAGTTGTGCAATTCTTTAATATGCTGAAGAACCGTTTATCACTCGAGTATCTAAAGATGGCACGGTTGAGCAGTAAAGATGATAGATCGAGATTGATCGGTGGCCATGACGATACGTGGACTAGCAGAGAGGAGATTGAAGAGGGTTTGCAGGTGTACATTGAGAGAGAAGAGAACGATGAGTATTCGGTTGATGAGGAATGGAATAGTGATGACGAGGGCGAGTGGATATCCGTGCACCATTCTGAAAATGAAGATGAAGAAGAAGTCTGGCCTGGAACCTCACAGAATGAGGATGGAGTAACGACAGAACAGCCAGATGCAGGAGATGAAGAAGGCTCTGAAGCATAAACATCTCATGCACGAATGTTGTACATCTCAACAGATATCTTGGATAATGATTTGATGGTTTTTGACAGGAATCAGGAATGACTATGGAGTCTGAGGTACACCTCCATCGCCCATCAGATTACCTGTCAAGCCCTTCATTCTCCTGCCGAGAAGATCGTCCTCACTTGCCAAGCTGACCAGACTCTTCATCCTCTGATTCCGAGGTCGCTCATTTCTAGCTCCCCTGACGGCCTTACCACCTCTTGGACTTCCCTTCTTNTTCGGACTTGTCCGGGCACCGCCGTTGAGCGTGCTCATCTCTAGTGGTCTGTCTTCGTCTCCAGAAGATTCAGTAGGCATACGGCGGTGATGTCTGATGCCATTGCTCTTCTTGACTCCCGATCCAGCTTCATTGCCAAAGTAGTCTGTCTCTTCCTCTTCCTCGTCTACCTCAGCTCGCATATCGGCTTCGCGGAAGAGATCAGCCATCCAGCGTGAGCAACGCGAAATGTATTTCCAGCCTGCTGGGAATATGCCTGCGAATTGCAAGAAGCCGTGGGAGATGCCAGGAATCAGGACTACATTGACATGATCTGTATCCACGAAGACGTCTCGCTCGCGTACTAGACCCAGCTCCTTGCGGCTGTTCCAATGGGCTAGTTTGGCTTGCCTTAGACGGCCTGCGAAAATGACGGTATCGTCGACTAGGGGGTCGCGCTCGCCTGTCATCATGTACGTCTTTGGGAAGCGGGTGAGAAGTGCTTCGGGTGCGAGGAGTGGTGACAGAAGGTAATCTGTTGAAAAGTCTGGGCGTGAGTGAGGACCAATGTACAAGATGATCATGGCTCGCATCATTTCGGGCGTTAAGACACGGTCGTTGAAGTAGGATATCATAGAAGACATGGCAAGCCGAGTACGTAGCATTTGAGGTGTAGGTGCAGGTGCAGTAGAAGCAGCATCAATAGTGTGAGCCGCGCTGGTGTGAGGCTCTGTGGGAGAAGCAACGATTGGTTTATCCGTCAACTGTTGGACTGCAGTGTTCGTACGCTTTGTCTTTGGCGGACTGACATCGTCCTCTTCATCCTCAGATCCATGTGGAGTGTTGGGCGTAAGCTTTCTGTAGTCGTCGCTCTTTCTGCTAAGAACGCCTCTGTTGGTCTTTCGCATCTTGCGGTCTTTGATCAGAGACATTTGTTCATCTGTCATCCAGTTGCCGATGTTCATGTCGAGAGCTGGGTATACGAGGACTGCACCTTCGGGTACAGGAAGAGAGGTTTCGCCTTGCCATCTCCGAGTTGCAGTGCTGCCAGATTGCAGAATCATGAGAATCAGGCCGACGGCGAGATTGCCGCCTGCGCTATCTCCACTGACGACGATCTTGGGCATGGTCTCTCCTGAGAGACCTATACATTGTCCTTTGGTCGCAACCAGTGTGTGATATGTGTCGTAACATTCATTCAGAGCATAAGGATAAGGATACTCAGGGGCTTTCTTGTAATCCAATGCTAACACAGGCAAGCCTGTTCTTGCACCCCAAGCCAGCAGTTTATCGTCGTGTGCTCTGGGATCCATAGCAACAAAGCCTCCGCCCGGAATGTCAAGCACGATCTTGTCATGATTCTTGAGATCACTGATAGGACCGTCGAAGTAGAGCCACGCTTGGATGGGCTCGTCATAACTGCTTTGTCTGGGTCTTGGGATGCGAATGGCGCGTGGTGGGTAGCGCATCAATTTCGGACGCATCAGCTTGCCGAAGAAATTGATGTATGGTGTGTTTGGCTTGTTCCAGCTGACCCTCAGATGCTCCAATGTCAAGCCAGCTCTTACTCTTCGTACCTTTTCATCTGCTTGTTCGGCACAAACGAGGTAATAGACCGAGAAGACGAGGCTGGCCAGGTCTTTCAGCCATACAGGACGTAGATTCATGGCCGTCCAGAAGCCTGCATCCAACGCTGTTGTGACCCATGTCGCTCGGAAGTACGATCTTGTGTAGAGGTTTGCAAGCGGTTCTGGACACTCGAGGCCGACGAGCTTGCTAAAGTTTCGCGTGATGTATAGATATATCAGAGTCAAGACCACAGTATGCCAGGCTGTCAAGCGTGTGGAAAGGAGTCTGGAGATGCGACGAAGGTACGGAGGACCATGTGGGTTGCCCCTGCAATGTACAAAGTCAGCAATAGACTCTAGTAAGCAGTATACACATACATACTTGTAGAGATAGTAGGACCAGAAGGAAACGACGGCAAAGACCTGATACTTGCGGAATCTGACCGATGGTCTGCCCAAGACATGATCTGTGTACCATCTACTTAGCCGCCACAAATACAGCAGAAAGCATATCAGAGGGATGGCATACCTATCATGATGCGGAATGTTCAACAGACATACAAAGAAGGAAACAGTACAGAAAGACCACCAAAAGGAAAAGCTCAGTATGAAGCAGAGTCCAGCATCAGCAAGGAAGGGAAGATGGCTGTCGGTCCAAACAAAGGAAGGAAAACAAGGCCGAAATCAAGTCTTCATGAACAATTGCAAGAAGGAATTCACATAGGGGCGGAACACGATATAGATGGATCCGAGTTTGCATGTGAAAACGAGATTAGCATTAAGAGCAGTCATGCTCTAGTGCTCCTGGGAATCTTCGATATCTGCCATGTCATGAGGTCTACAACGTCTCCAAACTTGACATGTGAAAATGATGCACGCGTTCGTCCCGAGATGCCGACCTCGACCTTGTTTCTGCGGAGTTCATGTGGGGATCCTGGGACAACTTCTTTGTTCTTTCTCCATGCCGAAACCCTTATTGTGACAATTGTGCATTGACAGCAGGCAGCTGACCGCACAAATCTGCACTTATGGACGATCAAGTCCAGAAACCCAAGTCTTGAATGCGTCGTGCAATTCGTCGGTTCGGGGACCGCACGGCCTCGATCTTACTCTAAGCCACACAACTCGTCCTCGTGTTGGCACGGTCAGTAGAGCCTGCTACCCAGGAAGACGGTGAGACTATGCAGTCAACTCTACATAAACTGCGTCTCGAGCCCTTTTAGTTGTTTCTGACATTTCTCGTCCTGGATGTGACTTCGACACGATCTACCGATCTACCCTCCCCGTGTACTGAAGTATGTAACGCGTATTCCTGTGAAAATGCAGAATAGTAATTAAAAACAAGATAGTTTCCACTGAGAGGCGACGAGTTGTCGACTCTCTGCGAAACCCTCTGTTTCTAATAACGATTGTGCCTTTTTATAATCTAGAATTTGCTCTGAACTATAGTCGGAGTACGGTGAAGTTACAGACTTCAGTACACGGGGAGGACCAAAGTTCCGACCACAATCGACAGGTATGATGCTGAAAAGGAGATTAAACACTATTGTTGGTGAAAAACAAGGTCAGCAGACCGCTGCACTTTAGGCGTGTTGCAATGCAGCTATTGAACAGAAGAAGAGATTGAGAAATTCGTTTATTGATACACGTATCCAAGCTTCCGGCGCCTGAGCATTCATTTGACCAGCACAACGCAAAAGAACGTCCAAAGTAGAAAAATGGGTGAAACTAGAGCCGAGAGAGGACGCTTGAAGTACAAGAATGAAACGTCGTAGCCTTTTTAGTTCTTGGGAGGGTACTTCTTGAAAAGGAATCTGAGAAGCATAAGTCAGCATTTGTGTCACTGCTTGATGATTTTCTCGCGAGAGCAGCCTCTCTGCATGGCAATACTCTGAGGAAGAGAATCCTCCTTGCATCGCCAGAATACCGCAGATAGGAGATAGGATCTTGCACTCACTTGCTGGCGTAGTAGTCACCAAGGGCGAAGACACCAACGATACCTGCCCAAGCTCCTGCGACCTTCCAGGTGAGCTCGCCGGCAGTGTACTTTCTGTAGGCACCGAAACCGAGGAGACCACCAAGAGCGACAACAGCGACGGTGTTACCAAGGATGACGGGGTTGTCACTGTTGGCCTTGGCCTTCTCGGTGGCCTTCTGTGCCTTCTGCTTAGCCTTCTCCTTCAACTCTTTGGCCTCATTCTCGGCCTGCTGAGCCTTCTCACGAGCCTCAGACTCAAGACGTTCACGCTCGGCCTGGGTCTCGGTCTGGATCTCTTGCGATTGGAAGTCGGANGGCACAGATGAAATGTGAGGGCTGTCGACGTCGATGAGCTCGTGCACGTCGTCGTCAGTGTGCTGAATTTCGGGAACAGCGTGTGCGCGCCTTAACATTTGTTAGCATGAGCTTGTTGTCGGCGCGTGCGTGACCAGATCTTACTTCTGTAAACAAGTTAGTAGGAGATTGAGAGGAACAGATCAAGTAGCGACAACATACCTCCTCGTCGGACTGCTGAGGCCCACTGGCGGCGACAGATGCGTAAGACATAGTAGCGGGAGGTGCGGGTGCAGGTGCGGGCTCTTCGGTAGCGATGTCGGGCTCTTGAGAAGGGCTGGGTTCTTGGGTAGTTACTGGCTCTTGGGTAGAGGCAGCAGGAGTGGGTTCGGGGACGGGAATGGGAGCAGTGGTGGTGTTGACTTGAGGTTCTGGTGTAGAAGCAACAGGAACAGGAGCTGCAGCTGCGTCACTGTTCGGTCGTTGGAGGAACTCGAGGCTCATCTTGATTGGTTTTGCTAATCCTACCTAAAGATGACATGTGATGGCGATACGCAACTTCTTCTTCCAGCAGAGGCTTGAGCCTTGGCACAGTTACGTCAAGTCTCGTGGCCCGCGCGTTTTGCGGCTTAAAGTTGCACTCAATCAATAATAGACGTTGATATCAGAAAGATTTAGCCGTCTATTACATATCTAGAGAAGTGTTGATGCATTCGCTTTTCCAGGCTTCTGACTGTGCCTTGTTTTTGGTAGAGTTACAAGCCCCAATGCGTAATGTACAAGTTATATGTTTGCAAAATCGGCTTATTTGTCGCCCTTGCTTTGCTGTCCAGTAGCGTCGTGTGCGGCCTTAGGGACAAGGCTATCAGACTCGCTCATGATATCGTGATCACGCTTGACTTGCTCGGTTGCAGCGTTGGAACGCTCTCTCTTTCCTTGGATGGCCTCGGGATGATCAGCTCCTCTGTCGGCGACCTTCTCAGCGTCAGGGTTGGCCTCAGGCTGAGTGGGCTGGCTAGGCTGGCTAGATTGGCCGGCAGCAGCAGTAGCGGCATCATCCTGCTCTCTTGCCTCGGCCTCAACGTCGTCCTCAAGCTCTGCGCCATACACGTCGGGATGCTCGCGGAAGCAGTTCTGCATGTTNCCTACACAGTCATGTTAGCCTCAATTGCTGTAATCCACCCAATCATCGACGTACTTGAACTTGTCAATGCAGTCCATGCCTTTGGGCTCCTCTTTTGAGAAGACGAAGCAGCTGAAAGCCTCTCTGAACTGCTCGCCGCAGGGTCCGTAAGCCATACCACCGAGGCATGGACAGTCCCAGTTGATCTCGCCAGTCTCTTCGTTGAAAGCACCCTGTTGACCAGCCTCCTCTTCCAGGTCCTGTGGCGATCCAGCAAGAGCACCACCGTCTTCAGGCTCTGGCACGGGAGCATTTGTGGTGGCTTCACGGACAGTGTGTGCAACGTTGGTCGCAGTGGCGGCAACCTTCTTTGCATCGGCCTCTGCATCGGCCTTGACTTGGGCCTGAAGGGCCTGACGTTTCGCTGTTACTGCATCGAGAGTGGGAAGAGTCTCTGACTCGATTTGTGTCTCCGGTGGCGCGTGTCTGACATCTGGATGGTGTTAATCGCAATGCTCGCGCAACTCAGAAAAGATGCGCTTACAGGACTGCTCCTCGGCGAAGACATTGCTAGTGTTGTAATAGTAGACCAGAGCACCGGCCAAAGTCCATCTCACGGCCGAGTTCTTCCAGCTTCGTGACTTCTCATGTGGAGGTGCGGTGCTAAGAAATCTCCGCGATGGAGCGCTGCTGCGCGAGGCCTGCACGGCGGCGCGTCTGACTACCGGGCGAAACATTGCAGGTGTGATTGAACCAGGAAAGACCGAAGACAAAAGGAAATGGAGCAGCTGTGCGTGTTGGCTATCGCAGCGAAGATGATGGAAACATTACCAACCAAAGCCCATCGGCCGCCGTCGCCGGATGTTCGTGCGCAACTTTGTGGCTAGTGTGCTGCTCCAGCCACAAGAGCAGGTTATCATCTGGTTACCATCACACAGTCACTCATGTCGTGCGACCTTTCAACTTTCTTCTCGAACAACAACAACATGGTCGATACACATCCGGACGTATATCCTGCTGACTTTATCAAGGCTGGCAACGAGTTGACTCATCTTGACAAGGACCAGTCCAAACCGGCACTAATCATATTGAACCAGCCCATAGCAGACACAAGGGTGCTAGGTCGCTTGTGGAATCATACCAGCTATAGACTGTGTGCTGATGGCGGTGCCAATCAACTCTATGATCTTTTCACCCAGAACGACCCATCGCAACTCGACCGATATGTAAGAAGATTCGCAGCCTTTCTCTAGCGTCGTCTGATTGTGATGAATGTACCAGNNCTACCAAATATCATCCATGGTGACCTTGATTCTCTCCGAGAAGATGTCAAGAGCTATTACCAGGGACGAAACGTAGAAGTCACGGAAGATCCAGATCAGTACAGCACAGATTTTGGCAAGGCCATTAAACAAGTGTTGAGGGAGCAACCCTGGCAAAGAAACTTCCTTGTCCTCGGAACCATTGCAGGACGACTTGACCAGGGCATTGGTCTACTATCGGAAATCTACCGCGAGCAAAACTCGAAACAACATCCAAACATCCGATTTTGGCTGTTCTCCGAATCAAGTATATCCTTTACTCTTCCACCTGGCACGACAACAATTCACACGCCTTTGAGTGAGAGGGTCATCACACCAAACATTGGCATTCTGCCAATATTCGGCCCGGCGCACATCTCGACGAATGGATTAGAGTGGGATGTTGAAAACTGGCACACGCAAATGGGTGGCCAGGTTAGCACCAGCAACCACATTGTTCAAGATCAGGTTACTGTTTCGACCGATGCCGAAGTACTCTTTACAGTGGAACGCAGGAAGAGCGTAGCAGGGTAGCAATGCTGGAGACCGAGTCAAGAGATCTCGAGAAAATAAAAACAATAGTTCGAGCAATACAAGCGTGCTGTTGCTGTGGTTGGTTGAGGTCAAGTACTGATGAGAATGGCATGTGAGAGTGACGATTGCAACATGGACTCTTTCGCGCTATCTGGCAACTTTGACTGAGAGCAACACGGCTCTAAAGATATTCAAGGATACATCTGAAAGCACATGACAGACACACTTCACGATGGATCGTTTGGATCTCTCAGTGGTCGATGGGACGAATGTGACGAAGTCTTGATTGAATACTGGCGGGGCTCGAGCGCAGTGAATGAGAGCACTGACCAGGATGATTTTCGGAGGGCCAAGGAGGCCTCTTGTCGCAACCGACAAGCGAATGAGGACAATCCGATCAGATTGACAATAGTCTTCAACAATCAGCGGTTGTTATTGTGGCAATTGTATGAATAGCAGGCCATCTAAGCGTTGTGCCGAACTGCTGCGTTGATCCGTTGACCTTGCGGCTTGCCTGGTTGCTTGCTTCTGCGTCCTCTCCACACGGGAATCTCGTCAGTTACACGATCGACTTTTTTCCTCTTTCTACTGATCAGGTATGCTCGAGGCCACTACATCTTACCGCTCTGTTGCGCCTGCTAACTTGTCGCCTCTGAAGTAAAATCGCGTCCGCTGTCTGTTTTGGTAGTGTCGTCAGCCTTCACATTCAGACATCATGTCCTGGAGTCCACAGCCTGAGCCTCTGGGCCAGCTGGCGCAGTTCCTCAAGGAGTCGTTGAACCCTCGCGACAAGACTGCGCAAAGAACGCAGAGCTGGTGAGCTGCTGCTTCTTCTATACACCATCTAGCAGAGCTGATCGTTTTCGTCCAGGCTCTCAAGAATGCTGGCACCAACCCAGACATCAACAACTACCTCGCCTACCTATGTATCAGTCCCGAGAGCCCTGCCGCTTTGTCCAACGATGACTACTTTGTGGCCAGAAGCGCCGCTGCAGTCATGCTCAAAAACAACGTCAAGGCTTCCTACAAAACCATGGCCGAATCGAACAAGGACTATCTTCGCTCAACCATCCTCCAAGGCCTTCAAGACCAGGACAAGCGCATCAGAAGTTACGCCGGTAACGTCGTCACCGAGATCGTGCGCCAAGGCGGCATCCTGGGCTGGCCTCAAGTTCTTNCTGAATTGATCTCCTTGATCGAGAACCGCAATGGCAATATCGCATCGCACATCCAAGACGGAGCCATGAGTGCCTTGCTCAAGATTTGCGAAGACCACAAGAAGGCCCTCAACCGAGTCTACGACGGACAACGCCCTCTGGATTTCCTGATACCCAAGCTTATCGAATTCACCGCAAGCCCTACGCCACAAGTTCGTTCANAAGCGCTAGGCACGCTGAACTTCTTCATCGACGATCCCATGCCACAGGCCATGCAAGACCATGTCGAGAAGTTCCTTGTCCAGCTCTTTACATTGGCTCAGAACGATCAAGATGAGGNNGAAGTCCGAAGATTCATCTGCCGTTCCTTCACAAAATTGGCCAGCAACACTCCTGCGCTGGTATTGCCGCATCTCAGCGGTATCATCGACTACGTCCTGGTCCAGCAGAAGAGCGACCCTGAGTCCGATTTGGCCCTGGACGCCGCCGAATTCTTCTTCGAAAACTGTGAGATCGAGGAACTACAAGACGGATTCAACCAACACCTTGAGAAGATCGTACCGGTACTTTTGGAAAGCATGATCTACAGCCAGGACGATCAAGCTAAACTGGAAGCTGAAGCAGAGGAAGATGCCGAGAAGGAGGACAGAGAAGAAGATATCAAACCTCAATTCGCAAGTGCAAAGGNNGAGAAGGGAATTGCTGTGAACCCCGAAGACTTCGCGAACGGCAACGGCTACGCATATGACGACGAAGAGCTAAGCGACGGAGAGCTTGAGGATGAAGACTACGGCGAGGATCCCGAAGAGATGTGGAACCTCAGAAAATGCTCTGCAGCTGCTCTGGACACGTTCGCAACGCGCTTCCATGAGCGTGTCTTCGAGTTCACCTTGCCATACCTGAAGGACAACCTCAACCATGCAGAATGGCCAAACAGAGAAGCCGCTGTGCTCGCTCTGGGCGCTATCTCCGTCGGTTGTATGGAAACTGTGCAGCCAAGTCTCCCGGATCTGGTTCCCTTCTTGATTTCGCTGCTCACAGATTCGCAACCTGTCGTAAGACAGATTACCTGCTGGGCGCTCGGACGCTATTCTTCCTGGGCTTCTCATCTGGACGAGGCTGGCAAGCGCCAATTCTTCGAGCCTATGATGGAGGGCATCTTGTTCCGCATGTTGGACAACAACAAGCGTGTCCAGGAGGCTGCGGCTTCCGCCTTCGCCAACCTTGAAGACCAAGCGACTCGTGAGATCACACCCTACTGTGTTATTATCGCGCAGCAGTTCGTCAAATGCTTTGGCAAGTACAAGGACAAGAACATGTACATTCTCTACGATTGTGTCCAGACTTTGGCAGAGCATGTGGGTCCTGACATGGCACAGCCAGCTATTGTTGATCTGCTTATGCCTGCGCTCATTCAACGTTGGACCGCAGTTTCTGACAAATCGCGGGAGATGTTCCCTCTTTTGGAGTGTCTAGCATATATCGCTACTGCACTTGGCGAGGCCTTTGCACCTTACGCCAAACCATTTTTCTCGCGTTGCATCAAGATCATTCAGGATAACCTTGAAGAGAGCAACCTTGCAGCTTCAGAATCATTCATGGACGTACCCGACAAGGACTTCCTTGTTACCAGCTTGGATCTGCTCAGTGCCATCATCCAGGCACTCGATGAGGCTAGAGCCAGCGAGCTCATCGCAACCGCCAACCCTAACTTCTTCGAGCTACTCGCGTACTGCATGAGAGACAGCAATAACGACGTCAAGCAGTCCGCATATGCTTTGCTCGGTGACTGCGCCATCTACGTCTTTGCTCAAATGCAGCCATACCTAGACTCCATCATGCGTATCCTTAGCATGCAGCTCGACTTGGCCGAGGCGCTTCGTGACACTGATCCCATGCTCAAGGAGACTGCATTCAGAGTGATTAACAATGCCTGCTGGTCTGTGGGAGAAATTGCAATGCGTCACCAAGCTGGCATGGACCCGTATGTTGAAGATTTGTTGCAGAAACTCGGCATGATCCTCTTCAGTCAACAGGTCCCTGAATCTCTGAACCAGAACGCAGCAATCGCACTGGGCCGCCTTGGTCTGGGTAACGACCAGAAACTTGCACCCCATCTTGCCCAGTTCGCCCCAGCTTTCTTGACCGTCATGCAGACTGTTGAGTGGACAGACGAGAAACTGGACGCTTTCAGAGGTTTCGTCCAGATCGTGTTGGACAATCCGCAGGCACTTGAGCAATGTTTGCTCGCCTTCTTCTCAGCAATTGCAAGTGTACCGGCCGACTCGCGTAAGGTCCCAGTGTCTCAGAATGAGAGACCATTTGAAGGATTCCACAAGGTACGTGGTGTATTGGCAGGAGTAGCGAAACTTGTGACTAACAACTTCTTAGNNGCTCTCCAGGCATACAAGAACATGATTCCGGACTTTGATGGATTCATCAGCCATCTGCCCCAGGATCAGCAGTACGAGCTCAGACAAAACTACAGCCTGTAAATGACAACGAATATTCCGACTGGAGTCGTACGCACATAACCCGACCGATGTCTTTTTTCCTTTTTCTTCCACGCGATGGCGAAACCAACACACTGGGGAACAATGTCGTACATATACCTATAGCAACGCATGGATGACGGCGGTATGATACGAAGCACGCACACAAAAGTGGTATCTGTTTTATGATTTTCGAGCGTACTTAGCGTAGCGTAGCATCTGCACGGGTTAGCCGGCAGCCTTTTTCTCTCTCTTTCTCTTGCTTCTTTTTCTTCCCATCATTCATTGCTCTCATCTTGTTGAACACAGCATGAATGGCCGATGGCGTTGATCCTCTTTTGTTGTCAAAGGACGGTTTGGAGGCGATACACAGACTCTCAAGATGGATCATGCTTTGAGAGACGAATTTCCCCTTTCACTTTTAGATAGGTATATAGGTAGCGCTTTTTGATCAGACATTTCCAACCATGTCCGCATCGCTGCAGTATAGTGTTATGACGACGAACGGTGGACGAGGACTATGTGTCGATGAGAACTCTAGCCGTTGCAATCATATTGATAAGACGATTGCTACTCTGGTGGCTTAAGCAATGCGACAGATAGGCTACCGACTGTTCGAAACCGCATTGCAGTGTTGATCCCCTTGTCAAGAGCCACGCGCGAGGAATTAGGATGCATAAGAATTCAAGCAGGAGTGTCTAAACTGTCTGTCATGCATCGTTGTGTGCTGTACTCAGTAGCCAACCGCTTTACTAACGGCTTGAACGATATATAGGCTGTTTGAGTAGTGTTTTTCAGGAATGGACAGCATCGATTAGAAGCCATCATCTGTTAGTTCCTTTTAGACGCATGCTTGGTCTGAAGAGGTCGCTGTGTTCTTGCAGCCGCTGCTACGTACACGGGTAATAGATGCTGCGCATGGGATGGCTGGGAGGGACTAGAGATCGAGGCGAAGCTATACCTTGGCTTGACTCAGACTGAAGGAGCAACATCGGAAGTGGGCGGCCTGTGGTTGCGAATGTAATTGTAAGAGAAGGCCTTAGGCACAGAGGCTTAGCCCTGACAATAGACACGAAGAACTCCTTGCGAAGCCTTGACAGCAATGAGTTACCAATAAGGGGGGTGCGAAAGGAGAGAAGGTTTGAAGGTCTAGATCCGGAAGTTGGAGTAGGATGCGCCAAGCGGAGCGACGACATGATGTGCATGCCCGACCTTGGGAACGAAACCACTTTCTTGACTCTACATCGAACATCGGCCTGATATCTGCAAGGCGCACTGGACTTTTAGTTGCGAAATTTGGTATCCGGTATACCAAAGTATTGCTTTCCTCCAGCCACCGCGATCTGAGGCTTTAACCGTTTCCCCCGCTGTCGCCTCTCCCGCACCTCGACACGATCCAAGCCGTGTGTAGCAGTAGCACGAAGTCTCCCACTCCTTGCACAAACATTCAACCAGGCCCATCGCCACAGCGCGACTGCGGCGATAGTCACAATCCATCATGGCTTCCAATCCGCCTCTTCCGCGAACAATGTCGACCTCGTACGTTCAACCCGCCTCGACGCCTGCCATCATTGTCAACGGCAAACCATGGACCGTCGGCTCTCACTATGGCACCATTTCTTGGAATTCAGAGAACGTACACGTAAAATCTATGGGTCTCAGTTCGACGGGTAAAGGAATCCTCATCGGCATGCTGTCTGCCTTTGGTTCGGCCGCCTTTGTCGCTATTATCCTGGCTTTCATCTACTTCTTCCGCTACACCAACCGTGGCCGTATCTTCCTCGACAGCATCGGCAGACCTGGAGAGTATGACGACGAGCAAGCTTTCTTGCGTGAAGAGGAGGATGCCTTGGAGGACATGGACGACCTGCAGCGTGCCGAGTATCTCCGCGCTAAGGGTAAGTGAAGCACATGCCCATCTTCCTGCAAAGAACCATTGCTGACATTGTGTCTTGCAGCTTTCGTCACAGCCAATCCTCCCGAGTCGGTTCAAACCGACATTTCGTTGTCGCAGTTCCTTGCAATTCAAGAGAAGGGTGTACAAGCTTGGGAGTTTGAGCCGGAACTGGAAATCGCAAACTGCTTTGTCGAGGGTCGCACCGAGATTGAGTTCTTCGATGCTGAGTGCAGTGTCCAAAGCAATCTGCCTGTGCCCAAACAGAACGAGGTCTACTACTGGGAAGCAAAAATCTTCGATAAGCCCGACACTACCCTGATCAGCATTGGCATGACCACAAAACCCTATCCTCTGTTCCGACTTCCCGGTATGTTGCAATTGTTGATCCTACTTGGGATTCGTGACTAACACGTACAGNGTATGCACAAGCACTCCGTCGCTTATACTTCGTCAGGCCAACGCAGATACAACCAACCTTTCTCTGGCACGAACTATGCACCATCATACGAGCAGGGAGACGTTGTCGGAGTAGGCTACAGGCCTCGCACTGGAACCGTCTTTNTCACTCGCAACGGAAAGAAATTGGAAGATGTTGCTCATGGTCTCAAATCACAAAATCTCTTCCCCACCGTCGGAGCCACTGGACCTTGTAACATTCAAGTCAACTTTGGCCAGATGGGCTTTGTCTTTATCGAAGCCAATGTTAAGAAATGGGGTCTCGCTCCCATGACTGGCAGCCTTGCACCACCGCCACCATACGGAAGCGAACAAGGTAGCATTCTCCTCGAAGGTGGTAGAGAGGGCGTCCGTGAGGGCCAAGCATATATCCATGGTCGTACACATAGCGCTTCCGTCCGTCTGGGGAGACAAGCAACCAGTCCCGGCCCTCGACGATCACCTACTGAAATCTCTCTTGCTCAGCTCAGTCTGAACGAATCACGGGAAGACATAGGCGAAGGCACGAGCTACACACCAGCTGGTCAAGTGTCTGAAGATGCTCTTGCGATGCCGCCACACTCGGACGCACCACCACCAGAATACGAAAGCCCAGATGAGGAGAATCAGTTCTCAACACCAAGGCCGAGTATGCATTCTGAGCATTCACATCTGCTTCCGCATGATCCACCGATCCCATCTTACGAAGCAGCGGTTGGAGAACGCGCGAGTAGGTCCCGCGACGATGACAACTAGCCAGTCAATCATGATTTTCTTCTTTTTGATACTATATTTCTTTCATGGAGTTTTAGCGATTTTCCATTGGGTGGAAGGTGTTTCTCTACGGATTGTGTATTCCCCCTCCCAAACAGGGTAGGCTGGCAGGGCAAGTGAAGGTTTCATGGGTTGGGCAGGATTAGTGTGACAAAGGGAATATGGGGTGGGTTCGAATGTTACATTCATTTGCAAATTTCACAACGAACTGTCGATTTATCATCTCTTCTCTCTTCTCAGCGCCACAAGAGCCTGCCAATCTGTTTGACAAGTTGAGCCTCACCCCACAGAAGATAACGATAACGAATAGTGACGTATGCCTTCCATCAAACGCCTTCGACCATTTGAAGATACTCCAGAGAAGACAAGCATCTTACGCCTATCTTACAGATGAAACCGACATTTCAAAAGCTCACACAAGCAGTCATGGCCACATCAAGCATTCTCACTCCACTCAAAGAGCTCAAAGTCGCCAAACATCAGATCCCAGCACATGGCTTGACGCCCAACACATCAATCCAGAACAAACCTCTGCTATTATACAGAAATGCATTCAAGACAAACACTAGTGCGGGTCAGATTGAAGAACACCTGACCAACGTGGGTGTAGTGGACCCAGCATGGAGGTATACTGTAAGTCATCCCTTTCTGTAATTCCCGAATAACAATGTCAAGATAATGGCTTTACTGATGGCATCAGNNATGTATTCAACATCACACTTCCACAGCACCTCGCACGAAGTTCTCGCCATCTGCAATGGAGAAGCCAAACTTTGCTTCGGGCATGAAGACAACCCAAGCCGTGTAGAGGAAACACTGAAGCAAGGGGATGTGGTTGTTGTGCCTGCAGGTGTAGCTCACAGACTGCTGGAAGACATCAAAGGAGGATTTGAGATGGTTGGCTCGTATCCTAGGGGATTGAGTTGGGATATGTGTTATGGAAAGAAAGGAGAGGAGAGCAAGGTTAAAGGGATTGAGAAATTGGGATGGTTTGAGAAGGATCCGGTGTATGGAGAGGAAGGACCTGCTCTGGAGGGTTGATCATGGTCTCAACAAAAGTATTGTGCATTGAGTCTCGTATGAAGGCTCGTATCAGTTTGGAAGCATTTCCTAAAAGCATCATTTCCTGATTGCTTAACGTCGACCACAAGTCTGCAGCAATGCATGGGGTTTCAAACACACGTCCGTGAGGCTAGACACATAATCTAGAAGGTAGCACAGACAATTCTGAGAAGGTCCGATATTCCGTGTGCAGAGCATTTTCCGTCAAAACAAACATTGTGTTGTAAGTGAATCAGGCACCCCTCGCACGATCAGGCAGCCGCGTTCCCCAGGTTTTCGGAGTTTACCGTCAGGGTAACAGTTGCCTCAGCGCGAAGTATGACATACTGAACAATCAAGAGAGTGAGCTCCTACAATTCCGCGTTCACCTCTACCCCTCCATCACATATCACCCCTCGACAATACTATCGACTTGGTATTGTGAGCCCGTCACCTGGGTATTGAACACCAACACATCCTCCCATCTCTTCGCCACTTCCTCACCGCACAGTCTTATTCGGCGACGCGCATACTCACAATCGCCCGCGTGCTCAAACCCCTCATACTGCAACCATGGCGAAGAATGCCACCGCTATGCCCCAGCTGCCCGGCAAGGACGACATACAAGGAACATGGGACTTCCTCGCTATCGGTGTCGAGAAGATTATGAATCACCTGCGTGATGGCATCGATCTCAAGACATACATGAGTCTGTACACAGCCATCCACAACTTCTGCACAGCTCAGAAGGCTGTCGGTCAAACCACAAACCTCAACGCCACGCATCGTGGAGGTGAGTCTGACCATCTCCATATCCATCTACACGTCCTAGAAAGCTAACACACGCCTACAGCACACCTCCTTGGAGAAGATCTTTACAAGCGCCTAAATGACTACCTCAAATCTCACCTCGCAAGTGTCCACGCTGAGATGGTCAAACACTCAGATGAGGCTCTTCTGTCCTTCTACATCAAGGAGTGGAACCGCTACACCACCGCCGGCACCTACAACAACCATCTCTTCCGCTACCTCAACAGGCACTGGGTCAAGCGCGAGATCGACGAAGGCAAGAAGGACATTTATGACATTTACACCTTGCACTTGGTTCGATGGAAGGAGGACATGTTTGGCACCACCCAGAACGCTGTTATGGATGCCGTTTTGCACCTGGTCGAGAAGCAGCGCAACGGCGAGACGATCGAGCAGAGTCAGATCAAGAGCGTCGTCGACTCGTTCGTCTCATTAGGCATCGACGAGCAGGACAGCACAAAATCGACCCTCGATGTCTACCGCATCTACTTCGAAAAGCCATACCTCGAGGCTACCGAGAAGTACTACGCCCAAGAATCTCGCCAGTTCCTCGCCGAGAACACCGTCGTCGAATACATGAAGAAGGCTGAACAGCGTCTTGAAGAAGAGAAGGAGCGTGTCCCTCTGTACCTTCTCAACGAGATCATGACTCCGTTGATGAAGACTTGCGAGAAGGCTCTGATTACCGATCACTGTGCTATCCTCCGCGACGAGTTCCAGGTTCTTCTCGACAACGACAGAGTTGAAGACATGACCCGCATGTACAAGCTGTTGGCCCGTATCCAGGATGGACTTGATCCTCTGCGTAGCAAGTTCGAGGCTCACGTTCTCAGAGCTGGTAACGCTGCCGTCGACAAGGTTGCCTCTGCTGCTGAGAGCTCGATCGACCCCAAGACTTATGTGGACGCCCTGCTTGAGGTCCACACGAAGTACTCAGATCTCGTGCAGACTGCTTTCAATGGTGAGTCTGAGTTTGTGCGTAGTCTCGACAATGCTTGCCGCAACTATGTCAACCGCAACTCTATCTGTAAGAACGGATCAACTCGCTCTCCCGAGCTTCTATCCAAGCACGCCGACACACTACTGAAGAAGTCGACCAAGAGTACTGAGGAAGACGACATGGAACAACAGCTCAACCAGGTCATGACCGTTTTCAAGTACATCGAGGACAAGGATGTCTTCAACAAGTTCTACTCCAAGACACTGGCCAAGCGTCTGGTCCAGNGCACATCCGCCTCCGGCGATGCTGAGACTAGCATGATCTCCAAGCTCAAAGACGCAAGTGGATTTGAGTACACCAACAAGCTCCAGCGTATGTTCCAGGACATGCAGACATCTAAGGATCTCAATGCATCATATGATGAATGGTGCAAGGGAAACCTCGAAGAGTCTGACCGCAAGGCCATTATTGACTCTTACTACAACGTCCTCGGTACCGGTTTCTGGCCTCTGCAGCCCTCGAGCACTCCCTTCACACCTCCACAGGATATCGCACGCACATACGAGCGATTCCAGAGCTACTACCTTAGCAAACACGGTGGTCGTAAGCTTACTTGGCTATGGCATCTTTGCAAGGGTGAAATCAGAGCAAACTACGTCAGGATGAACAAGGTCCCATACACTTTCCAAGTTTCGACATATCAGATGGCCATTTTGCTGCTCTTCAACGACAGCGAAACAGTCTCCTACGATGAAATCTCCGAAGCCACGAAGCTGAACAAGGACACCCTTGACCCCTCGATTGCTATCATGCTCAAGGCAAGAGTGCTCACAGCCAAGCCCGAAGGCGCTGGTCAAGCAAGTGGTACTTCTTACACTCTCAACCACGGCTTCAAGAACAAGAAGCTCAAGGTCAACCTCAACATCGCCATCAAGTCCGAGCAGAAGCAGGAAGTCGAGGAGACGCACAAGACCATCGAGGAGGACAGAAAGATGCTGATGCAGGTAAGTCGTTGTTTGATCCATGTCATTTCGAATGTGCAGCATGCTAACATACTCAACNAGTCTGCTATCGTCCGTATCATGAAGTCTCGCAAGACAATGAAGCACACACAGCTCGTGGCCGAGGTTATCTCGCAGATCAAGAACAGATTCGTGCCCAAGGTTCCAGACATCAAGAAGTGTATCGACATCCTCCTGGAGAAGGAGTACCTCGAGCGCTTGGAAGGTGATGAGCTTGGCTATTTGGCTTAGTAGTAGAGCACGAAGAGGTATGAAACAATGGGAGCAGGCGTTTTTGGGGTGCGAAAATGGGGTACCCTGGTAGAATTCGAGCATGGCGTTCTGGGATGGCGTGGCTTTTCCATCGTCGTAAGATACGATGGTCATTATTCTGGAGCTTTCACGTTCGTAGAAACGCAATTGCATCTGTATCTATCCTTGATTGAGCGAACATTACTGCACATGATTCTTCGCCAATAACTGAAGATGTGCTCATGTGGTTCGGAGAAGTGTCGGATCTAATCTTATCTCCATGCATCGGCGGGAAAGCGCAAACACCACGGCCGCCCCGCGACGGCCAGCAACACCGTCACAAGAGCGTTCCGCGATCTAAGTCACATCCAACATACGTGAGCAATAGCCAGATGCTGGAACTCCGTTACATCAGTATTCCATTTCTCACAGCTATTGCGCCCCATCGCTGAAGAACAGCAACGCGATGGAAAGACAGAGGAAGCGTACGCTGGAGATCGAGCTCGACAGCGAAGTATAGATCGCTGACAATGAATTGCAGGCGAGCTGCGCGACCTCAACCAGCGGGCATGGGCTGGTGAAACCAACGTCCTCCCTGTTCAGGGCTCGCTCGATTCGTCCATGAAANAGAACACCGCTTTCATTAAGCGTCTACGAACCGCCATCAACGCTGCTGGCCAGGCCGTCTTCCTGCAGGAAATATGCACCCTCTCTCTACACAAATACCTGTCTGAAATCATCTCTGCCTGCTTCGAAGGTCTCACCAAACTCAAGACTCCTGGAGAAATCGCTGCTGGTGTTGAAATCGTCTCCGCTCTTCACCAACGATTTGGTCCTGATGAATTCACAAAGATGCTCGGCTGGTTCATCGGCCGTGGCCTTGCTACACCTGACAGAGCTCAGTTGAAGGCTTTGGCTCAAGACGTACGGGAAAGGGAAGAGAAGGAGCGAATCTCAAGACAGCGCATCCTTTTGCGCGTAGCTACTGAGTTGTGGCTGGTCGGTGTCTTGCGTAGTTTGGAAGATATTGCTCGCCCTGAAGAAGCCAACAAGTTGAAAGAGTCGGGAAAGCCTGTCGAAACCTTGCCTAAGGCCAGAACAACCCGGTCCGACTCTGCAGACCCGGAACCTTTCCCTCTGGAAGTGCTCAAGGATATGCTGGGCCACGATCGCGAGCATGTCAATCTGCCTCTGGTTGTCATCTTTGTCAAGAGTTTTGCCTGGGATATCTTGGCTTCAAAGTCCACACAGGATGGTCGCAAGACTGTTGCCGAAGATGGCTCGACCGCCACGACCGGCTCTACAGACGAGGTTGATGGCGATGCAAACGGGACTCAAGACCCTCCGCTATGTGCTCCCGATATGCAGCAGCGGTTTAAGAACATCCTCAGCCGCTACTTCCAGGATGTCAAGGTACACATAGTTCGTGACCAGAAACATCTCAGCGCCCAAGGACGCCGCAACGCCGAAGCATACGTCAAGTCTGGAGAAGTCTTCGAGGATCGCCAAACCAACTTTGAGAAATTGACAAAATCTCACGAGAAGTTGGTCTCGAACGCTCAGGTCCTGGCAGATGCACTAGGTGAGGACATGCCAGATCTTTCTGAGAAGGAATCGAACAATGCTGGTGGTGATGGAGGTATTGGCCTGGTCAAGACTGGCGAATATCTGCGTGGCCAAGGCGAAGGTGCTGGCATCTGGGAGGACGAAGAAGAGAGACGCTTCTACGAAAACTTGATCGATCTCAAGGACAGAGTACCTGGAATCTTGCTTGAGGATGGCAAGAAGAAGAAATCTGACGGCGATGATCAAGTGGGTAAGAGGGTGGACGAGGCATCCGAGGTCAAGGACAAGTCTGAGGGCGCAGAGCCCAAGGTAGCAGAGGGTGATGACCAGTCAACTGCTATTGCCAACAAGACAGTTGGTGCACAGGTTGATGCCTTGCTTGCTCAGCTAGTCGATTTGACCAACAAAGACCAAGTCGATCAATTCGCGATCGACTTCTGCTTCTTGAACTCCAAGGCTTCTCGAAACCGCTTGGTGAGAGCTATCCAGGACATTCCCAAAGGCAGGACCGATTTGTTACCTCTATACTCACGTCTTGTCGCTACTCTCGGCAAGCATCTTGTTGACGTTCCGCAAGCACTAATCGCCTACCTCGATGAGGNNGAGTTCAGAAGTCTGCAACGCCGCAAGTCAAAGGACTTCCTCGGACAAGTCCGTATGGTCAACATCAGATACATTGCCGAGCTCACCAAATTTGGCGTTGTTCCTGAGCATGTCATCTTTCATTGTCTGAAGGTCAGCTTGGACGATTTCTCACGCATGAACATTGAGATCATCTCAAACCTTCTCGAGAACTGTGGTCGCTACCTTCTCCGCAACCCAGACACTTCACCCAGGATGGCTTCTTTCTTGGAGACTTTGCAGCGCAAGAAGGGTGCTCAGCATCTTGGACAGCAAGAGCGCATGCTTATCGAGAATGCTATGTACTACGTCAACCCACCAGAGCGAGCAGCCATCCAACAGAAGGAGCGTACTCCTCTGGAGCTATATGTGCGTAAACTGATCTACTTGGACCTGTCGAAGCGCTCTCTTGAGAAAGTCATCAAGCAAATTCGAAAGCTACACTGGGAGGAGCCAGAGGTCCCAGAACTACTTCGCAAGATCTTCACCAAGCCCGGCAAAATTAAGTATAGTAATATTCATCTGTTGGCTGTCATTCTTGGAGCGCTGCACCGCTATCACCAGAACTTCACTGTCTCTGTGCTTGACGACATCCTCGAGCAGATAACAGTTGGACTTGAGACCAACGACTTCAAGCAGAACCAGAAGCGCATTGCCGAGGTCAAGTATCTTGGAGAGTTGTACGTCTACCGCATGGTCGATTCTGCACTCATCTTCGATACGCTATACCACGTCGTGAACTGCGGTCATCCAGGTGGCTTCGCTCGCCCTGGCTCCTACAACATGCTTGACCTGCCGGATGATTATTTCCGCATCAGACTTGTGGCTAGTCTTCTCGAGACCTGCGGCATGTACTTTGACAAGGGTGCTGTGAAGAAGAAGCTCGACTTTTTCTTGTCGTTCTTCCAGTACTACATTCAGACCAAGGAGCCGATGCCCATGGATGTCGAATTTGTTGTTCAAGACATGTTCGCTCTACTGCGACCTCAATGGAAGATTGCTACAACTTTCGAAGAAGCACAGCAAGTCTTCAGCGATGCTGTCAAACACAACTACCAGACGACCGGATCCAACAAGCAGCAAGAAGAACAAGAAGAAGAGGAAGAGGAGGATGGCCGTGGTATTGACGACGTCAACAATGATGATGGCGAAGACGACAAATCCTCTGGAGATGAAGCCGCAGAGCCCACCGATGACGAGGGTGCTGCAGAAACTCCAGAGGAAGATTCTGAAGAGGAAGAAGAGCACATCATCGTGACTCGCCCCGAGGATCAACGTGATCCTGAGGCAGATGCTGAGTTTGATAGAGAGCTGGCCAAGATGATGGCAGACAGTGTCGAGTCGCGCAAGTTTGACCGCAAGCCTGTCTTTGACGTCCCCTTGCCGATGCGTAAGACTGCTACTGCTACGTCAACTCCTAACAGTGAACCAAGTCAGCCCGTTGAAGCTCCTTCAAACACGATGAAGTTTGCACTTCTCAGCAGAAAAGGAAACAAACCACAGGCAAGACTTCTGATTCAACTCTCTGTACTTGCGAAGCGCCTGTATGCTAACTTACATAGANCTCGCTCTATTGACCTGCCTTCAGACTCGAACTTCGCGGTTGCCATGCGTAGCCAGCAAGAGCAAGCTCGTGCAGAGCAGCAACGCATCAAGAACCTGGTCCTCAACTATGACCTCCGCGACGAGGACCCTAACGATGGTGAATCATCCTTCCACTATGTTTTGCAGCCCAACAAGAACCGTACGGTTCTCGTAGGCAAAGGTGCCTTGAACCAACCACTGCTACCTAGGGATTCCAACAATCCTGGGGTTGCAAACACATCCAACACATCGAGATCAAGCAGCCATGGCAATATCAACACTGCTCATGGTATAAGTCTTCATACACCTTCTCCCCCTTCCGCGATCACATCCTCTTACGTCTGCACTCGCAATAACAACAACGAGAATTCAAAGCTCGGAATCACCACATCAACCACAGATGCTAACTCATCCTCTTCTAAATCCACAGCAGCACTAGATGCACAATCTCCCTACAATCAACCTCGTATCGACAAGTCGGGAACTTCACGCAACGTCACAAGAAGCAGAAAGCTGCAGCTCAGTGATGTCGACTGGTATGCCAAAACTTCCTCCAACCCCCAAGCACCATCATCGCAGAAAGAGAAGCCAGAAACTCAGTTGAGCTTGGAGTCATACATTGTCACCAGCAAGAAGCAGAAGAAGACTTTTGAGAAGAAGAACAAAGGTCCTGATGCCCTTGGCAACTCTTGAAGAAAGAACGAGACAGTATTGCTTGCAAAAACCATCACACAAAACGTCATAACAGCAGAAAACGATAGAAAACTGATGTAAGGCCCCCGTTGGGCAATCGCAGGACTTGAAAACCCGATATCGATACGTATCCATTACCGAACCGATAACCACCGACATACGACATCGAAGCTTCAGATAGCTGTTGTTCTTGCATCACCGATCTGCAACTGCTCAGCCGGCAACACCGAGGCTGCCTTATCTCAAATGCATGAGGCGGTTGCACACGGTACTTCGTGTCTTCTGATCAAGGTAAAAGCTTCGCTTGTGGTCAGAGTGACAGTGGCTCTTCACCAACCCAGCTTGATTCCAGAACCGAAGACCCCCAAAGGAGGAATTGAGGACACAAGAGAAGATCTTTGAAATGGCAGCAAGCTAGCAAGAGCAATTTTGCGACAGGGCTGCTGAGTCGAGCTGAGAGACCTTTTCTTGCCGAAGAAAGAAGTGGTTACAAAGCCCTATCCGCGGTTTTATGGCTTTGCTCTCCTTTCTTGACGTCTGGCCTTTGTTTGCAAAGATGAGAGTGAAACGCAAAGTCAAACAGTAGATATCCTCCCCCAAAACACGCTCTTTCTTGTTGCGTTGAGCATACATGTGGTGAAGATCTTGTTTGCAGTTTTGTGTGTTTGGCTTCCTCAATTGTCAACACTGATACAGACTCTATAGGATTCTTCTTGAGCTCTGACAAACATAGATATGGACGACAAAGAACTAATCGGAACAGCTGTTGTGCATGCAACAAATCATCTTTATCACGAGAGGACGTTCCAAACGATTTAGCACGATCAACAGGGGCACAAAGAATTTGGATAAGGTTTGCATTTAAGCAACGCAGGTCGGTACAGTTAAAGGAATAACGCCCGTTTTGCGCCCGACTTAGTGAAAACGCCGTTAACATTTCAGGTCATCGTCGTCAGCAAACGCCTCCATGAAACATAAAGCATGAACCATAAACCATAAACCATGAAGTCATTGATGCCGTTTCAGCCTTTGCGAGCCTTCATCGCCCGAGTCGTCAATAAGGGCTTCTTCCATCGCTTCAAGTAGTGGCCTCGCATCTTCATAGCCTTCTTCAATACCGATTTGCTGAGCGAGAGCATTGATTGAACGAATTGCAGTGTTGATGAAGCATCTGCCCAGGTGTGCAGAAAAGAAGATGTAGGCGCCACTGTACGATCTTGAAGCTAGTTCTTGGGAGTGGAAGTGGTGTAGCCAGCCTTGGGCTCGGAGTTGAAGATGTGCTCCATGGCAGCTCTCTTCTTGTCGTCGATCTTGAAGCTCTGCTTTCTACCAGGGTAGAGAGCAGGAGGAACATCGGAGCCACCGTGGTCGCTGCCGATGGCAATGCCAATGGCGTCGATGTCGTCTTGCTTGCCAGTGGCAGCAGCACGGGCTCTCAGAGACTGCTCGAACTCGTCGGTGAGACGACGACCGGAGTTGGTGTGGTCGTGCTTGATGCTGGGGTGCGAGTGGGGAGGATGCATCTCAGGCGAGTGGTACTCGGGTCCCATGTTGGTAGAGGCCGGGGAGCCAGCGGAGACAGGGCTACTGTCGCCAGCTGAGGTGCCGGGACGCTCGTTGATGAGATCTTGGTTGGTGGAAGGGTGGGAAGCCATTGCAGGGTGGTTTGTTGTGGTAACGATGATGGGAGATGAAGAAGAGTGAGTTTTTGCTGCTCCGGTCGACGCCACGTCCNNGAACAAAGGTACTGTATGNGGACGCGAGATGGTTGTTTCAGATGTGCTGACGATGAACTGTGATGAGGGATGAAGGTTTGTAGGAAGGGTGATGTCGTGTGGTTATGGACAGAAGAGTGAGGAGGGTGGAAGGCGTTTGCGTCGAGTACCCCGNTTCGTCTTTCGTCGGGGCAACTACCCCTCGACGAACGAACGACACATCGCTACTTGTCTTGTGTCTTGTTTTACGATTGCTGCAAATCTGGGAAGGAAATGCCTTTGAGGCTTCTATCATGAGATGGACGAGGTACATCTGGAAGGTACCTCTCTACCACTTTCCTGCAGATCGCCTTTCCCCGCATCTCACCTATACTGTCGATCGAGCACGAGCTGTCTTGAGCAACAGAGTCTGTGACATCGTTCTCGTCTCGTCCTAGACCTGCTTCATTTGTCTAGATACTGAGTCCATGTGCTCAGCCCAGTAAGACAGCAAACGGTCTTCGTCGATACCGTAGAAGCCTCTGACGGCAGTGGCAGGCTTCTGTGCTCTGTTCAAGAGTTCAATAGAGACAACGCTTGCGACAAAAAGTCTCGAAGCTGTTCAATACAATAGCGTGCCCAGCCACAAAGAAGATCAAACTTTCGGCCGCTTCGGACCTTGTCTTTTGAGCCCTGACTTTCGAAACACACACCTTGGCAAGACGTATCTGATACGACTTTGATGCGATTCATGCGAAAGAGCCTGTGCGACCCTTTCGGATCCTTGTACGGCATTACTTCTGGAAGGGCACGTCGCTTGACTCGTATTTGTATATCTTCAAAAGGCAATGCCAATTCGCCAAGAGACGCATGAGCCTCCTAGCATAGACTCGCGTGCTGTACTGCGCCCTCTTGCCTGACGCAATCTCGAGTTGGGCCGAGCCATCACGAAGCGAAGAGTCGAAGACAGATGCGGGATATCGAAAGTCGGTGAAGGCCCGGCATCAATCAACCTTTTCCCTTGAATGCTAAACGATGTCGCTATCCCCCTTCGGCATCATTGAGCAGATTTGAAACGGCTGTGCAATCCCCGTTGAGAAGTGTTCTCATCCTAATACACGCCACTATCCCCACACCTGGCCTGCCTGTCTCGCATCTTTCCTCTATTAGTCTCTGAACCTCCAGTCCGGCACTCCGCTTGAAGGAAAAGAAACATTCCACGTGCCTTCTCTGGTGAATAATATCTCGCCGTTTCTCACCTTTCTCCTCCTCACGCTACCTCATTCCCAACTCAGACAACCGTCTCTACCCTGGTTTCGGCTCTCGACCTATACATATCGGTATTGACCCACCTTGAAGAGCATGCTCATTTGAATTCTCAACGCATTTGCATTCATTCATGATGTCGACTCTATCTTCTCCAGCTTTGAGCTTCTGCGACTCTCTCTCTTCTCCGGAGCTTGATGCCTATCTGGACAGTCTTTCACCTTTGTCTCAACTACCGTCGCCTACGATGAAGGNNGAAGCCTGGTGGAGAGAAGAAGCTCTTCATGGAAGACATGACTCGCTGGTTTCCGACATTTCGTCCTCATGTAAGTTTGATCAAACACATCTGCCGGCTGGCACGTGAGCTCATGGTAATCATANNGTCACTATTGCTGCAAACATTCTATGCAATATCACTTCGTGTGACAGCTGCAGCTCCATCAAACCACTGCAAACAAAAGTCACACAGTTCTTGAGCAATTCTCGAGTGCCCATGGAGACTGTTGCCCTGACCTACAACATCTTGTCTCAACCAGCCGTTGCAGCTATGCATTGCTGGCACGGCAACCCGACCGCTTTTACTAAGATTATGCAAATTCATGGACCAGAATCGGATGGTTCTTGTCAGCGAGCCCTGGTTATTCTATCGGCTCTGAATGTTGCCGTATCCTTCACCGAAGACCACCCCAGAAGCTTGTTATACTGGTCAAGACAAGTAGCTGGAAATATCTTCAGCACCGAGCAAATTAGCACCATGAATCGTATGCTTCTTGCCAAGCTAGATTGGTCAATTCATTCTCTTGCTGCACCAAAGGCGATTGAATCAGCTCTCGCGACTCTATCGGGCCCGGAAGTTGTCACGCACGACAAACATTCGGCGGTCGCACCATTCATCGTTGGCGAGGAGGATGCTCTCAGGTTAATCCTCGGGCCACAAACGGTTATTCAGCATGGACTAGCAACACCTGATCCATCACCAGATTGCTTGCATGAAGATGATGGTTCAATGCCTCAGTATCTTCCTGCGACCCCAGCATAAATCCATCAAATAGATGGTGTTCATCAACGAAGCGGGCTTCGTCGGACGGGCTTGGCCCTGGAGGTCGATGCGGGTACAGGTACGACATATTGCATGCAGGATCAGGTGTTAGGAGGATAAAAGTGATATTCAATATGAGGGTAATGGCGCATGAAGGACACAGGCAAAAGGCAGGCTGCATGATTTCTAGCTGGTCACGGAGATACCCACCTGATGGATTGTTCACGATATGGCGACAGTGCATTGTAAGCGGACGAGAGACTAGGCAATAGTTAATGCTAATAACAATATAAACTACTGCACGTCGGACAAGACAGTCAGCACTTGGTGGTTGATGTGCAAGAATCGGGACGATTGTCAACCTAATAGGGCAAGGAGCTTGAGCTGCAAGAAGGTTTAGGGATCCGAGCGGCTCCAGACCCGCGCCTTCCCTGAATATTACCCCGCATCAGGAGACATTATTGGGGGAAGTTACGGAGTTACGAGGACCCAACAGCAGCAACAACTCTCGTACGCAGCAGCCACCCACGACACCAAGTCCAGAGCTTCGGGAGCGTTGGGGGCCGTCGACATCTTCCTCTGTTTCTCACCTCATCCTCCTTCTTCCCCTGTCAATCATCTTGCAGTCCGAGTCTGACTAGCTGCAAGAGCTGCCCCTCATACCCCTCCAACCCGCTCGTTCTTCAGTCTCCTCGTACCGAAGTCATCATGGCCACCACAGCTACTGCCTCGCGCTCACGCAGACCTTCGACATCAGCTCCAGTAGCTGAGCTCTCAGGTCCCATTGGGCCTGCTGGCATCACAAGACCCAAGCACAAGCGTACAATTACTGGCTTTGGTGCATCCGATATCAAGAGCGTCGAAGCTGAGATCCCCGATGCTCAAAAGACTGCGTAAGTAACGAGAGCAGTAGACACAGTGCGAGCTCTACTAACACGATGTTCTAGCTGGAAGAAACATGTGCGCCAATGCCCAACTCTCGAGACCAACCCAATCGAACGACCAATGCTAACCCGAGCAGNNACTGCTTCAGGCTTCACGAACAAGGAGGACTTCGAGGTACAACAGGCTTCAACGAACATACATCTCACAGTTCTGACTGAGCTGGCAGNNGCTGCGGCAATTCGCCACATCGAGACTACTCTTGCTCGCTCTCTCTACAACTGCGATGAAGGGTCGGTCTCAGCGTCCTCTCACACAAAGCATTGAGCTGATGTAGATCCTAGTGCTGCCTATGGCGGAACAGCTTTGGCATTCCGCGACCGCCTGATCATCGACTGGAACAAGACGCAACAGAGCCACACTTTCGCTGATCAGAAGCGCGTCTACNTGTAAGACCAGCGGTCCTCATCCTCGCCGTCAATACTGACAGCCATAGACCTCTCACTCGAGTTCTTGATGGGAAGAGCATTGGACAATGCCATGCTCAATGTTGGCCTGAAGGATGTAGCAAGAGGTATAACATCCACCCTGGTATACCACACATGCCTAGTCTAATCTTTGTACANNGACGGTCTCGCAGATCTCGGCTTCCGCATGGAGGACGTGATTGGCATCGAGCGCGATGCTGCTCTCGGTAATGGTGGTCTTGGTCGTCTAGCAGCTTGCTTCCTGGACAGTCTTGCCTCACTCGACTACCCCGCCTGGGGTTACGGTCTAAGATACAGATATGGTATCTTCAAGCAGGAGATCATCAACGGATACCAAGTCGAGGTTCCTGACTACTGGCTCGACTTCAACCCCTGGGAGTTTCCTCGACACGATGTTACCGTCGACATTCAATTCTACGGTAATGTCCGCAAGTACAACGATGACAACGGAAGACAGGTATCAGTCTGGGAGAATGGCGAGATAGTCACTGCCAACGCCTACGACGTACCAATTCCTGGTTACAACACTCCTACCACAAACAACCTGCGTTTGTGGTCTAGCAAAGCTGCCAGCGGCGAGTTTGACTTCCAAAAGTTCAACTCTGGCGAGTATGAGCAGTCTGTTCATGATCAGATGAGAGCAGAAACCATCTCTGCAGTGCTGTATCCTAACGACAAGTAAGTTGTGTTCGATGAGCGATGATGAACAGCAGACTAATACCACGATAGCCTTGACCGCGGCAAGGAGCTTCGTCTCAAGCAACAATACTTCTGGTGCGCTGCTTCGCTCCATGACATCGTCCGTCGTTTCAAGAAGTCANAAAAGGCATGGAAGGAGTTCCCAAACCAGATTGCCATTCAACTCAACGACACTCACCCAACGCTTGCTATTCCAGAGCTGCAGCGTATTCTGGTCGACAACGAAGGTCTTGACTGGGACACTGCCTGGAGCATTGTTGTCAACACCTTCGGCTACACCAACCACACCGTCATGGCTGAGGCTCTTGAGAAGTGGTCTGTTCCCTTGATCCAGCATCTGCTGCCTCGCCACCTCGAAATCATCTACGAGATCAACTTGCACTTCTTGCAGTATGTCGAACGCACCTTCCCTAAGGACCGCGACATGCTCTCTCGCGTCTCTATCGTCGAGGAGTCCAACCCAAAGATGATCCGTATGGCTTTCCTCGCCATTGTTGGCTCTCACAAGGTCAACGGTGTAGCAGAACTGCACTCCGACCTGATCAAGACCACCATCTTCAAGGACTTTGTCAAGATTTACGGTCAGGACAAGTTCACTAATGTTACCAATGGTATCACTCCTCGTCGTTGGTTGCACCAAGCCAACCCTAAGCTGTCTGAACTTATCGCTTCGAAGCTTGGTGGCTACGACTTCCTGAAGGACCTGACCCTCTTGCACAAGCTCGAGGCATATGCCGATGACAAGCAGTTCCGCAAGGCATTCCAGGACATCAAGTACGCCAACAAGACTCGCCTCGCCAACTACATCAAGCAGACTACTGGCGTATCAGTCAACCCTGCAGCTCTGTTCGACATCCAGGTAAAGCGCATCCACGAATACAAACGTCAACAGCTCAACATCTTCGGTGTCATCCACCGCTACTTGGCTCTCAAAGCCATGTCACCTGAGGAGAGAAAGAAGATGCAACCCAGAGTTTCCATCTTTGGTGGAAAGGCTGCTCCTGGTTACTGGATGGCCAAGTGCATCATTCATCTTGTCAATGAAGTTGGCAGAGTTGTCAACAACGACCCTGAGATTGGTGATGCTTTGAAGGTCATATTCATTGAGGATTACAATGTCTCCAAGTGTGAGATCATTGCACCTGCTTCTGATATCAGTGAACACATTTCCACTGCTGGTACCGAGGCCTCAGGTACTTCCAACATGAAGTTCGTCCTGAACGGTGGTCTCATCATTGGTACCTGCGATGGTGCCAATATCGAGATCACTAGAGAGATTGGCGAGGACAACATCTTCTTGTTTGGTAACTTGGCCGAGGATGTCGAGGACATCCGTCACCAACACACCTATGAAGGTGTCCTCATCGATGATGGTCTTCAGAAGGTCTTTGACGCCATCCACAATGGCACGTTCGGCCACTCGGACGAGTTCTCTGCTCTGACAAACACTGTCGTCAACCACGATCATTGGTTGACCTCTGCTGACTTCGAAGCATACTGTAAGACTCACGATGCCATCGACGAGGCCTTCAAGGACCAGGAAGCCTGGCTCCACAAGACCATTCTTGCTGTCGCCCGTATGGGCTTCTTCACTGCTGATCGTTGTATCGAGGAATACGCCGAGATGATCTGGAATGTCGAGCCTCAGAAGATCAAGCAGAATGGCGCATAATGGTAGAGGGATAGACAAACGTCTTTCAAAACACCAACGAGACATGATAAATAGGTACAGAAGTCTATAGTGCTTTTTTCCAGTAATGATCAAACATTAGTAGTCATTTGCTTCATGTGCCCAAATGTTTCTATGCCGTTACACTCTGTCCACGCCCACAGAAGTTCGTCCTCGTTTCTCTACGATCTCGTAACATGCAGGCCGTCGGTTAGCCCTCTTACCAGATGGTTTGAACCTGCGCCATGAGCTGCTTGGGAGTGTCTATCGTTGGAATCACCTCAGTCTTGGGATTCTTCTGAGATGTCTTGTGGTGTCTACTATATCAAGAGCAGTTGTCTGGCTACATTGAGACGTCAGAACATTGGTGGCACATCATGAAGCCCGATGGCAAGGCAGGAGCCAGTGATCTGACCAGACGACTCAAAGCATAGTCGTCGCATGGTCTCGTTTTGTCATGCAATATTGTTTTGTGTATTAATGTCACGAAAAACTATGAAGATGCGTAGAAGTATTCCTGCTGCACAAGACAGTTGAGAAGAGAGCTAGTCTAGACAATGAGGAAGCAACCAAGAAGACTGAGTGTCGTATAGATACTCTCATGACTGGAGCCCGGTTGATGAGCGCGCCTGGATGCACTACCACAAAGAAAAACAAGTTCTTCGTCCACTCATCACGGTGTGCGTTGCTTTTGTAAGGAAAGACAAAAGATGTATCAAAGCTCTGTATATCCTCAACTAAAGAGGAAAAGCAGTTGTTCTTGCAAATATTTTCAAAGGATCGTTCGTACGCTGACTCTGTTCGCCATGCTAGCCAGCCTCCACCAGTGCAAAATTTTCAATCCATCCACCACACTTTTTCTCTCTTCTTCCAACACGATGATATGGAGCAAAAGAACATCAAAAAGAGAAGTCAACGACTGTATAGGAATAGCCGAAGGCGGGGCTCGAACCCGCGACCTTGAGGTTGTACTTTATCTGGTGATAAGAGCCACACGCTCTACCGATTGAGCTACCCCGGCAGGTCTGATGATCAAGTTGTGTGACACAACTGGCTGTTGACTTGTGAGCGATGCACGATCTCGTCAGTAAATGTAGCTTGGCTTAACATGGATTGAGATCCACACGCAATCGAGGGCCTTGCTTCTGTCGTGAGCTTTCGCTATCAGGTACGTTGGCGCAGCTACCTTTTGGCATAGTGAGACAATAATATGTCCATAACCTAGGCTGCTTCGAAGAGGCTATATGTGCTTTATTAGTCAAGCTGGAAGACACTGTGCTCAAGAGATTATTTTGGGCATGTGTTTGCTAGCGAGTGCAGGAAATTGCTCTTGTTCTTCGAAGGTAGCTTCATAAGGGCTTCGTCGTGCTAGGCAATCTCCAAACGGGTCTATAGTCGTCTTCTGTCGAGGTGAGAGCCGGACGAAAATTGTCACATCAAGAATGAGATGCCTAGAGGTGGAAATGTCGTCGTTTACACAGCAGGAGCGCCCGACTTTAGCCCCACCAAGACCCAGCGGCATCAACCACGCTTACCTTTCCACTACTCTTCCTCGTACGCCTCGGTATCTCATTCGTTCTCCACTTTGTCATGGACCTCTTATTCAAGCTGCCTGCTGAGATCTCAAACCTTGTGATCGACCTTCTCGATCGTGACAGCCTCACTAATCTACGACTCGTCTGTAAGAAAGCACAACATATTACGACGCCCGCATTCGGTCGCAAATACTTACACACGCTGCGTGTCATATTCGTTTCTAAGTGTCTAAATGCCTTGGTAGAGATCTCTGAGACCAAGCTGCTGCGCGAGTATGTCAAAAGCATCTTATGTGCGTCTCACACCCTCCGGGACTGGGTCCATCTTACGAGGATACTCATAGGCTGTGATCCGGCATTCAGAGAGAGGATGATCGCGGCGCACAAACACTGCGTCAAGAAACACCAACCTTTGATTGCATCGGAACAGTACATTGAATTGATTTCACAGGCCTTGGCCAACTTCAGAGACGCTGGAGTGCTGCCGGCCTTGGGAATATTCGACAACAAACACAGCAATGCCAGTGCAGCTCCGATCTACAAGGGCTGGAGCGGAGAACCCCACTACCGTGAACTCTTTGACACTAGGAACTGGTACAGAGCCAGCGGTGAGGTCCTCAGTGCCGTCATCAAAGCGGCCAACCTCGGCAATTATCCCCTAGAGTCGATTGTTATGGACTTGGGTGTAGACATGACAATCCCCCTGGGGACGATGGATGCATCANAAAAGGCGAGAAAGAGAGTTGAGCATATCCTCGCCAATATTCTCTCTGCCGCTAGTCTTTGTGATTCCAAGCTGAGCTTCCGCTTCGATATCGTGTCACTGAACAACGACTGCATGCTCTCTCGACTCGATATCGACTGTCAGAACCGCCGCCTCAGTTTCCAGAGCCTACAGCACTCGGAAGTGACCAACTACGCCTATTTCAGGGGACTAGCTGATCTGGGCAAACTAGCGACCACCCTCGGAACCAACACATCCTGCGAGATTGATCTGTCTCGCTGTGAAGCAGACACATACATTCTCTCAAATTTTCTCCAAGCCCACTCTGGATCACTCAAGCGACTCAGGCTATCTCGAATCGTCTTCCGTCATTCGTGTCTGCATCATGAGACTCGTGAAATCGTGTCTGCAACGGACTTCCTAAAGACCTTGAAGGATGATCTCAAGCATCTGGATTATCTCGAGCTTGAACACCTCGAAGGCTCCGATGCTAGTTGGTCGATTTTTCCTCTTNTTGCCATGAACACGAAACTAGTAGGAAGACAGGATATTGAGTCAAGGCTGGCTATGTGGCTGTAGTCGCTAGGAGGGACCGAGTAGCATTATCATTGATCAGTTATGATTCGATCGTTGTGGGCTCTGGAGATAACGCATGGTCCATTCTGACCACATGTAAAAACATGCTGTTGTGCAAGGACCCCAAGGTCTATGTGACTCAAAGTGGTGATGGTGGCAACGTTGTGATTGCTATATCAACGTGCCAGTTCTACCTTTTGGCGCACTTCATGTAGAGGTATCTAGACAGCAATCAGTACCCATTGCAGTGTCGAAATTTGCCAGCTTACCTTTTGATGGGCTCTAGATCCTGCTTCGAAAGACCTTTAAGCTCGACCTTCATGGTCTTGCCAGAGGGTAATAAGGCTCCGATACTTCCAGTCTCATATCGGAAGTCTTCTTGGTTTTGGCTCCTTCATGAATCTCGATATGCTTGATGGAGTCGTGAGAGAAGTAGGATAGTGGATCGTTCCATCCGAGGAATATCCCAGTAGGCAGAAAGTAGAGATAGCCTTCAAGAGTTAGCGGTGTACAATGCCTGGCTCAGATAAGTGCCGACATACCTTCAGGATCATCAACCTTAGTGTACAGCACTTGCATGTTGTCGCGCCAGTCTAGGTGGCACATTGCCTTCTCTTCTTCTCTCGGCTTGNACGCTACTGATGAATTCCTCAGCATCAGGCCTGATGACACGCTTGCCATGTCCACCCAGCAGAGATTCATCGTTGAATACGGTTTCGAACGCCATTTCAGCGCTCATTCCTGGCTTTGTGTTTCGACCCATGGTCCCATCTAGTTTTTGATCTCGAGGTACGTCAAATACCATCAACTTCGGAAGCTCTTTAGTTATTGTAGATGCTCCGACTGAGGCAGAGGGCACAACAATAACTCGGAAGGCTCCAGCATCATCGGGAGACGGTAGGCATGACCTGGTCTTAACATCTGATGAGCCAACGAACAATACTACATTTGTTTTATCCATACCTATGAGTGCAGAGTGTAGCAGAAAGGTGATCCCGCCGAGGTCATCGTCACCCAATTCTGAGAGACGAATGCTGCCTTGTCCATCTGAGGATCCTGACATAATTTCGAGATGCATTTTCTGGTTCAACGGAGAGATGCAAGAGACAACGTCAACGCCGCACAAGTAGAAGCCACAGCCCATGCCAGCGACCAAGGGATCAAAGACATCAATTCCCATCTTGTATTGATCTTCGAAAGCTTGTTGTCTCCTATCTCCAGAAGAGTTGTAAAGTCTTCTCGGACTGTTGTATCGAAGTCGTTTGTCTTGCGGAGGAATCTCACCACCATATCGACGTTTGAGCGCGGCCTTTATGTCGGGTTTGTCGAGGTAGCCGAAAGGAGATATCTTTCTTTTCAACGCTTCGTAGCAATCATCATCGTTTCTCAGAAATGCAACATAGGCACAGAGGTCCAGCAGAGTATCTTTGTCGGGTTTGTTTGCCTTGTCTGATAGATGTTGAGCCTTACGGATACCGCGTTGAAGGTCCATGAAAGTGTTGCGTACCGATCATCTTCTGGACTCTCTTACCCAGACTCGGAATGTCTTCGAAGACATCTTCTACCTGGGTTGTCATATTGTGAATCGTTCAGTCTTCGTTAGAGAACAAATCTCGTGTTGTTGAAAAGAAAATGGAAGGAACGACTTGGTGAGTTAAGCGTTCCTTCTGTCTGTATGGCATACGTCATAATGCCTGCCCACCAAGAATCAAGACAACACTTAAGTTCTTTATACGGGTTCAAAGACAGCCAGAGTCCTTGACGATAAACAAGAAACAAAAATCAAAACGTACAGCAGCAGGGATTCCCACGTGGTCACCCACCGTAGTACTAATCTGCCGTTCAACGGCTTATGTATGGCAGAGCGGACGGGATGCCCAGTTTTCAGCTGACTGTGGCCGTACGTGCAAATTTTGCGAGGTGCAACACATATATCAGTCACGAAAACATCAGTATGCTCTTCTCGAAGGGCCTACAGATGTTAGTGCTTACAGGCTCGAACGAAAGGCAGTGATAGCTAAAGAAGTAAGTGCTCCTTGATTATGTAAATCTCCAACTATGTCGTTATTCATCAAATTATCTACCTCCCGTTCTACTCTAATACAGCATTGCGAAGTCTTTCCATATTTGAAGGCTCACAGTGGCCTACAAGAAGGAGATGCCCGATTGGCCACATTGTAAGACTCTCAGAAACTCTTTACCCCATCACATTCCAGCTTTGCTAAGCATGCTCAATACATAACCGAGCTGATCCACCTCTAGATGATCGTTGGTGTGTCTCATCCGATGAATATACTGGAGCTCTCCGTCGACCCAGATTAGCTCGCCACCATTCTGGGTTTTCTTTCCTGCGGAGATGCTTTTCGTCTTAGCCGCAAGACCAAGGCTGATCATTATCGCTTTGAATATCGATGTGGTCGAATACTTCTGAACATATCTTGGAGCTTCCGGGACTGCTGTCTCATTCACCGAGAATCCAAGGGCGGCATATGTTGACCGGGACGGGTCTGCATAGATGTCGAAAGGGCAACCGGTCATCTTGATGTAGTTTTGGACGAGAATTGGGTCACCGCATCCGACAATTGAGATAGTAGTCGGTAGATCCATCTGTTCCAGCTTTTCTGGCGGCAATTCGTTGGCCAAAGCCTTGACATATCCAAAGCAGTTCTGTACTAGTGTCAGCGTTCGTTCTTGTTTCCCATTACCACGCGGAGCTCTTACTGGACAAAAGAAATGGCGGATGAAGACGACAATTTTTCGTCGGTTCCTGCTCGATTGGACTAGATCTATGAAGGGTGTTTTGTTTCTTGTCCGGTCCATCACGGTCAAACTGTAGAGTGCCCGCATTTGATCGGTTGATGGTAGGGGATCCTGCTCAGCGATGGTATCAAGGCCAATGGGCGCTTGCGGAGCAGTATCCGGACCGCATATGCTATAAATCTCCGAGAGAGCGGACCCTCGTCTTGAAATTGTGATAACATTCTCTGCCGTTTTCAGAGTTACAGTCGTAGCGCTCATCAAAGACACCTTGAAAGCTTTGAGTGACTTCCAGTCCATCGTATCAAACTATGGTAGCGGGTGTATGGTTGAGTGAGGTAAACAGCTACGCGATTCAGGACTTGGAGAGGTGGAGTGAATGTCGTTTATACAAGTTAGAAGAAGAGACTTTAACTGTTGGTAAGAAGGAGCGTTCGAGGCCGGCGTCCAAGCGTTTTGTTCAATAGTTCACAACTGAACGGCAGAGACGGCAGATGGAAACGGTCGTATCTGGAGCTTCCTTAACTTCGCGCAAGTGGAAAACGTCCATTACGATAAAGTCTCTCTCTCCAGTTGAGCCTAAGTTAAAGTTGAAAAGGCACAAACCAACGTCGAATATGGGTCCTCCTTCGGTGCGTTGACATGTTTGAGATACTATCGCAGCTTCAAAGGTCAGGTCTTGAAGGCGTCGTGATGTCAATGGTCGCTCCCAATGCGAAATTTGACCGTGGATTCGAATTCCAAAAACCATGGCCTGAAGTTGTGCCTGCAAGCTACACTTCCCGCGTACGGCTTGATCTGGATTCCAATGCAGAAGGAAGACGTAGGTTCGACATTGAATACACCAGAAACGTCAGGATGAAGACCGATACGTGTCCAGCGGTACAGGAGCGATGTGGCTTGTTAAAAGGAAAGCCGCATTCGTGGTTCTAGCGCCTGTCTTTGTGGGTTCCAGAATCTCGGCAGAATACGGCCGACTGCGAAGCGTGCCCTACAAGACATGGGTTGAGGCAGGGTGACCCCCACATCCACCAAACCACAAGTTCGTCCAACGATATCTCAACGACAAATAGACTTTGCAGATTTTTGGAACTCGCATGTCGTTTTACGCCTACTGGTTGTATATATCCGAGCTACCAACTCTTTTGCGTCTTGTACATCAAGGTTGCTGCGCTGCTTTGGGGAGTTGAGGTCATCTCAAATCTAGCTCGAGATATTTCAAGCGTCGCCAACAACTCAAAATCCGCAGGGAACAGACATCGAATGTCGGGTGTCACATTATATACACCTCGTCAGTTGAAAGTGAAGTATTATCCAGCCCACAATGTTTGAGATTTGAGCCTGTTGGACAATGAAGTGGTATAGACAAGATCGACGTTCAATTCGTCTATTAATAGTTTACCCTCGGAGGATTCACAACGATGTCATGATCAACATCGTCGAGCAAACGAAACCACTCCCTGGGGTTAGTTGGATATAGGCACCAAGATAGATTCGTGAATACAAATCAATTCGCAAGTGACACTTTCTGAACCTGCTACAGACTACATGTTCATCATTGAGTAAACGCCAACCAGCCGAATATCATGAGAAACGCAGCAGTCTACGCCGGCCTTCTAGCCACCACCTTCTCCGCCCTCGGCCATGCGATGGTCAATCTCACCATCCTTTCTTCTGTGAAGGATGTCCATATTGGCGACCATCTCTTGGTTGAATGGGCTACCGATCGCACCTATGNNTTGGTTTACTTCGCAATCGTGATAGTCGAAAGCGAAGTCGACCTGCTGACACGTAAACGATAGAGTCTTGATTTCAATTTCGCCAAGAAGGAGACTTGGGGCTGGTCCGTAGCGCAAGCCTTCTTCGAGGATCGCGTCGCAGAAGCTGGCGAGGGTAACATTACTGTCATTGTCCCCCACGTTGAGTCTGGACGGTAAGCTGTTTCCTGAATTATGTTCAAAGTCGACATCTGCAACTAACGCCTTTTTGTGACAGCGNAGTATGCTCTTTGGCTTTCTGGATCGGAGATTGACGAGCCCCATGGCTATGCCAATCTTACTAAGTGGTTCGTGGTTGAGGGCCCACACACGGATCTCAAGTAGAAGCCTACGAACCGAGTCATCACACATCTGTACTGGTATTCTGATAGAGACTGACGGGTCACACCTGATAAATGAAATATCTTTAAAGACTTGTTACATGATGTGGATCCAGTACGTCGAAGCAGTGTACGTCTCGTAAATAGCTGGATCCATGGCTCTAAGGGCTGCAAAAGTGCCTACAAGCAAAACCAGTCTCCCGACCAAGTACGTAGAAGGCAAAAGTATCTTTACAATTGTCCATGGATCACACCATTTCACAACAAGTCGTTCGAACTGCATGAACAGCAGCATAGAAATCATTGAAGCTATTGTTGCAGTCCGCCAGAGCCAGGTTTCGATCAAGGTGGGGAAAGCAGAGTTCCAAGATATGAGGTGTAGAGCCGGAAATGAGACACCGGCGAGGCAACAAAGCGGCCACAGAATTCTCGAGTGGTACAATTCGGGGTCCCAGTGAGCGAGTATGGTCTCTTGCTCTGTCCGAGAGTCGACATGGTGTAAACGTACATGTTTCGTGGCCGATAGAGGCAGGCTGTTGTGGACAGTGAGTCGCTCCTGAGGGTATTGCTCTTGCTTCTTTCTCTTATGTGCTCTATCCAACGCTTCTTTNTCAAATAGTCGAGGCGTTAGAGCCCATATGCCCCAGACTGATTCCTGCTCACTGGTTCCTTCGTCATCAAATTGATCGTCGAGCGCCAGAGAATCGAAAACAACCACTTGTTCAGACGTCATATAAGGCAAGCAGATCTCCGAAGGTAACTCGATATCTCGCGGTTTGGTCCACCAATAGTAGTATGTAACAGCGAACAGTGGAACATAGCTCAAAGTCATTGCCTCCAGTGGTGAGAGTGGTAAATCATGTACAACTCGCATGATGGATTGTGCGACAAACCAAACGACCTGTGAAGCAGCAAAGACTTTTCCGGTCGTGTCCGAATTGCTTTTGTCCTTTATGGCCTCGACAGATAGTCCCCAATCGGCGTGGTCCTTCCAATCGAGCAATCTTTGCTCTAGCAGCCAGATGAATTGACTAGGCCAGATGATCTTAGTACCGTGCGAGGTCCGGTACTGTAGCCCAAACATGCCAATGTAGAAAGCCTGGACTATATCGAGTTCTCCATTGGTTGTTGCCGAACATTGTTTAGCTACTTTCCGAGCTTGAGTCCATTCTTGGGCGGCCTCGACAGCAATGAATTCGGGCGCAACGATTGTTTTTAACCATAAGGCCAATTTGTGTAGGATACGATGCTTCTTGCGTTTGCAGATACGGGGGTGGATGACGATCCAAGTACAGAGCATAATGGTGGCTAGACAACTAGCGAGAAGTGTCAGTGTGCCACGACCAGATGTCTCAGGCATCCAGCCAACGAGATCAGAAGGTTGTCCGGTTCCAGTCGTATTCTGGGCCTTGTCAATCATCATAATCAAATGTTCGGAGCATCGATTTGCCAAAGAGGGTATAGAGCGCTCTCAAGGGATATGTAGACTGATAGTGTATCGTTCGGGGTTATATGAGAATAATAAATACCAGATGGATCAGAAGAATATGTGGTGTCAATTTGGTTGCATGGCTGTAGCATGTTCGGAACCATGACGAAGCGCTTGAAGCATCAAGGGCGCTTAACGTGTATGCACGCTGACTCCACATAGAAGGCAAAGTGGGATGTTTCAGTGCTGCGAATAGAGACGAGGACTACGTGGCTCGAGATGCATATCTCATGGTCAGTGGCCTTTTCGGATTTCTATGAGTTCCTCGCAGATAACGCAACACAAAGTTGTGGATATAAGGTCGACGAGCCTCATCATGGCAACAGGCTGAATTACGTATTATAGCAGCCAGTGCTTTCGTTCAGAGAGTACGCATAACAAAAATTATGGAGCGACTAGATTCTGTCTGAAAAGATATTAAAAGACAAAAGGGAAGGGATGTTCAAGCGAATCTGCCTGCAGAGAAAGCAGGCCCTTGATGACCGCACAGACCAGAAGGCGTCTTGACCTGTTTTTACGCGCCCAACTTGCAGACACCCTGCATGTCACGAGCTTGATAAGGTAACATCTGTGATTCTTCGTGACCCAAGATGCGTAGACGCGTTGCGCTCTTGCCTTTTCTCGCAGGATCTCACTATCCGCTCAAGACCCATCTGCGGACTTCGACTTTTCATGAGTAGTATCCAGCTTCGACCTCCAATCCTGTAACGACATGTTCTTTGAGGCGCTAAAATATGTGTCCGTCACTATCGGGTCAATCGGCGCCCTCTACTGTACACTTCTTGGACTTTTGACCACATCATGGTTCCAGGCACATGTTGTTTATCTGCACGCTATACAGATGACTTGGGGCAAAAATCTCGATGTTCCCGAGGTCTTCGGCTTTCTTCACAACCAAGTCACTCCCTTCGGTATAGAGTCTGCCAGTGGTCAGAACTTGTACGCCTGGCACATCTTGCCTGTAGGATTATATCGAAAACATGAGCAGAAGCTATTAGCACAACCATCGGGATTCTCATCCGACATCACATCCAACCTTTCCTTCCAGCTGCTACGCGACGACCCCGAAGCTGTACTTGTCATTCACTTCCATGGCGCTGGTGGTACCGTCGCATCTGGATACCGCTGTCCAAACTACCGAGCATTATCAGCTGGCCGACCCGACAAGATCCATGTTCTCACCTTCGACTACCGTGGTTTTGGACGAAGCCAAGGTACACCTAGTGAGAGTGGCCTTATTGTGGATGCCTTGTCCGTTGTAGAATGGGCCATGAGCGTGGCCAGGATCCCGCCATCTCGTATCCTTATCTACAGTCAATCTTTGGGAACTGCTGTGAACATGGCTGTTGCTGAGCATTTTGCTTTGCAAGAACCACCAGTCGTCTTTGCTGGACATATCTTGACTGCACCATTCGTCGATGTAATCACGCTTGTGTCAACATACAGTGTAGCGGGAACCATTCCCATTCTTGGGCCTCTAGCGAAAGTTCCAGTGCTTTTCAACTATCTACGGAGATACATCAACGACAAGTGGTCAACCAAAGACCGAATTGCCTCGTACGTCAAAGCCAATGAGGCCAATGGTGCAAAGTATCGCATTACCATGATCCACGCCGAAGATGACTATGACATCCCGTGGACGCATACTCCGCAACTATTCTGGTATGCTGTCAACGGAACAAAGCCAATCGGTATCAGTTTTGACGCGTTAGAGCTACTAAAAGCAAAGTCTAGAATTGACCATGGCCCCGCGGGCAGCGTTGTTGAGTGGAAGACTGATCATGGGGTTATCAGAGAAGAGATACTGAAGTACGGTCTGCACGATGTGATCATGGGCAACCCCGTAGTGACGCTGGCTGTCATGCGATTGTTGGGCCCATGAGAAGCTCTTATGTACGGACTCTAATTTTCAGTCGTCTTGTTGAGCAGGATCACGTCGAGATCACGAGCAGCGGAAGGTGTGACACACTAATACGAAAGCGTGGTTACTCGTCAAAGGACTTGCGCAACACTACAAGTAGCAGGAGCGACCCAATAGACTCGGCTAGCAACCCCAAAAACTGACAACGAACGACTTCACATGCACTTCCATTGGCCTTCAAGAATATGATATGCCTGAATCCGTTCGTTCCAGACGACACACAACCTCCAACGTCCATAGTGTGTGCTTGTGCTCATGACCAAGTACTTCCCTTTGTCCAGATAGCGCCTTCTTCTGCAAGTTCAAAGCTTCGTCTCTTCGACCGATGAGTTCGAGAACAACGCCATGATTATTGATCGACCAAAGAGTATCCGGATGGTTTGGACCAAGAACATCTTGTCGACCCTCTAGAGCTCTGCGGTAGTTGTCCTCAGCATCCTTCAAGAGACCCATGTCTTGATATGTGGCCCCTATGTCACCCAGAAGCCATAACGTATGCGGGTGGGTTTGGCCCAAAACTTTCGCACGCGTTCTATAGGCTCTTTCGAACAGCGTTAGGGCTTCCGTAAAACGACCTTGCTTCCGGTATGTTCGTGCAAGAGTGGCGATTGTCCAGATGACTTCCAGGTGTTCTTCTGGCTCTGGGAGTCGTGCCTCGAGTACGGCGAGTGCCGTGTGATGCATCTTTGCCGCGTTGTCGTAATCACCGAGATGTCGGTAAATGCGTCCCAGCTCGTTGACCGTGTTGATCGTTTCCAGATGGTCTGGCCCCAGTTCTGCTGTTTGTATGGAGAGGGCTTGCAGATGTGTCTCGAGAGACTTGAGGGTCTCGCCCTGCTGATCATACAAAATAGCCAGACTGTTCGATATCCAGACGAGCTCTACTGGCTTCTTATGCGAAAGCGATGTATATGCATTCGTGAGCCAGAGTATTCCTTCCTCGAGTCGTTTGCTCTGAGTAAGCAGTCGTGCTAAATCTCGAACAACCATTATCTTCTCGAAGTAAGTGAGTCTGATGGAAGTATTGCTATCCTCTTGTGCATCCACAAGGACATGTACAACAGCCTCACACCAATCCACCTGAACAAAGGTTTGCTCGGATCGAGAGCTTGAGTCGTTGAGGCGGATCCAGGCGTTCAGATCAGATTGTAGCTTGAAAATCTTCTGCAAGGAGAAACCATTATGACCAACTCTGAGCATATTTCGTATCCACCATCGTCGTATAGTTTTGTCTCCGTTAAAAATCGTCAGCAGTTCCAGCAGATCTTTGCTCCATGGAGAGACTAGAAGATGGTCACACCAAAACACAGCAGCATAGTCGGCCAGCGCCTCGGAATGAGACTGTCCGCTTGCTGCTACGACGTGCGACAAGCAGATGTACGCTAGATGGGACTCGGCTTCGGCTCGAGTGAAGAAAGACTTATCCACACCTTCCTTGGCCATCTCAGCCACCAGAAAGTCTCTCATAGATAGATGCTGGAGATGGAAGCGATCATACGGCTCGTCGTAGACCACAAATGGGCATCCAAGTTCCAAAACAGTAGCTTTAAATGGCAATGTTCGTCCAGACGAAGTTACACCATCTGCCAGAGCAACTTGTAGCTCTGCCCAACTCAACGGTCTTTGAGCATAACAAACCCACAAAAGGAGCTTTCTGGCCAATTGTTGCCTAGTAGCTGATTCACGAGAAAGTCTCTCAAGATGTTTGTTGTAGAATGCTGTCAAGCCTGAAGGTAATTCCTCGAGTTGGCCAGTAAGCTCTGCTGGCGAGGACGATGTTGACAGTGACTGCATGATGAGATGTGCAAAGAGGAACATGCCGTGCGATCTCTCGATCACTCTTCTCGTGATCAGATCCAACCACGCAGCATCGCTCGTTGGCAAATGGTCCCTTGCAGCGGCAAGATATATCTTGATGTCTTGCTCGTTTCGCGTAGCATCTATTGCTATGGAGAGATTCGTCGAGAGCTTCTTCTGTATACTCGGTGTTCTTCTGCTCGATATCATTATGTGGACATTTGGACAGGCTTCAACCAGATCTTGTAAAGTGCTGAGGATGCTAGTGGAATCCTCGCATTCATCAACGCCATCAACCGCAAGATACAAGCTTTCAAGGCCATCAATGACAGCTTTCAAGAGCGATGTCGGTTGGTCAGCTGGACAAAGACGATCGCGCCCGTACAGGGCGGCTTGTTCGAAGGCGACTGTCACTGGTGCAGGCGAATTGTAAGATTGCGCACAGATCTGCGCTAAAATGCTAGCAACCAAGGATGACTCTGTTCGCTTCTTCTGGTCAAGTCTGTCAAAGAAGAAGAACGCGATGGCGGTCTGTGGCTCTGCATAGAGCTCTCTAAGAGAATTCACGGCCGTGGTGCACAAAACAGTTTTCCCGGCACCAGGAACGCCTTGCAACCACAGGACGGATGACTTCTTACTTGTGTGCCACTGTATGAAGTTACAGTCCTGTGTTAACCACAATCCAGTACCGGTTGTTCTTCTTCGCGAATGCTGAACGAGATCACTGGCTGCATCGACTGCATCGAGCCATCTCATGATCGTTCGGCGTTGCGATTGATCTGTGATAGCAACAGAAGACCTTTCTGCATGTGCCATGACAGGCTTCAGAGCGGTGTGGACATATTTTCGATGAGCCAAAGTGGTTTCGCCCTCAAGCACGGATGTGTGCAATGCGAGCTTGTGGAGACCGCCATTGAACTCGGACTCGAAAGTGGTCCAGATACTCCGGAACAAGACGGTAATGCCTTTTCTTTTCAGAGCCTGTTCTGCTTTCTGGAGCAAGGTCAAGACGTCCTTGTAGACAGCAGAGAGGGCGAGGTTGAAGCGTGGTTCATCTGTGATCAATTGTTCATATTGGTGGTACAATGACAGTATTGCGCCAAGTCTTTCAAGTAGTCCAATGATTTTGGGAAAATATCGAACCATAGCAGATGCAGCCTAAATAGCGTAAGTGATGGCTTCAAACACCGTCCGATAACATAGAAGATACCTCGATCACGCCCTTCAAGATACCCCAAGCGACAGATGCTGGGTTCATCCCATTTCCTCCGACGCCCTGAACTATGGAGTCGATAGAGCCGGCATATCGGTCGAGAAAATCTAGCAGAGGAGCTAATCGTTCACCAAGCTTCCGGGTACGACTGATAGACGAGTGCTTTTTATCCGCTTCGACAAGAGATTCGAGAACATCGCTGAGACCTACATAGTCCACTACCGTGGTAGTTTGTTCGGTTTTAATGACCCGTTGACGATATAACATGTTCTAGAATAATTCAGACGAGGGATATGAGGAGGAGCAAGCCTCGAAGGCCCCGAGCTCAGCGGATATTGTATGTCATTAGCTTTTGGTCAGCCTGCATGCCTGCCAGGCTGAGAAACAAGGCGCAGTTTGTCTGCCTGACTGCCAGGTATGCATGTGGTTCCGATTACCTTGATGCATGCAGCTCGACTGTTGTGCATTGCCGAGGTCGGGGCGAGGAAAGAAGGTCGGCCGCAGCTACTTGACGGCCCTTTCGCTAAATTCCTAGGTTTAAAGGTTATCACTTAGCTCTCGGTTAGCTAGTAGTACATCGGATTACAAATCTTAGTGGCATCTTAGTGGTATTATAAAAAGAGGGGTATCATTAATCGAATCTTTAAAACCATTAAACTTCTTTGAACTTATCGTTAATAAGCTTACTAGTAGTAGTAGTAGTAGTAGTAGTAGTAGTAGTAGTAGTAGTAGTAGTAGTAGTAGTAGTAGTAGTAGTAGTAGTAGTAGTAGTAGTAGTAGTAGTAGTAGTAGTAATAGTAAGAGTAGTAGTTATAATAAAAGGTATAGTAATAGCGATAATAATAAGCTTAAAGTTATTAATATTGTTATAAATAAACATGGCTTTCTACGACGCCACTAGGACTCTACTAAGAGGCGAAAACCGGCATATTGCCGGCTAAACGAGAGCTAAGCGAGAGATCTAAACATAGGAACTTAGCAAAGGGCCGTCAAGTAGCTGCGGCCGACCTTCGGAAAGAGAGCTCTAACCACCGCGACGTGGTTTGCCAAGCCTGGCAATCGTGCTTTCCTGATAGAACACTTCAAGGCAGGCCGCAGCCAAATTGTGACCAAGCTGTGAAGCGGTCAGGTGTTCTGCTGCATGGCGGGATCAGTGATTATTTATCGTTGCCGGCGTCATGCATAATAATCTGCAGCCAATAGATACAGTGGCAGCTATTTCTGACTCGTCTGATCGAATCAACAAAAGGTGAGATAGCCGTGGCTGTGCATCTTCTAGGATGTCGACAACTGTACAATCCTATCGATGTCTATACAGAAGTACAAGATCCGGTGGAAACCAGGCTTGGACAGAAGTGTGGTTGAGGCGGATGCGAGACGGTTCACAAAAGATGCTCTATTAAAAGTCGCAAAGGCGAGTTTAATTTCATGCGTTGAACATCGTGCCAATTTAACAGCTTGGTGACAGGTGGATGATGATTTCGAAATCACCACATCCTCCAGACTTGATGACTACGAGCAATCCGTACGTGCGGCCATGCGAAAACAGACAACGTAATATCAAACTGACCAGCCTTCCTGAAAGAAACTCGAACGGCTATGCTATTTCAGACAGTGGTCTTCTGTCCAAGCTGAGAGCCAAACAGAGACCCCCTCACCACTAGAAAATCTAGTCAGCTCGGTCTCGCCGGATCCAAATATACCCAAATCAAGCCCAGTAACTCCACCACCACCTCCTCCATCGATCAAGCGAGTATTTTGCCCTCTGTCGATGCGACAACAAGACCTCGAAAGAGAACTACAAAGCTTGGTCTCCAAGCCCGGCAAAATTCAAATTCGGAGCTATGTCCAGTACGATCGCATTCTTAACTGTGCAACTTTCCTTGCATACGAGGACCTTCAAGTCCCGGGACCGGGCAGCGATCTGGAGATCAAGGAAGACTTCGTTGGC